ATATTATAGAAATAAGACAAAATTGTTCGACAATAATTGAATTTTTGCTAACCTAATCTAGTTTAGATAGTTGACTGAACATTCAAGGTCAAGTAACAATGATCAAGCGATTACTCGACGTACGAGAAGATCATGAAGCAGATTGCCCCATAAACCTCAAGCATGGCATCCTGCACATTAAAAAAGATGAGAAAACGTACGACCGAATCTTTGGCTTCTTCTAGAGACTATAAGTGGTCGCAGGTGCCGCTTTTATGCGCCAGTTTTCCAATTTTTTCCGGTAGTCTTGTTTACAATATGCTACAAAGCAAATGCGCTAGAAGTTTCCCCGATCCGACAATAGTATGGCCTAAGTAGGAGGTGCATAAAGTGCGATAGAGGCTATCAATTATCGCCAGGGAATCCGATAGAGCCTTTCTTTCATGGGCGTGGACTTTCGAGTGATTAGAGCTTTTTTGTATTAGATGAAGTTAATGTCATGTTATCAATTTCAATCTCAAAATTAGCCCGCGCAGAGGTTTAAGTTTGACAGCAGTTTGCCGCGCGTTGAAATCACCCCACTTGTCTTAAAAACTACAACCATGGCCGCGTCAATGATGACTTCGACGATTAGCTCAACGAGTAGCGTGAGTGGAGCGTCATCGTTGAACTCGTTGAACACAAGCGGATCTTTTACGTTTCGGAAGGATGGGGAAGATGGGTTTACGATCTACAACGGTAGCAGTTTAAGCAATGCGAAGAAAACAGCGCCAGAGTTGAGCGTGGTTTTTGATGGACATAAAATAGATCTGTTCAAAATGTCAGACGAGAAGAAGTGCATTGCAACAGCTAGACGCGTTCAGAAAGGGAGAAACGTATATTATGGGTTGACTCTCGTGAAACGTAATTGTCCAGTAATGCTAGTGGATAGGAAAAGGGCGTTTACTTTGTTAGACGGAACAGAATGTCGACCAAAGTTGGAGGAGAAAAGCTATACTGTCATTGACGCACGTTCTGGACTCGCAATGGCTACACTTGAACGCAATACGCGGTCTTTTAGCAAATTTGGCGTCTTGAGGCTGTTTGCCGCGCTGGACACGGACAGTCTTACTTTCTTGTTCATGAGCGTTGTAACCCTGATCAAGCTGCAAAGAGATAGAGATTCGTTTAATAATCTCAGTGGTATTATCTAATACAGCACGCAAACAACCACATCTCACATACCTTGCACACCACATACTTACCTCTACCCGATATACCTAATAATAATGTACAACTTAATCAAAAGAATCAACGTGCTTGCTGGGTGCGCGTATACCCTGAGCAGCCATTCTAAGCGTCCTGAACTCATTACTGGAGTAAACTTTCTGTGTGGAGGCAAAGTTAGCGGATTGTTGTTTAAACCAAGGTGGTGCATCGATAGTGGGTAATGGCTGAGAGGTTTTTTGGTGCACTCGGTCGTCATCCAAAGCTTCACCAGTGAGTTGAAGGAAGAAAGCGTTGAGTATACTGCGCTTGATGAGGTGAGTGAGTCGTTGCACACCTTGCAGTGAGTTACCCTGTTTGATCTGTAACTTGGCTTCATTTGCCCAGTCATTTACAATTGCGATATCATCCAACTCAATAATACGCGTCGTTAGCTGTGTGCCAGGTTGAGCGTGGTGGGAGAGGGCGAGGATGTTGATGAGAGTGGGTGAGTGCTGCGCTAGACTGACGATAAACGGGTGGTGTTGGTTGTGTTGTAAGTGGGTGGAGTAGCGTAGGAGAAGTTCTGAGATTTGTATTGGATGAGTTGAGGTGAGTGAATGAGTGAGTATTCCAGTGATTACAGCGTGGATGGATTGTAGACTAATTGAATGTGTGTTGAGGTGAGTGATTAGCGTTTCAATGACGTCATAATCATTAGCGTTATCGTTAATGCCACTGCCACTGCCACTGTTAATGATATAAGCAGAAGTTGTAAGAAGTGCAGCAGAGGAGAGTTGAGATAGTCTAAGAGAGAGATATGCAGCGTTTGTGAGGAGCTTAATTGTTCTGCGTGCTTGCTTGGCTTTCTGCCTTCGGTTGGCCAGCTCTTTAAGCGCCATAACCAGCTGTTCAAATTGAGTTGCCGTACGAGTTCCTTGAAATGCCGGGGTTCCTGAATCAATCAAGAGTGTTTCAATCGCAGTCTCTATATTTGTGAAATGACATAATTCATCGAGCGTGTATTGATTGCTGGTTATCTCCTCGATAAAATTCATCTTCACAGTTTCAACTCAACAGAATAATTTATGAATTTATTTATTTAATATTAACTCCCTTTATTTTGATCGATTAAACTTAAATTAGAAAAACTTTTCCATTTCTCCTTCTCTATCAATCACATTCACTGCGATGAGCAACACTAAAGATTTAAGCGAAGCTGAAATAGCCGCAAAGAAAGAGCGCAAGGCTGCAAAGAAAGCTGCAAAGGCTGCGGCAGATGCAACACCAATAGAAGAATCAAAGCCTTCCGAGCAAGACGAGAAGGCGGCGAAGAAGGCAGCCAAGAAGGAGAAGAAGAGGAAGGCTGAGGAAGGTGTGGATGGTGTACAAGATAACAACAGCAAGAACGAGAATCAGCCAAAGAAGTCCAAGAAAACACCTCCAGCCAGCACACAGGACGCTGAAAACTTCTTCAAAGAGAACAACATGACTGTTTCTGACAGTTCTATCAAACCTCTTCTCAAATTCGATGAGCTCGACGTCGAGAAGGCCCTAGTAAAGCCACTCACAAACTTTGAGAAGCCAACTCCTATTCAGAGCATCACTTGGCCTTGTCTTCTTCAAGGAAAAGATACTATCGGTATTGCAGAGACTGGATCTGGTAAAACACTCGCATTCGCTATACCTGGCTTATCGAGGCATGTTTTGAGCGATACATCCAACCACACTCCCTCAATCCTTGTCATTGCACCAACGCGTGAATTGGCTGTACAGACATACGACAGCATCCACAAACTCGACGTTACGCCCTCCATCTGTCTCTATGGTGGTGTGAGCAAGGAGGAGCAAAAGCGTGCGATAAAGAAGAGCAAACCGAGAGTGGTCGTAGGCACCCCAGGTAGACTGCTCGATTTGGTTAACGATGGTGGCATCGATTTCTCTAACATCAAGTATCTCGTCCTCGATGAAGCTGACCGTATGCTCGATCAGGGTTTCGAAAAGGACATTACTGCCATCATCGGTAACACCCCATCATCCCGCCAAACAGCCATGTTTAGTGCCACGTGGCCACAGAGCGTACGTGCACTCGCAGCGACGTTTATGCGTGATCCCGTTAGAGTCACTGTCGGGAGTGAGGAACTCACCGCTAATAAGCGCGTCGATCAAGTAATTGAGACTATTGACAATCCTCGCATGAAGGAGCAGCGTCTCAATGCACATCTCAAAAGTATTAGGAAGGAAATGGGAAATGCCAGAGTCTTGGTTTTTGCACTGTATAAGAAGGAAGCAGGTAGAATAGAGAGTACTTTAAGGAGAGGTGGTCATGCTGTTGGTTCTATTCACGGTGATCTCTCACAGCAGCAGCGTATGAAAGCGCTGTCGGATTTCAAGGATGGTAGTGTACCCCTCCTTGTCGCTACAGACGTTGCAGCGAGAGGATTAGATATTCCAAACGTAGAAGTTGTGATTAACGTTACTTTCCCTCTCACCATTGAAGACTACGTTCATCGTATTGGTAGAACTGGTAGAGGTGGTGCTTACGGGAAGAGCATCACCTTCTTCACCGATGAGGACAAGTCGCATGCAGGAGAACTAATGAAGGTTCTCAGAGAAGGTGGCTATGAGATACCTGAGGGACTGAAAAAGTATCCAGCAGTAATAAAAAAGAAGGATCATGGCTCGTACGGCGCTCACTTCAAGGAGATTGATCCAGATGCCAAGCCAAAGAAGATAACGTTTGATTGAGTTATTGGTGGTATTATAGATGTAGTGTATTTATTTGGAATTAATTTAAATGGTTATTATAGATACCGAAGAATGTCTGAGATATGTCTGACGTTTGTAAAGTACACAAGGAAGAAAATATTCCGGGGATTTAAGCAACTTTAAGTTATATATTAAGAAGTTGTAAAGGGTTTTTTCAGGAAAACCCATCAAACACCCTGGATAAACTTTATTCCGACGTCCAGTGCGACTCGCGCGGCTCATTCTCAGCTCACTCCGCGCAACGAGCAACACTGTCAACACCTCTAGCAATTGCACCTCGATGGAATCAGAAGAACGGGATTCTCCACGCGTAAAGTTTGATAGCAATAAGATGAGCCAGACGAGTCAGGTGATGAAGACGAGCCGGCGCGGAAGGCCGTTTGTACGAGACCTGCATGATCTGTTTAGCACGATGGTAGTGTCGTTGGAGTTAAAGACGCATCGGAATCTGTTCAGAACGTACCAAAATTCATTTACAACGGGTATGTCTGGTGTGTGTGTGTGTATATACTCAGCTAACGGCACTCACAGACGAAGCATGCAGCAACCTCCACAATCTGAAATTCAGCCAAAGCGTGCGTCTCCCAGATCCCAATAATCCGGCCAAAATAGTCACTACGACGTCGACGACTACCTTCTCAATGGATAGGCAGATGGCTAAGGGTGTTTGTCAAATATTCATGGATGCGCACCTCATTGAGAATGCAGCTGATGTCAGCGTCCGATCGTTTAAAGATAGGGGGATCTACATGCTCACTGGAAAGGGGTTGCATGTGCTTGAGCGTTTTATATCCAAAAATGGTATCAGCGCTGAGCACCTCATTGGTGTGTTCTCCACGCAATCCATATGTCTCAAGCTGCTCCACCTCGAAAGACGTCCGATTGACGATGAGATACTCATCAACAAGCAGATAATCCATGTCGTTTTCAGACGTTTTGTTGGCAGGCAGCCTAATTATCACATAGCGGGTGGTGTTGATAGGAGCAATGGGTTGGGCGTGAGCGATTTGCACGTTTCGAAGGGCAGTGTTACCACCGAAGCTGCAGAGGGCGACGTGCAGCACACATTCAACTCCCTCAACGCCCTCGCCTGGCTGCTCGACTTTACCACTATCGCTGGGCGTGACGAGGCCGCGGAGACGGCTGCCCACTTTGTCCGCTATGGCTTAATAGCGCTGGTGAGCGACAAGGGGAAGCGTGACGACGATCTCGTTGTGACTGTCAACTATATCAACCAAGGTAGCGAGAGTATAGTGAGTGAATAGAGGTTTTTGTGGGTCTTTTCTAACGCACGCGCGCGCAGGACTGCGAATTTAGAGCTGGCGCTAAATGCACATACGGAATTACAGCTGCAGGAAGACGCGTGGCGTTATGGGAGACAGGCTCGGTGGGTTCAGTGGGCTCGCCGAACGAGTCGGTAGAGTCTTTCGACCACTCCTCCCAATCCAAGCAGAGAGACAGAGATGGAGACAGGGATTCGCCCAGTCTCCACCGCCAGCAGAGCAGGGGCGGGCAGCTGCAGGCGCAGTATGCTCACGAGCGCACTCGCGATGCTGCCGTCGCTGTATCCGGTGCGCACCACAAAGAGAGCAACACTGGTCGTTTGAAGCAGATCCTTGACGATCCCGCCCTCAGAAGTCTCTTCCGTGAGTTCCTCAGAAGCAACTTCTGCGAAGAGAATCTGTCGTTCTGGCTCGATGTGCACGACTTCAAGAGGAAGTTCTCTACTACTTCCTCGGCCGTAGCGCGGCCGCAGCACTTTGGCATCTTCTCTAAACAGTCACATTCACATGCCCACGACAAGAAGGCGACACCAACAGCGATGCAGCAGCACCAACAAGACATCAACGCTATGGCGTGCGTCATCTACAACACTTACCTCGCACCCAGCTCACCAAGCGAGCTCAACATCGACCATGGGCTACGAGCGGAATTGGTGAGCTATATGACTGGGATAAAGCGGGAGGCGCGCGACAAGTACGGGACGGAGATCAGACCTGATACTGAGGTTGGGGAGGAGATTGGTATCGGACAGATGCCACTGCAAGCTTCGCAGGTCAGTCGCCTCATTTTCCTTTATGAGCGCATCCAAGCGTATATCTTCCGCCTGATGGCCACGGATAGCGTACCAAAGTTCGTGCGCACGGAACGTTTCCTCAATCTCATGAAGACTTTCGAGGAGTATCAGGCAAGCTTGGCGGAGAACGCGCCGCCTGTGCCTCCCCTTCCACTGCCAAAGGAAGGAGACAACAAGTCGCAGTCGCAGTCACGCGGCTCACTCAACACACCCTCCACTACATCCCTGCGCTCGTCGAAGAAAAGCCAGGAGGCTCTCACTGTTGGTGGTGCACACGCAGCTGCGAATTCCAATCCATCGCTGCGTAGTAAGAAGAGTTTCGGGGAGAATTAAGATAGCATAACAAAAATAATATGTAGGAAAGTAAGGATAACCAGGAGAAATCTTCTTCACGATTGCAAAACGTTCTACACTATACACCCACTAATTACTTAATCGATAAGATACTCTAAATGGACGAGATGCAGGCCATGAATCCATACACCCAATTAATATTACTATAAAGCACTTTTTAATATATTTTCTATTTACCATTGTGTTGGGGTGCTGGGTGTCGTGCTGTCCAAGTGTTTTGGAATGTCTTGCTGTTTGTGCGGGCATGAAATGACAATCTCAGTCGCGTGTTCGCCTTGTGTGAGCCTAATCAGGTACCGTTCCTTAGTTTTTTTTTTTATCTTGTCATTAATCACATGGAGAGTAGAATAGAATGAGCGAGGTGAGAGGAGGGGCTGTAGCACACTAACGCAGATCAGTCACACATCACGTGCACCCAACGCACACCCAATGATCGACGATATCGCTCGCACCCTCTCTGTCGTGGTCAGTGCTCTTCTCACCGAAACGACGTAACGCGCGAAAAAGCACACAACACGGAGCGTACACGGCAATGTCGCTGGCGAGCTGGTTAGACGGCGTGAACAAGAAACACGCGAATACGGTGTACGCGTCGCCAGAGCTGGATAGGGTGGGTATTCGTGGGTGAAGGAAGGTGACTGACGCTGGCCGCAGGAGTATCGCAGCATCCGCAGACGCCGTTCGAAGAGCCTGGGCGATGTAGGGGGGAAGAGTGTTATGGAGGACACAGTATCCACAGGATCCACACCTGCCACACCACTCACACCCTCCAAACCGCGACATATTCAAATCCCTCAGTCAAATTTCAATCCGCGGGATAATACGCCATCCAAGTGGTCCGGAGGCGCGGGATTGAAGACGCCGACACCGACGACGAACCGAACACCCAGAACACCTAAAACACCTAAAACAGTAAATTCTCCGAGGTCTCCGAGGTCTCCACACGCACACGCATACACACACTCCTGGACGCAGAACAGAGTCGTAGGCGCATCTCTCTTCTCCAACACCTCTGCCATCCCCTCGCCCAAAGAGAGAGGTATTCCAGTATCGCCGAATGTTTCATCCAAGAGACGCGCCGAACGCAGCGAACGCGTCGAGTATCCAGGCTTTGCAGAGGCTGTCAATGACGGCAGGAGACACAGACCACCCGTCGTCAGCCACCACAGCGATGTTTTTGGTATAGCGAGGAAAGGTGGCAAGCTGAGTGCTGCAAACACAGCTTGCGACAGTGAGGAAGATAAGGAGGATACGTCTGCGAGAAGAGCATCTCTGCGCAGGTCATCATCAATGAACAGCAAGAGTAGAACTGGCGGTGACGGTGACATTGGGAATTGCAATAGCACTAGCAATAAGGTCACATACACCCACACCAACACCTCTCAGTACCCCATCCAAGAAAAAAAAACGGACAAAGAAAAAGGACCTGTAATGAGAGCGCGTCAACCGAATGTCCTGAGAAGATGGCAGCCGGAGAGTGCAGAGGGGAGCGGCCAGAGAGGGACAGGCGCGCGGAAGGTATCGCCCTCACTGCGACAGCTGAAAACACGTTCGTTGCCAACCTATCCAACTTACTCAATGGGTGAAATGAGTGGGATGACTCAAGGCGAGAGAAACAGCCATGTACACAATGTACACAACACGCTCACCTCAGGTCATTCTAACACTCACACACCCGCGCGCGCAACTGAAAACAGCACCCCCAACGACGCAGACAGCGAGGCTGGAAATGTCTCACAGTCGAGTCTGGTGGAGTTGGAGGTGAGCGAGGGTGAGGATGCAACGCAGTTTGACCTAGCGACGACGCCACGCCGCGATATTTTCAGCAGCCTGAGCGACAGAAGCAACACTACCAGCGCGCTTAACGCACTCAGCAACACCCACAACCCTGCACAGCTGTTCCCGCACGTCGTCGCTCCAAAGCCGCTGCATGTGCACGTAGGCAACCCCCTCGGACGTATAGAGGAGGAGGCGAATGTGGTGCAAGTGCACAGGCCGCTGCCGGTGCAGCCCAAAAGGGTAGAGGAGGTGTCACATGGGAGTGTGAGTGCGGCTATGGGTATGGGTATATCAAATGCACTAAGTGCACGGAATACACAGAATGCGCCAAAAACAGACATTCAATCACACCTTTCACAGCTATCACCCCTCTCTCCCAACAGAGGAAGACCACTGCCTTCTCCACACGGAAGCAACACCAACAGCCCGCTTGCATCACCTAACCTACCAACACCAAGACACGCAGCTCTGCCAACTCCTCCACCTTCTTCTCACGCCATTGGCGCCTTCGCGGACGCTGTGCAAGCTAACCACCAAAGCAACCCGCTCAGACCTTCGCGCAGCTATAAACCAACGTTGAGTAGAGTGAGTTGTTGTTAAGAAAGCTTACACCGCAACTGACAAACACAATAGCGCTTCAAAACACACGTACTAGATTGATATGTACTGCCACGATTACTATCGAATACCAAGATATGCTAATAATAATACGGAATGCAAATATTAATATTTCATTATTTTATTCATAATACTCACTCGTAATAATAGTCATACATAGATAATTACAACGGGTTGTCCCGATTATACTGCTCTATCATCTCACTCGAAAAACCTGGTGGACCGAGTTTAAACCAGTCGATGCCATACATGCCCATAAAGTTTGCATAAGGGTAGGGTACCGTATGAGCAGTAAAACTTTTATCCCATTCTGACATGAGGTCTCTGTCGTCCATGAAGCTGTGCACGGTGCTGTTTTGGAGCATGTAATCAAGCTGTCGCATATACTCCTCCTTGCGTCTGCGTATCTCCTTATCTTCACCGCGCGCTTTATCCTCTTTCTGTTTCTTGGCTGCCTGGCTCGCTTTAACGTCGACATTGCTCTCTGTGAGTTTGAAGAGGTCGTTCAGGTCGAGGTGGTTCGGTGTCGTTTTACCTGAGGTAGAAGACGGCGATTGTGTTGTTGGTTTGTTTTTCTTGAAGCTGGGCATCTCCTTGATTTCTTTTTTCACTTCCTTTTTCACCTCTGTTTTGGGCGGATACTGTGCTTGCTGTGGTTGCTGTGGTTGTTGGGGAGGGTGCGTAGGTTGTGTAGTATCTGTATTATCTAATTTTGGGTGACCATCTTTACCCTCCTTAGTCTCCGCCTTCAAACCAGCTCGTTGAGCTCTGTCTGCTTTGAGAGCATCAGTTTTATCCTTTGCTTTAGCCAGCTTCTCTTTGTCACGCTGTTGCTTCTCTTGGAGTTGTCGAGCGTGTCTTTCTTTACGTTCTTGTACCTCATCCAATTCTCTCTTTTGGAGAGGTGGTGTATGGGTTGGTGGTTGTGGTGCTACTGCTAATTTCTCTGAAGGCTTTGAAACCTTGGTGGTTGTAGTAACTTTAACATTGTTTTTAACGGTTGATTTGGAGTGTAGAAGGTGCTGTCTAGGTTGTTGAGTGTTAGGCAGTTGAGAAGTTCCCGGTGTGGGGCGATGAGAGATGCTTTGCCTGGGCTGAGTTGGGTATGTGCCTGGAGGGGTACCGTGAATGCCGCGTTTGTTACTGCCTGTCGGAACATCATCATCATCATCACTCGAATCGATAGTTCTCTGCTTCTTGAACGGATTTCTCTTCTGCTTATTAGAATGATTATCAGAAGGAATATTATCAAAGTCACTATGGTTGTCACTCCCACTACGATCATCCATATCCTCGGATCTTTCCAGATCCCCGGAGTCATCGGAGACAGAAGAATCCCTTGTGGGTGACATTGGCGGTGGTGAGGATAGTGGTGACGAGTTGATTGACATGATGGTTGTAATGTAACCAGAACCACCAACAACAAAGAAGGAAAACAACGAAATGATGAAATTTAAATTTAAAATAAAAATAAATCCAACGCGCGGGTTCTCCACCAAAATAAATCAAGACAGCTTTACAAACACACCGCAGTCGATTCTATCACTTACACAGCGGCAACTACACAAACAACCAAATCATCCAATTGGTATTCTAAAGAGTCTTATTGAAAATTCTTTACCTGGATACAAACACCTTACAGCACCTTCACCCATCGTTTCTACTTATAAAAACTTTGATCAGCTTGAATTTCCTATAGATCATCCAGGAAGATCTTTATCTGATAGCTATTACTTGAACAAGGACACCATCTTACGGACTCACACTTCTGCTCATGAATGTGATGTCTTTAAATCAAACACAAATAAGTGGCTACTCACCGCAGACGTTTACAGAAGAGATGAAATAGATAGCTCGCACTACCCCGTATTTCATCAGATGGAAGGTGCTTGTGTTTGGGATGATTCAAATCAAAACGTTGAAAGTTCCATTCAAGATGAGTTGAATGCCTTACATAACTCACTCACTCAATCAAACATCATTACTCACGATGAAACCACTCTCAACAACCCAAACAACCCCTTCCAAGTCTCTCAAAGGCCGTCTGTCGCTGAACTCACCGTAAAACACCTGAAACTCACCCTGAATCTTCTAGTTTATAACTTATTTGCAAATATTCACCACCAACACTCCTCCCAACCCCTACAAATTAGATGGATTGAAGCTTACTTCCCTTGGACTGGCCCTTCCTATGAACTCGAGGTTTTATGGGATGGCAAGTGGCTCGAGTTACTCGGATGCGGTGTTATGCAACAACGCACCCTTCAACGGGCAGATATGCCTCACAAATCTGGTTGGGCTTTCGGTCTCGGTTTAGAGAGAATTGCTATGGTTCTCTTTGGTATCCCTGACATAAGACTATTCTGGTCACTCGATAGTAGATTCCTTGAGCAGTTTGAGCAGGGAAAAATTACCAAGTTTGTCCCTTACTCAAAATACCCACCCTGCATCAAAGATGTCAGCTTCTGGGTCGATAAACCATTCCATGAGAATGACCTCTATGAGATTATTAGGGAAATTTCTCAAGATCTAGTAGAAAGCGTTGAATGTGTAAGTAGAGCTTCTCCGTCTGTATCATATCCCTCTCATCCACCTTCCAGATAGACAACTTCACTCACCCAAAAACTAACCGCCATAGCCTATGCTATCGGATTAATTACAGATCGATGGACAAGAACCTCACAAATGAACAGGCTAACGAGATGCATGCTAGGATTGTACACCAGCTCACTCAGTCTTTCGATATAGAGATTAGATAAAGTTGTACCTCGCTGATTTGATCACTGCTTCCGAAGTCATTCTTCTACTATAATTAATTTGTAGTGTACATTGCCACCACGTATCACCACGCTACACGCCACCATTTTAAATTAAAATAAACACTCGGTCTCGACACCTCCGGAATAGCGGGCGCCGGAAATCGATCAGGCCATTGGATGAATATCAATAACTTTTTAAACTTTGACTATTTCAATCACTTACATCTTATTTACACATAAACACTTGAACACTCCAAAACACAAGTAGATTGCCACATTTGACAGAAAGGACACTTAGTACACATAACACACATATCACACTCAATACATCCTATGGCTACCCCAATAACTCCAGACGCTGCTGCAAACGCTGTCGAAAAGACAATAGATTCGAATCCAACTGAAGATGGTACCTCCGAGGCCACAGAGAAGAATGCTCACTTTAACATTGGCAAGAAAGACTCTAGCCAATCCCTACACAGTGAAAATAAAGACGTTGAAATCACCACCCCCTCCCAACCAAAGCCTGCGTCCTTCCCTGAAATGTGGAAGTACGCAACCCGTTTCGAGTTAATTCTCAATGCAATCGGTATATTTTTCGCATGCGGCGCAGGTGCCACTCAGCCATTACTCTCTCTAATTTTCGGTAGAATGGTGTCCACAATGACCACTTTCCAACAACGCTCTGTCGCTTATCAGGCAAATCCTTCAATTCCCGCAGTCGAACGCGCTTTCGATGCCGCTGTCGACGATCTCACTGATGAGGTCAACATGAATTGCATCTACCTTGTCGTTATCGGTGTCGCCATGTTCATAGGTACTGCTGCATACACCTACATTTTCAGTTTCACTTCGGAAAAAATTTCACGCCGCATCAGAGAAAAGTATCTCCATTCCGTTCTGCATCAAGATATCGCATTCTTTGACAAGATTGGTGCTGGTGAGATCGCCACGCGTATCGAAACAGACACTCATCTCATCCAGATGGGTATCTCGGAAAAAGTGGCTACTGCTGCCATGTACATAGCTACTTTTATTACAGGTTTCATCATCGCATTCGCCCGTCAAGCTAAATTGGCTGGTGTCATGTTCATCATCGTTCCTTGCATTGGTGTTCTCGGTGGTTTGCTCACCACTTTTACCTCCAAATATCAGTCACGCTCGCTCGACAACATCGCCGAATCAGGCACTCTTGCTGAAGAAGTCATTTCTACCATTCGTACTGCCAAGGCATTCGGCTCTCAGGTTCTTCTGGGCAATTTGTACGACACACAGCTCTATCAAGCGCGTAAACAGGGGTACAAATCTGCTTCTGCAAATGCACTGGGTTTGACAGGGGTGTTTTTCATCATTTATAGTAGTTACGCGTTAGCATTCTGCTGGTAAGTGTTTTCTCTACGCGTCTTCGTCTGACACTTTAAAGGGGTACGACTTTAATTCTCCGCGGTGAAGCAAACACGGGCAAAATTGTCAGCGTTTTCATGTCCATCCTCATCGGTGCTTTCTCTCTCGCAATGATCAACCCAGAGCTGCAAGCCATAGGTAAGGGCCGCGGTGCAGCAGCCAAGATCTACGAAACGATCGAACGCGTACCCTCCATCGACAGCTCCAACGACGACGGTCTCAAACCGGCCACTGTCGATGGAAATATCTCTTTCACAGGAGTGAATTTCTCCTACCCCGCCCGAGCGGACGTGCAAGTAATGAAGGAATTCACCGCCACCTTCCCCAAAGGCCAATTTACAGCGCTAGTCGGAGCTTCTGGCAGTGGAAAGAGTACATCGGTCAGTCTGATTGAACGTTTCTACGACCCTCTCTCCGGCACCGTGAAGCTAGATGGTGTCGACCTGCGCGACCTGAATGTAAAATGGCTCCGCAGCAAGATCGGTCTAGTTGGACAAGAACCCATCTTGTTCAACGACTCGGTGCGCGCAAATGTCGAGCATGGCCTGATCGGTACGGATATGGAGGGTTGGGATGATGAACGCAAGCTGGAGCTCGTCGTGCGTGCGTGCACGATCGCCAATGCTGACGGCTTCATCAATACTCTCCCAGAAAAATATGAAAATTCTGTTGGTGAGCGTGGTATGCTGCTGTCAGGGGGCCAGAAGCAGCGTGTGGCAATTGCGCGCGCTATCGTGTCTGACCCGCCTATTTTGCTGCTCGATGAGGCGACTGCAGCGCTCGACTCAGCGTCGGAATCTATCGTCCAGAAGGCTCTCGACCAGGCTGCACAGAACCGCACTACGGTCTCTATCGCTCACCGTCTCTCTACTATTAAGAACGCTCACCAGATCATCGTAATGGGCGGAGGTGAAATTATCGAGGTCGGAGATCATGCTTCCCTCACGGCTAAAAAGGACGGCGCTTACTCTACCCTCGTCGCTGCGCAATCTTTGGCACAAGCTAAGAGCGATGAAGCTGCTCAGTCTAAAGGTGATGCAGGTGATGAAGGTGAAGGTGAAGATGGTGCAGGATTGGATGATGAATACCACGACAAGCAAGAAACACACGACGAAAAGCCCCTCGAGCGCGCACAGAGTGCAGGTGGCCGTTCCATAGCCAGTGTGGTTCTCGAGCAGCGTCGCGAAGAGCAGGGCGATTGGAAAGAGAAGCACTACTCCTTTTTCAGCGTCCTTGTTGAGCTCGTCAAATTAAACGTCGGTGCTCGTTGGATGTACGCTGTCGGCGCTGCAGCTGCCGTCCTCACTGGTGCTGTCTATCCATGTTTCGCTATCGTGTTCGGTAAAACACTCCAGGACCTCTCCCTCGATCCAAGCTCACCAAATTGGCACGACCGCATGAGACATAGCGGTGATAGAAATTCCCTCTACTACTTTGTCATCGCTATCGGCGCCTCTATCGCCATCTACATTCAATCCCTCTCCATGCATTCGGCTGGCGAGGCGCTCACTTATATCCTCCGTCATAAATCTTTCGCCAAGCTGCTCAGATCTGACGTTATGTACTTTGATAGAAAAGAAAATAGCACCGGTGTCGTTACTAGTGAACTCAGTTCGAACGCGCAGAAGGTAGGTGAATTCTTTGCTCTTTATCATTGCAGTACTGACATAAAATTTTAGGTCCAAGGACTTGCTGGCGTTACTGCAGGTACGATCTGTCAAAGCATAGCGACTTTGATCTGTGGTATAGCCGTCGGAATTGGCTTCAACTGGCGTCTCGGTCTTATTGCAATGGCCTGTATTCCTTTTACGATCAGTGCAGGCATTACTAGGCTGCGCATCGTCGTCCTGAAAGACAAGAGGGTCAAGAAGGCCTACGAAGACTCGTCACAATTCGCCTGCGAAGCGGCTGGCAGTATTAGAACAGTAGCGAGTTTAACTAGAGAGGATCAGATTACTAAATACTACCACGATGCCCTCGAATCACCATACCAGGAAAGTGTCAAGAGTGGCGTCTGGGCGAGCGCCCTCTTTGCACTCGGCCAAACGCTAACCTTCTGGGTTCTTGCTCTTATTTTCTGGTACGGTAGTGGTCAGCTTACTCGGTTGGAGGTTGACCTTCAAGGCTTTTACGTCACACTGATGGCGGTCATCTTTTCCAGTATCCAAGCAGGAAATGTGGGTTCTGATGAGCGTTATTGTTACCTCTACTGACTTTAACATAGGTGTTTGCATTCGTACCTGACATCTCCAGTGCGAGGGGTGGAGCAGCGCGCATACTGAAGCTGCTTGACACAAGGCCAGAAATCGAAATTGACAACGAGAATGTGGATGGAAAGCACCTCGACAGTGTTGAAGGACACGTTACATTCGAGAATGTCCACTTTAGGTACCCAACTCGTTCAGATGTGCCTGTACTTCGCTCGTTAGATTTGGAAGTAAAACCAGGCAGCTATGTAGCGCTTGTCGGGCCTAGCGGGTGTGGAAAGAGCACTACGATTCAGCTGATGGAGCGCTTTTACGATCCAACATACGGTTCAGTCAAGCTGGATGGACATGAAGTACGTGACCTAAATCTGAACAACCTCAGGTCGCATATGGCGCTTGTATCTCAGGAGCCTACTCTATATGCGGGTACAGTCAAGTACAACATCCTGATGGGTGCTACGAAGCCACACGAGGAGGTCAGCCAGCAAGAACTGGAAGAGGCATGCGCAGATGCGAACATACTTGAATTTGTGCAAGGTTTACCTGATGGTTTTGAAACGCAGGTTGGTGGGAAGGGTACGCAGCTGTCGGGAGGACAGAAGCAGCGTATTGCAATCGCTCGCGCGCTCATACGTAAACCCAAGATACTGCTGCTGGACGAGGCTACAAGTGCACTCGACCAGACGAGTGAGGCGGTCGTGCAGGCTGCGTTGGACAAAGTAGCCTCGGGTAGGACAACCATCGCTATCGCACATCGTCTCTCTACTATCCAGAAGGCGGATAGGATATACGTCTTCAAGGATGGGAAGGTGAGCCAGGCTGGCACACATAAAGAACTCATCGAGGAGAAGGGCGGTCTGTATGCGGAACTAGTCGCCCTCCAGACGCTTTCTAAGCGGGATGCTTACATGAGTTATCACTGACGCCACTGCGAACGTACGTGTACACGTACACGTACATTCATCTTATGCATTAATTCATGATAAATATTTTTAATATTGAGTATAATCAAGTAATTAATACATGACGCAGTCCACCTCGGCAACGGCTCGATCAAGTGAATGAATTTAGTAAAAATGGAATACACGGGGTTAATTGGGTGATCAGTTGGTTCGCCGTGCGCGATGCATGCGTTAGAGGGTCAGAGGGTCAGTGCGTTCGTGCGTCAATTACGAAATGTGCGTATTGTAGATATTGGAGTGTACATAAGGTTGTAAAGGGTGTATATGATGTGTATATCGCGTTTATATTGTCTATATTATGTATATATGAAAGTGGGGTATGTTCAAGTAGAATCTACATGGTGTGGAAGAAAAGCCAAGAAAGCCAGAATATTCAGGGGATGACAGGACACAGCTTTAGCATTTATTCACGTGTAGATTGAATGTCTCGGGGGTTGTAGAGTGTGTGCCTGAATGTTCTGCAGAGAGGGGAAAGGCAGGGAAATGAAAACGAAGAAGCTGAGTGATGAACAGGATTTGAAATAGAAAAGTCCCGTGTACTCCGCGTGTTCGATGTGTGTTCCCCGAGTGTTCCCGCGTCTAACCAGTGCTGTCTGGGTACACCAAGGTAAACAACTTAGGAGTCGATAGAGAAATAAAAATAAAAATAATTTAAAAATAATTGAATTTTAAACATATGTGTTCCTTACTTCATGTCCTCGTTGGTTTCCCCTCGTCACTAAAACCAAAGCTGGGAATTTAAATTTAAAAGATCGATAAAAATGCAACGATCCTGGCCAGCGAATTACGTGCTACAGACGCCGATATTAAGGAAGCTAGCGGCTGCGAATGAGGAAGCGTGGTTGAGTGCAGGTGGGTGCCGTTGATTTGCTGGCAATGCCAGGACTCAAGTTCATCACAGCGAGCACCGCAGAGGCTATGAATGATGCAGAGAGAGCTCTAGTTAGCTACCAGAATGCTCTAGTGCACTCACCGTACTCAGTAACCGCTTTGAGTGCTGTCGGTGGTATTTATCGGGCAAGAGAGAATTATCCAAAGGTTGGAATATATTTGAGTATATACACGCCACCCTAATTATCCTAAATAGGCCATCGAATTCTACCAAAGAGCCCTCAACGTTCACCAAGATAACGGTGATATTTGGTCGTCGCTCGGACACGCTTACTTGATGATCGATGACCTCCAAAAGGCGTACACCGCCTACCAACAAGCCCTCTACCACCTCCCTGCCCCTAAATTACAAGATCCAAAGCTCTGGTATGGCATCGGCATCCTCTATGACAGATACGGCAGCCTCGAACACGCAGAAGAAGCTTTCGCTGGCGTTATCAAGATTGCTCCCGAGTTTGACAAGGCTAACGAAATCTATTTTAGACTTGGCATTATTTATAAGCAGCAACAAAAGTTCGCCACTAGCTTGGAGTGTTTCAGGTACATCCTCACAAGTCCCCCCAAGCCTCTCTCCGAGATCGACATTTGGTTTCAAATTGGCCACGTCTATGAACAACAGAGGGAATTTTCTTTAGCCAGGGAGGCTTACGAGAGAGTCCTTTTGGAGAACCCCGAGCACGCTAAAGTTTTGCAGCAACTTGGTTGGCTCTATCATCAGACTTCCTCCAACTCCTCCAACAACAACACCAACAACTCTGATCAGGAACTCGCCATCCAGTACCTTACAAAGTCTTTAGGCGTTGACCCCACTGACCCTCAATCCTGGTATCTTCTCGGCAGGGCTTACATGGCCGGTCACAAGTTCAATAAGGCTTACGAAGCTTACCAGCAGGCTGTTTATAGGGATGGCCGCAATCCCACTTTCTGGTGCTCCATTGGTGTTCTTTATTACCAAATCAATCAGTATAGGGATGCTCTAGATGCTTACTCCCGCGCAATTCGCCTTAACCCTTACATTTCTGAGGTCTGGTTTGATTTGGGTTCTTTATATGAGAGTTGTCACAATCAGATCTCAGACGCGATTGACGCGTACGCAAGAGCTGCCGATCTCGACCCTACAAATCCGCACATCAAGCAGCGTTTGCAGTTGTTGAAGAATGTTCAGGCTAACGGGGGCTCTGTTCCAGCAGCACCTGTGCCTCAGGATGTACACCCCACTGCCTACGCCCAACCACAAGCTGTGTCCAATACCACTGCAAACAGCGACTCTACTCCGCAGTATCAACCTACAATCGAACCCTCCGATGGTATGCAGCGTGAGCAACGTGAGCATCAGCAGAGAGTGATGCAGGTTCAAGTCCAAGCTCAGGCTCAGGCTCAGGCTCAAGCTCCACCTCCAACTCAACTTGCACCGCCAGGAAGAGATGTAGAAATGGAGCAAGTACCTCAGTACGCTGCTATCCCCGCTAGACATATCACTTACCAGCGCAACTCTCCCGCTGCACGTTCGGCCGACCAAACACTCGTCAGTTACGCCCCTCAATACGATGAGTCGGGTAGGCCAATTGTTGATTGGGAGGGCAGACCGGTTTCTGTGCAAAGGTATCACTCACCTGTCGCCCCTGAGAGTAGGAGAGGTTCTAATTCGGCGCAGGCTTCTATGCAGTCCCCCAATAAGCCTGCTCATAACGCTCACCCTCCACATCTCTCCCAGTCATATGATAGAAGTGTCGGAGTCGGTGTCAATGGCGCGCCTCGTTCGCGTTACGATCCTCGCATGGACCAGCGTGAGCAGGTGCAGCAAGTGCAAATACAACAGCAACAAATCCAGCAGATGCAAATGCAGCAGACAACTCAGCAGCAAGTGCAACAGCAACATCACCCACAACACAAAATTACGAACGCTCATCAGGAATCACCACCTCGCATAACACCGGCAAAGTCAGCGAGAGGGCGCAAATCACTCGCACAGGCGCAGTTGCAACGCATAGAGAGCAACGATGCGGCTGCATACACACCGCCCGCGCTGGATGCAGGTGCTTACGCTCAGGTTCAACCACGCAGACCCACTCCGCGTGGCCGCAGTGGTATGAGTGGAGGAGTGTATGGAGTGGGTGCTGGAGCTGGAGCTGAAGCATCTGGAGCACCTGGATCAGTGGAATCGCCGCAGAGAAACACACACACACACAATCAAAGCATGGCGAATATGAATAATGTTAAAAATGTCAATGTGCGCGCTCAACAACAGCAAGCGACAGCAGTGCATTTGCATCCACGGGCGCATCCACAATCGCAGTCGCAGTCTCAATCTCAACCACACTCTCATCAAGCAATCGCAGCTCCTTCTACATCCACCTATGCGCAATACGCAAACCACAATAATGGCCGTTACAGCCAGTCGCCGCAGTCAGAAGACGATAGCAATGGTGCAACGCTACACAAAGCGCATACTCACACTCAATCTCAACCTCATCACACTTCATCATCTGCCGCACCTGCAGTTCCGCCCGTCGCGCGTTTTGTCGACGAGGACTACGACGAGGGTGCAGCAGATGCGCTCATGGGACTGGCAGGAGCGGCAGCAGCTTCGGATCGAATGGCGAATATGGAAAGCAATGCGAATGTGTCAAACAAGGCAGACACGAACACGTCCTCAATGAGTGTACCACCGTCAATACGCGAAATGCGTGATGTGGATAATGAACCAGAAGTGCTTCAGCCTACACCGCATCGTCTCAGCGTAATGCATGACAGCATCGGCATGAAGAAGCGACATAATGGAGAAGTCGATGGAGTTGATACACGTGACGCACCAGTATCTGCATCTGCATATGACGCACCAGATACAACCCCACATGACTCTCACCTTCCTCCTAATAAAAGACTCAAGGAGGTACACGTCGAGACTGACCCAGCGGCATTCCCGCGCAAGCATAGCATGAATACTATGGGCACTGTGGGGAATGTGGATGAGGGGGATGAGATGGAGGAGGATGAGCTGGATGAGCAGGGGCAGGGATATGATGAGAAAGATGACAATGAGCAGAATGAGAAAGACGAGGAGCAGCAGCAGCAACAACAACAACAGCAACAGCAACAGTCACCACACTATCAACATGACCCACACCCACGTCAACCTGACCAAGAAAGGCAGGAAATGCACGATATGCACGACATGAAGGATACTCAGTGAGGAGCAAGCAGAGCAATCCAAAAGGCAGTATAACAGGAATGGCGGTGGTGTATAATTGTGTGTCTGGCCACTTGCTCTATTACAATCCAACTAACCACCTCACCTTCTCAACAGATTCTAATCTTGTTCCATATATTTATGCCAACAACCTTGTACACAAGCTAAACCACAGCCATACGCATATGCATAAGACGTTTTCGTCACTCGACTTCATAACGATTCTTCAACATTCCTCACTCAACTGTAACTGATCGACTCCAACGGATTCGTAAATTGAATGACTTCATTGCTTACCTCCACCTGTTGAGCACTGTCTCAAAGAGCGCAACATTCCGTCCAGCTAAAAGATATGTCAAATCTTATTAATCGCTGTAAAAACCTCCATCAGCTAAAACAGACCCAACACAACCAATCAAGTTTTATTAAAGTCTCTGAAATGCTCTATGGGGGTCCTGGTACCTGGCGGTGACGTTACCATGGGTGGAGGTTATTCGAATCACTTATGGATGTATTTTTTAAACAGCATTTTTTAATGTATTGGTTTACGTTTGCTGTATTTGCCTGTTTTTATTTTCGGAACCATTTGTTTGACATTATTGGGAGGGGACCGTGCCTGTATGACGTACTACTCAAAAATTATTTAAGGTCCGAACTCGTCTATTAGTCTTTTATATTACAACCTTTACGAAATGAAATTCTCAACCGTCGCTCTCTCTGCTCTCACTGCTGTCGCTGCCGCCGGTCCAATTGTTCAAAGACAATCACTGGCTGATGGTCTTGACAAAGGTATCAAAGAACTCAACAACAATCTCGAGCCTGTTACCGAAAACACCCTCGATGGTGTAAACAGCCTTGTCGGTGATATCCTCATGCCAGGCGAGGGAACAAACGAAGCCCAGAACATTCTTTATGATGCCAACTCTCAAACAGCAAAAGGAGTTAAGGAAGTTCTCAACGCTACCAGAGATTACATCAACAGCATCTTACAAGGTGATTTGACCGAAGAGCGCGGCAACCAAGTCATTGCTGAATTCAACAAGGCCAACAAGGACCTCAGTGGTGGTTTGAGCACCTTGTTGAACGGTGTCCAAGACACTCTCCAAAAGATAAACGAGAATGCCCTTGACTTGGGTCTCTTCCCAGAAGAAGTCCAAAAGTACTTCAACCAATTCAACGGCAACACCAGCGATGCTGCCACTGAGTTGGTCCAAGCCGTTAACCAAATCATCAACAGCATCTTCTACAACAACGGTGCTAGCCCACAAACTATCCAAAACCAGGTCAACCAAGGAAACACTGATCTCACCAACGCACTCGAGGCTTTGTTGAAGGGTGTCAATGCAATCCTCAACTCCGCAAACTAAGTTAGTCGTGACTTTGTGAAGGATTCACCTTTGTCACTATAAATTAATCTACTATCAATTTAATTCATTTGTTATTCATTCAATATGTTTGCCTTACGCCGAAAATTTGTTAGAGTTGCAGCTCGATATCACTCGGAGAGACACGGTAGAGCAGGTACAGATGCTCGACACCGCCTCTTCGATGCGTCAACTTATTATTGACTAGTAAATATTGGAAGTCCATTGGGCTTGAAAAGGCTCTGTATACGCGAAAATTATAATACAAGTAACGTCTTTGTCGTCCTAAGTCCTCAAGAGCTTTTAAAAGTTAAAAAGTTAAAACATCTCGATGCTAGTCGCTATCATTACGAGCTGTTCACTGAGCATTTAAGCGAGGGCTTTAAGATAAGGAAATATCATCTTTAGATTAAATTATAATAAAGAGGGGTGCTTTGCCCGTTGAGGCATTTGAACGCTTATTACGCAGGTTAGGTTCAAGTTTGTGAAGGGTGAGGTATTCTGACCAAAAAAGTTTGAAATAAGGCACCCCTACCAAATTGTACTGCATGTATCACAGCTTTCGTTGTAATTTACTTTATGTATTAATCTTTAAATTTTCAGTATTTTTCAGAAAAATGAATATCAGGTCGTACAAAAACATGAAAACAAGATACATAGAGCACAAAGAGATCAAAGTTACGAAAAGTACACTCCCCTTCAAACATGCACATGCTCCGAGACCAAGTCATCGTCGACGACATCCAAGTTGAGGATGGCCTTCTGAATGATTTCAACGCCGTGTAAGAGGTCACTTTCGTCGATTACGAGTGGGGGAGCAAACCGAATGATATTTTTCTGGGTTGGTTTAGCGAGCAGACCGTAGTGTTTAAGGAGAAGGCATATTTCCATAGCGCCTCTGCCGCGCTTCGACTGGGACTCATCGATAACAACAGCGTTGAGAAGCCCCTTCCCGCGCACCTGCAAGATGAGGGGTGAGGGGATATGGCTGACAGCGTCTCTGAAGAGGTTGCCAAGGTGGACAGCTTTATCGCAGAGATGCTCATCGACAATGACGTCAAGCGCCGCCATTGCGACGGCAGAAGCGAGCGGGTTACCGCCGAATGTCGAGCCGTGGCTGCCCTCAGTGATGGTGAGCATGATGGGTCTGTCTGCGAGCACAGCCGAGACGGGATACACGCCACCTCCGAGTGCTTTTCCGAGCGTGACTATATCAGGACGTACGCCTGAGTGCTCGCTGCACAGCATCTTGCCTGTGCGCCCGAGACCCTGTTATGAGTGTGTGAGTGTGTGTCTCACTCTCTCAGAAAAACAACCCACGGTCTGTATCTCGTCCGCGATAAAGAGCACATTGTACTCCTCGCACAAACGCTTAGCAGCGCGCAGATAGTCTTCATTGGGCACGACTATCCCCGCCTCGCCCTGGATGGGTTCGACGAGGAACGCAGCGGTCGAGTGACCGTACTTGCTGAGTGCATAGTGAAGATCATCTATGGAGCCATACTGGATAGGTCTGCCGTCGACGTGAGCCTGGAGCCCGGGGACGAATGGACCGTAATGCGTAGTGGAGGCGGGGTCCGACGAGAGGGAGATAGCGGCAATAGTGCGACCGTGGAAATTGCCTTGTGGGGCAAAAACGCGCGCTTGGTCTTCACTCACCCCCTTTACGCGATATGCCCAGCGACGCGCCATTTTCAGCGCCGTTTCCACCGCTTCAGCCCCCGTGTTCATCGGGAGTACCATATCGTAGTGCAGGAGAGAGGTTAATTTGCGCGCATATGCCGGGAATACGTCGTTGTGGAATGCTCGACTGCTCAGCGTTAGTTTTGAGGCTTGGGCTGTGAGTGCGGAGAGAATCCGCGGGTGCGAATGGCCTTGGTTGACGGCGCTGTATGCACTAAGGAAATCCAAGTACGAGGCCCCTTCCACATCCCATACTCGCGCTCCTTCCCCACGCTCAAGCACTACGGGTAGTGGGTGGTAGTTGTGCGCCGAGTGGGCATTCTCGAGTGCGATGGCGGTGTCTGTTGTGCGCATTGTCTAGTGAATTTAGAAATTGAATTTGAAATTATATTTTAGATTCAGATGATCGTCGTCGTCGTCGTTCAAGTTGCCGCTAATTCCCGGTGACATCAGTTGATTTACCGACGCGATGAAATATATTAAAATTAGCATATCAGATAAGGTGGCAGTGGTGGAATTGGACAGGTGGGAGTTGAACGCGGGCGCTTGGAATGTTTGCTAACCAAACGCTCTCACCGTCACCCAGGCAAACCAAGTGAGCCACGGGAGAGCAAGGCGAGACACGCACACTAACATTCTGACACAGGCTAAATGCATTCACGCGCGATATGTGGAGGGAAATGCGAGACGGTGGGTGGGCGCATGCAACAACACAATTACACTTACACTCACACCGCTCATAGCACTCACGACTATCAATCGCGATGCAGGCGTGCGTGCGGTCGTGCTTGTAGGTAATGGGAGGGTGTTTACGAGTGGGGTGGATGTGAAGGATGCGATGGCTGCGATGGATAGTATCAGCGGTAAGGCTAAAGCTGACGTTGACGGCGACGCTTTGCAGAAAAGCATACAGATTCGCGCATACATCGAAGAGTTCCAAGAGGCCATTACAGCGATAGAAAAATGTGCGGTGCCCGTGATAGCCGCGCTGCACGGCCAAGTGGTTGGATTGGGCGTAGACATAGCGTGTGCGTGTGACATACGCTACGCAGCGCGTAGCACACGCTTCAGTGTGAAGGAGGTGGATCTGGGTTTGGCAGGTGGGTAGAGAACGAGGAGAATTTTCACTGTCTCACATTATCACAACGCACATTGCACCACACACCACATTACACCTCACACAGCTGACATAGGCACGCTTCAACGCCTCCCTCGCATTACTGGCAATGATGGTCTCGTCAGGGAGCTGGCATATACGGGCCGTGTGTTTGGGGCAGCTGAGGCACTGCAGATGGGATTTCTGAGCGGTGTTTCTAGCGCATCTACACGTATGAGTGCATTTCATATGGCTATGTACACAGCCACTGCTATCGCGGAGAAGTCGCCGGTGGCCGTTATGTCGACCAAGAAAATTCTCGCTTACAGTCGCGATCACAGGTGGGTGGTGGCTTGTGGTGTGTGAGCTGGCAAAGGCTGATGTGTTTTTAGTGTTGCTGAGGGACTGGCATACACAGCTCAACATAACTCAGTTGCGCTACAGAGTGGAGATGTGGAGGTGGCAGTGAGAGGAATGAGAGAGGGAAGAAAGGGGGTGTACAGGGATAGTAGGTTGTGATGGTATTTTTATGTATGTACCTGGTATAAAGCCAAAAAAAAAAGCTCAATAAAACTCAATTTCAAGATATAGAAAGGCAATGGACTGAGGATTGAGAATATTCAAACCAGCAGGGTTGAAGGAGGAATAGTTGATGTGGTTTAGGGATTTCTCAAGTGAGGATATGTGTTTTTGAAAGTGAGACTGTTTGAACCAACTGAGTGTGTATAAGGACAGTGTGTCGAGGAGGTGATCGAGTACAGCCATCCAGGGATTGAATGCTTGGAGGAGGATGTTGTTTATATGATCGACGGCAATTTTGAACTCGTCAACACCGATTCTGCCCTCTAATTCCATGGGGAATGTTGATTTGAACTGCCAAACTTCACCAGCGCGGTAATCTCTATCAAGCCTAATCAATTCACGGGGGAGGTCTATGAGAATCCTATGAGACTGAGGTGTACCGAAGTTTTTGAGATTTATGGGGGGATTACTGTGAGTACTATGATTACTATGATTACTGTGATTACTATGACTACTATGACTACTAGTGTGACTGCTATTGAAATTACTAGCCTGTTTGCTTGAATTATCCATAAGCATCCTCTTTCAAGAAAACAACGATGGCTCAGGCTCAGGATTTAACGTGGGTAAGTGAATATAAAATAAAATAATAGAAACCCAGACTAATAAATTTGAAGCATTTACTCCAATTCTTGGATCGACACTTATCACTCCCACTAGTAAATCACTTGACTGAGTTGGGTATTTACAGCCAGAGTGATTTAGTTGAAGCGCAGTATGAGCTGGTTAAGAATACAAACATGGTTGACTACATGGAATCACTCAAACCCGGTAACACTGAAAACCCTGACAAATCCCACTTAATCCACAAGCAAGAAGATTTTGAAGCCACGAGTGCTGCGATTAGACGGGCGTTAGAGGACCAGGATATTAAATCCCAGATTAGCTCCCACGACAACACCAAGAACTGCGAAATCCTCACCTCCAAATTCAATTTACCTGTGTCTTCTTTCGAAGTGCTGTATGAATATGGCACTTTTCAATTCAGCTGTGGTAATTACACAGCTGCTGCCGAGTATTTCTATCACTACAGACTACTATCCACCAACTCAACCACTCTCCTCTCCTCCCTCTGGGGCTTACTCGCTTCTAATATCTTGAAAGGTTCTTTCGACGACGCTCTCTCGAATTTCAACACCCTTAGAGAGTCTATTGATCGTCAGCAGAACTCTCAAGATAAGGGTACTGTCGTACAATTGCAACAGCGTACCTGGCTCTTACACTGGGGTTTGTTCATTTTCTTCAACCACCCACAAGGCCGTGATTTACTTGTCGACCTTCTTTCACACACTGCTTACCTTAACACCCTCCAAACTGCCTGTCCTTGGTTATTAAGGTACTATGCCACAGCTGTCATTGTTACAAGCAGAAATTCACCCCAACAATCTAAATTGATTAGGGATTTAGTTAGAGTGGTTACTATTGAGCACTATCAATACACTGATCCAATTACTAAACTCATTGATGCTCTTTACACTCACTTCGATTTCACTCAAGTTGAAAAACATCTCAAAGACACTGAAAAGGTCTTTGTACACGATTTCTTCTTATCTTCCCACCATCTCAAACAAGTCTTCTTTAACAACATACGTTTTTACATCACACATGCTTACTGTCGTATACACTCGCATGTCAGTGTTGCTGAAGTGGCTAATAAGGTTGGATTAAATGAAGCATCTTTCTTACAGTGGTTGAGTGAGCAGCCGGAGCAACAAAATGACAATGAAAAGGCATTTATCGTCGCCTCAGACAACACCATCCACATACCTCACAATCAACAATCCATTGTCACTTCCATCCTCGACAGATCTGCTGCCATTGCTCTACGCTCTCAATCCATCAAGAACGCCCTTGATAGCGCACTCGAGTATCCACCAACACCTTCAGCAGATGTTGAAGTCAAGTGAGATGTTTCAGGTTGAAAAGTCTTCAAATTTCAAGCTTCAAGTTCCAAGTTCCAAGTATTTTCACATGCATTTTCTTTCCCCTTTTAATCATCTTGATAATTTCTTTTCTTCATTTTCATTTTCCATATCTCGTTGCATTCCTCTCGTTGCGTCATAACCACCATCATGACACTGCTTCAATCCACGCACGCAATTCTGCCAACAGAAATAAACTCCGCCAACGACCTCCTAGCGTATCACATATACGCCATACTTGTAAGAGCACATGGAAAGCACCAGGTCCAATTCGATGGAGTGAGCCAAGACGGTGAATCAGAATCCGATAATGAGCAAGATGACGCTATATGTCATGCTATCAGCGTAAACGAGCCACCTAAAGAAATCCGCGTTGTTAGTCTTGGCGGAATTAGCAGGAGTGTCGTCTGCGTAGATCATAGTGCAGACGACGATATACGTACTCAGGTTCTATCTCTCGATAAATACCTAAATGTTGGCGCTTTCCCTGTTAAGCGCTCTGCTATCCATCGCGCTTTTCGCTCTCATGATGAATCTTTACAGGAAAGTAAATTGGCTTTGATGGGGAGTGATTTGGAAGCGGTGCTCTTTAGTGGCGGTGTGGACAGTGCAGGTGGTTTAGGTGGTGTAGCAAGTGCAGAGAGTGGCGGGACTGCTGGCAAGATTGAAAACACTTCAAACACCTTGAACGCCTCGAGCACTTGGAATTCATCCACTGCAACCCCTTCACAGCGCTCGTCACAGATAACTGCAGACACGACGCATATGGCACACCCAGCACAATCCAACACCCATCCTCTCAACATCGGCAGTGGCGACCTAGATCCTTTCCAGTCGTACACCCATCCACCAGGTTCATCGGGTGCATTCCCTGGCGCACAGGGCATGTACCCCACTCGCGAATCTTTCCAATCTTTCCAATCATCCATCCCACCCGGCGCACGCTACGATCCTGTCGCACCCGTTTTTGGTCCTGGTGGCGGAGTGGGTGTCGGTCGCGGTACTGGCAGCACTGGCACACCCAACCACCCACGTAACCCCCCTTTCTCTCACTCTTTCCCTCCTAACCCTGACTTTGACGAGCCTATGCCGCCTGGCAGTGTGAGTTTTAGTCTTTAATATGTCACTCCACTCACGTCATTCCAGTCCAACATGTTTATGTAGGCATACCTAAGACAGAATTCACTTCATAACCAAACGCATCAATACAATATAACAAGGCAAATAACGCACACAATAATCAGCTCAACTCAATTCAACTAACTGAATGACTAAGTAAACGCATACAACTTTTTCTTGCTTCTTGCATGTGCCTACACTACATACTACATCCACACACTCCAATCCATCACACCCACACTCCTATCTACACGCAAAGCCATCTCGAGGCGCTGCTTGAGGTGATGGCGGCGATTACGACTTTTGTAGCACATGGCGAGCATGTAGTGAGCTCCTGCGCTGTATCTGTGGAGGTGGTGCGAATTGCTTGTGAGATGTTCGAGGATACCTTCAACGGCATCTAGTCGTTTCTCACGCGTCATGTTCGCATGTAGATGTGTCGCCACTGCGTCATCCAGCTCGAATAGAAAGCACGCATATGCGTATTCGCTGTGTAGATGATTATCGTGTGAGTATGAGTGTGAGCTTGAATGTGAATGCTCCGACACAAACTGCGCCTTAATGAGCGAAGCATTGGCAAGCTTGTATTCCTTCCGTTCGATGCATTGCTTGGCGAGCTATCGAGTGTGAGTATAAGTGCGAGTGTGGTAGTGAGCGTGTGCATGTCACCAACATAGCAAAATAGCACACGCGCTAGATACCAACCTACCTCGATATACACCCCGCACATTTCACCCATCTCTCCCATTTCGCCAGCCTCCTCGGCCATATGTAGCGCATGTGCTGCATTCTCCCAGTCGCGTGCGCGGCGGTAGGTCGCAGCACTCATCACCCACAGCGCAACGAGGAGTGAGCGCTCGTGGCTGGCATACTCGCTCAGTTCCAGCGCCGGTCTGCCCAGCGCGTTTGAATTTCTGTTGCTGTTGTTGTTGCTGTTGCTGTTACTGTTGGTGCGTGTGTCTGTGGCCACGTCCGTGTGCGACGAGTGCTGTGTCCCCGTCGCACTGTCTGGCACACTCGACACGCGTATACGCGGCAGTGCCTTCTCCGCAGAGTGAGTGTTGTGCGTGTTGTGTGTGCTTTGTGTATTCTGCACACCCTGTGCACCTCTCGGTTTGCGCAACCTACCCAAGGCCCCACCGACACTCAAGCCGAGGTGCATGTGCGGGTGGGGAAGGTGCAACTTCGACTTACGTCTGCTGCTATGAGTGTGAGATGACGGCGTGCTACCAAGGCTATTACGACTGATGCTACCGTCTCTGCGCAGCTGCGCCTGTCCACTCAATCCACTCAGCCCACTCAGCGCCCCCTCGCTGCCGCTCGCCTTGAGGGGGTAACTATGTGCGTCGTCCGCGAGCACCTCCCTGTGCGCACCCTCGAACTGCAGCCCTTGCACGGCCCTCACGAAAGCTGCACTGCGCCAAATTTGCCCAGCGAAGAAAGCGAAGAGCTCCACGTGCCGCTCGAGAGCGCTCTCCGCACCATCGACTGTCTCAGTGAGGGCGCTCTCAAGCATGAGCAGTTGCATGACCGAGTATGAGCGCGTGACTGACGTCACAGTAGGAGCGGCGAGCGGGTCATTCGCCCCGTCTGTCCCAGCGCTCAGATCTATAGCGGAACGCACCACAGATAGCGCACCCTCTCCGTCAGACGCACTGAGCGTGTTCGCTAGCCGGTACCACGCCTCCCAGTCGTACGAGTCATGCGTTAACAATGTCCGCAAAGCTCCCAGTGACCCGCTTGTGTTGTATACCTGCCCACACAACCACGCGTGCAGCTTCAGAGCGGGTGCGTGCGAAGGCGTAGATGCTAACACCCCATGCGTCTTCTCGAGCGCCTCACCAAATAGCCTCTCGCGTGTCGTCGCATCCTCGTCTGCCGGTGGTGTCAGTAAGTGGTAACAAAGGTAAGAGGCAAGTAGTAAGTGAAGTGAGATGCCCGTTACATTGTATACACATCACTTCCTGCTTAAAACAACTCACCCTTTTCGGCTTCGTAGGCTAGCAACTGCGCTTGCATGTACACTTTCCGCATGTAGAACGCATCTCTCTCACTCACACCGCCGTCCATCATGGATACAACCTCTTTCGCTAGCACCAGCTCACCCCGAGCTAGCAGAAGCGGGATGGCGTCATGGATAGTCTCCAAGTAGACTTCGTCGCCATCCAAATCCATCACCGTATCCTCGCTTATCGTCTCGTCGTTGTGCAGCGTACGCAGTTGGATATTGACTTTCTTCGCATCCGTCTGGCGACTCTTGAGCGCGAGCTGGTGGTATATCTCGAAACTCCTCACGGCCAAGTCGGCAGTGATGGGTGTGTCTCTGTTGAGGTAGAAGAGGCAGCGGAAGTTAGACTGCGAGAGGAAGCTGAAGGCCTGGGCGGAGATGAGGAGGTCGTTGATGACGGGTATTAGGCTGAGTGGCTTCTTGTAGTGCACCCACACGTCAAGCATAGCCTGCTGGAATTGGAGAATGTGGGTATTGTAGTGGCCTGATTTGGGCGTTGTGAGGTGCTTGGATAGGAGAGAATAGGTCTTGTATAGGAATTCTGTTATAGGGGTCGGTGGATGAGTGAGTAGAGTTTGTAAATGTCTCAGATGGATATCGACGTTGTTGGAGTGCTTGACAGCGTGTGAGGTTAGGGTGAACTTTGATTCACTGTCCAAACCCCCTTCTGATGCGTGCTTTAACGCGTTTAGAATAATGGTATCTGATAAGTGATTGTAGGTGTTGATATTGAGGATTCTCAGGGAATTATCTGGTACTTGGATCAGTCCTCTCAACATCAAGACATCATTAAATACTTGAAAAAGCTCATTTGCCTCTTTATCGTTGAATTGATTGAGATTTGATGGTTTGTAGGACATGAATTGGGTGCTAGGCGTATACAGGAGACAGGAATAGTTGTGAATAATGGCGTCATTTGATTGCAAGTGTGAGCCTTGCCTATCGCCGCCAATATCCGCCTTCAATAAAACCTCAAACGCCTTCAAATCGTCATCATTCTCTCTGCCGTGCTTCTTCAACTTCCTCAGAAGCTCATTCAAATTGGTAGTCTCATCATTCGCCAGTTTAACCAGCAATTCTTTCAAATTCTTATTAAATTTTAGCTCGTTCATGGCACTGGTGGTGGTGGTGGTTTGAGCGTGAGGTGTGCTAAGCATATGGATAAATGCTGAACAACTCGCAGTAATCCACGCCTATGTGGCTTGTAGCCTTGTGCTCTTACTGGGCTGCGGATTTGAGCAGCGTACACGTCACTCAGGAAAGGCTATCTGACGCGTTCGCAGTGGTGCGGGAGTATATAGAATATCCAGAGAATCTGGGAATATATGGGAATATCCGATTACAGCAACGGCTTTTGGATGTTTTGACACACTCACGCACGTACGCGTCTGGAACACAATACAAACAACTTGGCACTGAGATCAAAACCATTTGAAAAGACCAATACGCCTATCAGGGAATTCCTACACCTGCTCTAATATACTGCCTTCTTTACTTGGCTCGTATCTGGCTTCTATCCGGCTTAAAGTCAAACTTGAAGCTCTACGGAACATCAAGCAATATATAAAGCAATACAGTCCATTGCGTTTCATTAGAAATTAAGCTCCCGCTGCCTTCACGTCATAGCTTTTGTCCTAATGACGTCATCAGAATACGCAGGTAGCTGTCAGAAGGCTTATTTCTTCTTCGGATGGTTGAGTGGCCACGCTCTTATTGATAGCCCTCTATTGCTCTTAATATACCCCACAACGGTCCCCGAGACATCTGACTGCCCTACCAATACGGTACTCGCAGAAGAACCCAGGTAATCCTTTGTCTACGAAACGCAAAGACACCAAAGGATGTAAATTTCAAAAATTTTTCAATCAAAAATCATTTTTAATCCAATATACTCCGCCGTTTCATTTAAGTTATTACACCTTGGTTTATTTTTAATCAATCACCGAGAAACTTAAGCAATGACAGAATTCACAGCATTTAGAGGACAGCACGACGGAACCGTTAAGCAGTCTGTCGGTCGCGTAGACAACCTCGGGAACAAGGATGTTCTCATGAAGTTGACTCACGCTGGTCTCTGCTTCACAGACGTGCACTACATCGAAGCTGGCATTGCGCTTGGTCACGAGCCTGTTGCAAAGGTTGTACAGGTTGGCAGCGACGTTAGACATATTGCAGTCGGCGACACCGTTGGATATGGCTATAACCGTAAGTAGACTTGAGTGCGTAAAGTGTATAGCTAACACGTCTCAAGACGGCGCCTGCGACGACTGCGACGAGTGCCGTCTCGGCAACGACACTCTCTGCAACGAGAGAAGAATGTATGGTGAAGTTGACACCGATTTCGGCGGTTTCGGCGAGTACGCCAAGCTTCATGAGAGATTCGTACACAAGATCCCAGAAGGAATGGCACCAGAACATGCAGCACCATTGCAATGTGCTGGTGCTACCGTCTTTGCGCCATTCTTAAAGCATGACATCAAGCCAATCCACCGCGTTGGTGTTATTGGTATTGGTGGTCTTGGTCACTTGGCCTTGCAGGTTGCAAACAAGTGGGGTTGTTCTGTTGGTGCTTTCACTACCTCCGAGAACAAAGTCGCGGAGGCAAAATCATTTGGTGCACACGACGTCATCGTTACGAAGCGCGCAGATGGAAAATCATTCGTCCCTGAAAACGACGCTGACAAATTCGACTTTATCATCTGCTCCGTCAGCTCTCAAGTCCCTTGGGACGACTACTTTGACTGCCTCAGACCACGCGGTCAGATCATCCCACTTGGTGTCGACTTTGGCAAGTTCGAAACTAACAAATACATTTCGCTTCTCGCTAGAGAGAACAAGGTCGGCGGTAACATTGTCTCTAACCGCTACCAACACCAAAAGATGCTTGAATTCTGCGCTAGACACGACATCAAGCCTGCTGTTGAGGTTCTTGATCTTAATGAGAAGAACCTTAACACTGCGTTTGACAGGCTGAAGAAGAACGACGTTCGTTACAGATTCGTCCTCAAGCATCAAGAATAAACGTTGTGAACGTACTGAAAGAAGTGTATTTATGATATTATAATTTTATTGATATGTTTTATGCTAAAGTGCAAGTATTCAGGTGTGGTGCAGTCATCTCCCTCTTTTTCGGGTTTTCGGAATCTTGACATCCCTTATCGTGCGTCTGGATTCCTCGGAAGTAAGATAATGTTCATGCATTCCTTTTAAAGCAAGAGACCGTCTCAAGGTAATTTCTTATTCTCTTCTCTTTCCGGAATTAGTTTTCATCCTTCGTACGAGTCGATTTGAGATGGAGCAATGACAAATGATTGTTTTACAAGTGCATTTGAAATTCACTAGCCTATTCCAGCTCTCTATGTTGGCGAAAAGACTATGCTAATTCGCTAGCATGTCATGGCGTACGATAACCACCGCTTACAATTGCCACCGATTATCCAATCTTCACTGAATATCAAGGATAATTCCAATATATTCTTTCAATATGCTCATCGAATCGCCTCGCTCATCAAATCATCTCCTCGGCTCAATCTTTTAGCCATTTATTGCGCTGCACAAATTTGCACGTCTTCTCTCTTCGCACCTTACCCGGGTACTTCGCTAAACTACAGGAAAGATTCTGGAACACCTTTATAAGCTTTCAAGTATTGTAACCAGGCTATGGAAAAAGCTTGTATGCCCATTGAATGCATTTGGAATGCTCCAAAGAAATAGCGCAACACGATATGTCATACAAGTCGATTACGCAACATGAGCAAATTTATAAAGGCTTCTCCCTGTTTCGGTCGCTGATAAATCCAAACCAAACCTCCACACAGGGCTTAGTATAAATTTGTTCCCGTTTACCACTCAGCCTTGAACATAGCATAACACACTGGAAAATGGTTATGGAATTCAAAGCATTCAGAGGACAACACGATGGTAGTGTTAAGGAGTCTGTCGGACGCGTAGATGACATCGGAGACAACGATGTTCTTATCAAATTGACCCACGCAGGTCTTTGCTTCACGGACGTACACCATATTGAATTAGGCAACGCATTGGGACATGAGCCAACTGGTAACATTGTTGAAACAGGCAAAGATGTTCGCCACTTGAAGGTCGGCGACATGGTCGGATATGGGTACAACCGTGAGTGGAAGTAAACATAAAGTTATACATTTACTTACCTTCTCAAAAGACGGCTCTTGCGATGACTGCGATGAATGTCGCCTTGGTAATGATACCCTCTGCAATGACAGAAAACTTTACGGTCAAGTAGACCTCGATTTCGGCGGTTTTGGGGAATACGCCAAGCTTAACGAGAGATTCGTACACAAGATCCCAGAAGGAATGGCACCAGAACATGCAGCACCATTGCAATGTGCTGGTGCTACCGTCTTTGCGCCATTCTTAAAGCATGACATCAAGCCAATCCACCGCGTTGGTGTTATTGGTATTGGTGGTCTTGGTCACTTGGCCTTGCAGGTTGCAAACAAGTGGGGTTGTTCTGTTGGTGCTTTCACTACCTCCGAGAACAAAGTCGCGGAGGCAAAATCATTTGGTGCACACGACGTCATCGTTACGAAGCGCGCAGATGGAAAATCATTCGTCCCAGAGAAAGAGGAGGAGAAGTTCGACTTTATCTTCTGCTCCGTCAGCTCACAAGTCCCTTGGGACGACTACTTGAAAACGACGCTGACAAATTCGACTTTATCATCTGCTCCGTCAGCTCTCAAGTCCCTTGGGACGACTACTCGACTGTCTCAAGGCTAGAGGTACGATCATCCCACTTGGTGTAGATTTTGGCAAGTTTGAGACCAACAGATATTTCTCTCTCCTCGCTAGAGAGAACAAGGTCGTGACTGCCTCAGACCACGCGGTCAGATCATCCCACTTGGTGTCGACTTTGGCAAGTTCGAAACTAACAAATACATTTCGCTTCTCGCTAGAGAGAACAAGGTCGTGGAAGTTTAGTGGCCACCAGATATGAGCACCAGAAGATGCTTGAATTCTGCGCTAGACACGACATCAAGCCTGCTGTCGAGGTTCTTGATCTTAATGAGAAAAACCTCAACATTGCCTTTGAAAGGCTGCAAAAGAACGATGTTCGTTACAGATTCGTGCTCAAGCACCAGGAGTAGGTGACTGAGAATAGAGCGAGTCCCTTGTACGAGTATGTAAATTAATTAATTTATATTCAAATATCGTGAGGTGTGCTTTGGGTGTCTTTAGTGTTTATGTGAGCTAGTGCTCTGCATCACTTGTCAAATAATCTGTCATTCCTGCTCGGATAAGGCTAAGCTGAAAACAGCACTTTTTGTCATAATAATCATGAATTTGCAGCTGCTAAGTTCACTTTGACCCGTCTAGACTTGATGCATTGAATTGACACACTGGATAAATTTTTATTGTTTGGTAGAAATTTACCTAAATTTGGAGAAGTAGCGTCGTAAAATCCCTCATTGAACATTTGAATGAATGATTCCGAGCCATACTATTGAATATCGAGGTATTTCAAATTATTCAACCTTGAAAGCTTTTGAGGACTCAGGCAAAAAATTTTTGAGTTACACAACGAATCTGGAGAAGCTAGACGTTTTCTTGCTCTAAACATTACAATGCATGCATAACACTATCTGATTGATCTGGGTTTAAAGATATTCTCCCCACTTTTCGCGATCAATATACGCGTCTAGACGGGTGCATGTGTGAGATGTACTGTATATTACCGATATGTATTGTACGTGCGAGATTGTTTGTGGTGTGTGGTTTACTATATGCTATGTGTGGTGGTTTTGTTGCGTGTTTGGATTATCTGACTGACATTTGACACACTCACTCACAAACGCGGTGACTATACGCGGCCACGAAGGCTTAGAGTAAGCGTTCTCGTGCAGAGCGCCGGGAATGACGTGCATGCGAGATCTAGGGAGGGCGTTATGAAGCGCCAGGCCATGCTCGCGGGGCACGAGCTCGTCGTCTCCGCTAACAAGGACCATCGTCGGTACTTGTACGTCTTTCGCGGCGCCCAGCGCGTCCCACTTGTCAAACACAAGCGGGTGCAGATGGTAATAAGGCACCTTGGGCGAGACGAAATAAGCCTTTACCATGGCAGGGATGCTTTCAAAGGCGTTTTCGAGAATAAGGGCGTGTACACCGCTACATAAATCCCCGCTGCCGCTCCGGCCCGCACACAACAGCGTCGCTATCGACCCACCCAGACTGTGGCCGTAGAGGATGATTGGCGCGTGCGGGTAAAGCTGGTGCGTGCGACGCAGTGCCGCGGCGTAGTCCTCCAGCAGTCTCGGCTGGGTGGGTGCGCGCCGAGTGCTGGTCCAGTAGGAAGAAGGAGCGAACGCAATGATGCGCATGCTGCTGCTACTGGACTTGCTTATCTGGCTGCCCTTGCTGCTCACGCCTAGAATTCTCGCGAACAGCGGCAGCCGCGAGAGGGGATTGCCGGCGTTGCCCTGCAAGTAGAATAGAATGGGCGTTTGCGGGCTGTGTGCACCGCTTGCCGCCTCCAGCCCATCGACTCTCACACCACGCGCCACCTCTGCGCTGATCTTGGTGATACGCATCCCACTCTTGAGCTCATCAGCGCGAGCAAGTTCCTCCGTACGCGCACCGACAGGGGAATAGCCCATGTAGATTATTCTGCGCTGGAAGGCTACGAGCATGGCGGACTGGGTTGTTAGACTGCTAGGCGGCGCACTTGACTCCAAACACACCTTGAACGTCCACAGCGCGGCTGGGAGGCCTATGGCCGTGGTGAATAGTGTTGTCAGCGAAGGCATTCGTAGACACTCGCTAGTCAAGGCAACACCTATGAATCCACTAGCAACGCGACTCAAAAACATTTTCAAGAGCACGCACGGCGACTTGTATAAAGGCGGAGCTGTTTGCATTGAATAACTCTTACACACACACACCCATGTCTTCCTTAGAAGCCTACCAAAGCGATTTCATAACAACGTGCCTCTCAAATGGAATACTTAAATTTGGCTCATTCACTCTCAAGAGCGGCAGGACATCGCCATATTTCTTCAACGCAGGTGATTTGTCGACGGGCGAATTGGTGCTGATGACTGCGCGAGCATATGCATCGGCGATTATCGCGAGCGGCGTGCAGTTCGATATGTTGTTCGGACCGGCGTATAAGGGAATTCCGTTGGTGGCTGCTACAGCACTCATCCTCCAGTCAGAACACAGCATCAACGTACCTTTCGCATTCGACAGGAAGGAGGCAAAAACACACGGCGAAGGCGGCAATATCATCGGCGCTCCCTTCAGAGGCAGAGTGTTAGTGCTTGACGATGTCATCACTGGTGGGACCTCCATCAGACACTCAATCGAGCTTATTAGGAAGGCGGGTGATTGTGCTCAATTTGCAGGCGTAGTCGTCAGCCTTGATCGCCAGGAGAAAGGCAAAGGGGAAAAGTCAGCAATCCAGGAAGTTGAAAGTGAGGAAGGTGTCAAGGTTTTTAGCGTGATTGGTATGAATGATATCATCAAGTACCTCGAGGAGACCAGAAATGGCCAAGAAAACATCATCAAGCAGATGATGGAGTATAGGAATGTCTATGGATGTTGATATTTAGTACTAAGAATGGATACATACCGAATTTCTCATTTCTCATAGAATATAGCCATTTTTGGAAGGTTTGGCATTCTTGATTAGAACTTGCCATGATGAGAGAGCTGTTAGGCTTACTGGGAGTACTTACATTACTAGGAATACTTACATCTCCAGTCGCGTCCCTCACTGCGAAACAACTCGAGCAGGTTGCGCCAAAAACATCAAGTTGCAGTGAAGCGAGCTATATGGAGGAATGCGCGACAAGCGATGTGGCTTCGGAGAGGCTGACTGAGGCCATCGAACAGCACAATACCATCGCGAATGAGAGTGCAGCCATCATCGCTTGGCAATTGAATGAGTCTTTGGAATATCGTTACAACATTAATCACTTCAGCAATGACCAAAAGAAGCACAACCCAGGCCAAGGCACGCGTTGCATGGCCAACTCAGAGTTCATTGTGGGGTATGTTTCAGCACATGAAGATTTGCGCGGAGAGGCGACAGTTGATTTGGGGGGAAATTTGAGCGATGAGGAGAAGGATAGCGTGTTAGATTTAGTACTAGATGACTCACACACCTACGACGTTGCATTTTGGTTCTACGACACACAATGTACAGACAGCGTGAAAAATCAAGTTAGAAAGGGAGGAATGGGCGGATTAGATGCATTCATGCAGCAATGCGTAGGTGGACCCACACCTCAGAAGATATACGAATACTTTGATTTGCTTGTTGATGTACTTTGATGTTTACCACCTTGATCCCATACCATCATCATGCACTATCTTTCTACGCGCGGCGGCGATGAGAAATTAAGCTTTGAGGAGGTGCGTATGGGGGATTATCGTCCAGCAACTCCAACTCTAATAGACCCCAGGCAATCCTTCAAGGCTTAGCACCAAATGGTGGTTTGTACATTCCAGCCCAAGTGCCCGAGCTGCCTGAGAATTGGGAAAACGACTGGGCCAACCTCCCATTCGACCAACTCAGCTATGAAATTACAAAATTATTCGTCCCCGCCTCTGAAATACCGCCAAATGACCTGAAATTGTTGATAAATAGATCATATTCCACCTTCAGACACAGCTCACGCACGCCAATCACCCAAGTTGATTCACACAGGTTCATATTAGAGCTCTTTCACGGCCCCACCTTCGCTTTCAAAGACGTAGCTCTCCAATTCCTCGGAAACCTCTTTGAATACTTCCTCAACCGCCGTAACGCACGTAAGAGCGCAAACGACGCCAGAGACAAGCTTACTATAGTTGGTGCAACCTCGGGTGATACGGGTAGTGCGGCTATATATGGTGTCAGGGGCAAGCAAGACATCAGCATCTTCATTCTCCACCCTAAGAACAGAGTATCACCCATTCAAGAAGCTCAAATGACCACTGTTCTCGACAGCAACGTTCATAATTGCGCTGTTAAGGGCACTTTCGACGACTGCCAGGATATCGTCAAGTCACTCTTCTCCGACAAGCCCTTCAACGACAAGCACAAGCTGGGTGCTGTGAACTCTATCAACTGGGCGAGAATTCTCTCACAGATCACCTACTACTTCTACTCATACCTCCAGGCTAAGAAGCAGACTCCAGCTCACTCTCACATCCAGTTCGTTGTACCTACAGGTAACTTTGGCGATATCTTGGCCGGGTTCTACGCTAAGAAACTTGGTCTCCCTTCTCAACCCATGGTCATTGCAACAAACGCAAATGATATCCTCACTCGCTTCTGGAGAACGGGTGTGTATGAGAAGCACGACTCAAGCCAGCACGTCCAGGCGCAAGACAGTGCCGTCGAAGCAGCTCAAGGATCGAGCGACGGTAAGCAGGCAGTTGGTGGAGTGAAAGCGACGCTCTCACCCGCCATGGATATACTCGTTTCATCCAATTTCGAGAGATTGCTTTGGTACATTGTCCTCGAATCGATGGTCGATGGAGATCAATTGGCCGCATCTAGACAAGTGAATGAGTGGATGAATGAGCTTAAACTTCACGGCAGATTCCAAGTCCCACAGGCGGCACTCAACGTAGCTAGACGTGATTTCACTGCTACATCGGTCAGCGATGAGGAGACTACACAGACTATTAAACAGTACTTTTCTCATCCTCGCCCTGGTTACTCAAGCTACACAGTCGATCCACATACTGCTGTCGGTTTAAAGGCGGCGGCTGATGTCGGTTGCAATAATAACACTTATCAAATCTGCTTAGCTACTGCGCACGCTGCCAAGTTCTCAGAAGCTGTCGAGAACGCTCTCAATGATGAAGCATCTTTCAACTTCCAAAGAGATGTCCTTCCAACGGAATTCCACGGGTTAATGGATAAACCAAGAAGAGTTATAGATGTTAACGGTATTGCTCCAGAGCTTACCAAGGAAGTCATTGAATCAAAAGCAACTGAGGAAGTTTCCCAACAAAATGTTGGCATCTGAGACTAATCAAGGCATTTTCAATTTCGGGACTTGTAAAAGTAATAAATCATAGTCATATCACTATTACGGGTATTTTTTATTAAAGACGAACAAAAAGGAAAACCTTTTAATGACCTTGACTATATGGCTATACTAATTTACTGCTTTTCAATTTACTCCTCAACATACTCCTCAACACCCTCTTCAACATACTCTTCCTCAATATCCTCATCAATACCAGCAGATTCATATTGTTGGTATTCAGAGATAAGATCTTGCATGTTTGATTCAGCTTCAGTGAATTCCATTTCATCCATACCCTCTCCTGTGTACCAGTGCAAGAAAGCCTTTCTACGGAACATAGCGCTGAATTGATCATGTACACGCTTGAATAAATCTTGAATAGCTGTAGTGTTAGCGATGAAAGTAGCCGACATCTTAGAACCCTTTGGTGCGACATTACATAAAGCAGTTTGAACGTTATTTGGAATCCACTCGACAAAGTAGTCAGAGTTCTTATTTTGCATGTTGTTCATTTGATCTTCAACTTCTTTCATAGACACTTTACCGCGGAAGTAAGCGGCGACAGTGAGATAGCGCCCGGATCTTGGATCTGAAGCTGCCATCATGTTGCGCGCGTCGAACATCTGTTGGGTGAGTTCAGGTACTGAAACTGCCCTGTATTGTTGTGATCCTCTAGCTGTTAATGGCGCATATCCAAGCATGAAGAAGTGGAGACGTGGGAATGGTACCAGGTTAACTGCCAATTTTCTCAAGTCAGAGTTGAGTTGACCTGGGAAACGAAGACAAGTGGTGATGCCAGACATGACAATTGAAACGAGGTGATTGAGGTCACCATAAGTGGGTGTGGACAGCTTGAGAGTTCTGAAACAAATGTCGTAGAGTGCCTCATTATCAATACAAAATGTCTCATCTGAGTTTTCGACAAGCTGATTAACAGAGAGAACAGCATTGTATGGTTCAACGACAGTGTCTGATACCTTTGGTGATGGTACGACAGAGAAAGTGGCCATCATACGGTCAGGGAACTCTTCTCTGATCTTGGAAACGAGGAGGGTACCCATACCAGAACCAGTACCACCACCTAGAGAGTGGGTAATTTGGAAACCTTGAAGACAGTCAGTAGCCTCAGCTTCCTTGCGAAGAACGTCGAGAACAGAGTCAACAAGTTCAGCACCTTCAGTGTAGTGACCTTTGGCCCAGTTGTTACCAGCACCAGATTGGCCGTGAACCATGTTGTCTGGTCTAAAGAGATCACCGAGAGATGAAGACTTGATCGCGTCCATAGTGCCTGGTTCCAAGTCGCTGTGAATGGTGTTAAAAGTGCCAATTTTCACGAGAATAGGATACATACACGAGGACAGCACGTGGGACATATCTACCAGCTGAAAATGAGGTGTTAGAAGGGAGGAGATAGGTTTAATTCGTTTGCCCACTTTGAGCTTCGTTGTAGTAAACGTTGATACGTTCGAGTTGTCTGGAGTGGGATGAGAATACGTTTTAGGCCGGAGTAAACAGCCTACTCATCAATATCACCTTTGTAGTTACCTGCGCCATCAAGACCGTGTTCTTCACCGATTACATCCTAAAATTGACGTGAGTCGGTGGTTTTTAGTGGATAGCAGCCCTACTAACCCAGAATTTGGCACCTGAAGGATATTTGAGAGGGGAAATAACGTATATAACACTTTAACCCACCAATTTGATTACCGCACTTGAAGTTTTACTGTCAGCAGAGTACACGTCACTTGCACAAAACCAACCTGTCCAGTTTGAAGGTGTACAATTCTTTCAAATAATGTCAGTCTGCTTTCTCCTGGCTCTAGAAATTCCCCACTCTCTTCCCATTTTTAAGCTTAGATCGACGCGAGAAGAGGACAGTGAGCAGCGCACAAGAAATAAACTAACAAATTTTTATCTGAAATACAACGAAATTTATAAATAACTTTCATTTAATTTCATTTATTCTTCAACGTATTGCTGTAATTTCTTTGTTAGATTGTATTTTTAGCGTGATTTATATTCCATCTCCTACCTCATCTTCCATAACTTCTTCTTCGTAATATTCCTCCTCTTCAACACCTGCATTTTCATATTGTTGGTATTCTGATAGAAGATCCGCCATGTTTGATTCAGCTTCAGTGAATTCCATTTCATCCATACCCTCTCCTGTGTACCAGTGCAAGAAGGCCTTTCTACGGAACATAGCGCTAAATTGATCATTGACACGATGGAAGAGCTCTTGGATAGATGTAGTGTTTCCAATAAAGGTAACTGCCATCTTTGTATCCTTTGGAGCAATATCACAGTGTGCTGTTTGTATGTTGTTTGGAATCCATTCAACAAAGTAGTCTGAGTTCTTGTTTTGCACTGCTTGCATTTGTTCCTCGACTTCCTTCATTGACACTTTACCACGGAAGTAAGCGGCGACTGTCAAGTAGCGACCGTTTCTAGGGTCAGATGCAGCCATCATGTTCTTCGCATCGAACATTTGTTGTGTAAGTTCTGGTACGGAGACGGCTCTGAATTGTGAGGTACCCTTTGCTGTAAGTGGAGCGTATCCGACCATGAAGAAGTGGAGACGTGGGAATGGAACCATGTTGACTGCCAATTTTCTCAAGTCAGAGTTGAGTTGACCTGGGAAACGAAGACAGGTGGTAACACCAGACATGACCATAGAAACGAGGTGATTGAGGTCACCGTAGTTTGGTGTAGACATTTTAAGAGTCTTGAAGCAAATGTCATAGAGTGCCTCATTATCAATACAGAAAGTAAGATCCGAGTTTTCGACTAATTGGTGGACAGAGAGAACAGCGTTGTATGGTTCAACGACAGTGTCTGATACCTTTGGTGATGGTACGACAGAGAAAGTGGCCATCATACGGTCAGGGAACTCTTCTCTGATCTTGGAAATGAGGAGAGTACCGAGACCGGAACCAGTACCACCACCGAGAGAGTGAGCGATCTGGAAACCTTGCAGGCAATCGCAGTTCTCAGCTTCGCGACGCGTGACATCGAGAATTTGGTCAACGAGTTCAGCACCCTCCGTGTAGTGACCTTTAGCCCAGTTGTTACCAGCGGAGGACTGACCGAAGATCATGTTGTCTGGTCTGAACAAGCCTCCGATTGAGCTCGCTTGCACGGTTTCGATAGTACCTGGTTCCAAATCGACAAGGACAGAGCGTGGCACGAATTTCTTCTCTGCGGCCTCGTTATAGTAGACGTTGATACGTTCGAGTTGTCTGGATGGAGTGTGAGGGGAAGTTTAGCTGCGTACACCGCGCCTACTGGTCAATGTCTCCGTAGTAAGCACCTGATTCGTCGATGGCGTGTTCTTCGCTCAGTGTTTCCTAGGCGCGGGTGTCAGGCATTGGAAAAGCAAGACAGGCGTACGAACCCAGAATTTAGAACCAATTTGGTTACCACACTTGTCAGCGTCAGCTACAGTCACACTAACAGCAGTCTAACCCACTTGACCTGTTTGAAGGTGTACGATTCTATCAAACACCAGATTAGCTTCAAAATTAATAGTCGCCGCGTTTGAAACTCACTCTCTGCCCATTTTTTATTTCTGTCTTGATGAGGGTTTTGGTAGTGCGCGTGAACCTTGGACTAGAACGTAGAGGTGAAAAATGCAAAGAGAGCAAAGTCGAGAACCAAGTGGCATGCAGTGTATTTGATAGTGCTCGACATATCACTACGCTCCATGCCACTCCTCGCTGTGTTTGTGCTTGCGTCTCCGCCGAGTCCCGACGCACCACGGCCAAGTCAAGTGTGCTAGCCTCCTATGCCAGCACGCTGTTACGTTCGTGGGATAGCAACCCGGCCACCGCCCAGCTTGTCATTCCAAGTCGCGGCCACCCGTTCTGGGTGGTTGTGCAGATTTGCTCGGTCGGTGGCCGTCGTGCAAAGACCAGCTTCCACATGACACGTCGTTGTTCTCTACACGCACGTTGCTACTAAAGCTGGCCGACATGTATTTCTCCTTTTGTAAATTTTACATAAACGCCATTTGCTCATACAAGACCATGACGGCAAGTGCTAATTGGAGCGTGACAGAGAGCATCACCAAGGCTCTTGCAGCGTACACGCCCAACTCTGCTGGCTTGCTCATGATAGCACTCGCGCAGCTCTTCTTCGCGTCAATGTCTCTGTGCGTCAAGCTGCTTGGGCAAGTCGATCCACCCGTGTCTGCGTTGGAGGTGTGTGTCTGTTCGCGCTCCCGCCTCTTCTCACCGCTCTCCAGCTCGTCGTCGTGCGTATGGCCATCACCGGGATTTGTGCACAGTCTTGGATACTCGTGCACAACGCCTTCTCCGATAACAAAATACCCAATCCAATCCTTGGCCCTTTGCACGTCAGGTCGCTCCTGTTTGCCAGAGGATTTGTCGGGTTCGCTGCCATTTCCGCGCTTTACTACAGTCTCGCTTTTCTCGATCTCAGCGACGTTACAAGTCTCGGTTTTCTTCTGCCCGTCGTTAGTGGCTTGTTGGGATGGCTCTTCCTCAACGAGCCCTATCTCCCCATAGAGCGCTACTCCAGCGTCGTGAGTTTGCTTGGGGTGGTGTTGATAGCCCGCCCACCTTTTCTCTTTGGCGGAGGTTTGGCTGACCAGGAGCACCATCTTAGCTCTTCGCTTGGGCAGCGTTCTTTCGCCGTCGCTGTCGTTCTGCTCAGTGTGGTCGGTGCGAGTCTGGCGTATGTCACCACGCGCGCGATAGGCACACGCGCGCACCCCATGCACGTAATACTCGCATTTTCGTGGTGCTCCGTGGTCTTCGGTGGGCTGCTGATGAAGGCGCTTGGCGAGCCATTCGTCCTGCCCAAGTCGACCAAATGGTGCATCATGCTTGTCGCGATTGGTGCATTCGGTTTCATTGGCCAGATCCTCCTCACGCTCGGCCTGCGTAGAGAGAAAGTTGGAAGGGCTTCTCTCGGTATGTATCTACAGATGGTGTTTGCATTGCTGTTTGAGAAAATCTTCTTCAATTCTTCCCCTCATGTGCTGTCGGTGGTGGGGGCGGCGATTATTATCGCTACTAGCACCACTGTAGCATTACAGAAGGACAAGAAAACTCAGCCATCTGGCACACTCGACGAACATGATAAACTGATACAGGACGAGAGAGAACGCTTCGCCCGTCTCGATTATGGTTCTTTGGAGCAGCGTGCAGGCTAATGTTTTGTAGTGCACACCGCACATAGAATATGGGATTTGTTGTATTTTTCATCACATGAAAAAAGATGCGTATGTTTGGAATGTTATCATGAGACACGTGTCGCGAAGGCGCACTAAAAGTAAATAAACCAAATGCGGGAGTGGAATCTTATTTATAACACTCACAACCTAATGAAACTAACTCTAGCAGCACTCTCGCTGAGCACTTTGACAGCAGCGCAATCAATCTTCCAGCCAACACAGGGCGGAACGGGTGCAAACTTTCCAGGCTCGCCAGGCTCACCGGTCTGGGGAGAAAAGCCATTCGGCGGTGCCCACACGCCCTTCAACGACAGACCGCCATTTGCAGGTGGTGGCCCAACAGAGCACGAACGACCACCAAAAGGCGAGGGATATGAGTTAATGAAGGAAATGGCCGGGGAAACATTTTTCGAGCATTTCTACTTTTACGCGGACCAAGATCCGACGCATGGCTATGTCGACTATACAGATTCCGAGACAGCCTTCGAAAGAGGAATGGCGGGATGGACTGAGAGTGGTGGGTAGCGGAAATCTGACGCATAATTGCGTAAGGCGCAACTTATACCAGCATACTAATCACCCACTTGCAGGCAACCCATTTTTCATGGTGGACGCAACGCCCAAGATCGACGGACCGCGCAGGAGCATCCGCTTGGAAAGCAACTTCAACTACACGCAAGGGGTAGTTCTGCTCGATATAGTGAGCATGCCTGGCAGTGTCTGTGGGTTGTGGCCAGCGTTCTGGTCGAATGGCGAGACATACAACTGGCCAGCATGGGGCGAGATCGATATAATTGAGGGAGTGAACGCGTTCACGGAGAACCAGTCGTCGTTCCACACGGCCAGTGGATGCTACATAGCGGAGGGCTCGTCGAACACGTTCACGGGGCAGCTAACGCACGACGGCGAGATAGCGCGCACGTGTTCGGCATTCGAGTCAAACAACGAAGGTTGTGGGATCAAAGATAACCACAAGAACACTTATGGCACCCCGCTCAATGAGCGTGGAGGCGGCGTGTTTGCAATGCAGTGGAATGACCAGGGTATATCTACGTGGTTCTTCCCGCGCGGTGGCATTCCTGGGGATGTTCACGCAGGTGATCCAGCCCCTTCGTCGTGGGGCAAGCCTTACGCTCACTTGGACAACGAGGCTTGCGATATCGGCGAGTACTTTAAGAACCACCAGCTTATCTTCGACACCACCCTCGCAGGTGACTGGAGCGGCAGGGTGTGGGCAGAGGAGGAAGTCTGGCAAAGTGAGACGTGCGCCAACATGACTGGATACGCGACTCCGGAGGAATTCATCAGAGAGGAGGGCGAGCAGTTCGAGGATAGCGTGTGGGAGGTTAACTATGTAAAGCTGTACCAGTAAAATGTTTCAAATGAAATGAAAATTTGCACTGATTTGATAAATGCATCTTTGCTTAATTGCGTCATCATCATGCCACCGAAAATGGGGAGCAACCCCGTCGACAGTTACCGAAAGGCGCAGAAGAAGCAGGATATAAAGAAGGTGCGTGACGGTCGCTGTTACCGCTCACCGCTCACGCGACGCAGGGCAAGGAAGGCAAGAGCGACAAGGCGGACAAGAACGCAAAACTCGCGTACAAGGACACGTTCCTGCTTGAGATTGAGATAAAATCGCTAGAAGAGCGCAGTGGGCGGGAGGAATTGGACAAAAACTTAAGTGCCCACTTCACCCAGCTAAAGGAGGAACTCGAGCAAATCACCAAAGCCAAGGCGGCATTCGTAGAGGAGCATCCCGAGAAGAAGTCAGACGTGTACAGGAACCTCTCCGCCCCTTCCGCTCAGGCGCAGGCAGCACTGGCTCGTCGCCGCGATGAAAAACCTAAACAGCGCACAGGCGCACTCGATAAGAAGGGCTTCCCGCTGCATCCTGCAAGGAGTGTCTACTACGACGCCACTTACAATCCAACTGGCGTACCTCCACCGGGTATGCCATACGCCGAGCGAGAGGAAGAGAGTGGCAGTGGGAGTGAGAGCGGCAGCGACGACATTCCTATGCCGACAGCTCCTAGGCCTAGTGGCAGCCAAAATGAGGTGGTTGATGATAGCGATAGCGATAACGATAGCGATAACGATAGCGATCTTGATGATATTCCTATGCCAGCTGGTCCACCACCGAACGCGGCGATACACACACACACACAAACAGTCACACACCCACAACCCACCACAGAAATCACCGAGGATGAGCGCAGAAAGGCCGCTGAGAAGGCTACTATATCCTCCGCTCCACAGATGCGCGATCTCCAGAAAGAAAGCGCGATGCTGCTGCCTGCTCAGCTCGTGCGCAAGAAGAAATAGACAAATGTATGATATTAGCAAGATAGATGTTTCATGAGTAGATAAGAAATATTGCGCAATGCGATATCGCAGCTGTGTGGCCCCCTTGAAGCTACTTGACAAATACGCAACCACAATCTACATAGCCTTGTGAATGAATCAATACAAATACACGAAAAAACTCTACAGAATGAAAGAAAAAGATAGGCAAACGCAAAATAGCCAAGCAGTGGCAGTGACGATCCGCGTCACAAGAACCCACTCAAGGCACCTCAGCGACTTTTTCGAGAGTGTCTTTTTCAGCAGGCGTATCCTCTCGATCGCCTTGTACGGTTTCAATAGCGTCATGCTGGTGCTGCTGTTCGCGGGTGATAGCCTGACTGCGTTCCTCCATCCACTTCTCACGCTCGATTTCCTCCTTAGTGAGGCGCTTCAACTCGAGCGAGTAATGCGATGCGGCTCTAATACGCGGACCGAAAGCGTAGAAGACGAACGGGATAGCTATGCACAATGTTGCGATGGCTGCGAGGATATAAGACGCAACTGCGTATGTGTGGTGGTAAGGGCCGGGGACACCGTAGGACCAATCGTAGAAGGTCGTCGTCACTAGCGCGCATGTCGCAGCTAGTATCTCCCGACAGAAGGACTGGCCTGTCACCGCACTGCTCGCGAGCATCTGGTACGAGTCTATCGTGTAGTCACTAACTACCTGTGTGCGTGTAAATGTTAGCGTGGTGCGTTTTCCAGCAGAGAGTGACTTGCTATGAATAGTATGTGCGACGCAAATCCGAATAGCCCTATGGCCACCGTCGGGAGCCACACACTGTAATCCGGCTGCCCCGTTCCACCATACCAGTACATGGAGACGGGGAAGACAAAGGCTGAGAGCATCCCCCAGAATAGCTTGTACTCCGGCTTGTCTTCCCCAGATCGCCGAGTCGCCCATGCCTGAGCTTTCAGTTGCAAGTGGTAGCAGAGCAGTGCTAATACAAAGCCGACTTCCATCGCAAAATAGAAGAGCGAGCTGTTTGGTGCGTCGACACCCATCTCAGCATAAACCAGGGGCATGCTCTCGATGAGAAGGTAAATCAATCCATAGTTTATACCCTGTAATAAAAGTTAGCATCCTTTATAACGTCTAAAAGGCTACTTGCGTCGTATAATCCAAAAAACAAAACTACGTATTCCGTAAAGAACATGACTGGAGGTCTGAGCAAAGTCTCCTTGAAGATAGCCTCCCAACTGCGCTTAGTTTCGTAGATGGTCCATGCGTTTGGGTTGTGATGTTTGCGTATTTCTTTAGTGCGCTTGGTGAGAATGGGAGCGGGGCGGGTTTCCGGGACGAGGACAGCGAAGAGGATGAGGAGGAAGCCACCGACGGCCATTGGGATCCAAATAGCGAGACGCCAGTCGTACCTATCGACGATATAGTCACCAATAATCCCGCCCAACACGACAGATTCTGCCATGAAGGCCCAGAAATTAACGCCCCACAGACCTGCCTTGTCGCCGCCGCGCCAGAGATCAGGAACAAGGCAGACATAGTTAAGGATGGGTGAGGCAAAGATACCGGCGATGAAGCGAGTGACTGCAAGAGTCTCTACGTTTTGAGCGAGGCCCTGAGGGATATTGAATATGTAGAGGATGAGGAGCGAGGCTATACCAATCGGCTTGCGGCCGTAGTCCTCGCTGATGGGGATGATGAGGACGGGGCCGAGACTGTAGCCGAGAAGATAGGTCATGATGGGTACCTTGCTCGTGATCTCTTTGATGCCGAATTCTTCTCGGTAGCGGGTGGTGGCGGGGACAACGATGGTCGACAACATCATGGCCCAGAGGGTGTTAAGGCCTACGATAAGCACAATCATCCATTTCCGCCAGGATGGGAAGTTGTACGGGTTGGCTTTGTCGGCGACGGTGAAAAGGACGAGATCGTTCTCGTCTTTGGGTGGAGTTTGCATAGACTAGTAGATCCAATTAAATTATTAGCAATTCCTAGTGAATCCAAGTAAATTCAAGTAATTCCGAGTAAATTACTAGTAAATCCGGTTGATGATGGTTTACGGTTAAGAGCCAACAGCCAGTGACTAATGAACGCATCCTCACAAAGGCAGAGAATTCTAGTTGAAGAGTGGGTCAAGTGATTTATTAGTGACATCCATTTATTCGCTTCAACACAGCTTCAGGCAGATCACCAACACCAACAACGACACAGCGACGAGGTTTTTGAAGTTAAATGGCTGGAGGTTTGATGATGCGCTGGACGAGTACTTTGCCAATCCCCCTATTCAAGTTAATAAGTCAGCGCTGACGAAACTATGGAACAAGTACAAAGACAGCGACGACGAGAACGTCATGAGTGTCCCCGATGGTCTTATCGAATATGGCGCTGATCTCGACGTAGATCTCACTTCCATGTCTGCACTCGCTCTAGCTCAACTCTGCGGCGCTACGCTTCAGGCTGAACATTGGCCCAAGCAGTCGTGGATTTCAGGTTGGAGTGGCGTAGGCGGTGATACGCTTGATAAACAGAAGGATTATGTCCACTCTGCACCCACCAGACTATCCCAAGACAGGCAGTTTTTCAACAAAGTCTATGCTCATACGTTTGAAATGGGGAAAGGGCAAGGTGCGAGGATATTAAGTTTGGAAGATGCCAAGGCATACTGGAGTATTCTATTGGCACCGCATCTGCCAGATGAACAAGCCACTTGTCAAGACACCCACGCGTCATTGAACAAGGACTCTGGCGAAGGCTGTCAATTCACAAAGCAAATGTTAGACGGGTGGATCGAATATCTGGAACAGGAGAATGTGGCAGTTACTAAAGATACTTGGCTTGAATTCCTCAACTTTGTTAGATCAATCAACGCAGATTTCTCCAACTTTGACGACACAGCAGCGTGGCCAAGCCTGATAGATGACTTTGTAGAGCATGTAAGGAGAAGGCTGGAATAAATTTTGATTTGAATGAAGCGTGACGTGTGCCTGGGTTGAATCAGTACTTGCAACATGGTTAGTGGGGGAAAACCAAGGGAACATGAGTAACTAAATGCCTGAATGCCTCACAGACACAGCCAAACCCGCAATCCATCGAAACTTGCCATCAAGACGCCATCCACGACGCGCAATTGGATTACTACGGCAAAAGACTAGCCACGGCATCCTCTGATGGAACAATAAAGATAACCGACATATCGCAAGCCGCGGAATCCACTTACGGCAACTCAAACGCTGCAAGCTTACGCGGTCATCAAGGACCCGTCTGGCAAGTTGCCTGGGCACATCCCAACTACGGTTCCATACTCGCTAGCAGCAGCTACGACGGAAAGGTGTTTATATGGAAGCAAGAACAAGGCAATAGCTGGACGCGTATCAAGGACCACACACTACACACATCCTCTGTAAACTCTATTAGCTGGGCTCCACATGAGCTTGGCCCTACACTGGCATGCGCTAGCTCTGATGGCAATGTCAGCGTGCTCACATTCCACAAGGACGGTACTTGGGAAGCATCAATCCTCGCTGCTCACAAGCTAGGCGTTAGTTCCGTGAGCTGGGCGCCGGCTACATCCCCCAACGACGTGGCTGGATTGACGAGCAGACTTGTGACTGGTGGCTGTGACAGTCTAGTGAAGATATGGTCATTCAAGTGGGTAATTTCGTAAATAGGCGTATATCCACACTAACAGACGCAGCAATGAAAATAAACAGTGGCAATGCGATGAATCTATTGGCGCCCACACCGACTGGGTCAGGGATGTCGCTTGGTCACCTAACGTAGGCCTCTCCAAGCAATACCTCGCCTCTGCGTCACAAGACAGAAGCGTCTTTATACACACTCAAGACACTCCACGCTCTCCATGGACCAGCACAAAACTCAACCACGACTTCAAAGATACCGTCTGGAGGCTCAGTTGGTCTCTCTCGGGCAACGTACTCGCTGCGAGTGCTGGCGATGGCCAGGTCACGCTGTGGAAGGAGAATCTAGAGAATGTGTTTGAGCTGGTCAGTGGGGGTCTTTAGCGGGTCTTTGTTTCTATATAATTTTAAATTCTCTTATCGATTATCTTGTGACGTTTGTGACTTCTCACGTAGATACATTTACCGTTAGTATATTCGTATAGAATGAGGAATATAATGATTGCGTGGACTCTGGATGTTAGTGGTGTGCTAGTGTACTCATAACACCACACTCACACCGCGCTTTCCCAGCCAGCCGCTGAAATTGCATTTGATTATTACAGATCAACTATAGCCATGCCAGAAGACGTGTGAGTGTGCGTCTGCCTGTAAAATTCCCCGCTAACCACCAACAGCGTACACCTCGTCAATGTCAAACAAACCTCCGATCTAAATTTGCAGTTGCACAACAAAGCCCAGAAACTGCAACTGGACTTGGAGGGCGTCAGCACACATGTTAGCGAGCTATCAGGAGACGTAGCATCCGCCCTCATCGACCACGCTAACTCCACCCACCCCGATCTTGTTCTCGTCGGAAGACGCAACCTCGGCCATTGGGAACGCCTCACTTCCGAGCAGGGCTTCTCCCTTAGCTCTCACCTCTCCACTCACATCCTATCTCCAGTCATCGTAGTCAAGTTTGCTAGGAATTAGTTGCAAATTTTCACCTGTGTCTCAGGTATTCTAAGTGTATCATAAAATAACATAAAGCATTCGATAAAACCAGGTATCGCTGCGTGTACTACATTAGATGATTGAAAATATTCGTTACTACGTCTTGTCGTGGGTAATTGAAGGTAAATGAGAGTATCTTTGAGTAAAATTTGAAAATTTAATGAGGGTTTATTGTGCTTTGAGTTTGCTGCTAACACGAAAAGCCTTTCCTAAGCCCCTCGCCCTCCTCTTCCACATTTCCCACATGTTATGACACACAAGATGGCGTTGAAGATGCTCATAATGACGCGCCCGATAGCTGAAATGACTGCCATGACTGCATGAGCCACAGATCCAATCGCAGTGTTTATGCTGTTACTCGGTTAGCCTCAACCAAACCACAATATATCCAAACGTACCAACCAAAAATCGACGAAATGACACCACCCATAACTACTGATTTGCTTTGCTAAAGGTGCTAGTTGATGGTCTTGGAAAACCAGCTCGCACGCACCCTTAAAGGGCCATCTGCTCCACATTTACTCCGCAGCATTCCCTGGAATGCGTCATACATTCAATTCTTCTGACAGCAATTATAGTCGCTGCATCTTACAGTTTGGAGTTTTAATCGCGTCTGTCTCACTATCTCTACCGCGCTCCATTCGCCCTTGTCGCGCATCATTACGTCATACATGGGTTCCTTGACGGAATAATAGCGCTGATGCATACTCACACTCTCAAACTGTCACATCTGATATTGCTTTGACGGGTTGAGTCAATCGATCGGATTTAATTTGCCTGCTCATACTGCATATGTCCAATTAACAGTCAAGGTGAATTCCGGGATACCATATACTGACAATTTGAACAATGGAGCAACACTATCGATCTTTTAGCCTCGTCAGCATTTCAAATACATCCCTATCTAAACCCTCCCCTCAATACCCACAGAGTTGAATATTTCGACTACCACCTATCTTATCTCAAATGGCTAATTTACGAGTTTTGACAATCTCCAAATAGAAATGCTTTTTTATAGCCCTAATGAGCTTGATGAGGTGTCGCCAGATTTATACCCCTATGCCTTCAATTGCGCCCTGTAGACTGTTCGGAAGTTGCAATTGGACATCGCTCTAGAGCACGCCAAAATATAGATACGGAGGATATTGCGCGCTTCAACGATATGATCAGCATATATCTAGCTGCTGGAGACAACAAGCGCCCAGAAAAACCAAGTACCCACCCTTTCAGACGTGATTTACGTTTTCCGACACATGGTGTCCACAGGACTCAATGATGGCTAGAGTGAGAAAGGATTATCATTACGAATAATTGCATGCCTATCGTCAAAGAAAAGTGGGGTCAGCCCAACTCTGAAGTCGGGGGTTTGGCTTCAGCTCGTGCATGTCGAAATTTCAAATAATGGGAGTGTGAAGGCGATTAAGGCTGCGTTAGAATCACAGAAGGCCGGCTAATAGGATTGTGTATTTCTGTATTGCAAATTGCGCTCCTTTACACATGCTAAAACTAACTTAAGCTTAGTCGGCTACACTATTCCAGTCAAGATATGAACATCTTTAGACTTTTCAAGAATCTAGTCGCTACAGAATACAGCACTCGTCATTGAGCATTACCTTTACGATCTGGAGATTACGAGCTTTACTATGGTTGTTTGGTTGAATTATAGGATATTTCAGCTGTAATAGTGCTCTTTAATTATAAAGGCGGCTTTTTAATGTACGACTGTTGGATTTCGTGAGTGATTGACCGCGTCTGAGCTTTTGCTGCACTGTGTCGGTCAACTGTAATGCTGCATAGCGAGATAAGCGAAGATTCATGTGAAATGCTGACACTGGATGTATTTATGCAGATGTTATAACCTACTTCCTCACACTTTGACTCGTCTTGACCAGCCTAAAGCCGGCGGAGTCTTTCAAATTACTCACCTTGATACAGATAGCTCGTTGAACAGACGCGCATAGAAAGTTTAACCATCCAGCCTCATTGTTGATACTAAATGCTAGGATAGGCTCTTGTCAAACTCTCACATACCTCGAATCACAACGCATTCACTGTGATAACCCGACTCTGGTGACATCATTGATGCACAACCAGAGGATTCAGATCGATGACCAATAGTGCTACAGGTGAAATGCCGAAAGCTATTCTAAGCAACTCCGAGTCGTGGCTCATCATGTTGCACCGCAGGTTGAAGAGTTGTAACCCAAATTGTAATGCATAAACATAAGCTATCAATGGATGTCGTTTATACGTACGAACGGAGCGTTCGTATAGAGACATTTCTTGGCAGAGTACGACAGAGCTGATGTTAGGATATCGAGCTCATTTCCATTTTCGTCGGCATTGGCGAATGTCAAGTCTTTGTACACCTGCTCAGAGCTGACGCTGCGCTTGACGTGGACGTCTGACAGGATGCTGAGCGTCACTGCACATCTGGCTATGAGTGCGTTAGAAATGACTCCCACATGGCACTACACTCACGCCAGCTAATGCCTATATCCGAGACACCTTTGCGTACATCGTCGAATAGAATGGGTTGACCGCTTGCTGGACAATTCTCACCGAGGTTGGTCGAGTGAGTGAGTGAGAGTGGATCACTCATGTCCTGGGTGGAGTTGGCCATCACTTGGTCCCCCATACCCGGATAGCAATCTTGAATCTTGGTAGCTATCTCTATGAGCTGAGGTGGTGAGCTCTGTATATACTTGGCTGCGTGTGTTAGACGCGCAATTATCTGAGTGCAATTCTCAGGTAATAGTTGCATTTCTGCAAGTCCGAGCACCCTCTGACAAGTCATGAAAAGTATCCCAATCAATAGGATAGCCTCGAGCTCGACACGCCTAAATCTACGATCCTGATTGACCATCATGTTAAGGTGGGTTGAGAGCAGGTACACCTTGCGTATTATATCAAATGCTGGTATGGTCCAGAAGTCACAGCTCAGCATCTGCTCTATCCTACTCTCGAGCGATATAGGTGCTGTGTTGATTTGTTGAAATGCGCCAGGGTTGTAGTGCGTGAGTATGACATTAGAGTAGGTTTCGACGAATTTGTGAAAGTATTGATCTAGTAGTGTTAACAATTCAACATTATTCACTTGCTGTTGACACCTCTCAATCACACCGCTTAAATCCCTAGTCGACGACTTCCATATATCGGTGAGCTGCATCACGTTTGCACTGATCTCGTCAATCAGTGATCCCCTCACTTCCTCATCAGGTAGAACATTATCGCTTATTGAGAGAATGCATGTCAGCTTGGCTTCCTCCACATACTCTGTATCTTCAGGTGAACGGTGAAAGAACAACCACGCGTATCCATTCGAATTGGGAAGTTTACGCGCTGAGTAGACGAGTGGTGCTTGCATCTTACCCACTCGCGACCCGTACACACTCTCAGCGATATCTTCGTACAGCTTTCTCTGTTTCCGAGTTGCAGAAATCGACAACGCAGTAATAACGGAGCTTGTATATACGTCGATTATTTTTATTTCTCCATCTGCGAACCACAGCACTAAGAAGTTTGATGACAGTTTATCCAATCCAACAACCATGCTCAGATTCGAGATATCTAACTCAACGGCCTCCTTAAGCGCCTGTTTAATAAATAGCGATCCAGGTGTTGTCCATATTAAAGCACCGTCCATGTATTTGAAGGTTGTGAGAGATTGACCATTCGAAGGCTGTAGTATGGCTGGTTCGCTGTGTACTGAGGTTGTGTTTGTACTGTCTGAGTGTTTAAGTGCTGTCACGTAGATGTCGTAGTCAGTGTTAGCAAAGTAGATATCCAGAATGACTACCATGTAGGGTTAGTCGGGCATATCACACCAAGTTAGACAATACACACATCCATCATCGCAGCTGCGCCATTCGGAAGTGGTGATGAGGGATATCCAACATGCTGACGGTGTTTCCAACATGGATACCAATTCCATTTGGCCATGTTGAACGTGTCTAAGCTGATTAATAAGAACACCGCTGAACATACACCCACTCACCTCCACAAAAACAAATCACCAGATTTAGTTCCAGTAATCAACACTGAGATGTCCCTAGGTGTTATTGGAAGGCTGTACGTAGGAGGATTGCTCGACCAAGCCATGCAGAGTATCTGAGATTTGAGAGCAACGCCAAAGAGGGCCAATTGATTAGATTTATCATTGTCGTTGAGTTGGTTCAAGTTAAACTCTCTCAGCCTGGCTGAAACATCAAACGTCGGTAGCCATTTACCAACAAAGAAATTTACTTTCGGTGCAACGATAAACAAATCGCAGTTTGAAGACAGTGTGGCTAGTAAGCAGCCACCGTAAGACGTTAAATTTGCAGGAGACCACGCCGTTGATTTCCATCCATTCCACAACGCCGAATCAGAAACTGGCTCAACGATACACGGATCTGCGCGAGTGCATCAGAGAGAGCTACGAACATAGTGCACACACACGTGGATAGTTTTCAATGTACATATGCGCAGGTGGGAATTCAGATAGAGGAATTTGGGTATCGAATACGTTGTACTCTCCGAGTGAGGGCTTTGAGCGTATAGCAGCGTCCTCTGAGATGGACTTGGATTGTTTCTTCCATAGCGCTTTGGCCTGGTCTTTGTTGTGTAGCAGCGCAGTGTTTGGTGTGAGCACATCTACGCGTCGACGCAGAGACAGGGATAGCTGCCCGTTGTCGGAGATTTCAGTGAGAACACAATTACTTGGTCCAAGCGGCAGTCCACTTAGACGAATATAACTAGCCATGGTGGTGGTAATACATGGAATCTGTAAAGCAAAACGGGTATCATTTAAATCCAATTCATAAAATGCCGTGGGCGCCTCGAGCCCTTGGACCACCCCGATGACGGCGTCTTGAGCCGGGCTTGGCTTTTACATTGTTACGCTTCGAGTGGGCGCTTGAAATGGCATCGTCTGCGAGTGATGGACCTGGAATAACCATAGAAGATACTTGAGAGCTGTATATACTTCCATACAGAGTGCCGTCGTCGCCTTTAGGTGTGTGTCAGTGGAAAGTTTTCACCAACAACTCAAACAAACCCGGGTTGCTGTAGACATTGCCTGGAATGGTGACTGATTGGCCACTCAAAGAGCCTGTACCCCCATTGATATATACTTGGATACAGTGTGGGTAGAATTGAGGAGAACCTTGCGAGTGCAACGCGATGATTTCACTGAGGGAGGTTACTGTGTATAACGCCTCACCAACACGCCACCCACTGTCTTATCAAGTAGGAGCCTTGCTGGATGCTCTCTGCCGGTGGAAGGTTGAAGCTCCAGCTGATATCCTGTGCAATGAGCCTGTCTGAAGCCCATTGGCCCGCGCTGTCGTCGTAACCAGCTTCATCAATCTTGAACCAGCCTTCTGTGATAGATTGCTGGACGTTGTCACAGTCATTGTGACCATTACCGCAGTATTTGGCATAGGTGAGCACAGGACCTTTGAGGAGTGTAAACGTGTGAGACAGAAACACAAACAACGCCACCAAAAGCCCACCTTTATGATCATTTGGCCATCTGTTCCACTTGACAATCATTTCAGATCCTGGCGCGGCGTCTGCAGTCATTTCAGCTGGAGTGTTTGTACCGACTTTGTTACAAGTGAGGTTTGGATCGTCTTTAGAGTAAAGAGGGCCATCATCTGTCATTGGTCTGTTCACTTTATTAGCGTGTGGCTGCCATGGATCTACTTGTGGGTCGTAAGCAGGGTATCCTCGACCTGATGTGTTTGTTAGAAGGGAGTGGAACATTATCACAAATGAGAGAACGCGCCATTGATGGTGAATGATTGTGGTACACCGTGAGTCTTAACTAGAGTGATAATAGCTGGTATGGCTACGAATGATGAAAATTTCATTGTGCTTGTGTTTAGAATATTGAAAGATTGTATCCGCTGTGCTAGTTTAGTTTATGATAGGATATCGGTAATAGCTTTTCTCTATTGACTGCGCAGTCAGGGAGATTTAGATACGTCGATGACGATGACAATGTCAATAACGTCAATGAGAATTAAAGATATGCATAAGCATGCTTACATTCCATGCCCGGTACTAAGAATACTAAGACATGAGACAAATTATAAATAGTGAGGAATGTTTAATTTGGTATTGGAAAGGTCTAAGAAGGCTTTTCACCGGCGTTGAGCTTCGCTTGTATGAGTTGTACGACAACGTTAGCGTTCTAGAGGTATGTGAGGTGTTTATTTGAGCTTTAACGACCAACTCACATCTTGTTTTGTCTCCAAAGTCTTTTGTAGTTGACTCAAGTTTGAGGTTACGTAATCAACTTTGTTTTTGTAGTATTGAGTTGCTTGATTGGTGGACTATGATTCGTTAAGATATGAGTTCATACAAGTAAACCCAACAAACCATCTTAACGTAATAGCCAGTACCAATATCAATAATAACATCCTCAACATTTGAGAGCTTCCCAGGTAAATACAAAGAGCTTGTCAAAGGGAGAAGACATTTAGTGTCTGGAGAGGTGTGAAGGTAGTACCAAGGCATGAACTTATTCACCTACCCTTATTACCCCCATTTACTTGCTTAAGTGAATCTATCGACTGATTAAATTGAATTGAAACCCTTTTAAGTTGAGAATAAGATTGAGTCAAATGTGTTAGCTCCTGTTGCTTGGGCGTTAGAAGCCTGAATTGAAGCAATCACAATAAATCAAACGCACTCCATCTAATTGCTTCTTAACGCTAATCAATTGTTGTATATTTAAACTGTTTATATCAACTTTTGACATTTTACACTCTACCACTCAACGATGGAGGAATACAAAGAAATTCTAAAGGATTTGACTATTAATTTGTTATCCACAGATTTGAATAGAGCTAAGGGTAGATGGGATCGTACTGCAATCGATGCAAACGATTTGGCTAGCTATCCCATTCCATCAACTTACTCAAATACTCCACTTATAAAAGGCTATGAAGCAACAAAGCAGTCAACCTATAACACACGTAATCTATCCTCTACCAGCTTATCTCACTTACACTCGTTAAATCAAACTAAACGCTCAGTCTTATCCGAAGAAATTGAAAGAATAGATAAAGAAATAAATAATCTTAATAAAGTCAAATTTGAGCTTCAATCTCAATTATTAAGATCCCGTGAATTCGATTTGGAACTGACTGATAAACTGTCTCAGAATCCTTTTACATCCTCAGACAACTCAACCTTCTTACCCGATGAGCACGATGATTTACCCATCAATATGCCATTCATGTCCATTCAAGCTGATCCTTGTTCCTTGAATGACCTCTCAATTGATAAACCATACGGTCATCTCATTACTGCATCAAACAATCCTTCTCCGCGCATTTGGAATCTTTCTACAGGGGACGAAGTCGCTCAGCTAACAGGTCACACCGACGATATCACTTCATTACAGTTCAACAACAACTCAATCGTCACAGCAAGTAGGGATTGCTCAATAAAACTATGGAATAAATCAGATTTCTCCGAAACTCTCACTTACTTTGGTCACACTAAACCTATAGACATGATACAAGCTTCTCAGCATAACATTGTAAGTGGTGCTTCAGATCAGACAGTTAGATTATGGGATTTAAATTCGGGTCAATGTAATCTAACAATGGATCTCCTATCCTATTTAGATAGACCACATTCTCAATTACAATCTCAATCTCCTTACATTGGCGGATTACAATTCTATTACAATGCTTTAGTTACTGGTTCAGCTGATTCTATCATAAGACTTTGGGATATGAGAACGGGTGTACCTCATCGCAATTTAGTCGGTCACAGTGATGCTATTACGTGTCTTTCGTTTGATCAATATCACGTCATTTCAGGAAGTAGTGATGGTACTATGAATGTGAGTTGGTTTTGTTAATTGAAATACCAAACACTCACCGCCTATAAAGATCTGGGATATACGCACAGGAAAAGTATTAGATAGTCTACAATTTGAATCACCTTTGACAGATTTACAATTTGATAATAGAAAGGTAATGATTTCAGGTGTTGGGGATGGTTTAGCTTTATATAACCGAGTTTCAAAACAAATTCAAGATCTTTCGAGTGATGATACAGTTACATCGCTTCAATATATAGATACCTATATGGTTACAGGATCATCTAATGGACAAGTAAAATGCTGGGCAATTTAGACTTGTTCCAAGACAAAGACACAGACATTTCAAACGACAAAGACACGTACAATCAACACAGCATTAATAAAATGATATTTATCGATATAAATGATATTTTATACCTATTTACTACACAGCGATGAACTTTCTGGTCCAAGCATCAACACGCAGAGCATTACCTGTATTTTCAAGAAGCTTACATAGAACACCAGTGAGTATGTTTAGCGATGGATTCAGGGATGCTCCAAGGTTACAATACAAGGATATAAAGCCATTAACCAAAGCTCCAACTGAGGTGAGTTGAGGGGAATATTGTGAGTATATGGCTAACATTGGAGTGTCTTAGGACAGGGTTTTGATTGGTAAGTGCATTTAAACCCACCAAACAACCCCACCCACCAACTTCATTCAGATGTTCGTGAACCAAATGAAGTAATCCAGGGTAGTATTCCATCAAGCGTGAATCTGCCACTGTCAAACTTTGAGCACGCTTTAGACCTCGATGATGCAGAATTCAAGCATAACTATGGCTTCAACAAGCCATCAGATGGGATTGATGATAAGCGTAACTTCATCTTCTATTGCCGCAGTGGAAAGCGTTCAGCTACGGCATGTGATTTGGCATTCAGAAGGGGAATAAAGAATATCAACAACTACCAAGGCAGTTATATTGATTGGTTGGCTAATGAGCAAGCCAAAGACAAAGCGGGTAAAGAGGAAGAGGAAGATGATTAACATAAAGGTATTTTTGTAGACGTTGCAGCAATAATTGAATATTCAATTTGAATAAATGATTTGAACAAAATTTTAAGCCTTCTTACCGGCACGGAGCTTACGAATGTAGAATTCGAGTTCCTTGCCTTCGAGGATAGAGCCGTCACAGCGACCAGATTGACCAGGTCTAGAAGTGATGAGAGCGTAAAGACGACCAGCAGCGAATTGAGATTCGAGGAGAGGGTCGACCTTACCGGACTTCTTACGTTCATCTTGCTTAGCGGAGACGGAGTTTGATCTCTTTACGTTCTCGACTTGCTGGTCAGCTTCCTTGCGACCCTTCTTGGTGACTGGCTGGCCGTAGTGAGATTCATACCATTGTCTGAATGGGTGAGCATCAATTTGAATGATAGCGCCCTTAACCAAAGTGTTAGTTCTGACCAATTCGTTGTTTGATGCGTTGTAGACAACACCAATCAATCTAGTCTTTCTGGTGCAGTGCTCAGAGCCCCAAGCAAAGTTACCAGAGTCTAATCTAAGAGCTCTGTGCTTGAGGTTACCACCACGAACTCTTACTGCTCTAACTCTCTTTTGGCCAAGACGAGTGTTGGCTGCTTGACGACCGAGCTCGTGGACACGCTTCTTACGGAATTGAGCGCGCTTGGCACCTGTAGCTGAACGTTTGTGGAGCGTATCGCGAGTGATACTGAGAAAAGAGAAGTGAGAATGAGTTGAATAAAGAAATTGATTACTAACCCCATGGTCTATTCAACGCGTTAACTTGATTTATTCTCATTCTTAAGAAATTCACTCACTCTATGCTACGTCGTCGTAAGGAGAGAAATTTGATCGATGAAAATCGACTTTGATAACGAAAAAATTAAAAATATTTTAAAATTGAAATGAGTGGTTATCTAGTAATAGGAATTGGAATATTATCATTAATTACTGCATTTCTTGCTTTTTATTTGACTAAATCTGGTCCAAATCAGATGTGAGTGGTCGGATTCTTAGTGGGATTATTGGTGGCTTATTATGCACTTCAGAATTATACGAACATCCTTATTACTTACAATAGCCTGTTGTTATATCATGTGGGCTATAGTTTATATGGCTCAATTACATCCAATTATAAGTGAGTTTATTTAATAGTAACATTAATAGCAATTGCTTATATTTTTATAGCACCAAAGAAATCCACTAATGAAATATAAAAAAACACTTGAAATTTCCTATACGCGTCTCTTTCTTTCAAATACCATGTATCACAACAAAGACATAATAAATAAACTAGCGAGAGTTAGAAATAACATTAATACCGTTCAATCCAGGATCGACTCGACTGATACCTCCAATGGCAATAACACTCAACTCGACTTTCTACCTTCCTTACACTACCTATCCACCCTATCCACCCTATCACAACAACTGCACACCTTCAGATCTGCAGGTATTTCAACTTTTCAAGTAAACATTCAAAATGGTAAAAGAGAGAAATCTAGAAATGACATCACCCAAAAAGGTTTGGCAGTTAGAATTGAAGTATTTACCTCGAAAAAGTACTTGGAGCCTTTCTATTTGATCATGTCTAGGGAAAAAGGCGTTGAAAATGTTATAAATATCAATCACCACACTATACCAAGTTTCATCGATATTGACTCACTTGGTAAACGTTACTTGGGTTGGTCAGATTACTCTTCTTTTAGCAAATATCACATTCCTTCATCTATAAACACTTGGGCTTTCATCGAATCTGTCCAACTTCATCTTACTGCTTTTGCTCAAAGAAGGCTACAAGCTAATCTATGCAAACAACATTTAAAATTCCTTGGTGAATCCCTAGAAATTATCGCAAACGATGGTTATCAGAACATTCAATTCGAATGGGAAATTAATCCTCTACGCATTCAAACTAATCAAATTGGTAGGGGTCAAGACCTCGGTAAACTCCCCTACAAACGTAAAGTTAGAGTTCAAATAGAGTTTACCAATCTTTGCTTCTCTCATTTGCACATTGAACGTCGTCAAAAAGGTGGTCATATATCTGTCGAAATTATCCTGAATTCCCTTCCAATTAATAGCATTAGAGGTTATGAATCTAACCCACCTTTTGTCTTTCCACAACAATTTGAACACCTCTTTTGGTCTCGTGAACAGGCTTCTCAAGTGAACAATCCTTGGATGATGGACTTACATTTAGGCATATCTAAAGTCGTGAAAGCTATAAAAAAGGGTGACTACGTCGCTCACTTCCCTAAAACTGTTAGAATTCCCGTTGAAACTCCCCCACAACCTTATCAAGTTGAAGATGATGAAGTCTTGCCATCTGAACAATACAATCAAAGAATTGATAGAGTTCAAAAACGCATTGCCGTTGGCCCTCCTGAAGACGCTCAAGATAATCAGCTTTGGCTAGACACCGAACGAGCGTACGAGTCTTTCAGTGAAAGATGGCATAATTTACCTAAAGATAAGAAGATTCAAAAGAATCAAGCTGCAAATCTCAACAAGTTTGCTCATAAGTTTGACGCAAATCTTAGAAAAACCCTTCCAAACCAAATGAAGGAGGTTAGAAATAAAGTTAACTCAGCTGAGGATTCTCGAGCAGAAGACGGAATTTCTCATTTCCTTTCGCCTGGTCCATTGGAGGGGAAGAGATCACAAGCATCAGAACAACCGCTATCTCATGACATAACTGCTTCTAGTCTCAAACAAGCTGAAGTCCCAGCAGAGGGTACAATGATTGAAGGGATACCAATGCAGAACAAACGAAAAGAAACTTCGACTCAAAGAAGTGAGCGCAAAACAAGAACTACTAAAGCACGCAGGACTTCAATGCAGAAATATCTTGACAGGCTTAGAGAATCTAAAGAGAAGAAATCCAGTTCATCGGAAGAAGGCGAAGCGTCTGTACCGGCCAAGAAAGGGTATAAAACATCATCCAATATAAGCGAGAGAGGTCCCACACCATTTAGATCTCAATCGCAATTTCTCCAAGAGCAAGTGAAAAGCTTGAAGAGAAATCGTATCAGGAGTGAGAAACAGTCAATACGTAATAGAGAACAAATTCAAGCGACGAAAGAGAGACAGAAAAGCTCTGGTGCAAGAAATGAAAAATCCAAAGGTAGAAAGCAGCGGAAACAATAATAAAAATTCCCTTGTATTGTAAATTATTTTGTAAGCATATATTTAATGTTTAATAGTTTAAGATTGGTATATATTTAGCTCAGCTCAGCTATTTTGTTCAGATGGTGGAACATGTCCAGCCTTTTCAAAGTGTTTGACATGAGCGAGGAGTGTTTCCAAGTAATGGTCTGTGCTTTCTGGACAGATACGTCGTACGTGCTCTGCCAACTGATATAAATAATCCTTGTTAGTTCCACTCGGACCCTCGTGTGTGGCAATCAACATAGCAAGTTCATCGATAGGTTGAGGACCGACAAAAGCCGGATTATCAAGTCTTCCAACATAAATCAAAACGTTTTCGAATGCAACTTTATTATCAGCGCCGTAAACGTGAATACGTTCCTCGGTGTAGCCGTTCTTTTCTCTGTCATCTAGGTACGCTTTTATCTCGGACGAATGCTCAGGAGCTATCTCGTAAATGACACCCCAAACTTGGTCGTCTTCGGGAAATGCGTCTCCTTTGCCGCAGGGATGACTCGCTCCGTACATGGCCCACTCGTCGCTGTGTACGATTGTGCATACACGGCCGGGATTTTCAACTGTACCTCTATGGTCACTGCTGGACTGGGCAAATCTTCGAGCAAATCCTTTAATGAAGCCAGGATAGCAATTAACATACTAACGTGGGTGGTTAGGAGCACATAGCACATAGACTATAGACTACAGACTAACATGAGGAACTGGTTTGTATAATAAACTGCCATATCCGAATACAAATAAGCTCATTCCGGAGACTGATTGATTGATTGATTTATTGATTGTTGGTGGTGGACGGATTACAACCACGCTGGGTCACCTCAGCTGAAATGCATGCACAAAACACTCAATACTTAATGTAGATTATCGGCTAGTCGTCACCTTTCGGCGGTATATTCTGCGCGCAATACCCGCGATAAATCCAAATCGGGAGCAGCGAACAGGGAACCAGAGCAAGAAGGATAGAAGAGGAGGTAAATTCAACAATGAATTTGCAACTTTACTAGCTTGCTTGTTTTCGCATTCGCTTTCACGTGCCGCGGTGGCGTGTTATCCCCGAAGACCGAGGAGAGAGGAGACACTAGACACGCGTGACGGCTATCAACCAACAACAAGACAAGACAAATGAAAGACGAACTGAAAGACGCAAATTTCCCAACCACAGCAGACAAGCGTGTGTATCACTTGGGTAAGTGTCAAGTGTGGATGCTATGCGTCCGCTTCAGCTTGTCGCTTACAAAGTCAAGGTCTGCGCAAGGGTGAAGTAGCCAATAGGATGCTAGTCGTTGGTGATAGTGGACGCGCTAGAATGCTCGCTGAGAATTTCGATACGCCCCCTTTCCATCTCAGGAGCGATAGAGGGTTCGAATGCTACACGGGAGTGTACAAGGGCGTCCCTATCTCTGTACATGCTATTGGAATGGGCTTCAGCGCCATGGACTTCTTAGTGAGAGAAGCTAGAGCTTGCGTCGACGGTGATATGGTTGTCGTTAGGTGCGTCATTGTTGATTGCACTGAGAACCATCTAATTGCGGTTGTGATTACTACGTAGGATGGGTAGCTGTGGCAGTATGAATCCAGATGTCGGCGTTGGCAGTACAGTCACGCCAGCCGCTGCTTGTGCAGTCACATCGAACTACGACTATTTCACCCAAGACGACTACCCAGGAGAGCCCTATCTGATCAGTAAGCCTGTTAAAGCGGATGCGGAGCTCCATCAGGCATTATTCGATACCGTCAGGCAAGCACACGAGTATACCTACGAGTCAAACCAAGACAGTGGTCCATTATGTCTTGGAAACACAGTAAATGCATCCGCGGACTCCTTCTATAGCAGTCAGGGCAGAATCGACCCCAGCTTCCCTGACACTAATAGCAGCTTGATGCAGAACATCATGGACCAGGTTCCCAATGTTACGACATTGGAAATGGAGACACATCAGCTGTACTTCTTGGCTCACCTTGCTAACAAGCGTAAGGGCATTACTGACGAGTCAGCTCTTCAACAAGCTCCTGCTTCCCATGGCAAGATCCGTGCTGCTGCTGTGCAGATGGTCTTTGCTGCTAGAGCATCTCGCGCTTTCATTTCACCAGCTCAAGTGAAGCAGCTGCAAACATGGATTGGCAAAGCTTCTTTGGATACTTTGGCTGGTTTCGATATACCACCTCAATCAACCCAGAAAGATGGTATTTGGAATAAATAATTAGAATAAAGATAATTATGCATCGCGTGATCCCGAATTAATCTGATAATTAAGTTTAGAAATATTACATTCCTGCTTCCTTGGCGTTGTTGTCGGCTTCCTTCTTGATGGTATTCATGGCATCTTGAGTCAACACCATCGTTGGTGGGAGTGTGGAGATTGGTGGGAGGAGAGAAGCAGTTGCTTTGCGCGAGTTTTGAATGAGTAATTGATCCATTATGACAATAGATGCCATTGCTTCTACGATTGGTACAGCGCGTGGGACGACACATGGATCATGTCTACCGCGAGCTTCTAAAACACCAGCCTCACCGTTATACTTTGCAGTTTGTTGGGCTTGTGAAATGGTTGCTGGTGATTTGAAACCCATTCTGTGAAAAACATGTTAGTGGATGTATTTTAGTGATTAATTCATAAAACCCACTTGAAGTAGATGTCTTCACCGTTGGATATTCCACCTTGGACACCGCCAGACCAGTTAGTGGCGGTACCAAGACCGTTCAAGCCCTTGTTAGATTTAACAAAAGGATCGTTGTGTGCGGAACCAGGAACCTCAGTGCCTCTAAAACCGGAACCAATCTCAAAAGACTTGGTGGCAGGTATACTGAGCATAGCGTGTCCGAGCTTAGCTTCGAGCTTATCGAAAACAGGTTCACCCAAACCGACAGGACAGTTTCTGATAACACAAGTGACAGTACCACCAATACTATCGTTAGCTTCCTTTGCTTTGATGATACGCTCAGTCATTCTTTTAGCTGTTTCAGGGTGTGGGCATCTAGTAGTATCTTTGTCAACATCTTCACGAGTGGTATTTTCCAAGATGTGTCTGAATTCTTTTGAGATGGGTTCATCTGAATCTGTTGGAATGAAAGGGATGTGTTCTTTACCAACTGAGCTAACGAAAGCTACAATTTCAACATTGTGTGCCAATTTTAAGTATTTTTCAGCGACAGCACCTGCAGCGACTCTACCGATAGTTTCACGAGCAGAGGATCTGCCACCACCAGAGCTAGCTTTAATCCCATATTTACCAAGATAAGTCCAATCCGCGTGACTAGGTCTTGGATATAAATCGGTCTCAGTGTAATCGTGAGGGCGCTGATCTTTATTTTGAACGAGTAAACCGATTGGGGTGCCTAGAGTGACGCCATGTTCAATACCAGATTGCAATTGAACAGCATCAGCTTCGTTTCTAGGCGTTGTGAGGTTTGATTGGCCAGGTCTGCGTCTAGACAGCTGCGCTTGAATATCAACATCCTCAAGTGGCAATCCAGGGGGAATTCCATCGATTATACACCCAACGGACTTGCAGTGACTTTCACCGTAGGTTGTAACTTTATAAAGGCTCCCGAATGTGGACATTGATGGTGGTGGTTTGAAATGAAATTACAAGCTGAATTTGGTAATTAACTTGAAATTTACTTGAAAATTAATTTTAAATTTATTTCATTTTAGTAGAAATGTTATCTTTGAATATAACCGTCGTCATTAGAAGTAGAATGATCTCAGCAGCACTCAGATTCAGCACCTTTGGTAGAATTCAATCGAGATCTTTAACCAAATTGGCAGGTAGATCTACAAATTCAAATGTTCCCTTGAAATTTCCAAGGTTTAATCAAAGTTAGTCATAGCCACACGGGTATATGCAGGTATGGACTAACAATCCACAGCCAGATCCATGTTCATTCAAACTGAATCCACTCCCAATGAGGATAGTTTGAAATTCATTCCAGGAGTTCCTGTCATGTCCAACAACGGCACCGCTGAATTTACCGAAGCTAAATCTTCAATTGGTTCCCCCTTAGCAATCAGATTATTCGGTATTGATGACGTTAGATCGGTTTTCTACGGTCCTGACTTCGTCACCATCTCAAAACACCAAGAATCTAAATGGAACCTTCTTAAACCCGAAATATACTCCATCTTGATGGAGCACTTCTCATCTAAAGCTCCTTTATTTAGAGACGCCGCCGCTGAAGAAGCTGCTGGCCCTCAAGATACTAAAATTCTCGACACAGACACTGAAATTGTTGCAATGATTAAAGAACTCTTAGACACTCGTATAAGACCTGCCATCATGGAAGATGGTGGTGATATCGAATATAGAGGCTTCGATGAGGTCTCTGGTATGGTCAAACTTAAACTCAAAGGTAGCTGTAGAGGTTGCTCTTCTTCCTCCGTCACCCTTAAATCAGGTATCGAAAGAATGTTAATGCATTACATTCCTGAAGTCAAAACGGTTGAACAAGTTTTAGACCAAGAAGAAGAAATCGCTCTCAATGAATTCTCAAAGTTGGAGCAACGCCTTGAGGAGAAGGAGAATGACAAGAAGGATAACAAACAAGATCTCAGTCAATACATGTCTGTATAATCTCACCATTTCTGATTCAATTTTGCTCACATTTGTATATCTCCTTACGATTTATTTTATTTGCATAGATTCATTTTAATTCACATTAATTCATTAAGCTTGGTTATTTAAACCATTTTATTATTTTATCAGTTGACTCAATCACCCATTGCACACCCACATCGGATGCAATCCAACCAAACTCACTCTCACCAGCCTTCTGTAGACCATAAGCATGACTTAATAGTTGGGGTTTGACGCCGCCTTGGGTTCTCAAACAGGCCACAGCTATTATACTTGTCTCTACACGGCCGATTGGATTGTCTGGTGAAGGAGGTGCTAGTAATGCTGCGTAATGGTTATCAATGATATACCTCCCCATATCTGGATGGTTTTGATTGAGGATATTTACCAGCTTTTCGTGGAATGGGTGATATATAGATTCCCAGAGATCCTCACCGCGTGCTTTGAATTGATCGAGATTTTCACTGGTCAAAGCTCTTGATTGAGGTTGATTAGATATTCTTTCCTTTATTATTTCAGGTATAACACCCCTTATTGCAGATAATGAGTTTATTGCTTTAGGAACGCCATTGAGAGTGATTGTCTTGAGACAGCATTCGCGTATAACGTGAGTTAGATTTGTAGCTTTATTCAAGTCATCTGAGTTGGTCAGATTGAGTGGTTCTAAGTAAGATTCGTAGAGTTGAACCAATGCGTTAGGGTTGTTGAGTGTTTCTATTGTTGAAGTGAGTATGATGAATGGTGAAAGATGATTGGATGGCGTGAATGCGTGGTTGATTGGTGGAGTATTAACAGATCTAATCAATTCTGACATATTGACTGAATTCAGTCTGGTATTGTAATCAATATCATTGATTAATGACTTAGTATTACTTGATAGGTACCCTACGTATCATTATAAACCATTGAAGACCTCAAGCAACTTGAAGAAAAATCCACTTACGCCTCAAAGACATGATTCCTTGAATATCCCCAATGAGCAATTCAAGCAATTTGAGCAATTAATTAAACAAAATGAACCTCAAACTATTTTTAATTCTATTCGCTGTTATTATATTACATATCATAATCACTCCCTATACAAAAGTAGAAGAATCTTTCAATCTACAAGCAATCCACGACCACTTGATCCACAAGCCAAAAAGACTTGATAAATATGATCATATAGAATTCACTGGGGTAGTCCCACGTACATTTGTTGGCAGTTTGATAATTTCACTTCCACTGTCTCTACTGAAAATATTCAAGCTACGTCTATTCAATTATCAGTACGCAGCTAGAATATTAATTGGTGGTATCAATGCACTCACAACGCAAATCATATTCGATGAAGTAGATAGCTCATTTGATTTCAATTCAAACACCTGGATGACGCTCCTCACTATAACTCAGTTCCACTACCCCTTCTGGTCATCAAGAACACTGCCAAATTGTTTTGCACTGCCTTTAGTAAACCTGAGTCATTACTTCTACATCAAGTCATCAACTAGAAAGAATAACAAGTCTAGATATGCTGCTATATCACTCATTTATATCACAGCTGCTGCTGTCATCTTTAGAATAGAGTTGGTTGCAATGATCTTACCGATGGTGTTTCAACTGTGGTTTAATAGACGTCTGAGCACCTTTAAGATTGCTTTGATTGGTGGTGTTACTGGATTGACAGCGTTATGTTAGTATTTTTTTTTTGGTAGGGTGAAGTCATCTAACACCGTTGTAGTCACTACTATCCTTGTAGACAGCTATTTCTGGTCATCTAAACTTCTCTGGCCGGAGTTAAACGGATTATTGTTCAACGTATACAACAACAAGTCTTCTGAATGGGGTGTATCACCTTGGTACACGTACTTTCTAGCGCACCTACCAAAACTGCTGATGACAGGATTACCGCTGAGTATTGCAGCTTTATTACCAAAGTCTTCCTTCCTTCCCAACGAGATAAACCAAAAGTTCATTACGATACACAACAAAGTCGCCTCGTTCCAGCCAGTATCTCTGCTATTCCCGTCAATCAATTATATATTTATTCTCAGCTTTCTAGGACACAAGGAGTGGAGGTTTATCATCTACACCATCCCTCTCTTCAATGCTTTAGCTGGGTTGGGGATGGGTCGATTGAATGATTTGTGGAAAATGAATACGGTGCAGATGAAATTAATGGCTCTCGTTCCCGTACTTGCATTGGCGGTTAATTTCTCTGCTACTTTTCTAGTTACTGCGTTAAGCTCACTCAATTATCCTGGCGGTAGTGCACTCAGTCAGTTCCATCACCTGGTTGCTCAGCAGCCACCATCTACTGTACACCTAGACGTACTAACCGCAATGACTGGCGCTAGTAGATTCGGTGAGCTGTACAGAGATGTAGGGTGTGATATTGGCGAAGAGAAGGTGTGCACTGGCTGGTCTTACTCTAAGAATGAAGATCATATACCAAGTGAAGCTCAATGGAAGATTTCTGCTGACACTGATGATGAATGGACGGTTGTCGATTCTGTCAGAGGATTCAAAGGTGTCAGTCTTCGTAATCTCAACATCGATATTGGCGAGTTACTTCATATACAGAAAAGGAAAACTACTTGATGCTTATTTGTAGACATTATTTTACAACACTGATTTGAATGAAATAATTTAATTTGATAGATACTTTCAATCATAGTGGCAACAAAGGGAATGATTGAGTCGATGCAGATTTTGAAGTTGCGTATGAGTTTGTGATGGATTCAGATTGTCGGGTGTTTTTGTCATTGCTCTTGAGTCTCGCTTTCGGGGGAAGAAAAACGGTAAGCGACAACCTGCGCTCTTTTTGCGATAGCTGTGACTGTGTAGGTGGTATGAGCGGATCAGATGATGGTGTTTGGTTGGTGGTGATTTGCGTGTTGTGTGAATATGACTGTGAATTTGAATTTGACTGTATTTGTGACTGCGTCATACTCACGCACCCACTAAACACCCTCAACACATCAGCTTGTATTAGAAAGGTTAAAAAAGCAACTAAACCAGTCGCAGCAAATGCTAACGTGGAACCATTCTCGAATCCTCGAAATTTTATAGTCGACTTGAGTAGAATCACAAGCGAGGTTACGCTGTAGTATAAAAATAGAAATATTCTACTTATCAGCTGGATGTCAATGGATAATCTAAACTTCAATAAACCTATTTGAGATAAACGTAACTTGAATAGTAAGACACCTGTCCATAAAGCCATGATCATTAGGAAAAACATAATGAGAGTAGCAGTTAAAACGGTTGCCAAGTTGAGCTGCGCGTTTAACACCACACAAAAGTAAGGTGTGCGTACAACAAGATCAGTATTTTTGAGTGAAGTGATTAAATGTGCAATAAAGAAGGGTATACCAAATAGCCAAGGGACGAGTATGAGGATGGGACTGTCAATGTACTCCTTTAAATAGAAAGTTGAAGTTGCTTTTGCTGTGTTCACAGTTGACCAGATACGTATGGTTACGATCAACGAAGAAGAGCTATTCATAATCATACCAACACCTCTGACTGTTGCGTTGATAACCCTTATCGATGTCGGTATATCTTCAGTGTGACTTGACTTATGTCCTGTCCAGAATAAAATAGCATCAAACCATAGAATTATTGAAAATAGCGCGTAAAATTGTAATAATAGTAGATTTCGTTTGATTCTTTTTGAGTAGATTGTTGCAATGAACAAGAACAGATGACCTATGCTACCTTTATCATGTTAGCGGGATTAATACCAACCAGAAATTACACAAACCTGCTACAAGAATACCGTAATAAGCATTGAGATAACGTTCATGTGCAATATCAAATACACCGTGATTGCTCATATATCGTTTAACATTTGTTTGAATGATTATGTTTACACTAAGCCAAGTTGCTCCGACCAACTAATTAGTTATAATTAAAAATGATTATCTCTGGTATGAATATGGCGTGGTGAAGATGCGTTAATTAAATTCTTTATCCTTGAGGGGGCGAGGTGGCGAGGCGGTTGATAACGTTAATTCACATTAATCATTTTTCCTTGACAAGTTTAATTGAACAGGCTGTCAAAGGTTGTAGTTATACTATACCCTGATTACCCCGGAAAATTTTGACGATTGAATCCAATTTAGAAAGACATGTATCAAAAGCTATTTACATTGTGATATGGATATTAGGAGTCTCTTGATTTTCTGCGCAAAGTTATTTAGTAAAGATGAGCCAAGTGATAAGGTAATAACCTACTTAAAATCATCCTCTGCAGATCTCTGAATATCCTCAAGATCACCTTGGATAGTATTCAAAGCCTCAACTGAAGCAGAGTGGTATGAGATTTGACTGGAGATGATGAGTTAGTAAAACGAGGTAGAAAACACTATACGCACGCTTTAACGAGCTTGTTGAGAGAAGTTAAAGGTTCGGGGTTTTCCAAAACATTCTTCATTAAAGAGATGGCAGTTTCAGTTTGAGTGACGAGTTTATCTTCTGCAGATTCCATTTCTAATCTAGCTTGTTCAACTTTTTGAGGAGAGGCAGTTTTGAGACCTTGTTTACAACTATCCAACCATAATCTGGAGTTCCTAACTTGAGATCTAGCATTTTTGGCGAGTTGGATTGAAGTGTTTAGGGTGGTTTGCCAAGGTTGTAAGAAGCCAATAAGAATATCGTTATCTTGTACGAGTCTACCGTTGCCAATTTTATCATGAGCGAGTGCAAACTTAGTGAGAGCGTTACCCAAGTGATCAATTTCACCAATTTCCAAAGCCGAGGTAGCAGCAGCTCTAGAGAGAGCATGTGATAAGGTTTTAGGTTGAGGGACAGGGGCAGTTGGTTGAGGTATGTTAACATTTTTTAAGTTTGAGTTAGCAAATGAGCTGAACGAGTGCCACAATTGGCCGGATTGTTCAGATATAGAGTTATGGAATTGAACGGGGTAGTCATAGCTTTCATTCTCGTAGACTTTAGTAACCTTGAGTAGGTGCTTGTGTACGGATTCCAAAGCATCGACTTTGTTCTCTAACTCGATGTAGTCATTTGGGAGTGTTGTTATGTCTGCTTCATCCACTGCACCAAATTTCTCCCTATTGGGGGTTAAGGGGTTATCAAACAATCAACAACACAACCGACCTCGCAGCTTGCAATTGATTGAAAATTGACTTGTTTGTGTTTAAATTTGAGAATAAGTTTAGTTTGTCCATATGACAAGAAAGTACAAGAGTAGATCAGTTAATCGGCTTTATCTTAAAGTGGAGAGTGATTAAACTAAAAATTAAACATTTAAGATCTTGAATGAGGTAGTAGAAAACGCGTAAACCTTCTGGGTCCTCGGAGTCTTGTACTTCAACCAAAGAACCCAGTTTACACGTTTGAAATGATATGTGATTGTTATCTAGCTTTATTTCTAACTCTTGTGTACCATTAACGTTCTTCTTTGGCCAATTTACGTCATTTTCCCTTAGTATTTCTGCCTCCTCAACGACCTTCTTCAGTTGATTAGCAAGTAAGCCACCTAGCCACAACTCCTTTCTAATCAAGTCATCATTTCTGTAATTTGAGTTGTTGGCGTATCTCAGCCTTCCTCTGGTGTATTCAAATTCTAAAAATTCGTGTCCGTATTTTCCACTATGGCCTGAGTAGTAGCGCAGATAGAAAGGGCTATGAACGTGTGTATTAGAAGTTGAATAACATTGCAACTAACACGCACTCATGTAAAAGCTCTGTAGACCTATAAACCTTATTAGAATATTCTCAATTTCAACGCTAGACTAACATGATTGATTGTGGTTATTACCTATTATCAACAACCATGTTTAGACATATAAATAAAAATATTCATAAATCCACTCCGAATCTTTTAACCCGTGGAAATGCGTGGGTTTACCTATGTATCCACACACACATACTCACCCACTCCACCCAGCAACTTCCCAAGAATTTTACAACCAATCCAATACGACGACCAGCCATCCACTAACAATCTCTACAACGACATTCATAACGCTCCCATTTCCTTCAAATCCCCTGTAAATTTACCAAAGACACACAACATCCCGATCGCTACCCTTCAACTGAAAGCTCACTCAACAGATAACTTGGATTTCTTCGCTGACTTTGCACAAAGATCTGCTTACCATTTGGGAATCGTTCTCACTGGCCCTGTGCCCCTTCCAACCACCCACCAACGCTATTCCGTTCTCAAATCCCCTTTCGTACATAAAAAGTCTCAGGAAATTTTTGAAAAACGTACACACGGCAGACTTATTAAAGTTTGGGATTCTGACGAGCATGTTGTGAAGAGATGGATCGCTTACCTGGATAGTCATTCTATGTCTGGAGTTCGGATGAAATTTGAACTTAATCAATACCTGAAATTGAACTTTGGTGATGCTTTACCGTCAATTGCCAATGACTCTCTTAGATCTGATGATATTAAACATTCAGCTCAATCTCTACAGCATTCTATTATTGAAAATCTTCACTCTGAGCACAAATAATTCAAATACATTTCATTTATTTCATTTCGTTCGTCCTGTTCATCCTTTTTATTACAAAATCATCACTCAATCAATGTCTGATCTTTCTTCATATCCTCAGGCAACATCTCAGCCATAGATGGTCTACGCTTCGCCATTGATGCTCCTGTGCCTTTACCACCTTTACCCTCTCCGTCATACTCATCGTTGGCCGGTCTAGACAGTCTGCGTCTATCCCCATCCGGTACCTTCTCATTAGGGTTCAGTATCGTTCCATCCTGCTTGACTGTATCGTTTAGTGACATCTCACTCATAGACGCTCTCTTTATTCCCGTCAGTCCTGTCATTGATGGTCTGCTTTTGCGTCTTGTCATGGAGTTGCTGCGAGATTGTGGAGGTGATGCTATATTTTCGCGTACTATAACGCAATTAGTTTATTATCCACAACGAATGAAACCACAACTCACAAGTCGCATCTGCTTTAGCTTCGTCATTCAGCGCATTCGACATTCTCCTCCCCTTCATCTGTTCATTGGGCAAACCAGCGAAATCGGAAGGCTTCCCATCCTGCATCTTGGCTCTATTTTCTACGAGGGTGTTATCGACAGTGAGCTCCTTAGGAAGTGATTGCGACATCATCCTCGGTTTCTCCCTATCGGGTAAAACACCATGTTCGATCTCATCCTCATCGTCAATTGCCGAATCTCCATACTGCATATACTCATATCTGTTAACAGGTTTGAACTTTTCAATAGGGTTCACTTCCTGTCCGGAGAGCGACATAGATCTCTCTTTCATTGACATAGATTGAGCCGTGGCAAAACCTGTGTCTTCACGCTCAGCGCGTGGCGGTTTAGTGATATTCTCAAGTTTTGTAGCATCCATCGATGCGCGCTTATTGAGTGACATGGACATAGCTGGGTAATCGTCGTGGTAATGTGGTCTCAAGTCGCTACCCGCAGTGAGAGGGTAGTCTGATAAAGTAGCTGACTCTCCCACTGCATTGATTGACGCGCGAGATCCTCTTCTCATAGCTGCCTCTCGAGCCATCTCGCCATCAGCTTCTGGCGCGATAACTGGTTCTCTAATAGCAGAATAGTTGGTCGTGTCTCTTGCTGAAGCGTTAGTCAAAGAGTCCGCCATATCCATTCTATCATATCCTTCAACCTCAGGTCCAAGTAGGCTGGTACGGTCAACTTGCGGCTTAGTTATGTTCTCGCGCAGTGTAGCATCCACGACTGAAGTCTGCGTAAGTGAGTCCGCCATAGATTTTCTGCGTCCTCCTTTCGCAGCTGCACTGGCTGGGTCGTCATGAGAGTTTCGACGACTGCCACCCATACTTGATGGACCACTGAATGGGTTTTCGAGCTGCTTAAGTACGTCACCACGCAGCTCCGGGTGTTGCTCTACTTCAGCCCTAAATGCATCACGTGCTCCGACGGGGTGCTGCACATAAACACCACCACTTGTAGTAGTCACATAGTTGTTCGCTTGCATTGACTCCTTGCGCTGTCTAGGCGTTTGGAAGAATTGCTGCGCCGCTGCTGAGGGTCCGTCGCTGTGTAATTGATCATTTGCAACTACTGCCTTCAAGTCAAAGAGCGCCTTGGTTGCTTCTAGCTGCTCATTTATGTACTTGACCATCGCTTCCTTCACCGTGCTAGCCACACGCTCTTGCACATAAGGCCAGAATGTCTTATAGATGTTCGCTTTGATTCCTTCCCCTCCATTCACATCGAATTTAATATCATTGATCTTAATATCGAACCCTTCGAAGTTGCCAGTAGCGGTGAATTTGAGTAGCACATCAGCATCATATTCAAGATCCCCTGTGCCTTCATCGGATACCCCAACAATGCTCTTCTGTGAATACTGGTAGTTGAGTCCCTTAGCAAAGAACTTCAAGCCACGCATAACCGCGGTGACGTTGGTGGATGGGTTGAATGAATCCCTCTGCAAGAAAGATATATTCGAGTGAGAGTCGAGTGAAAAGTCCTGAGGAACCATTGTCGATAGAACCAAATTGATGTTAGAGAAAACATACTTAAAGTCATCATCCTCCCCTTCAAACTTGTCGAGCTGTACATTGATAAAGTCCTTGGTGGCCTGTCTGGCTATTTCAACAAGTGTCTTACCATACGGAGCATACTGTCTCAAACTCGAAATCGCACGCTGGACACGTGCTATTCTTGAGTTACCCCTAATAGCATCGGAAAGCTTTCCGAACTCATACGCTAACGCGTTAGATGGCAATTTTTCACCCACGACTGGTTTGAAGCGGTTGGCAATTATACCAACTCTCGTTGTACAGTTTGTTGGTATGTAAGAGTAACCAAGTGAATGAGTCTCAACAGCTGGTTCACCACTTAGTTTAGAATCAATTGCAGAGTTGAGAAGGGCGGCAAAAGAATCTGAGACATCAGCCTTGTTCTGCTCAAGTGGCTCTGCAATCGCTGAACGAATAATAGATGGAGCCTCGGTCAAAACTTGCTCAAACCCAATGATAAACTCTCCAAGTGAATATATGGCTGGTGCAATTTGCGAACCTGTGAGCATTTGAAGTATGTTTCTAAGCACGAGGAAGGAGGAGCGCAGTTGAGAGGATTGATTGCCACCTGCAAGAGCATCCAACAGGACAAAGACGAGATTACGACGTAAGTCAGTCGATAAGTCCAATAAAGTGGTCAAAGGCTCAAGAGCTGAAAGGAACAGAGAGTGGAATTCTTTATCTTGGGCGATTGAGTGGAGTGATTGGTCGAGATTGGAGATATGTGATGAGAGGGGGTACTTTGAATAGAATAACTGACCAGCATTCTTGAGAAGACCAGTGAAATGATCGAGGGCTACAACAATTTTGGCCTTATCGACGATAGATTTGCGTTCGAATGACGTCATCAAGATAGCTGTGATGATATTTTAACGGGTTGAATAAAGTTCAATTAAAGAACTCACCTGTAATCTCAGACAAAGCACCTTTGAAACCTTTTAAACAACCAAAGATTTGGTTGATGAGGGTGTTCTCCACTTGTATTGTACCAAAGAGGTCCTCCCAAGCAAGTGAGAATGATTTGATAGCGTCATCGAGGGCATCTTCTTGTGGCTTCTCATCAACTTCAAGACCTTGAATCGCACCAAAGAAAGATTTGCGTGGTTTGAGTGGATCAAGACCCTGAGCCTGAGCGAGAGAAGGTTTCCTTTGACTTGTTGAATCGCCAGGGAAAGCGTTTGAGCGGCGTCTAACGCGTTCACCGGCTGGAGTCAATTGACCAATAGAAGTTCTTGGGGAGGCTGGTTGGATGATACCGTTGCCGTTGACGTAAGGGTTGCTCGTGTAGGACCTTGGGCGTGGGGAAGCAGAAACGGGGTACTCAGAGGCCGAGTAGATTGCAGAAGGGGTTGTTGCGAATCTCGATGCGCCTGCGGGGTGTTGAGTGGAGTTGACGGAACCTCTGCGAGAAGGAGGAGCGCCAGGAGGAGGGTTGTACACTTGTTTGCCTTGACCGGAGATCGGGGTTAGCGGTTTTAATAGGCCAGATAAGCGACCACCGGATTGCCTGGTTGGAGGAGGGGCGTTGAGTTGAATTGGAGTAGATGGAGTAGCTGGAGTAGCTGCAGTGGATTTTGCAGATGAGTGGCTGCCGAATGAGGACTATTAAATTATAAGCCTGGTACTTTTAAGTTTACTTCAACTTACTTGCCGTGAGCGTGGCTGCATTGTGTATAAGATGATGGTTTGGGTTGGAGATGCGATGACGTTGTTGTTGTGGTTAGTTAATTAAATCAAAAATTTATGTTTCAATAGATCCTTGTATTTATCTGGGATGCTTGAATATTTCAAGACGGCTCAGTTGCAGGTGGATAAACATGCAGTTTAACTGAGTAATTTCAAGTAAAGCGTTTAAAGTTGATTGCTATATTTTTTGCATATTTCACATCTCGAATATATCTGTAAAATATAATTTTTTATTCACGTGAAAATGCCTGTTTCTTTCTTTGTCGGTTCATCACGCACAGCGCACAGGGAGGAGAATGTCTGGCAGAATACAAGGAGTACAAGGAATACACCGATGTCCACGCACTGGATGTAACAAAATGTTCAAGTTTATTGATAATTTGGTTTGTTTACTTGGATTTTTATAAAGTAATTCTAATAAACATTCCAGGAGAGACACACAGCACGTAACAAATGTGGTCAAGAATACAATCCTGGTGAGTTACTATAAAATCTATAGTATCCATCTAATCAACGTTTAGCCTCTGTCGTCGAATCCATTGAATCAATCGTAAGCTCATCACAAACACAAAACATAACTAAATCCTCGTAGAATCTAAACATACAAATTGATCCTCCGTTTAACGAATTTAAACCACCTTCCTCACTTGAACCGCGTTTAAGAAATCAACCTCAAAGATCAACTAGAGTTACAGTGCGTTGTTGATTGGAATTTTGCATTCAAACTCATTTAACAAACCTTTAGCGGGGAAATAACAATCACAACACCGTTGAAAAGCAACACGTCATCGATCATGCCCCTTCCTCACGCGATAAAGTATTCCAATGCGATTGTGGTAAACGATATGGCTACAGGGAATCCATCTACAATCACAAAAAACATGGTAAATGCCCCGGCAAACCTTGGGGTGACGCTCTCATCGTTTCTATCCCCGCAAATTCATCCAATTTTCATCCAAACGATACTCAAAAACGTCGTAAGCTGACAGATCATTCCTCTCAAGATTCTGACTCGAAATACTCTTCTTCTTCACCTGCTCCTGTCATTCAACCAAATATACGTCAACCACTTACCCTTCCTTTAGAACATCCCGAACATCCCGAACATCCAGAACATCCAGAACATCCAGAACATCCAGAACAACATCCAGACCAAGAGCATACCATCCAACAACCCGCCAACGATTATCTCCCTCTTCAAGATTCCTCTCCCTCTTTCCCCATCTTGCCCCCTTTATCTGCCTTGGAAGAACGTAAACCTGATGTCTCATTGCTTGTCCAACAACCTTTAATCGTACATCCTCCTCAAACTACCATTCAATACCCAAATCAGCCTCTTTACAATAACAGCAATATGGCTCCCCCTTCTGTTCCCCCTCTCGGTTCTTCCCGTTCAACCCCAACTCCCGATTCCCTCACTTCAAAAAGACCAATGACAAGAGTTCGTCAGCCTGAACATGAGAAAGCTTTCGCTTGTGATTGTGGTAAACGTTTCGCTTACAAAACCTCTATTTATCATCATAAGAATAGAGGTGGTTGTCCTGGTAGACCTTGGGTTACTTCTGAAGGTGGTCATAGAAATAGAGCAAAGACTGGTAAACACCTCTCCATGTCAAGAGCGCACGAGCTTGCTCAAAAAATGGGTGAAATTGGCACTCTTAATGTCGACTTTGATAACGTTCCTGACCACTTGAAAGCAGAATTTTACAAGAATGAATCTTTTGCCAAATCAAATAGCACAAATAGGAGAAAAAGCTCACTTACAAACGCATCAGACTCGAGTCCTAGTGGCGCTCCAAGTACATCTCAAGACGATATAGTCTCTAGGCAGTCTGTTCGACAAAGACCGAATATTGGATTGAGAATTAGAGAATGGAAAGAACCTCACCCGCGTCAAATTGGTAGACCTACTTTAGCTAGACAGCAATTCGAACAAGAGTTGCACTCTAACAAGCCTTCGTTATCAATTCAACACCCACCTGTAGTAACTCCACCAACAAACCAAATTACAAATCCTATGTCTCAATCACCAAGATCTCAAGGTATCCCTCAATCATCTCTACCTATACATCCGTCTTTACAAGTTGCTCAATCAGCTCCATCGTCTACAGGGAATGTTGATGGGCAGAGCAACGCATTTGCATCACCCCAGCAAGCTCTTGTTACCGATGTACCGCTAAACAAACAAGAAGATTGGAACGGTATGAACAATATGAACAATATGGACAATATGAACAATATCACCAGACACACCTCAACGCCACCTTCGAATAAACCATCGTATCCACCACATTCGTTCAATCGGAACAACTCTCATCTCGCACCCTCTAATAGTCACAGTCGTCCATCTGTAGGCTCAGCAACATCATCTCACGCCTCAATCGAGCAGGATGACGGTGGTGATAGTGACGCATACGTTCTTGGTGATGTTGATGATGAAGCCTGCGTGTCTAGGACGCGCTGGGGACCAGCTGGGGTAGAGTTAGCACAAGAATTGGCAAGGCAGCGTTTTAGTTGTGAGTGTGCAATACTAGCATAATCCATCTCACACCTTTCACAGTACCTAAACCAGCAACTCCAACTCCGCAAAGACCTTACGTTTGCTTAGTGCCGGGTTGTTGCAGATCTTACAAGAACAGCAACGGACTAGCGGCTCATTTTTCATCTGTAAGAGAGACAGGACATGGCGAACTGGGACGCAAATTGCGTGATGAGGTTAAAGAGAAAGATAGCAATCCAGGCTATGTCGGTATATTTGACTCTATTTTGAGAGAGCAAGATACTATCAAAAAGGCTCAACCTGACGATGAAGAAGATGAAGCAAATGATTAGACATAGGTGCTAATATCACAAATACCAACACATTATCAATGTCACATTTTCATTAACATCTTGTAAATAAATTCATGTATCCTGTAATTCGACCTACTTATCCGGCTGTGTTGCTAAATGCGGCGAGGGTATCTTGCTGAATGCGGTTGAAGATGAAATTTGCTAAATTAAATAACTAAATATTAGCTACAATGACATTTTGACTTGATCACAATGTAAATCTTTATTAACGTTGATATTATTCGCGCCTGAAAATCTTACCAAATATGAAAATCGCTTGCACACCTTCCCAATACGGTAGTTGATTATATAGAAAACTAAAAACGTAAAGTTGATAGAGACGCGCTTCGTGTTTTGAGCTTTATCTGGAGACACTTACTTTAAACGATCTACGACGACCAATGTCTTATTACGAGAATAACCAGCAAGGCAATGTGAGTAGGATATAGTAATAAATCAGTACTAACGCGTCGCTAAGTCTGCTAATTATCCACCGCAATACGTCAATCCAGCTTCACTGTCTAGCGGTGAGCAACAACAAAGCAACACAGATGATAGTTTCAAGCTCGATACCATCACGTCAACAAGATTCCCTACGCCACCTTCATCGAATGAGCATCTTATTGAGTTGGATGGTGGACCAACGGGTGATTTCAACATTGGGTACAATTTTCTCCCAACGCCGGAGTCGTCGCCATATGAGAGCGACTTCAATTTGGAGATTCCATCTGCACCTATGAGCCACGCAATGAGCCAAGAGATTTCAAGTGACATGTCGATAGGTATGGCGAACAATTTCGGCAACTCACTCGGAATGTTTTACCCTACACCACCGACATCCTCGATGGGATCGATGCAGAGCAACATGTTCAGCGTTGATCAGACAGGAGTAGACCAAGAACTGCACCGTCTCCTAATGCAGTCGGGTGCTTCTGCACACATTGAGCAGCTGCACCAAGAGGAGAGACAGAGGGTGACACATGCGTACCGCCTGCAGCAGCAAGAGGAGGAAGAGCAGCAGCGCCAGCAGCAGCAACAGCAGGAAGAACACGAGCAGGAGCAACAGCGTCTGCACCAGAGGATGATGTTTGAGAAAATGCAACAGGTAAACATTAGTCAGCAACAGACGCAACAAGCGCAAAACACGCAAACGCATTATCGTCAACCACCACCTCCACCAACTGGGCATCCATACAGAATCGCAGAGCAGAGCACGAGAAGCATTCGTAGGAAGCAGAGTGCACCTGCATTTCGCAGCACACAAGCACAAAGCACTAGCATGGGAGTGCATCCAGCAGCTACTACGAGCATGAACATGAGCATGGGTATACATCCATCTGCTACCATCGCATACCCTCAAGCATCGACGAGCAGCTTGGGTAGAATTGAAGAAAGCCAACCTCAACCTCAAAGAGAGCCACAGAGCTTGCCTCAGAGACAGCCACAGCCATATGGCCAGCCTCAAGTGACTTCCAACGGCCAAAGCAGCTGCCATAGAAATGTACGCGGCATAAAGTCTAAAAGACAAGGAGGGCCGCGTAAAGCCATCTCAATGCCGGCAATTCGCCAGGTTTCATCAATTCAAGCTGAAGATAAGAGTCAGCCTAAAATGACCAAGTCGCCAGGTGGAATAAGTTTCATTAATTTCACTCAAGAACATGCAGAAGCCCTGATTGCAGGAGTTGCACCCTCAGGCTCAAACAAGCGCAAGAAGAAAGCTGCTGCTGCTGCTGCTCAGCAGTAGGTAGAATATTGTTCAAAGATATTCAAATAAATACAAATAATAATAATAATAATGCTTTTTAATCAGTTTAACTTAATTTTATTGTACTTTGTTTTTTACGATGAATTCTCTCTGTTTGATTACGTTGGCGGCGTATCAAGTTGTTTTCGTATCATGACCACCAGCGCGACATCTACATCAACGAGCACAGTATGCCAAGTGCATCCACTCGTATTGCTTAGTGTTTGTGTGTAATTTCTCGTGTAGTTTGTGGAGACGCTGACGAGTACACTCTAGCTGATCACCACGCTCGAGCTGTGAAAGGGTCAAAGAAGCGCGTCGTTGGCTGCTTGTTAGGCCAGGATAATGGATCTGTCATCAACGTAGCAAACTCATTCGCTGTCCCATTTGAAGAAGACGAGAAAGACCCAAAAACGTGGTTCTTAGATCACGATTTCATTGAAGGAATGATGGAAATGTTTAAGAAAGTTAACGCACGTGAGAAGCTGATTGGTTTCTATCACTCAGGTCCAAGTCTCAGAGCCAGCGATTTAGAAATCAATGAGTTATTCAAGAAATGGTCAAATAGACCTGTTATGGTTGTTATAAACGCTGGTGGTGGCGAGGATGATGTCAACAAAGACCAAGGTGAAATACCCGCAGAGGCTTACGTTCAGATTGAGGAAGTTAGAGAGGATGGCTCTCCTCCTGCAAAGACTTTCTTACATATCCCTTCACAAATCGTTGCAGAAGAGTCCGAGGAGATTGGCGTTGAACATCTGTTGAGAGACGTTAGACCAACTAACACCGCCAACGCGAACATTAGCTTGTTGGGTGGTGAGACACTCACCACACGTGTCAGTGCTCTCTTAGGTGCACTCAGGGGGCTTACTAATAGGCTATCAACTATCAGCAAGTATTTAGACGACGTTCAATCTGGTAAACTTCGCACAAATCACTCCATTCTTTATGATTTACAGGAGATTGTCAGTTTGCTGCCTTCAGGTGCAGATGATTCCACTGAGGATATGCTTAAGGCTGTTTCGAGAGAGGGTAACGATGGCCACGTCGTCTTGTACCTCTCCTCTCTCATCAGGGCAGTAATCAAACTGCATGATCTGGTTGATAACAAGTTGACCAACTCACGCGCCGAACTTGGTTTACCTGAAATTAGCAAGGAGAGCAAGGACAAGGAGGAGCAAAAATCAAGCGATTCAAAGGAGACGAAAGATGCAAAGCAAGATGACAAGAAGTAAAGTGCATATATAAATGATATACATGATAATTAATAGTGTATTGTTCTACTAGTGAGTTTCAGCTGTACAAACATGTATGATGTTGGTAATCAGGCACGCTGTGCGAATAAACGTCATAACAGTGGCAGTGTCAGTGAGGTAGGCAATTGACCTGCAGCCAAATTGATTCATTATCAATGAATGTCTGCGCGTTCAGCGTGTTCATTGTTACATGTGCAGCTCATATTTGTGCCTGCAGGGTTTAGAGTCAGGAGTCAGGAGTCAGGGCTGTCCCTAGCGTGCATTAAAGGGATTACGCTACGAAATTGCAAGACCCAACTGCCTAATACACTCTTAGTGAATTCCAAGTCCTTGGCTCAGCCTTCAGAATCGAGCTAATTCAAAACATGTGCGTTAAACAAACGCCATAATTTGAATCAGAGTGGCGCGATTGCAGCAAAGTACCATAAGAACTATCGATGGGTGCAGTTTAATTTCCACTTTGTATCGCTATGACTGTAATTTTACACCTGCATTAAAAGGCGGAACGCTCTTGACACACACAATTATCCGCAATAATCCGTCTTAATCTAGCTAGTTTCCTATTCACAACCCTCAAACCCTTCCTTTGCCATGCTCAAGAGACATGCACCGACTATGAGCTGATTACCATTATAGGTACACTAGAGCCACAGGGACCGTCAATCGCTCTCAAATCCATCACAGACAGCGCTTTAGACGAGTTGCAAGGTGTTTCGAAGTACGACATCGAGTACCCAGCCAGTATCTTCCAAGACTCTAGTGACGCGGTGAACGACACACTAGGCGAGCTGAACGATAAAATATCACAGTGCAACGATATGCAGTTTGTTTTGCTAGGATACTCGTAAGGTGCTTCAGCGGTTTTGGAGATGTTGGACAATTTGTCAGTCGAAGAAACGGAGAGGGTTGTTGGTGTGCTATTTCTCGGTAACCCAAATTTCTCTCAGCTATTCCGTTCAAACAGCTCAACAACGACTGGGACCAATCAGGAAAGGTTCTAGACATCTGCATTGAGGTGAGTAGCAAATTGTTTTGCAATCAGGTCACTAAAATTGCTGTAGGATTTAGAACGACTATATCTGTAATCCAGTGATTTGTCGCATCACTAGACATTTCTTCTACTCAACTAATCCCAAGGTTGTCTAGCGCTCAGTGAAGCACATAGTGACACAGCTCAATTCATAGTATTTTGCATCGAATGATTATCAAATGATCAAGTCATTCCTTATTCTAAATCTCAACATCGTATGCAAGTGCTGTTTCCACTAATGGCTTGATCTGCTCGACTATCTTGACGTGCTCAGGATCGACTATGTATGCATTCAGCGCGTCGAGGCTGTCGAAGGTGGAATAGAGACCTTGAACAAGTTGATTAGAGAATTCCTACAGTCATCCGCGTGATTCCTCACCGTAGTTGTACACTCCACTCTTCTCAGGACGCAATGGCTCGCCTAAAGAGAGCTTGGTTGGGCCATTGAGTGCGTGCAGTGGCTTGAAGACGTCGAGCGTTGCTTGGTCCTTGTTTTTGAGCTTCCAGAGTACTATGTGAGCGACTGGCATTGGTGGTAGTGTGATGAGGGGGATATTGTGAATCAAGACTTAAGTATACATTCATTTACCATTTAACTTGCGTACACATCTTCAGCAGCCCTTCGAATATCATTCTCGAGGTCTTGATAGTCCTCCACGCCAACGCTAAACCTAACAAGGTTTTGGTTGATGCCTAGTTCTTCTCTGAGCGCTTTTGGTATACCTGCATGTGTCATTTTCGATGGCAGCTCTGCCAGGCTCTCTACACCACCGAGCGACTCAGCCAGCGAGAAAAGTGTGAGACGCTCGAGTATCTTTTCACCAGCTTCAGAAACACTGTCTGAGAAGCTGACACTAAGCATTCCACCTGTTGGTACTCCCAAGGAAACATCTCCATTGTTGGCTTTGACGTGCTTTGACATTTGTTCCATCATTATATCATAGTTTGCGTTCCAGGGGAGACCAGGGTACAAAATGTCATGCTTGCTTTTCACCCATCCCCTTTTGACGCCCTCTGTTGCAAAGTAGTGGGCCAACTTGAGTGCATTTTCACCATGTCTCTCCGCTCGGAGGTCTGAGAGATGTGTTAGCGTAGAAAACCACAAGTGGCGCTAGCGTACGCAGCGTTTTTGCTCCCCGCTGTGCCAACCAGCAATCGAAAGCTGACGGTACAGATCCGATGGCATTCTGGAAAAACCTCAATCTCTCCGCCAAATGTTGGTGCTTAGTCACAACTACTCCCATTATAACCTAGTGGGTATCGTTAGACTAACTAGTAAGTAAGATTGTCCACGCACATCGCTGTGGCCGTTGATGTATTTTGAGACAGAATGCAAAACCACATCAGCACCGAGATCGAGGGGGTTTGAGTAGTATGGAGATAAAAATGTGTTATCAACTACCAAAATTGCGTCTCTTGAGTGTGCAATTCGAGCCAAATGAGGGATATTAACAATTTTCATTGTCGGATTCGTCGGAGATTCAACCCAAATCATCTATTATGATCATATCAGATGACTCTTGTAATTACCGAGAGATTATCACCTACTTTAGTATGCTTTTTCCAGTTGCTCGCAATAACAGCCTCCTCGACTGTGCCTTCGAGTGGCACAAACGATGTTTGTACACCTAACAAAGAAGCGACGTGGGTGAAGTATCTCGAAGTACCACCGTATACATCGTCTATTGAAATTACGTGGCTTGGGCCATGCCCTAAAAGATGCAAGAGCGTTGAGGCAGCTGCACTTCCACTTGCAAATGCGAATCCATACTTTCCATTCTCGAGCGCTGCGATTTGTCTTTCTAATGCTTCTCTGTTGGGATTGTTCGAACGTGAGTACTCGAATCCCTATGACGTGTGAGCGATAAGGACGCAAGTGGATATAGCCAGACAGACTTTGTGATTTCCAACGCCTGTTTGAGCGTATGTGGTGCTTAGAGATATTGGTGGAATTACAGCGCCAGTTGATTCGTCTGGTGTGCTACCCTGTGAAGCGTTGAGAGCTGAGCAACGACATTCAAAGCATACTAACAACGTGAATAGCTCGAGTGGCAAAGCTTGGGCTCGTCTGGGCATTATCCATCTTAGTGGCAGTTTCAGTTGCAGTTCAAGTGCAGAAATCACGTCATTTGGTTTTAAAGTAGCAATAAATATCCATTTTACTCTGATTTGTAGTCGTACAGATTCACACTTCCATCGTCTCCTGCGCTGGCTAGAGTCTTGGTTTTCGGCGTGTAGGCCAAGCTGTTTATATCCGCACCTCCGTGTGCTTTGTCTATTGATTCAACTAAAACCAGCTTCGTAATCACGCCATCGCTATATCCAAGTTTCCATAGTGATAAAGTTCCGTCTGCACCGCCAGTAGCGATATAATTTTCATCCAGCCAGACGATGGTATATATAGAACGCTTGTGAGCGTTATTTAGAATGGCGGTGGGTACACCAGCATCATTCCAAGCAATTATACTCAAATCGTCACTAACACTAACCAAGTGGTGACCGCTAGGTGACCATTCGCATGCCCAGACGGTGGAAGAGTGCTTCTTAAAGCGTGAACTAACATACCAATCATCGGAAGGATCGTCCTTGTAGATATTGATGGTATCATCATAGCTAGCACTTGCCAACAGTTCATCCGAGTGAGGGTGGAAAGTGACGTGCTTAACATCTTGAGTGTGCTCCATTAGAACACTAACGCACTCAGGTTCATTACCAGATGTAACTAGGCTGGTTGTTAGATGAAATTAAGCGTTTGTACGTGAGAAAAGAGAAATACCTTCCCAAATCCAAACTGATTTGTCTCGTGAGCTTGAAGCGAGCAAAGTAGACGAGTTATTGAAGGCAACAGACTTGCATTCACTCTCGTGGCCTTCTAAGACTGAAGTGCAAGACCAATTGTCGTGTACATGGTCTTCTTTCTCCCAAATACCAACGGATGCGTCAAAAGAGGCGGTTGCGAGGTAAGAGCCATTAGGTGACCAAGCCAAAGCTCTAACAGTCCTCTTATGCTCCTGTGGCAAGCTAGCGACTTGTGTCCATGACTCGTTCAGATAAGCGTAAAGATGTACTTGATGATCACCAGACGATGAAGCTAATAAATTGGTCGCAGGATTAAACGCAACAGACCAAACTTTATCTTGATGAGATTTAAATCTTTTTATTTCCGATAACATGGTATATCTTCAACGCTGACGTACACCACAATGTCTAGCCCTAAAATTCGTGGCTTGAATCTTGACGTTTTACCTCAGAATTATCCCCAGCCAAGCCACTTTAACATAGAAAATGTTATAAGGAATAATATTTTATCTTTGGAACCATATCGCTGTGCTCGCGATGATTACGATCAAGGTATCCTTCTAGAGTGAGTTGGGTTGTATGCAGCAACAGCAGCATCTTATATTTGAGCAGCGCAAACGAAAATTCACTTGGCTCAACGGTTCAGGCGGATCAAGAGCAGGAATTACACAGATACCCTTCACCTTCTCACCCAGCGATTAAGGAGTCAGTCACAAGGCTTAGATCTTTGCCTTCGATCGATTACGTTTTCTTGGGCGTCGGTTCTGATGAGGTTATTGATCTCCTTTATCGTGTTTGCTGTACTCCATCTCAAGATAAGGCCTTGACTTGTCCACCAACTTACGGCATGTATGGCGTTTGCGCTGTTATAAACGATGTTCAAGTCGAGAAAATACCTTTAGATGTCAACCAAGGTAGATTTCAACTTGACGTTGGTCGTATTCAGGATGCTTATGCGAAAGATGTCGACAATAAGCTGAAATTAACCTTCATTTGCTCACCAGGTAATCCAACTGGGAGTCTCATCAACCTCAAAGACATAATCACACTCCTTGAAGACGAGAACAATAACGGTTTAATCGTAGTTGATGAGGCATACATCGATTTCAGTGATAATGATGCATCTGCTGTGCAATTAGTCGAAAAGTACAGCAACTTGATAGTGATGCAAACACTTTCAAAGAGCTTCGGTCTGGCTGGGATCAGACTTGGCATTGCAATTGCTCAACCACCGCTTATTCAAGTACTATCAAACACAAAAGCACCTTACAACATATCAACTCCTACAGCCAAGCTAGCTGAGGAAGCTCTTAGCGAGAAGGGAGTTGGGAATATGAAATCATTTGTCGCAGAGTTGAAGAAGAACAGAGATTTCTTGATTAGTGAGTTGAGCTCATTCAAAAACGTAGATAGAGTGATAGGCTCAAACGACGCCAACTTTGTTATGCTTCCAATATTGAATGATGAAGGTAAAAAGGACAATGAAAAGGCTAAGTACATCTACAAGCACCTGGCTGAAACAGATAAGATTGTGGTGAGATATAGAGGATCAGAAATCGGATGTGAAGGGTGCCTGAGAATATCGATTGGTACAAAGACAGAATGTGTAGAGCTGCTTGAGAAGCTCAAGAAGTTACTGTAAAAGAATAAATTGATAATTCAGTTTGATTTTTAACTTGATCCTGACCAATCATGTTCGCTACAAGACTAAACTTGATAAAGAATACGCCAAAGATACTCGTTGACGCTTCAAAGTCATTGCCAGAAGCTCCAGCTCAGCGTTTAAAGGCTTCAACGAGAATAACGGGATTGGCAGTACACCCAGATCCGTGTTAGTTTCAATTGAGTGGTGGAGTGGATTAGGCTGATGATAATCGATAGTATCCGCACTCGCAGAGACTTATTCAAGTACATTATCATTCTTACAGCAATTCCCGTCTTCTTCCGTGTACAAGAATAGCGTTGAGGCACTCACGAAGCAGCGTTTGAGCAGAGTGGTCAGCGCGAACGACAAAGGCGTTAGCCCAGAAGACGTGGAGGCTAACAGCAACTCAGAATACTCTGATTTGTTGGGTACACCGCCTGTACAGTTGGAGGAAGTTTTAGTTGAAGCTGAGAACGAGCTTGGTTTGGCAGCAAAGATGTTTGAATGGAAAGCGTGAGTTTGCTTGGTTTATTGCTGCATTACTGGCTTAGGCTTATTGCGCTGCAGATGGGAGCCACTCCAAGTACAGCCACCAAAGGATCAATGGAAGAATCCTTTCAGCGTCGATACTTCAAAATCTTTGAACGAATAATTTGTACTTAATTTAAACGTATATTTCTATCCACACGTCATCGGTACAGTCACCATGCCTGTCCCAGAAACATTCAATCGACTAAGAATCTTTGAAACGGGTAATCTAGATAAGCTTGTGATTGACAGCAACTCCACTCTCGATTCTCTTGGTCCCCACGCTATAAATATCAAAGTGTCTTACGCGGGGATCAACTACATCGACACCTATTTCAGATCTGGTTTATACCCAGTTAGCTTGCCCTTTAATCTCGGTCAAGAGGGTTCTGGCACTGTTGTCGACGTTGGCTCACAAGTTACTCGCTTCAAGCCAGGCCAATCTGTAGCTTTCTACTCGAATGGTTCGTTGTCTGAGTACACACAGGTTGAAGAATCCAAAGCTGTTGCTTTAGACACCAAGAACGTATCAGAATTTGATGCTGCGACGGTCCTTTTGCAAGGTCTCACCGCCTGGACCTTCCTTAAAGAGGCACATAACGTCAAGAAAGGTGACAAAGTGCTTGTACATGCAGCAGCCGGTGGCGTTGGTTTGATATTGGTTCAACTCGCAAAGTATTTGGGTGCAATCGTCATCGGAACGACTTCAACAGCAGAGAAGGCTCAACTTGCAAAAGCAAATGGTGCAGACCACGTTATTTTATACACCGAGGAAAACGTCGCAGAGCGTATTAATGAGATAACAAACGGCGAAGGAATCGATGGTAATTTTGATGGAGTTGGAAAAGATACGTTTGATTTAGCTTTTCAAGTCGCTGCTAGGCGTGGAACTATCGTATCTTTCGGTAATGCATCCGGCGCTGTTCCCCCATTTAGCATTCTACAACTCACACCTAAGAACATCAAACTACTCAGACCTTCAGTGATGAATTACATTGCTACAGCTGAAGAGCTCGATAGATACTCTGCTGAGCTGTTCGATCTCATTGAGAGAGGCGTGCTCAAAATACACAGACACGGTGTATACAGCTTCGATATCGACAGTCTCAAACAGGCGCAAGCTGATATAACATCGCGTGCAACTACGGGAAAGCTCGTCGTTAAAGTATCAGATTAAGTTGTACACATAGCTTACTTAGGTTAATGAAAAACTTGACTGGAATGTTTGTGAAGATTTAGTGCAATGCGATTTACGCGGTCTACAAACACAATGAAGTTTGCTTTGATCGCATTGGCAGCTGCAGCAAGTGCTGTGCCACTGAACAGACGCCAAGACAGTCATGTCACTACGTCTAATCTTGATAAGCTGAGAGACGAGAACAATTCACTTCCGGAAAGTGGAGTATACAGATTAGATATTGTGCCAGGCAGGAAGGAGGGAGAATCTAGTATGTAATTGTTTGTGATTACAGTCTGAGCTGATGTGTCTGTAGGTATTGAGCTGGTCCCCGATGAGAACGGTAGTATTATATTTCAAAACAACGAGTCAGAAGGCATGTCCAAGCATGGCAATGGTACTGCAGTTGTAGATTCCCACAAAGAGGAGGAAGAAGACCAAGACCAAGACTGAGGGATTCGATTGAATCGCAGATACGAATAAACTTAATAAATGATACATTTTACTATCTATACTTGTAATACACTCCTCGATTTGCTTCGTCGATGAGAGCGAGAAGGCTGTTCAGTACTGCAGCAAGCGAGACCAATAAGCTTTACATATCATCTATATTCCCAATCAGATACGGTCGTTTCGATCCACGTTACGCTTACTCGTTGCTTCGGGAGCATTCCCTGATCGATTACCTCAGAACAAGACTAAACGATAATGGAATACGCGTGCATTCAATAGAATCGCGACTGCGAGAGGGCGGAGCATTTGTTACAGTATCAGAAGATAACAGCTTATCAACGAAAAGCATACGTAATCAACTAATCGATAATGGTAACTTGAGGAAGACAACGCTATTGAATACGAACGTGTTTCCTGTAATCGGTTCTCCCTTTAATGAGGATATGGATCGATATCCATCAGCCCAACTGAGAGTGGATTATAACGGTCCTCAAATATCCCAGGAGGAGCTCTACAATATATTCAGACGATATGGTCGCATTATGGAGATAGAGTCCAGTAGTGGTGGCTTTGATCTTACATACCAGTCAACCTCTGCTAGTACAGCAGCTCGTTCCTGTGTACATGGCTTTGTCACAGATAGTGGCACTAAACTGAAGCTAACGTATCAGCCGAGAGTATCTAAACACTTCTACAAAGACTGGATAATGTCTCATCCCCGTATCGTTGTACCACTCCTAGTCTTCTTGATTGGTGCAGTTAGTTACGTCATCTTTGATCCAGTGAGGGAGTATGCAATCAAGAGCAAGGTGATGCGCACGTTCAGTCTTGATGCAGTGAAGAAGAAGTGGCTCGTCTTTGGTGACAACTCTGTCAAATCATCGAGTGACGGTGTAGTCGCCAGCGATATCCAGGAGAGGAGGGAAGCTTTCGAGTCGGTAAATATATGGCTGAATGAGTCGCCCTCGACTTTCATTACTCTCACTGGTGCTCGTGGATCTGGTAAGAGCTCCCTCTTGAAGAATCTCATGCGCGATCGTCAAGTACTCTCAATCGATTGTGCTCAAGTGTGCAGAGCCGAAAATGACGCTCAGCTGGTCACTGAACTCGCCGATCAGACTGGTTACTGGCCAATCTTTGGTTTCTTGAGCAGCGTTTCTAATCTACTCGACCTCGCCAGTGTTGGGTTGATCGGCACAAAAGCGGGATTCGCTACACCTTTGGAAGATCAACTAAAACAAATCCTCTCAATCACAACTAAGGCTGTGGAGAAAGCTAGGGATTTAAAGTTTTCAGCATCAAAATCTCAACATGATGACTTGAAACTTGGTCTGAAACAGGCTGCTGAGGAGGAGGTGAGAAAGAATTCAAACTCCTTCTCACACGATGGAAGAATCGATTGCATTGCCGGTAATGGAATAATGAGTGAACTCGGTGTTGGGATAGAAACTGATGACATTGATGATCAAGTATTATCGCTTACTTTGAATCGACTTGAAGGGTTAAATAAGAACAATTATGATGAAGAGAAAGAAAAGATCAAGAGTATACCAGTAGTTATTGTCAAGAACTTTGACTTCAAAGGAGCAGATCGTGACGTGTTGTTCGACGTACTGAGCACTTGGGCGTCTAATTTAGTACTTGCGAAAGTTGCTCATGTTGTCTTTGTGTCTGATAACGTCAGTTCTAACAAACGCTTAGCCAAAGGTGAGTAGAGTTATCACCAATTGAACATTAATTTATTGTCTCACACAGCCTTACCAAACAAGCCACTCAACTCTATCAGTTTATCCGATGCTGACATGCATAACTCTGTCAAATTTGTTATGAATAGACTGAGGAATCTAACTCTTAGTAGTGATGACAAGAAGCTTATCGAGTTAATTGGTGGACGTGTTGAAGATCTTGAAGATGTGAGTGGTTGATGGTGTCGATTGATAATCCTATTAATCGTTTATCAGTTAGTGCGCAAGGTGCGCTCGGGATTGAGCATTCAAGAGGCTATCAATCAGATAGTAGTGACGAGTGCTAGTGAGCTACGTCAAAATATTCTTGCCAAGAATGAGCATGGATGGAAACCTGAAGAGGCATGGTCAATTATAAAGGAGCTCTCAAAAGAAGAGAAGGTAAGCTGATTGTTAATATCTTAATTTGCAAAGATGATCTAATAAGGACGTTTAGGTCAGCTACGCGTCAACATTAATTAACTGGCCTTTCACAGGAAACGAAGGATCATTGCAAGCACTCGAACAGCATGATTTAATTACAATTGTTCATAAGAATGGCAGACCAGCTGATATTGTCTCTGGGAAGCCAATTTATCGTACTGCTTTTAAGCAGTTAGTTAATGGTGAATTGTGGAAAGTGATATATGATGTATAGCTAACGACACCTCTTCAGACTTACCATACAAAGCGCTTTTAGATGTAACTTCAAACAAACTAAAGAGGGAATATAAGGAGGGACAGATTAGAAAGTGGGAAACAGAGCTGTTAGATTTGAAGAATATAGGTTTAGATGACGGGACATTCTTCACATCATTTAGATCACCTTCAGCTACTCAATTACGCGCAGAATATCTCCTCAAACAGATATACGCAGCTCAATCAACAGTCAACAAGATTGAAAAAGAGTCAGATAAGCTAAAGAAAGTAATGTAAATAAATATTAAAGTTGATTGAGAAAATCAATAATTAATTACAAGCATTTGATATATGAAACAAGAAGGGGTGATATATGAAACAAGGATAAGAGATTAACTGGTATAGGAGTGAAGTGCTGAGATATGTCCATCACTCTTCATTTGAAATTTGAGAGAGGTTCTTGCTTTGGGTATACAGGAACTTGAGGACCATCATAACCATACCAGCTATCTTCAGTAATACTTCGCCAGCCAGCGAACAATAAACCGAGACTAATAGCTTCAAGGAGAGTTGCAACGAAAGCACCATCAATACGACTATTCGTACCATCACATATAGTATGTCCTAGAGCGAAGAGAGCAGCTTGAGATAACATGAAAGAGAGTAGAGATAAGGAGAACCAGAAAGCAGGAATGGATTCTTTGAGGAGAAAGAAAATGACATAAGTCATGAGGAGAGAGTAGATAAAGACAGCAATCATTGGCCAGAGGAGGAGTAAGACAAAGAGGCCATTGCTGAGGAGATATTCAGGCGGATTTGAGGGGGGAAGATTGCCACTCCAATTGAAAGCAGTATCAACAGCAATGTAGCCAGTTCCGACGAAGAAAGCGATACCGCCTACCCATAAGGAGAGGATAGAAGGAGGGGTACCGTCTTCTATAAGTTGAGTGCTGTTTAGGCCATTAACAATCAGAGACCAAAACCAAGCGCTTCTTAGACCCATTTGGATGGAAGTTAACCAGACAATATAATCAGAACCTTGTTGTAAAAAGCTGCCCGTAGTAAGTAAGGAAAAGACGTCGATCAGAGCCCATAAGCCGAGTAAAGTAGCGAATTCAACTCTACCAACGGCAGCGATACGACGTTTAGCAGCAGCAAAGAGGATGAGGGAGAAAACAAAGCATAACGCGGTTGCAACGATTTGAGCGATATTACCGAGGCCGCCTTCATGGCCAGCTCTACGAATAAAGCAGGTGGGACGTACGCCAACGCCTGCGGACTGAAGGTTGTTTGAAACGAGAGAGAAAGAAGTGGAATTGTAGAGGATGGTATCAGAAGAGTTTAGTGATTGTATTTGATTGAAGAAGAGGTTGCAAGGGGCTAATGAGGGAGAATGGCTGCAAAGGAATTCCCAGCTACCGAATTGTTTAGTGTGTTGAAGGGACATTGGGGGAAAAAGAATAAAAGTGAGAGCCTTGTAATTTTCAAGGTAATTTGGTAATTGAATTGGCGGTGGACAGACAGTTGAATATCGACAACCACGACTATAAAAAAGTAAGTTAATCGTATAAATTCAAGTAAAATAAATTTACAAGTAAAATTGAAGTGTTCTTTGGACTTAGAAAGTACCCAACGCCTGTGAGTAAAGTAGCACAATAAAATAGCTCATGGCTTATAAAGCACACAGGTACTCAAACCACTCGCTCCATTTATTGCAGGCAGCGCTGTCGTTTACTACGGCGTTTCAAAGATCCAAGACGCAGCCGTTTCAACAGAGCCACACAAGTCTTCACCTCAAAACCCATACATTTCTCAAGTAAACAAGCAACATTAAAATGATTTTAAATTTAAATAATTTTAATTTTAATTTTACTTGTGAGAATATATTCCATTACGCCGAGTTAATTTCAATATCGTCATCACCCAACAGCACCATCAACACCACAGCCATCTCCCTAAAATTGTTATGAAAAAGAGCAAAAGTTTGCTCAAAAATCTACAGAAATCTGACAAAGAATATGAGAATAGCTTGATAAATTGTACTCAATTTGGTAATATTTCTGCCTCTGCCTTGTTGGCGTTGGGATCTATTGACGACAGTGGATCAATAAACTTTGTTGGGAATATTTTCCAAGAAATCAACAATTGCAACTCAAACTACACAAACACTTTATTCAAATGTAGACAATCCATTGATCAGCTCATCGATCAAGAGAATCACTATTATCAAGTTGATAAAGATAGGCAATTACTCATCTCCCAAGTTATAAAGGCTAGCTCGAAAAAGTCTAATCAAAATAACTCTACATCCCCCGATAAACTCAATGAAGCTCAAAATGAGTTGAGAGCTTGTCAATTTCATTTAACTGAACTTGAACTCGATTTAATGGCAAGTAGGCAACGTATCATTAACTCCACTATTCAGTTAAAGCTGTCTGCTTTATCTGAGTTAGGTGAAAATTTTACCAAACTAGCAAATCAAGGCTTAGATCACTTTAATTCTGTTCCTACCTCAGCAAATTTACTTGATAATACTTCTATTGACTCCTTGAGCCCTTCTCAATCTGCTTCTCAAATTAACGTTGAATCTAGACGCAACTCCATTGTTAAATCTAGATATTTAAGTGATTCTCACCAACAAAAGCCTTCCATGTTCACTGAACAATTTAGCGTTAGTTATTCCATCTTTTTCAATTTGCTTTTCCCCTAACATATCCAATTCAGGTTTCTTCCATTCAATCCCCTTCCCCCAAACCTTCCCCTCAACCTCAAAGACAACCTTTATTCCCACCACCACCAAATCAATCCAAACAATCTCAACAAAAACCTGCTGGCTTTTTAAGAAGGTTGTTTGGAGTTGGTAGTAAGAAACACTCTAATCACCTCAACCAAGTTAAACAAGATAAACAAGACAAAGCTGAGAAACCTGACAAAGCGGAAAAAGCTGAGAAACTCTCAAAACCTTCTAAAAAGAACCTTTTTAATGTTGCTTGGGGAAGCAAAACTTCAAATCTTGACCCTGATTCTCCTCCTTCTCAACCTAAACAATCTAATGGCTGGCAAACTAGAACTACCTCAAACATTAATTCTTTAGAAAGAGGCGATTCTAGTGATGATGATGACGGCAGTAAATTCGTTACTGTCACCAATAAAAATCCACAAGCAGCAATTGCTGAAAATATCTCTCGCCAATCTTCTGCTACGTCTGCAAATCAAACTCAAAGGAAAATTAAACAATCTTCTCGTCGTCACTCCAGATCTAACAGTCTTGGTGATAGTCAACGTCCCTCTTCTTTACCTGAGAGACCTTCATCTGCCGCTAGCTTACCATTAAATGCCCATGGAACTAAGAAGACTAAAAAGCCTTCAAAGTATTCCACACTTACATCCTCCCCACAAATTAATAGCAATTCACTTACTACAAAGCCTACATCTAAGAATCTTACTTCTAATGGTACTAATCATCGCAAACCAGCTAACAGTACTACTCCACGTAACCGTAAAGTAGTCGTACATCCAAATCTTATGAGTATCGTCGAGGGTGATAATCTTGATCAGGATTTCAATCCGTCCTCTCATACAAACGGTACAAACGGTATAAAAGTCACAAAGAAATCTAAAGGTAAACAGCCGGAGCATTTACCTTCATCAGTACATAGTTCCCCAATTTCATCTTTAAATAATCAAAGTCTTGCTCCTATACGCAAGGATAGTAATAGATCGAGTAGATCTGATCATATGTTGCCCAAAAATGTTAGTTGGGCTCAATCACCTGCTCCACCGCACTCCATATCATCTCAGAGGAGTTTAAAATCAAACAGAGAAGAAAACGATGATTCTTCTGATGATGATAATGGTGCGTATAATGCTGCAAGATCTCAACTTACACCACTTGACTTTTCCACTCTGAAATAATCAAGACAATTGTCTCAAAACACTCCTTTAGAAATCCCATTTTTAATTTTCTTGTTGTAATCCTGTTGCCTTCTTATTAATTTTACACTCGCCAAAGATAGGCAGGATTAAATCATACATCTTTCTAGCCGACGACCATGACGATCTCGATAAACCACCAAGAGCAGCAAAAATGGCGTAGTAATTTTGAAAGCTACGCCAATGTATCCAAAGATGGCGTTAAATATCTCGATAAAGCAGCATTTCTCGATGCTGTCGCTCCTCGTTCCGGTAAAGGTCACGCCAGAATATCAAGAGAGCAATATAACGTCTTCTTTGATGTTGCAGATAAATCAAAAAGAGGCCTTATATCCGTGAGTTCCCTTGATATATAAGCTGCTTTTCCTTCCTCTCGTTAAATCGCGGGGCACCATGCAGCACAAGGCACGAATGACCGCTAAAATTACTTCAGGCTGATGACTTTATTGCGTTTGAAAACTTGTTGAAGCAGCCAGATGCTCCTTTCCAGGTTGCTTTTCAATATTTCGATAGGTACGCGTGCACAGATTCACATGACTCATCCTCAAGACTAACACTCGGCGTAGACGCAACAAAGGTTCCGTCTCCTTTAGTGACTTTAGAAATGTTTTCAGCCAATACCTCGGTGAGAAGGCTATTCCCTTCGACTTTGAGTGCGATTGGTTGAGGCTTTATCTCGGAAAATTGTCAGAATCCAACGAACATGTTTTGCCTTATCATGAATTTACTCAGATGATGAAAGGCTTACAAGGTGAAAGAATCAGACAGGCTTTTCACTACTTTGGTGAGTTTTTATCAACTATATAATGAAATTGCTTATACTGTCTTCAAGATAAAGGTTGGCTCCCTTAACTTCTATTTAATATGCTCAAATCATTATTAGATAATGATGGCTGGATTAGACCGGAAGACTTCCAAAAAATTATACTAGTATGTAGCACTTTTCATCCCTTTCCACCTGTCTTACGTCACTTAAAAGGAGGTAGCCTCTCATAAGCTCTCAGGTTCAGTTCTAGATCGATTACCCTCTCTATGTCATATCACTGCAGACCAAAGGATCTCTTACGCTGACGTTAGAGCCTTCTACAATGTTCTTCACGATATGGACGCCATAGAGCATGTCGTCGACATTGCTACATCTCAAGCATCCGATGGAAGAATCTCTCCTTCAGATTTCTTAGCAACTGCACAGCGTAACACTCGTTATGGAAGCTTTTCACCAATGGAGGTTGCTTTCGCTTGGCATCTAGCTTCTCCAGGGGCTGTTGGTAGAGCAGGTACACCAGAACCGGACGTTAGATTATCCAAAGCAGATTTTGATTCCCTATTTGATCCAAACTGGACCCCTATTGAGGCACTTGCTCCATCTCAACCACCAAAATCAGCACTCCACGAAACCTTAATAGGTATTTACAACTTTGCTCTCGGTGGTTTAGCAGGTGCTACTGGCGCTACTGTCGTATATCCAATAGATTTAGTCAAGACGAGAATGCAAAACCAGAGAGCTGCAGTTGTTGGTGAAATGATGTATGCCAACAGTATTGATTGTGTAAAGAAGGTTTTCAAAAATGAAGGCTTTACTGGGTTTTATAGAGGCTTGTTACCACAACTTGTTGGTGTCGCCCCAGAGAAGGCCATCAAGTTGTGAGTTGCATGCTTATCACAATCAAGTTTCGCTAAAGTATTTCAGAACCGTAAATGACGCAGTGCGTCACCTTGCACAAAATAGAGATAATGGTTCCATCAGTCTTCCCTGGGAGATTGTTGCTGGTGGTGCTGCTGGTGGTTCGCAAGTCTTTTTTACCAATCCACTCGAGATTGTCAAGATCAGATTGCAAATTCAAGGTGAAGCTGTTAGAATTGGTGAAGCTCAGCCCAGGGGTGCATTCCATATCATCCGTCAGCTAGGTTTGCTTGGTCTCTACAAAGGCGCCACGGCCTGTTTGCTCAGAGATGTTCCATTTTCAATGGTTTGTGCGTTGATTGCTTATTCTACTTTTTCTCTTGCTAATTCTCTCAACCAGACTTCACCTCTTATGCGCATTTGAAGAAGGACTTTTTCAAGGAAGGTGTGCACGGTAAGAAGCTTGGCTTCGGCGAAACCCTGCTATCGGCAGCGGTAGGATTTGGACTTTTCCGTGCAACAAAAAAACTAATCATGTCTTAGATTGCCGGTATGCCTGCTGCTTATTTCACTACCCCAGCAGACGTGATCAAGACTCGTCTCCAGGCTGAAGCTAAGCAAGGCCAAACAAGCTACAGAAATGTTGGCCATGCTTTCACAAGCATCCGTGAGTATTTTGCTTTGTATTCACATGGCCTAGTTTCTTAGACTTTTTGTTAGTAAGGGAAGAGGGACCAAAAGCTTTGTTCAAGGGTGGCCCTGCTAGAGTTTTGAGAAGCAGTCCACAGGTAAGTGTAGCGGTTTACAAAAAGGCGACCTTGACATTCATTTAGTTTGGTGTTACTTTGGTTGCCTATGAGTGGCTGCACAAGCTGATGCCAGTAAGTGATGAGCTAATCAATGTCTCAAATCTTATCCCCAATTAGTATCCATTCCAAAGCTCTGATAAGCCTTCTGTCAGTGCTTTACTGCCACAGCGGGAAGAGGATATCACAAGAGTCAGAGCCCGTAACGCTCTCAAGCTGTTGTTGGATACTCGTAAGTAGTTGTGGGTTACGCATTGGCTATTCTCACGACTGAGTAGATTGTGACTTTGGCCATGTCCGAGTGCACTAAAGACGCTAGACATAGCTTGCAAGTAGCTTCGAAGAAAAGAAACACATGTAAACTTAAATTGACTGAAATTCAAATCAAATAATTCTTACGTGCGAAAGATTCTGATTGCGTAATCAGATGATACGGAGATCACATATTAAAATTCACATGATTTTGAGAATGTTTACGTGTGATTTGATGCACGCTGCTGGTTCTGATCATGCCGACACTTTAATGCCTCTGCTTCGGTCCTATAGAAAAACGCCTTTGATATCGGGGTTTTGGAGGACATTTTCGGTAAGATTTCGATTCGCAGTCTCACGACTTTAAATATAGACAAAGGTCTTTTAAACAAGAACATCCACAAGATACAATGAACCCAACTGCAGTCGCCAATAAAGAAAAGATCCTCGCTGTACTCTACACAGCAGGCAAGTACGCCAAAGAACAACCAAAGTTATTGGGTACTATCGAGAACAAGCTCGGTATTAAGGACTGGCTCGAGTCTCAAGGCCACGAGTACATAGTCACCGATGACAAGGAAGGTCCAAACTCGGAATTCCAAAAGCACATCAAGGACGCGACCTGCGTTATCACCACGCCATTCCATCCAGCCTACCTCACTAGGGATGTCATGAACAAGGCTGACAAGCTTAAGATTGCAATCACTGCTGGTGTCGGTTCTGACCACATCGACTTGAATGCAGCAAACGAGCGGAAAATCACCGTCGCTGAGGTCACCGGTAGCAATGTTGTTGCTGTGAGTACATGGTTCAATCTGTGTGCATTTGACTCATCAGCTGCAGGTCGCTGAACACGTTCTCATGACTATTCTCAACTTGGTCAGAAACTTCGTTCCAGGTAAGCAGCTTCACTAGTTATCAAGCAAAGACTTAACAAATTATGTAGCCCATGAACAAATCATGAGAGGCGAGTGGGACGTCGCTCAAGTCGCACGTAACTCTGTGAGTTATCAGCACTTGATGACATACAGTGTTAATTCAATCGTTAGTATGACTTAGAGGGCAAGGTAGTTGGAACTATCGGTGCAGGAAGAATTGGTTACAGAGTTCTCCAAAGAGTTAGTTGAAAATCTTGCTTACAATCTCACTAAGCTGACACATTCACAGCTGAAGCCTTTCGACTGCAAGGAGCTCCTTTACTTTGATTACCAGGCCTTGCCAAAAGATGCTGCTGATGCTGTTGGCGTTCGTCGCGTCGATGATTTGAAGGACTTCCTCAGCCAATGTGATATTGTTACTGTCAACGCACCATTACACGAAGGCACTCACCACTTGATGTTAGTTGGAAGAATTACTGCTAAGACCGATCTAACGCTACAATAGTAACGATGACACTATTAAATCTATGAAGCCTGGTTCTTGGTTGATCAACACTGCCAGAGGTAATTCTTGGTTTCCATCTATATTCATCTGACATTATTCAGGTGCTATCTGCGATGCCGCAGCTGTCAAGCGCGCTATGGCTTCTGGTCACATCAATGGATATGGTGGTGACGTTTGGGACACCCAACCGGCACCTGCTGATCACCCATTGCGTTCTGCTTTTAACACAATGGGTGGAGGTGCGTGCTTTCTAATGCCATGTTCTTTAAGCATTCTAACAAAACACAGGAAATGCCATGACTGCACACATCTCTGGAACATCATTGGACTCTCAAGAAAGATACGCTAACGGTGTCAAGGAAATCCTCGACAACTACTTCAACAAGAAGGAGCAGAATCCAGCCAACTTGATCGTTACGTGGGTTATACACTATTTTCAAATTAACTTTGCTGACATAGCCTTAGTGACGGTCAGTACGCTTCAAAGGCTTACGGTAAGCGTTAGGAGTATAAGAAATGACTATTTGTATGATTATGAATATAAGATAATTAGATTGATCTTATTCCAATTCTGGAAGTTGGCGCAATGTCTTGCCTAATTAGCTTGGCGATAAAGAAGAGTAGCCTCAAGGTTCTGTCGCTAGGCTGGGGTATCCTTAACACTCAAGCTTCCGTCAAACATTTAGTTCCCTGTCTATTTACTCTGGAAGAGCGAACCCTATAACTAGGTTGAGATGCTTCATAGTGATGCAATAAAGTACCGAGTAAATAGTAAATGTGTTGATAAGGCTGGAGAATATTCTCGCTCTGAGAATTGTGCAGAATGATTGTCTTTGCCATAAATATAGCGTTGATCTGATCACAGAAGTTGCACATATCAACCGCGCATATTGGTATCCCAATCATCTTATCTATCTTTGCGGCCGTTTAGGCTTCTTCTGCTTTTCATTTTATTCATTCATTTTTCCATTCTCGATCTTTGTTTTACTTCCGCTCAATCATAAAGTTACAGTCTAATGAATAATTAAAAGACATCGATACAAATATATATATATATATATAAGTCATTCGTCCCGTCGCAACCCACAAGCACTCAATTCTGTACTCGTCTCTCCATATCTGATGACATCAAGATGTGTTTGTAGGATGAAAGGGCTATTTGAATAGTGGCTTTAGTACTGACAGACATTTACAGCAGTATGAGATGTTCGGTTGTATTTAATTCTGCTCAATGGACCCTGCATTAACCAAGTAAGTGAGAAGACGAATGCATGCATAACATATACTGAAATTGCAATATAGCAAAAGTATCGTCTTCATAGAATCTCCAGCACCCATAATACATTTCCATCTCAGCTCTCTACTCAATATTCACTAAGTTAGATTTTTTCTCTGCCATCTGTCTCATTTCAGATGGTGATTAACCACTTTTAATGATCTTTAAATAAAAGAGCATATTGGTAGCCCTGACTGAAGTGAACATGATTCTGCCTTTTCTAGATCCCTAGTGCTCCAATTGCGCCCTGCACGCTGATCGGGAGCAATGGTCCGAAATGCTCTACAGCCCTCTATAGCATAGATAAGAATGATCATACGGAATTTGTCACTAGATTAAAATTATTGTAGCTGAGCGGTACCTCGATTGAAATCTCTAAAGAATTGAGTCCAATGAACACGAAACCCGTTTTACGACGCATGGCGTCTACAGGACTCAATGTTGTCACCAGGAGAAAATCATCGCCGTTCCGTATCATATCACACTTCGAAGAAGAAACTAGGCAGAGAAAATTTGGGGTTAGCGCAACTCTGAAATCGGGTTTTGGCTTCCGATCAGTGTATATCGAGATTTCATATAATGGGAGTGTGGAGGCGGTTAAGGTTGTGTTATAATCTTTGAAGTCATTAAAAAAGGAATATGTACTTTAAGCTACAAAATTACGCTTCGTGAAACATACCATATTGAACTGGACTTGTTCAGAGCACATCACCACGTTATCAGCTTTTAACCCGCTTTCACTTTCTCTGAAAATTTAATTGCTAAAGAATGATTTCAATATTGTTTAATTTAAAGTTGTTGCAGTGCTAAGACGAACACGTCATTGAACATGCTATTCTCGACTAGGATATATATCAACTTCGTCCTGGAGGACGCCATGGAAATAAAGTGGAAGTTTAAATATTTTCCAGTAATGCGCTGTATATGTAAAGCAGAATATAAACTCGAACATCTCCTCACGTCCCTGTTATTATTCACCAGCTCCGCTAGTCTCCGCCCTCCAGAAGACGTCGGCATTTGCTAGTGTTTTTGAAAATGCATGCATGCTTTCTTTATCGAACGGTCCTCGCTATTACGTGTGACCATGTCTGTCTGCGAGCGCTGTTGGGCATTGGGTAGCTAACACAAGGCATAATATAATTTGAATTTTAAAATGAATTCCACGCTTGTAGCAGTTTAACGTGTATCACTACGCACCTGACACGTCTCTTTCGTCCTGACGGTCAACACGTTGATACCATGATACTTTTAGAGGTGGGTAAATAACTATTAGGGAATTAAACTAACAGCAAAACAGCCAGAGAACGTAATTATTAAGAAAATCTTCAATGAGAAGCTTATCAAGCCAACATCTGTGGATCAGACATTCGTCGACTTTGACGGCGTTAGATACCACGTATTCACACCAAATAACAAAGTAAAGACTGAGCTCATCTTATCCATTTCCCTGGCTTGCTGGTCAGAATTGGAATCATTTGGGGCGTATGATGTACTTTTGCAGCACTACGGCAGCAGTCTGGCTAAAGGTTTAGAGGCTGGATACGACGTTTCGATTCAAATCGATTTAAATCAAATTCCTTCAGATCCAGAGCAGCGTGATGGTTTCATCAACAACCTCTCCCTCCTCAAAAGAAACGCAATGAGCGCTCCATTCTTACAAGCATTTCAAACTCAGAAGCAACTCGAGGGCATGCAAGTTCCAACGGATGGCTCACCAGCTCCTCAGGGTCCTTTACTCGAAATACATTACAGAAATCAGGAGGCTATATACATTCAAGCCGGTATCGATAGGGTCACCGTCATCTTCTCCACCGTATTCCAAGAAGAGACAGACAAAATCTTTGGCAGAGTATTTTTGCAGGAGTTTGTCGACGCTAGGAAGTTACCATCGATTCAAACAGCTCCTCAAGTTCTTTACTCAACGAGGGAACCTCCCCTTGAAATACGTCACTTGCCAAACTTGATTAAATCTGACGACGTCGGCTACGTAACGTTTGGTGAGTTTAGTTTGCAGTTTGAGAGAATTTTACTTAATTCACCATTTAGTCCTCTTCCCGCGTCATTTCTCCAATCAACACGTCGCTGCATCAACGATAAGTCGTATACAACTCTTTAGAAACTACCTCCACTATCACATCAAATGCTCAAAAGCTTACATGCACTCTAGAATGCGTACAAGAGTCGCTGACTTTTTGAAAATTCTCAACAGAGCCAAACTCGATAAGAGCGAATCTGAGCGCAAAACAATTACCGGACGTACCTTCAGGTCACGTTAAGATATCTAATCATATGTAGTATAATTTCATATTTCCTTATTCCAAAGTTATTTCAACGTGTGGTCCTGCTATCCAAATCATGCCACTTGTTGTACATCGACCATGGCGCTGGATAAAGACAAAGTAAAATCAAGCTATGGGAACATTTACTTGATAAAATATCTAAATAACGCGTCTGGGAATTCTGTCGATAAGGACGAGCTCGTCGATCTTCTCATCAATCCCCAGCAAGAATACCCAACAGGACGTCTGATTAGGAATCTCATTTCAAAGCTTGTTCTATCATCTGATCAATCAGCGCTCAATCACATTGTCAGCGAGCTCGTGTCTAAATTGCCGAGTAGCTCCATAAGTGACAAAGCCAGATCGTCGACACTCTTTGTTTTAGGTCAAGTGATACAACATAACCCTGGAAAGGTTCGTGAGCTTTGATTATTTCTTATTTCTTATTGCTAATTGATCTCCCCAAGTTCTCTTCAACTTGTGCCGATCTTTACGACATTTCCTTCAAGTATCTCAGAAATTCAAATCTTGTGAGTAAATTGAATAGCGAGGCACTCAATGACTGATCAATCACCTCAACAGTCCAGTCACCTGAGATTTCACGCTGGTATCGTTATCACAAAGATCATAGAGACCTCGTCAAGTATAATCACCGAAAACCAAGTAAAAGACCTCATTAAGCAACTCAAAAACCTTATTACTGACAAAGTATATCCACTTCAACGCGTTTCAACTAAATGTATATCCAATCTCAGCACCTTCACCCAACATTTATCAAGCACCACCGATATTGAGCAAATTGTGAGCATATGTATTAAGACAGCGGATATTGTCGACCAGCAAACGAGACAGCATCATACCGCACTCGCTGCTCAGTTGCTGGCTTCTACTCAGTTCAAAATTAAGCATCAGCCTCAGCAATCCAAGATCTTATCAACAAAGACGATTAAGAGGGATAAAACCAAGGACAAAGACCAAGATGATGACGTTAAAGACACCAACGAAGCTCCTGTCATTGGTTTGATGGCTATTGATAATATGCTAAGCATTCCATCCAGCCACTTCAACAAAGGATCTAGGAAAATTAAAAACATTATTATAGAAATTTACGCCTCTCTGTTCTCATCTATGGGCTCAAAGTGGATCGAATCCAATTACCAAACTATCATTACACATCTAATTTACAGTGTAATGGAGTCCAATATGGTTAAACCTTGTGACATACTTACCGTTAGATCTTCTCTCAACATACTTCTGAGGGAGCATATTGGTAAAACTCTACTAAGCGAGCAAGGTCAAGGCCTTGCACTCAATGTGTTGATAGACACCTTTTTATCCAAGTACACAAAGGGAGACACACTTCAAGCTAGGTACTCAGACCAATCTTTAGTTGTCGTTGTTGAAGAGAGCATTGGATTGTTAGATCAACTGGGCAGTGTCCCATTACAGGTTCAAGACAGCCTCCCTGACCTTTTGTTCAAGTTGATCGCGCTTCCTTCTTTCAGTGCGCAGATATCAGTTTCAAGGCTTTTTCGTCAATTCCACTACCTCTGCCCGACTCGATTGGAAGTATCATTAAACAAACTTCTTGACTTGCTAGAAAAGAAGTTATCTCATTTAAGAACACCAAACGCATCTTCAGAAGTAGCATTTACATCTATTGGATACACATGTGCAACCGGTAGTTTGATAGCATTATTCAGGCAAAGACCATTAAATACACCAATTGAAATACCATTTAAAGTATTTGAGCTATCTCAAGGCTTACTCAGGAAATCCGGAGAATGTGAATTTGATCAAGCTTCAATTCACATTCAAAATGCTTGGATTCTCATTGACTCTTTAATGTCAGTTGGTCCACAATTTGTGACATCGATAATCAATCAATTGATGCTACTGTGGAGAAATTCTCTGACAAAGATTGATATGCAGACCAATGCTCCAAAAACTCAAACGGAATGGACCTTTTTGCTGCATGTCAGGGAATGCGCTCTTACTGCTTTATTAAGCTTTTTGAAATTTAATGCATCAACGCTATTGACAATGGAACTTTCAAGAAAGTTTGTCGGCTTACTGAACAATACACTATCTTTTTCAATGTCATTTAATATCACCAATTCGGCAATATTGAAGGATCAAATTCCTACCGGAGCGTGTGCTCATCCAAACATTGGACTTCTAGACAGAGACATTCTACTCAAAAGACGTATCTACCAATGCTCAGTCTACCTTGATAACAATAGCAATACAGAGACTCTCACTGCTTTCATCGAAGCTGCTTTTTATGCTTTTGGTGACTCTGAAAGGTACGCTGGTTCGGCGGCTCAAGCTGCTATTGCCTCCACTACAAGCTCCGCTGGCTCCTTCGCATTTATTTGGAGTGTAAGTGATGGCTATGGCTATGGTCTGACCAGTCTCCATGATGTGGATGTTCCAGAAGGCAACAACCAGACATCTGAAAAGCTAATGAAGGAGGTAAGCGCTCCATTTTATTCTTAAAGTGATCGATCTAAAAATAATTATAAAGATCCGTAGGCCTTCACCTAATGCTTACGAGCATGATATACTTAGTTTATTTGAAAACGATCCTACATTAGTCACTCCACAACCTGCACCAGCAACGGTATTGGTTGACGCGGCCATTACGTTTTTTGCTTTGCGTTTAACAGATGTGGATTCCACATCCATGATTAAATTGTTCGAAAGTATTAGAGCATCAGTCAAGAATCCAAAGCTAGATCGCAATCCTGGCCGCAAATTAGCAGTTATTGTCAATACATTGATTGCGATACGCGGATTTTTAAGCAATGGTAAATCACGCAAGCTACGTACAGTACTAAGCGTAGCTCCGATACGTAACACCTTGCAAGAACTTTTCGAGGATGCTATCACTAATGAAGATGCAACATTACGACGTCTTGGAGCCGAATCTTTAGGAAGGCTCATCGCATTAACAGCTGACAGAAGCTTCATGACGACGCAATCAAGATTTTACTTGGATCTTATCGTAAACAACAGATCTCCATCTATAAGATCAGGTAGTGCTATCACTTTAAGTGAGATATATAAACAAGTTGGTAGTTTAGCTGCCGGTCCTCTGTTAAATTCAATTTGTGAAATTTTGACATCACTTGCATCTGATTCTCATCCAGAAGTCCATTACTACTCTTTGGAAGCTTTTTCAAACATCATAGAAGCTGCAGGATCAGCTTTCAGTCCTTATGTCGCACGAACTCTTGGCCTACTAGCCAGTATACATAACTGGGAGTCACATGAGCCTGAGGGCGGCCAAACTGTCTCAAGTACAAACCTTCGATCAGAATACTCACTATACAAAGTACTTTGCAATATTCTGAATGATCTTATTGGTATTTTAGGTCCGGAAATTAATGAAATGAACGATGTTAGAGATTTGCTTTTCCTCTTAGTCAAACAAATGATGAAGGAAAAAGATGAATTGGTTAGAGGCAATGCCTTACGGTCCCTTCAGAACTTTGTTATGTTTGCTCCAGATCATACTGATATTCCCACCCTGATAAGGACTTTCCAAACTGCATTAAAGTCTTCAAACAAGGTCATTCAGAGCTCCTCAATGAACGGTCTGTATCAGCTGACTCAGAAGTATGTTAAAGAGCTATCTTTAGTTGGTGGTGATAGACTAGTTGAAGATTTGTTTGCTTTATTGGATAAAGAGCCCGGTCATGATGGTCTTAAGCTACTTTTACTCAGCTGGTTGAAGCAAACATCTGAGGTAAATTCTGAAGGGTGGCTAAGTATTTGCCAGAAAGTTTTCACTAAAGCCTCACAAGGCAGCAATGACAAAGAGTTTAAGAAGGATAAAGAAGAAGATGAAGAAGTCCAAGCCTTAGGCGCTGCAAATGATGAGGATCAATCAAGACTGTCTAATTGGCAAACTCAGCTATTCGCATTAGATTGCGTACATAATCTTATTCTCTCCGACTTCTCAAGAGATATTAGAAATGTCGTTGCTAGAACTTTACAAAGTCGCGTGGCGGATCTGATTAAGCTCGCATTTGTTGCTTCTACTTCTAGGGTCGAGCTTATCCGTATAAAGGGTTTGGTTATTTTGCGCGACGTAATTGAAACTTTTGCAAGCTTCAAGGATAGTCACGATGACCAAGCTAGCTTGCTGGAACAACATCAGGCTCCAATTACTGCAGCACTTACTCCCGCATTTAGCGCGGATTCGACTCCTGATATTCTTGCAACAGCCATTCAAGTTTGTGCTACGTTTGTTAAAAGTGGTATCGTCAAAGAGGTATCAAAAATGGGTAGAATATTGAAGCTTTTGACAAGCGCATTACATAGATTTAAGAGTGAGTGTGTCAGTGTGACGACTTCAATTTTTAACAGAATCCATAGACTCATCTGATCAATCTACGCCTATCGGAGAAGTCGGAAAGCTATGTTTGGCTGCAAACGAAATGCTTAAGATTTCAACTCTCGCTGCATGGGCTGAATTAGGCATAGCTTCCTCTTCAAAATCATATTTAGAGAGTGTTCTCGAGCCGCTTTGGATCTATTTGTTACCCATGTGGGCTCAAACCATTCAACAGTATGCAGAAATGAGTGAAGGCGTATTTAACGATGACATATTAGCTCAACAAATTCTACTGCCCTACTACGAGCACGACTGGATCAAAATTCTGAATGCTTTAGTCATGTCTCTCGACACAAAGACTGATTTAATAGAAAAGTATGTCAGTTTGGATGGTAGAAGAGATGCAACAGTTCAATTTCAAATCATTTATGGCCTAGCCTTTTCAAATTTGGTAATGAACTCAGACGATATCCACAAATCTTCAATCGCTCTTAACACTATATCAATGCTCGTCAAACATCCAAAGTCTGAGAATTGGATACTGACTGAGGGTATATTTGATGAAGCACTGGAATTAATCTGGCGATTAGCAACTGCATCACCTTCTCAGATACGAGGTAAAGCACTTGACTTGCTGGGAGGTATTTGTAACCATTACGGAACTAAACTCGTCGACAACATAGAAATACCCTCCAGTCCCGATTCTCAATTTGGCAAGAGCTTACCCAGAAATTCGAAGATAACAAGATGCTTGCAGTTAATTTACTCTGTGTTAAATGGATGTCTCGATGACGACTCAAAATTGATCAATTGCAGTATGGAGTACAAGGCTTACATTGCTAGATCATCGTTTTTAGCTTACTTAGATGTTAGCAAGACATTGGCTGCTACTACAAGGGTTGAACTGTATGCTGTTTTACTTCACAAGTATGCTGGTGAGTTGGGTATTAGATTTTTAGGCTAAGCGCTAACTAGGGATGTTTTAGAACTTTTGAGACGTGAAGATGGAACTATTCACATAGCCGCAGTCTTGTCACCATTGACCAAAAACGTACTAGAACTATCAGAAGAATTCAAAGGCGATAATCTTCTCGTTATGAAGAAGACCTTGCACGGTTTCTTGTCGTTTACGTTGCAGACGGTTGATGAGATCAAAACCCGAGAAGGCTCAGCAATATTGGCTAAGAGGAGGTACAATATATTAGCGGCGATGTCTGTTATTACGGCTACACCTGATTGCATTGGAGTATCAAAGGAGGTCGCCGAGCATTTCAGTGAAATTCTCATCGAATACTTGTTTATGGCTGATAGTACGGAAGAGGGACTTACCAATGCTTTGTTGGGTAACTTCAACAAATTGTTTGACGCAAAGACCACAAAAACCAACCATTACATAGTAGTTCATCTTGTCAAGAATCTAGTCAAGAAAAGCGAGGATATGAATGAAACAACAAATCAAGTACTTGCATTTTATAGTGTGGTGGTTAGAAGTCAGATATTAGACAGTCAAAGAGCTCAATTATACGGTTACCTAATTCCCAGTTGTCTTGGTAGTTTGAAGAGTGAAGTATGCAAAGAAGCAGCTGCAAATTGCTTGTTAGATATGGCTAGTGCTAATGCGCTGTCTTTCAAAACAGCCACATCGTGGATAGATGCAGAAAGTAGAGCCTTGTTAGAAGGTGCAATGCGTGAAGCTGTATTGAAGCAAAGCGGGTCACAGGCTGGCAAGAAGACGAATGGTGTATCACAGCCATCGATATCGTTAAAAGCGTTTTCACAATGATCTAATAAAATGTAAAAGATGTATTTGGTCTTTAAGCACATTCTAGTCGGTTTAACCGAGACGTCGAACATGAGTGAGAAGATTGACGAAAATATTCCAGTAAGGCTGTTGTGTTTAGTGTTTTTAAACTAAAACACTCTAGTCAACTGCTGTTCTCGTCAAATTAGGCGAAAATCTCAGCCAGGCAACTGAATCAGATAGAAAGGCGCAAATCAAGAAAGTAAGGCAGTTAGCCACTTTCTCAAATGACTCAAAGTATCACAGACAAATGCTTTATTCGAGTTACACTTGAAGAAAGGTTCGAATGAGTCTGTCTGGTGAGCTAAGATTAATCTACATCCCCACATCGGTCTCACACGTGGACCAAGGACCATCGATCTTAAAGACGTAAATAGATTATTTACAGTTATTTATTATCTTAACGTAAATTTTGGTAGAAAGGTCAAATCTACAAAGGTCAAGCGAAATCTAAAGCCGACGCAATTCTCACTATTGACGAGGGTGAGTGCATGATAAGCAAATGATTATTACACCGACGCCGTACAGAAACATTCAAGGGCCTCTCAGAAGGTAAATTGAATGGCCAAAAGGCTTTCATGACCGGTAAACTTAAAGTCAAGGGAAATATGATGCTGGCTACCAAGCTTGACGGTATCCTTAAGCAAAATTCCTCAAAGCTTTAGGTATGATCAAGTTAATAACGATAATAATGATAGCTCATGAAACGTTGTATTCTTACATTGATTTTTATAATCACAAATGATGTCAACTCTGATAAGACCCTGAAAGTAATCCTTTAACGTTCTTGAGAACATCCTGCCGCTAATATAAAGTCAGACATTGTAACGGTGGTCGTATCAAACTCACGGAAACTGTGTTAAGAATAAATGATTCCTCTAGATGTTTCTTTCGACCTCGTCGGGTGATTAAAGCGAATAACGCTTCAACTCCATTGCTGTTACTTCCTTGAGTTAATGGCATCAGTTGAGGAGCATAAAATCTATGCTCGCGAACGACATCCATAGCTTTGTCCGATCTCAATGAAACTTTAGCACAATCAAGTTGCGAGACGAGTAGAAGATCGTGGTTAGATGACGTCGATTTGAATTCCCATCCATAAAGGGCTAAAATAGAGGATTCCTTTGATGGTTTGGGATCGGGGAAAGCATTGATTAGTGAGTCAATTTGCATGTCAGAAAGTGGATGGACTAGCTGAATGCTGAATTTGACGTTGGAGTCTATCAACCGTGCTCTTTCAGCAATTGAATTCGCGGCGAGGGTTGGTGGGAGTGAGAGTTCTTGTAGCCTGTACATGGAGCTGGGGCACTGCTGATACTTCCACGGACAATGTACAGAGTGAGACGAGTCAATGGCTTGAACGAAGGTATCAGTTAGCTTTTGATAAGCTAATTGAGGGAATAAGTAAGCGATTTTGTAAAATAAAGCTACTCACTTGATGTTTGAGCAGCTGAGAGATCGACAACGACGCCATTCTTACATTTATCGCAGTAAAGACGATTTCTGTGTGCCTGATCGTGGTGCCAACCTTTCAAAGCAACAGCAGGTGGGGATAACTCAATAGGTTTTGAAGTGTAAGTTCTAAGTGAGAAAGACTGAAGCCTTTGAATAAACTTTTCAAAGCTAAACAAGTCAGATTTCTTATTCGTTTGACTTGAAGTATTAGTTGAACTCCTTAATTGAAAGTTATGCGTTGAATTAAACCACTGTAGCTTCTTCTCAAGCTCAGCTGGCATTTTTGGTTTTCTTGATTGTCTGTAACCCTCTGACTTAGTCAATTGCTCAGATTGACATGATTTGTCTAGAATGTTCAAAGCATCTTGATATTTACGCCTGAATTCCTTTAATTTTCACTTATTTTTTCATTTGATAAACCCACTCACTTATTCATCGCGTCGGCGTCGGCGTCGGCGTCGTGAGCGTGGGTGATCAACCTTGATTGTAACTTCCATGTCGGCTGATTGGTTTAATACTCCAACAAAGAGTTACACAAAGTCTCATCAATCACCTTCTCCTGTCCAAGCAGTACCCGCAGATCCATTTCCACTTGCTCAACCTGCTCAACCTGCTCAACCACCTCCACGCCAAGGTCGCACTGAAGCTGAACAAGCAATCTTACGTGAGGAGCGCAAGAAGAATAAGAAATCGCGTAAAGCTGAGCATCAAGTTTTTAAGAAATTGGTCCAGGATGGAGTATCTACAGCCAATACACAATCTACTTCAAATTCAAGAGCATCTACTGCAGCTCAAGGTAGATCAAGGCAAAAAGAATCTCAAATACGTGAAAATGAAAAGCTGAAGAATTTGGAGGCCGGTCTCAGCCTTTCCTCATCCTCTGAGTCAATTGAATACACGCCATTTACTCAGATTCTCAATGAAAAAGTCCATGGCATCCACAGGAACATTATTGGAGTTATTGCAGGCGTTAAAAAAAGAGGCAGATCTAAAAGTGGTGGTAAGTTGGCTCAAATCAATGATACCATCTCTGACATAATTAGATTCTTATCTCAACATGATCGTTTGTGATCCTTCAACCCCAGACTCTTCCAAGGCTCTTAATCTTAATCTTTTTGCAGTATCTGAGGATGAATTACCTAAAGCTCAACCAAGTTGTGTTATCCTGGTCAGGCACTCTTTCGTATGTTTGTCAGATATAACATTTATCAGTCACTCACATATTTATTTACAGCTACAACGCTTCTCTTTTAAAATTCAAGCCGCTGGACGAAAAGGCGATTATAATTGGGCATTGTTTAACCCTGAAACACGGGGCATTACTACATCTGCACATCTTCTACCTCAACTCGGTAAAGAGGAAGCTACTTATATAGACAGAATCAGTAAATGGTGGAAGATTATCAATCCAGATGTAATTGTTCCTGCCACTGGCAATTTACGCCAAACGATATCTATTAATCAAGTACAAGAGAAAGTGTTTTGCAATTTTATCGCAGAAGTAGGTATTCTCATTTATAGCTCTTATCTAATAATCATAGGTTCTTTTTGTTGATGATGTTCCCCCTCCTGGTGCTTTGGAGTTATGTGTTACAGATTATACGCAAAATCCTAAGCTAAAGGAAGCATGGCACGGTCTGCATGGTAATAGAGTGATGAAGCTGTCACTTTATGATGAACAGAGAAATGCTGGAAAGATTGTGTCATCAGGAAACTTTATCTTATGCAACAATGTTCGCCCAAAAATGAACCCGGGTATCTTAGAGGGCAATATGGGAAGCGATTTCGGTAAAGTCAACATTCATAGGCTTCACGAAAGTGATGAAAGACTACTTCCATTATTACAGTATGTATAATTACTGTTTTATCTTTGTCTTAACAAGGTTCCAGTCGTAAACAGGAATTCGATCACCAATATGGACTACCTGAGTACATGGCTACTCAAAGCACACACCTTCCTTCTTCCAGCATACCTGAAAGCACTCCAGCAATGATGAGCTCGTCATTAGAAACTCCATCTAGGAAAGGGGAACAAAAAGAGCAAGAAGCTGAATCAATGGCATCGCCTATCTCAAGGCAAGTAAAAAAGCTCCCAAAGTCTCGAGTAAAAACCAAATTGAATGTGAATCACGATACGGCGGCTGTTTCAATCGACTCGATAAATTCCATATCAAAATCTGCGCACAAATACCACATTAAAGCACGCATAGTTGACTTTTCTCCTCAAATTGCAGACTGGGCAAAAGCTAAGTGTACAAATTGTGATGTTGTGTTAGTTAGTCATTTTCTCTTGAACAAACTGACACGTCTCAGATTAGATACCAATGACCTCGTCTGCGGTAAGTGCGATCAAGATGCTTATGTAACATACAAATACCTCTTTGCACTACTGCTGGAAGATGAACGCGGTGATACTTTACCGGCCTTTTGTTGTGATGAAGATGCTGTCGCGTTATTTGATGGCTTGAGCGCCGAAGAAGCAAGGACGGAGAAAGGGCTTCTAAAGATGAAGAAGAAACTGGGCAAAGTTTTGGGACACCTGATTGATGCTAAAGATCCTGAAGATGCCGAACAAGTGACATCACCAGATGAATACAATGATTTCTTAATATTTAGCTACAAGCCGGTCTTGTTAAAGGATAAGATTGCTTATCGTGTATTTTGTACGACGTTATTATAGATTTTCATAAACTGTCACGCACATCATGACAGTTGACTTCAACATCCGAGTACATCAAGTACGATCATCAATCACAAACGTACTCACGTTTGAGGGTCGTTGATTGACAGATTGAAGTTAAGTCGTTGTGGTCAAGTCTACACGCGGTGTACACAATGGAAGCTCAAAGTAAACCAATATCTGGACGAGCGATTGCTATAGCACATACGTCTTTCAGCAGTGCTGCTTTCATCTCTGCTTTAATTGTAGGCTGCTATTTCCACTATCAGAAACTGTGTCGCAACTCGGTTGCACGCTATCCTGTTGAATGGTTTCCTAGGTGAGTAAACCCAAATGATTTAAACAATTTTGACAGCTAATTCACAGCGTCTCTACAACTATCGGAGATTTTCATCCTGAGCGATCTGTGTTCCAGCTACTGATCGCGACGTGTGCATGTCCACGTTTCATCACTATCTTTCTAAATTGGAAGGAGTGCGAGAAGAGCTCGAAAGCTATTGCTGATACTCATGCCATTCTCGGCTTAATTAGGACCTTCAGTTGCGGCGGTTGGTCGTTTATAACTTCTACAGACAATAGCACAGCTCATGATATCTTTATGCTTATTTATATCTTGAGCAACATCATTTATATGCCGCTTGGTTTCTCTCTCACTCGCAAAAAGTCACTCAGAATCGTCAGAGGATTGACGTCTTTCTACTTTATCGCAAGCCTGTTTCCAATGTTCTACACTTACTTTCAGCATAAAACTAACAAGATACCCGGAGCTTATACCACATACGCATTTTATGAATGGGGTCTTATTGCCGCCGATGTCATCTTTGATTCAGTATTCATCTCCGACCTCGCAAACGTTTATATTCACATGTGCAATTCAAGTGAACCAAGTAGCTTAAATTTACAGGATGATTCAACCCAGTCAGTTGATAACAGTCAAGTCAAAGCAGTCACCACTCAATTATTCAGACAGTATCACTGGTTCATGGCTTTAAATCCAAGAGTGAAAAACACAATGAAAATATTAAATTATATAGCCAACACCGTGCTATCATTGATCTGGTGGACCAATTTCACTGCTCTTCCACTTTGCATATTCTATTACAGCGTCTGGTCTTTATCATTTGCTGGTCAAGAAGGATTGATGTTAGTAACTCTCTCATCATCGCTTGTCACGCTTAAGGGTGTGCGCGTCTTTGCTTCATCATCAAATGGAAAGACTGTGCTTACTATGTTCTCTCTTCTTGGAGTATTTGCGTCGAAGCTTGAATTCCCTGTTCTCAAATTAGCGGCGGGTGAGTATTAGAATATTCAGATTCACTATTCTAATACATTACAGTCACCATGGCTGTTATTGCTCAGACCATCCAAATTTCATCTGAATGGTACACGAGCAATGACGAAAACTGTATCACTTATCTTGTCCTTGGGTTACTCTTGCACTCAGTCTCGAAGCTGATTGCAAACTCAAATAATCCATTCTGGCCAATAATGAATAATTCGAACGGTGGACACATTTATCTTGGACTGATATTGGGATTTACCGCTTTGATTGTTCGAAGATATATCGTGACATCTGTCGTTGAACTTAACAATACAAAATACAAAAATGATCACAACTGTTATCTAGTCGGTGCTGGTCTCGGTAGTTACATTTGGGCGCTTCATACTTATCTATCAGATCCATCTACACTGCTCAGCTGGAGCTGGACAGGTTTTCCAATCCAAGGACCACATCCTATTTACCACTCGACTGTTATAGTTGTTGGGTTTGTCATTGGCATGCTCAGTCCCAAGCTTTTGGCAACTTCGAGAGTTTGGCATTTCTTTGGAACATGGTGCCTAGGGTTGTGCTATTATTATGATGGCTGGGTCAGCGCTGGTGGAGCCTTCGGATGTGCCATATTTTATCCGTCACTTGCGACTACAGTATTTAGTAGCATTAGGGCCTATACGCCAGGAAGAACATTAGGAGCTGTATTCGGAACCTACACGGTACTTGTTGTCGCTCACACGTTTACTGTGGCATACGAGTTCGTGCCCTTGGGATTTTTGCTTCGTGAGCGCAGTCATCTCGTAATGATGACAGCAAATATTATTATATGGTGCTCCCTTCCTAAATCTAATGCGCGAACAAATAATTTTGAGCGTAATGGTTTATTTAACATTTATGTCAAGGTTTTACTGCTCGGTACAATCATCGCTTCTCACTTAATACTTAAACATCGATCAGAAAACATGACAACGATTAAACCATACCACGCGGATCAGCAATTGATTACTAGTGGAATTTGGACAGTGCATTTTGGGATGGATGATGCAATGCAGGATAGTCAAGTACGGATGCGAGATCTTATCCGCGAAGCTGAAGTTGATGTCGTTGGTTTGCTAGAAACTGAATTGCAAAGTATTGTCTTTGGTAATAGAAACATGGCCCAATATATTGCAGAGGACTTAGGCTATTATGTAGATTATGGTCCACCTAGTCACAAGCACACTTGGGGAGCAGTACTTTTATCCAAGTTTCCAATTTTAGCGAGTGAACACCACCTTTTGCCATCTCCACAGGGAGAGCTAGCACCGGCCATTTTTGCTGAACTAAATGTCTATGGAAAGACTGTTCATACTATGGTGTCTCATAACGGCCAAGAGGAATCACCTCTAGATCGAGAACTCCAAACTACAGAAATAGCACGCATCATAAGCAAAACTTACCCAGACCCTGTATTGTTCTTGGGATATTTGGTAACTAAACCCCACGAAGAACGCCCTGCGCCTTACAGAATATTATTTGAAGACGGTCAACTACTAGATGTTGAACCTCTAGATAGGCGGAGGTGGTGCGAGTATATCGGTTATAGATCAATGAGGAAGGTAGCTTATGCGAGGATAAGTCATAGCTCAGTCACTGATACGGAATTACAAGTCGCGAAATTCAAGTTGTACGAACCAGACGAGGTTTACCATCCGCAATACGACTGGTACAATTTTCTTGATGAGAATGATGTAGCAGTTGAACACCGATTTTCAAAAGCGTTTGAGGGAAAAGGTATGAAAGGCCATAAACATGCACTCAGCATACCTATATATTACCAAGAAGCGGCAAGTTTCGAATAGATATTTCCCACTCCCTTGTATGTCTAACATAAGTAAACATGTTTCTGATTTTGAATTCCTACTTTTGAATTGCTTCAATGATCAATTTCTGGGTTTGACTCAGTAATGGCGAATTGCTAATCAGAATAATTACTAACATTTTCACCATTGACCAGGTTTAAAAAGATTAGGAATACTTATCGAAGTTATTCAAGCAATACATTACCGACTCATCTAAATTGACATCCTTGATTACATCTGTGTACTTGATTAGACATAAGTGCAACAGCTCTTCAATCATAGATGGATTGAGTTCTTCGAGGTTCGAAATTTGCAAGACAGATAAGGTTTGATTGGATTGACAGTAAGATCGCAATCTCATGTTAAATTGTTCTAGAGAGTTGTGCGGTGTATGTAGAACTATAATTCCATTATTTAATTTTAATTGAGAGATATCGGTTGATTGCAAAATGCGAGGAAGAGTATCCAGAAGAATTTGAGGACTAATTAGAGCCAAACCTCTACTTCTATTCCAGGCGCACCAAAGGGTATCTAATGTGATGATAGATTTGTAATTTTGAGCGAATAAATTTGTTAAAATAATTCGCAACTCGTTGTAGTATAAAGATGAATAGTCGTCGTCTTGATTGGATTGGTCGAGTGAAATAGAGTTGAAAGATGAAGTGAGGAATTGATTGATATTATTTGAATTGTTTGGTAAATGCTTAGATAATTTTTGCGAAATTCTGAGTAATTCGTCTGCTTTAAAAAATAAAGTGTCTAGATCTTTAAATGATTGATTCAAATCTGATTGATTTGTATTTGATTTACTATCGACTGACTTTAGTATACCGCTAATGCCAGCCATGTTATTATTATCAGTAGTGATGTCATCGAAATCATCATTCAACCAGCATTTAAAGTTCAATGAGACAGACAACTTGTTATAAAAGTTTGAGCCATCGCCCGATCTGAAGCTGAGTTTGATGAAGTTGATATCATCACTCTGTTGTTGGCTCAACCTGGTTGATTTCAAAGGCTCTTCACATATTTCGCATATTTCCATTGAAGGGTGGTTATCGAAAGTGCAAGATCTACACCTTGTTGATGAAATTTCATTTGTTGAAGATTCTATTAAATCTTTTTTAGTGATTTTAACGCCACATAATTCACAAGTTTGACTAGATGACGGATTCCTATATGAGCAAATTGAGCAAACCAAGACTGAATCACTGGCTTTGCTATTATCGTTATTGAAATTTATTGTAACTTTAGGTGAAGATTTCAAGAATCCGCTGAAATATTCAGTTTTACGAATTGACTTTAATTCCAAGTAAAACGACTTGGATATCGAATCGACTGTGTCTAAATAAAAAATTCTAAAGTTTGTTAAATATATTCTGCCGAGCTGTCTATCTTTGTCTTTCTCTTTGCTATGCGCTGTCAAAGCAGTACACGATAACGATAATCCACTCACTTCTTATAAACACCAACATTTTCATTCTTAAAAATAATTTTCTCGTTTTTCATCAAGTAAGCGTTTATAACTTTGGAGTTTATTGGGACTGCTTGCATTTCAGATTAGATGAATGTTATGCAGAAAGAACTTCAACAAATACAATAATATTCATACAATTTCTAATTGTTTTAACCTTTTTGTTAAAATAACAGCTTTGTCCTCATCTAGACTCGTTATTGATATTCCATCCAATACCTTTAATGTATTGCATACGCTCTTCATTATTCCCCTGTAAGCTATACGCTTTATATAATCTTCATCCTTCATCTCCATCTCTACGTACTCCTTGTCCATCTTTATCCACTCTTCCACTTTCTCAATGCTCTCACTTCTCCGTTTCACTCTAATTGCAGGTATCGCAACCGCATACTTGGTCCTTTCATCTTTTATATCAACGTAGTACTTCCTAGTACATGGGTTGTCCCTCAAATCTAGCACTTCCAACTCTATTAAACTGCTAATCACCTCATACGCTATATCGATATTTTCAATATCACATCGATTGATGCTTAACCTTTGTAATCTATTCAGATTCGTTAGCGTTTCAACATCCTTAATTGGATTCATATTTATGTTCAACACCCTCAAATTTGGGCATACTTCGGAGAAATTCTTTGGTAACGCTCTCAAACCACAATTTGCTATCTCCAAGTACTCCAAATGGTAACAACATTCCGCTGGAAACGTTTCAGGTAAATTGTTTCCACTCAGGTAAAGCCTCTTGATATCCCTTATATCCTTCATCGATAATTCAAAGTATTCCCCTTTTTGCTCCCTACACGATAGGTTCTCCAGCTTTTTCAATTCACTTATTCCAGATAGCGCACTTAGTTTGTTGTTGTCTATGAATAGAGTTCTGACTTTCGTTACCATTCGAACGTCTAGCGTTTTAAGTCTGTTATTTGAGACTCTCAACACTTTCAAATGATCAAACTTTGCGTTCAACTTGAGCTCTTTCAAAAAGTTACTATCCAAAGAGAGGAATGACAAATTCTTGAGCTCTTCAATGCCCCGAATGCCGATTATTTCATTATTACTCAAATCCATATATTCTATTTCTTGCCATTGGTAATTACTAAAATCTAGCGCATGCAAAACATTTCTCGAAACTGAAAGCTTTTGAAGTCCTTTGATGCCATCTAGTCCTTCAAGACTATGTAGTTTGTTATCGTCAAGGTTCAAATGACGTAAATGTAATAAAGACTTCAAAGCTATGAACTTGATTAGACACTTTGACATCAAAGTCCGCTAGATTACCTACGTTTAACACACGTGATCTTATTCTTTGATAAATCTAGATATTGTAGATTTCCAGCTTCGAGGCCAATTTGAACGAGTGATTGAATACTTCTGTTACAAAAGCTAGCTTTTGTTGCCAAGTTTAAGTTTATTTCTTGGGTGATATCCTGATTCGATAACTCGCTCAACGTTCGATGAAATAAGCTAGAAGAATCAGGTCTAGATAAGCTGTCTGATCGAAAGAACTCAGACGCAGGTGATGATTTTATCATTTCGTTTTGACTATTTGAATTGAAAACATTTCTAAGAGCCTCCTGATTTTTGAGACTCGACTTTCTCAGAGATTTTGGTGAAGGGTGTTTGAAAGAGACCGAGCGCAAAGGTGTATTTGTAGACGAGCCTTTAAAAGCTGAACGACGATTGAGTGAGTTTCTCAAAGATGATTTTGGCTCTTCACCTAAACTCTCTATTCCTTCAAAAGGATCAGCATCGGAATCTGAATCGTAGAAACCTGATCTTGGTAGCCATTTTTTCAGATGTCTATCAAAGACATAATTCCCATACTCTTCTTTGTACGGATAATCGTTTGGTTCAACGAATTTCAATGAGGTAGGACCCGGAGCTTTTTGACAAGTAAATTGTGATAACTTCGAAGTAGAAGGGGTTGCTGAATGATACACTTGAATTGAAGGTTGATTAAAGTCGTTGTGTGATTTTGATTTTGGTATAAAGCTCATATCAAAGTGATTTGGATCACGTAACTTGAGGAGGCTGATATCATCGTTCACAGGAGTTGAAGTTTTGAAAGGGGAATTGTCACTATCATTGAATCTGAGTAAGTCCATGAACTGATTAGCTTCCTTCAAGATGTCCCTATCAGATTTATGAGATGGCTCAAAGAGTGAAAGATCTTTGATGGATGAAGTGAGATTATCTGAGAGTTTTAATTTCTTCTTTGCTTGCTCAGTTTGTAAGGAATTTGAGCTGCTATTTGACGCGATATCTAACTCATCGACTAAAGCGTCGATATTGGTTTGACCGAACAGTGATTTCGTAGGAGATTTTAATAAGTTATCAGAACTCTTTATAGTGGAATTAAACGTGAATTTAAAGTTATTGAATATATTCTCCAGATCCAGGCCATTTGAACCTTTTGATTTCACCAGGGAGTTACTTGACTTTATGGAGTTCTTATGGGAATTTGATGACTTTGAGCCCCAATTCACTGATAAGTTTTCATCCTCAATATCATCCATAATCGGACGCTGTCTTGCTTATGACTTCAAATCCTCGAACTTGAATGTTTGGTTTTAAGAATGTTTCATAAATTATTATCCTCTATTAATTTTACATTTACTCTCATCTACCTTTTTCCTTTCGAAACCTTTATTTTACGCTTCTTTTCAGATTTCGGTATCTTAGTCTTACGCTTTTCACGCTTTTCATCCTTCATTGCTTGCTTACGCTCCTTCTTTGTATCTTTGTCCTCATGTTTCTTGCCTCTAGGTGCTCTCTCCTTCCATTCACCCTTGTCTCCATCTTCGCTATCACTCTCACTATCACTACCTTCATCTTCACTACTCATATCACTTGTATTATCATGATTTATCTTATCATCTTCATCATTACTGCTCTCAATGTTCTCGGCTGGACGCTCATTCGCTTCAGTTACACCAGTCGTTGTTCCATATATCAGATCAGCTCCTTCACCACGCCTTATCTTCTCAGCATCACGCTCAGGGTCAATGACCTGGTCTAAAGTTCTTGGTATGTAAGATTGAAGGAATACTGCATCATCTTGCTTAATTTTTTCGTCTTCCTTGCCATTTTGATCGAAATCTTTGATTGCTCTTTCGATCCAAATCTGTAATTCTTGGTAGAGAACTTGGTCTTCTTCAACTTGGCCGATACTAGGACGCTCTCCCCAAGTGGGATTCTTTTCAAGACTTTCACGAGTGACGTATTCGAAGCTGTCCCTCAGTGATAGTGTCTCGACACCACGTTTTGAGAAAAAGTTCTCAATATTTCGCAAGTCTGAACGCAGAAAGTCGAATGCAGCAGGATGCTCTTGCTCAACTGATTGAGAGACATCAATTATATATAGTTGTGAATTATGATATCTGTGTTCGACGTCAGTTGAGTCAGTTGAATCCTATAGTGATTGAAGACAACTTACAGAATATTGTATTCAGATAAGTCAGCATGTACAAGCCTGCAAGCTCTGTACATTTTCCTTACATTGACCATGAGCTGAGCATAAAGTTTTGGCAATTTAGATGAGGCGATTTGAGCATCTTTGAGTCTTGGTGAAGCCCATCCATCTTCTGTACCAAAGAACTCCATAATTAAAACGTTTTCCCTGACTTCTATTGGTTGAGGACATGGCAAACCTTGATCCCAAAGTCGTTTGAGGTTCCTCATTTCCTTTTCTGCCCATAATCTCACCATCTTACGAGGGTTACTTTTGGCATAGCCTTTCCTGAATCTAAATTCTCCGCTGACATAACGATCACGGTCTTTAAAGACCAAAATAGAAGTTTTGTAGATCTTGATTGCCAATTGTATACCTTGACGATCTCTTTGCAGAGAGGGAGCAGAGCCATGATAGACATTTGCCTTTAGAGGTAGTCAGTTGGTGTATACGAGCGAGAAGGAAAAAGCACCTCTTTACCAGTGCTCAAGCAACCATTGATCTCAGATACGACACCGCGGTTGATCATTTTCAAAAGAATAAGACGAGTTCTTGGATCGAGTACTTGCTCAGTTGTAGCTCTATCGCTTTTGTCCTTCTCTTTAGATTTCTCTTTGGTGTACGGTGCCAGATTGATCTGCTGAGAGAACCTGGAGTTGAGAGAAGAGAGTTGATCTGGATGTGAGTGATCGTTGGATTGATCATTTGGAAGAGCGGCAGAATCATCACCGCCATCAGTCTTCTTTAGTGTAGACTTTGATTTAGCGTGTGACTGCTTGATATGAAGTACTTGATTCTTTAGCTTGTTATATTGCTTGGTAAAGTCTGCGATTTGATTCATATCGTTTCATTCTTTTGCTTTAAAAACTTACCACCGCCTGCACCTTCCCAGTCCTGGTTGTCGATAATATCCGCGCTATCGTCAAACTCATCCAATGAATCGTCAGATCTATCCGATAACTCATGACTGGAATCATCGATGTAAGTCACAGATTCTTCTCTCTCTGTTTCGTATGTACGTTCTCGTGAACCCATAAGGCGATGATGGTTGATAAGACGTTGTAAATTTAAACAAAACTAGTGGATATATTTTCTATATAAGTATCTGCTTAAATGGTATCTACGATGACTGTATTCGATCATAAACAAAATGGTGACCAAGCTAATTGCTGTCATCATTTTCTTGGCTGTGAATACTTTGGCCATCTTCTTAAGCAGCTCCATAAGCTTACTTGACTGGTCCTGGCGACTGTTTATTTTGCTCAAAGACTCTAAAACCCTTTCAATTTTGGCTTCAATCGCCTCTAAACGTACTTGAACGGCGGTGAAATCTTCAACATGAACATTATCACTGTCTTCTGATTTAGGCGTAACTTCAGCAACGCTGCTTGAAGGTAGAATTGCTCCTCGTATACGCTTGTTCGTATACTTGCTCAGGCTATGTGAATAAGTTTGAGGCAACGATCTTGTTGAGTCCCAAGCCAATTCCATGTCATTGCCTTGCTTTAACTTGCCTTGTGGAATTGGATCAGACTCTGTCACGGATGGAGGAACGATGAGGCGCAATGATGGATTATCAGCTGAGCCTGATGAATCTGAACTGGTTTCTGAGACTGCTATTGCTAATTTATTAGAGCTTTAGATGAAAACTTACTCCCCGCTTACATCGATCGTCATCTGTGATAGGCTGACGCAATTTAAGAAGTAATTCGACACCTGTTGCTTTATCGCTGTGCCTTTTGAGAATCTGATTTCGCATTAGCTGTGCTGATGTAAAGCCTACCTCCCTCACTTTCTTCAAAGTCTCATTGTACAAGTACTTGGCTTCAGATGAACTAAGTTCCTTCTGTGTTGACCATGCGTCCCACTTTGCCCTTTCGAGCATGTTAAATATACTTGGTCTACTGCCATTGACGTTACCCTCTGTTGCTGCAAAATAAGCGTTAACTCGTTCATAAAGAACTTCGTTTGCCAACCTTGCTTGAAGAGGCTGTACATGTTGAGCTTCTCTTCGTAATTTGTCTGTATAGGACCATCCCTCGGTAATTCTTGCACGATTCCAACCGCTCTGTCGAATTGTAAATCAATTCCGCCTAACGCCATTGTGGTGATCAAGATAGCACTCACGAGCACGCAGGCTTTAAACTGAAATATAATAAATACATCCGTTTCAATAAATATTTTCAATAATATCATTACATGGTTAACGCTGGGCATCCCATTATCTGCGTGCCAGGCTTCAGTCGGGTCAGCTAATGCAAATCATGTCAAAGGCAACTTACCTTTCGTGTACAGTCTTTAGTTACTAACAAGCAGCCAAAGCAAGTTATTTTTATTAACTCCGGACAAGTTTCAACAAACTCCTTCATTACGGAGTCATCTGTCTGTCTGCACCAACTAATATCAACCTCTCTGATCTTTGGAATCATTGAAGGTATTTTTAGAAGGAAATCTTTTGAGATATCCTTTAACTTATTTAGATTCAACAATTCGATCGTTGGTCCAATCTTGTTCAAAATCGTCTCTAGACATTTGTCGTTGATGACATGATTCAATGATATGTCCAATTGCTTTAACCCGATATTGTTCCATTGCTTGAATAGGTCCTCGAAGCCAGAATTATCGATCAAGTCGCAACTATTCAGATTAAGAATCCGCAGATTCGGACAGTATAATCTGATGCCATTGGTAAGTAGCCCATTGTCCAAGTCAGAATTTTTAGACAAGTTGAGCTCTTCAAGACATTGACCAACATTGGAAAGTAAATTGACAATGGCCTCCGATGTGACATTACCCTCAACTTGGACAATTTCTAAATTTTTAAGATTTTTCAATCCATTTAAGTGATCAACACCCTGATTTTCCATCTTGATTTGAGATATACTAAGTACATTGAGCTTTTTGCAATTCCTTCCAACTGCTTCTACACTGCTTTGATCAAAGTGTGGACATTCAGAAATTCTGAGCGATTGTAAAGAGCTGCCAATAGTATTTAGGAATTCGATCCATCCATCTGACTTAACGAGGTAGGCACCATGAACATCTAAGTGTTGTAAATTTCTAAACCTTAAACACCAATCTTTGATAACGTCGTTATTTAATTGACCAGCAAAAGCTATTTTTAACCGAGAGATACTTGGACAGAGAGTTGCTATAGATTTTAGACATTCAGGATTAAGGTTCGCAGCATCGTAAAGAGACAGTGTGTCTTGATGACTGCCAAGAAATAGTTGAACCGTCTTGTAGTTAAGACTGCGATTCTTTGATAGGACTTTTGCTATCGTATCTGTTGCATCACCGCCAATTTCACCGAGATTTTCGACGTAATCGATGTTAGCAATGATGACTTTAATAGAATAATCGGCTAAGGATGATAAAGGTTTTGAAGATTCAACTTTAGGCGCAATTCTCTTTTCTTTTTGAGCAGGTTTTTTGGGCTTTGGTTTTGATTGAGCTTGCTTGAAGGGATCAATACCGTGGGCAGAGGTACACTTTGGACAGAGAACACCGATACCGTCTGGACCCGTTGGAGTATACTTTGTCTGTAAAACATTTAAAAGGGAAAAGACGTGAGAAGAAGAAAACTTACGATAATAACCTTTGATTGACATTCGATGCACGAAGTCTTACTGCCGACGCCACCAGCTGAAGAGCTTTGAGACTTTGAAGGAGCAGTGTAAGGATCGTCTTGCTCAATTTGAGGATTAGACTTTTGACGCTTCAAAGAAGGCTGAATGGGATCGTCGTCAAGGTCTTCAGAGTCAGAGCGGTGATGTGGGATTGGTGAGCGAGAAGTGGTTGGTTGAGGTGGAGGATTCTGTTGAATTTCACGCTGTTGACGCCTATAAGGATCGCCAGTGGGGCCAGTAATGCCTTGTTCTAGAAAGCAATTGAGGAGGAAAGGAGAAAAGAAAAAGCCAAGACGAACCTCTCAAAAAAGAAGTCAAAGCTGAAGTAGGGCCTCTGACGTTGTTGTTGTTATTTCTTCTGCTCATCTGGGTAGATAACTGTTGATCAAAGACGACCAACTGTTGCGATATGAATGTGAGTTGATTGGGTGGATAAATTAAAAATTATTAAATGGTTATATAGCCAGACTACGGTGATTTCAATTAAAATTCGATTCTCAATTCTAACGTAATTCAAAGACTTTCTATTCAAGTTACTCCTCATTGGTGATTCTGGCGTTGGAAAAGTAGGTTTAATTCATTTGAGCTTTAACTTCAATCTTCTAACCTTTCTCTCAGAGTTGCTTGTTGTTAAGATTCGCGGATGATAGTAAGTTGGCTTCAATCTGCCAAGTAACTCTCCCTTATCCTTTTAGCGTACACATCTTCATACATTTCAACTATCGGCGTTGACTTCAAGATTAGAACTATCGAAATTGATGGCAAAACTGTTAAACTACAAATCGTAAGCACTCTTGTCTTCCTTCGACTCATCAACCTCATTAACTTGCTTAACTTGCTTCTAGTGGGATACGGCTGGTCAGGAAAGATTCAGAACAATCACCTCTAGCTATTATCGTGGCGCCCATGGCATCATCGTCGTTTATGATGTGACCGATAATGGTTTGTCACTTGTTTCAGCTTTCGCAATCACTAACCTGTATCAGAATCCTTCGATCACGTCTCTCAATGGTTACAGGAAATCGATCGTTATGCTTGTGAAGGCGTTAACAAGCTACTTGTCGGAAACAAAAACGATCTTGATTCAAAGAAGTCGGTTGATTATAATGTCGCCAAGGTTCGTTCCCTTTAACCATCTTTTACCTTCAACTCTATGAGTTCACTGCTAACTTTTGTTCAGGAATTTGCTGAGCAGCTCAATATACCATTCTTGGAAACATCAGCTAAAGATTCCACCAACGTAGAACAAGCTTTCTTAACCATGGCAAAGCACATCAAAGAGAGGTGAGATTCTTTGAAACACTCTTGACCTTACTAATTTATCTTTGAAGGATGGGTGCAAGCTCTGTCGGAGCGGGTACAAGTGCGAAATCAGGCATCAAGCTTTCGTCCGGGCAACAACTAGATCAGCAATCATCTTCGGGCTGCTGTTAGTTTTATTGCTTTAATGCATTACTTTACTTCTATTGTGTAAAAGCTTATTCCTACACGGGTCAACTTACGTCTGAGCCTTTTTTGTTTGTAAGTTTGCTGATATACCCGTGAGATAGACTTGAATCGACTTAGAAGCAATTCTTCTCGAATAGGGAATTTCACACTCTTCTAAAACTCTGGACATTTATAATTTCTATGTACTCTCTAAAGTGCTAGGTATACCACTATCGCATTTTGCCCAAAAACTTCCGACTTGAATTTATTTCTAACGACTTTTTAAACTCTCCAGATAAATTGAAAAGCTTGATCATGACGTGCGCGTATCTAATCATGACATTTTGGCACAAGGATTTGCGAAAGTCTTGGAGCGACTAGGATCTACGTTGATAATTTAAAGATAGCTGCAGAAAGGTTAAATATACTGTTGATATCGAATAATTTAAACATGCTTCTCCGATAATGCAAAGTTGATCGGCAGTGTCCTAAGCTAATAATATCACGTAAATCAATAAGAGAGCTAGTTTGAGCGCACAAAAAATGTATTATACGAGGACTATGACTAGAAACACAATATTACTGAACAAACACTTTTCTTAAGTGTTTGTTATAGAGAGTTACAATCAATTCGAGTTATGAACTCACATGGACCATTAACTAGCGACTACGTGAGAGAAGGCAACCGGTGATCTATATTTTATGAAACACTAGATCGACACAGCGATCTTGAAATTTTGACGCAATGCTTGGCATTTCCACTCCGCTAATAAGAAGAAGTCATCGAGATTACTCAGGTAATTTTTCATTAGGAATCGCATAACTTTGGTAAATCTTCATAAACTTGAAACTTCGAAGAACTTTGTGATTTCTATTTTTAAACTAGGCGATTCCAAATACGTGTAAATTCCTCAAAGAAAAGCTAAGTAATTCCAGAAAGTAAAACATTGACATCTAATACTAGATCAAAAATTTACGCAGACATAAAATATCTCAAGCTTATTTCCGTAAAATTTCAAGTAATGAAGTATAATCCGCTTTCTTTTTTTGTCGAATTGTCACTAATAGATTAGTGTTTGCAACTTGTTTAAATGTATCTTAAAAACAACTGTTTAGAAATTGTTTAGAGATAGCTTGGTAGATGCTATATTTCTCTGTAACCTTAATGATTGTATTCGTACTATCTGTTAATTTGTTGTACAAGCCATTCCTCAACCCAGCAGCCAGACACTTATAACATCTGTTTAATTGTTCATTGAAGATGAAAGTATTTGACTGTAAAATATATTATCGACAAAAATTTAAGAGATTATAAGAATTTTTGGTGGGTGCTAAGGTAGGGGAAAGTATGATAAAAGAAAGTACAACTGCATTTAGACTGTATTCTCACTAATCATCAATCTAATACCACTCCTCAATAAGGGATCGACCGGAAGACCCCGAGGTATTGAACGCACCAGTGTGCTTAACCGAAAACAGGGTAAACCAAAAATGGACCAGATTAGCAATACATTCGACCCAATTTATACTCTCAAATCAAGCATTATCAGTAAAAATTACAATCAGACAACACCTACTAACCATAATGTATGTATGAAGTTAGGTTAAACTGTTAAGCAGCCAGAATAGAAAGTTCTTAAAACACTTTAAACTTTAAAAATACTGGTAAACGTTCTAATCAGAACCGCAACACCCCCACTATTCATATTATTAAAAAATGCGTGCATTAATTAAAGGTACAATAGTAGTAGCGTTAAGAGTTACACCATTTGGAAAACGTTTGGTTCCTTTGTGTTCTAGAAATGTTGAATTTGGAGTGAAAGTGAGGTGCTTGATGAGGTGCAATTTGACGTATTAGTGCCATCGCAGGTACAATTCAGGCTGTAGTTTCATATATCTTCATGCGAGAAGACGATGTAAAGTCCGCATTTGACCATCTTACTGTCTCTTCCTAGTATTAACGTCCTAATATGCGGCGTGTATGATATGTCTTCGTCAGAAGAAGTAAGAACTTTTTGAAGAAAATGATTGTCAACCAATATCTGTCAAATTTCCTATGTTTGTCGATTGAGGTTATTCTGTAATTATCTAGAATAAACTGTTAACCGGATTAAACCTTACTTTGAAGTATTTAGCAGTTTTCTTATCTTTGCAACAAAAGCTCTAACTCTGAAATCCCTAAAATTACTTCATTAAAGATTAGCTGGGTGGAAAGACAGGCCATGCTCCCGAACTAATGACGCATGTTGTGGACAGTTTAAGGTTCAGATTTGTTACTGGGGTATGAATGTCTGTGCAATACTGAAATGTAGGAGAAAAACAGGATGCTTTCAGACAAAATAAATTGGATCTAGGCCGTCCTATGGTACTCAGGGAAGTGAGTCTTGAAAGTTTATCCGTCAAGGCAGCCGGAAAGAAATGATAGAAGGATATAAGGCGATAATGGGAAAGCTAGAAACTTTGTAATGAATAAAATCGCGTAGCAATTATTTTGATTTTTCAACTGAGATAAAACGTAGTCGACCAAAAGACATCATCTATCAATTAAAGAATTAGGCTAATAAAAACATCCCGCGCAGTCGACAAGCCCGCTCGGTGTACACAAGAAGTTCAGAAACACTTACTTTACAGCGGAAATACACTAGTCCGACCAAAGCGTGGTTGAAAGTAATAAAATTGAGACGTCAGAGAAATAAGAGCAGGACAAGAACATCTCTGATTGAAGTTCCTGCCATCCCAACGAAGATAGGTCAATGCAGTAAATTTAAAGCAATAATCAATGGTCCAGCCCAGGAGTCATGCCTTACACAAGTTTATATCAAAGAAGCAGAAAAAACTCAATGAGCAAATTGATCTGAATGAGGACACTTCCAAGCCCTAAGCTTTCATCTGATAGCAAAAAAAGTTATAGCACGGAAATAATGAAAATTCGTGGCCGTCCAAAAAGAATATTATAAAACGAAATGCTTAAAAAAAAAAACAAAAGTATCGCTAATGGCATTATGATTTAGCTGTTTAATCAGTAATACAAAGTTTCTTCCCAAAAATTGGAACCGAATCTTAGCTTAGAATAAGTAAAAGCCCAAGTACTCTTTGTTTCTCAGTATTTTAAAACTCAACCCAAGCCAAGCTAATGAAGGACTACATCATCCTAAGGCAGATACGCTGTTAAAGACTTTAGACTCTTTTTATAAACACGCTTTTTATTTTCGGAGAACGAGAAAGTCCTTTTTCAATTTAAATTTAAATGTCCGCTGATTTTAAAAAGTTGGCCAAAATTATATATACATTATCTGTCTTCTGTTAGTCTTTGAAAAGAAAATACTTTCGGGAAAAGTGTTACCCACGCTAAATTCAACGGTCAGATTGTAAAAATACGACCTTTCTATTACTTTGAAATAATGCTCACCCAAACTTAACTATGTCAAAAATCGCAATATCCTACATAAATTGATATGAACATGAATTTTGAATGAAGGAAATTGCTAAAGTTACTTCTAAGTTAGAGATTTAAGATTGAGGAACTTTATTGGCTTCGGAGAGCATAGTAAATTGGGAAAACCCGGCAAAGTGACAAAAATTAGGTTTCACTGAAAAATTATCAAAGTAAGCTTTGACCAAATTGACATAGTGAATAGACTGTTACGGGCTTGCCAATCGTAGATCTAACCTGTTTGACAGTTTTTCTCAGAAGTTAAGGTTTGGGTCATTGAAGTTGCCTGTTTAGTTTTGATAAGAATTAAAGTTTCGACATCTAGTCTATGAACACTATGATCAGGAATATAAAAGGCGTAGCTACCCCAATTGTAAGGAATACCATGCATTTCAGCTAGATATGTTCAATATCGATCGATTCACGCGTTTGAAAGATTTTTTAATTTTTTGTCTTTTTCCTTCGAGCTTGGTAACACGGTTGATTCCAATTTATTTAAAGACCTATCATAAAAAGACAACTATGTTGACAGTACAGGTTCATTACGACTTGAGCGCATTATTACAAATTCCATATCCTATTTTTTTACCGTATTGAAAGAATACTCGTTCGTATTCTTTGAAGCTCACAGCAAATACTATTATGAGATTGATTTCCTATGATTTAATTGTTGACAATCATCCAAATGTGGAGGAAGCTCAATGTTTACCTTAGATCAAATATGCGAAATGATGGTTAAATTTTAATCATAGATGGTTAAAATTATTTACCCCTGCTATCAAATGAAAGCTTAGGGCTTGGAAGTGTCCTCATTCAGATCAATTTGCTCATTGAGTTTTTTCTGCTTCTTTGATATAAACTTGTGTAAGGCATGACTCCTGGGCTGGACCATTGATTATTGCTTTAAATTTACTGCATTGACCTATCTTCGTTGGGATGGCAGGAACTTCAATCAGAGATGTTCTTGTCCTGCTCTTATTTCTCTGACGTCTCAATTTTATTACTTTCAACCACGCTTTGGTCGGACTAGTGTATTTCCGCTGTAAAGTAAGTGTTTCTGAACTTCTTGTGTACACCGAGCGGGCTTGTCGACTGCGCGGGATGTTTTTATTAGCCTAATTCTTTAATTGATAGATGATGTCTTTTGGTCGACTACGTTTTATCTCAGTTGAAAAATCAAAATAATTGCTACGCGATTTTATTCATTACAAAGTTTCTAGCTTTCCCATTATCGCCTTATATCCTTCTATCATTTCTTTCCGGCTGCCTTGACGGATAAACTTTCAAGACTCACTTCCCTGAGTACCATAGGACGGCCTAGATCCAATTTATTTTTTCTGAAAGCATCCTGTTTTTCTCCTACATTTCAGTATTGCACAGACATTCATACCCCAGTAACAAATCTGAACCTTAAACTGTCCACAACATGCGTCATTAGTTCGGGAGCATGGCCTGTCTTTCCACCCAGCTAATCTTTAATGAAGTAATTTTAGGGATTTCAGAGTTAGAGCTTTTGTTGCAAAGATAAGAAAACTGCTAAATACTTCAAAGTAAGGTTTAATCCGGTTAACAGTTTATTCTAGATAATTACAGAATAACCTCAATCGACAAACATAGGAAATTTGACAGATATTGGTTGACAATCATTTTCTTCAAAAAGTTCTTACTTCTTCTGACGAAGACATATCATACACGCCGCATATTAGGACGTTAATACTAGGAAGAGACAGTAAGATGGTCAAATGCGGACTTTACATCGTCTTCTCGCATGAAGATATATGAAACTACAGCCTGAATTGTACCTGCGATGGCACTAATACGTCAAATTGCACCTCATCAAGCACCTCACTTTCACTCCAAATTCAACATTTCTAGAACACAAAGGAACCAAACGTTTTCCAAATGGTGTAACTCTTAACGCTACTACTATTGTACCTTTAATTAATGCACGCATTTTTTAATAATATGAATAGTGGGGGTGTTGCGGTTCTGATTAGAACGTTTACCAGTATTTTTAAAGTTTAAAGTGTTTTAAGAACTTTCTATTCTGGCTGCTTAACAGTTTAACCTAACTTCATACATACATTATGGTTAGTAGGTGTTGTCTGATTGTAATTTTTACTGATAATGCTTGATTTGAGAGTATAAATTGGGTCGAATGTATTGCTAATCTGGTCCATTTTTGGTTTACCCTGTTTTCGGTTAAGCACACTGGTGCGTTCAATACCTCGGGGTCTTCCGGTCGATCCCTTATTGAGGAGTGGTATTAGATTGATGATTAGTGAGAATACAGTCTAAATGCAGTTGTACTTTCTTTTATCATACTTTCCCCTACCTTAGCACCCACCAAAAATTCTTATAATCTCTTAAATTTTTGTCGATAATATATTTTACAGTCAAATACTTTCATCTTCAATGAACAATTAAACAGATGTTATAAGTGTCTGGCTGCTGGGTTGAGGAATGGCTTGTACAACAAATTAACAGATAGTACGAATACAATCATTAAGGTTACAGAGAAATATAGCATCTACCAAGCTATCTCTAAACAATTTCTAAACAGTTGTTTTTAAGATACATTTAAACAAGTTGCAAACACTAATCTATTAGTGACAATTCGACAAAAAAAGAAAGCGGATTATACTTCATTACTTGAAATTTTACGGAAATAAGCTTGAGATATTTTATGTCTGCGTAAATTTTTGATCTAGTATTAGATGTCAATGTTTTACTTTCTGGAATTACTTAGCTTTTCTTTGAGGAATTTACACGTATTTGGAATCGCCTAGTTTAAAAATAGAAATCACAAAGTTCTTCGAAGTTTCAAGTTTATGAAGATTTACCAAAGTTATGCGATTCCTAATGAAAAATTACCTGAGTAATCTCGATGACTTCTTCTTATTAGCGGAGTGGAAATGCCAAGCATTGCGTCAAAATTTCAAGATCGCTGTGTCGATCTAGTGTTTCATAAAATATAGATCACCGGTTGCCTTCTCTCACGTAGTCGCTAGTTAATGGTCCATGTGAGTTCATAACTCGAATTGATTGTAACTCTCTATAACAAACACTTAAGAAAAGTGTTTGTTCAGTAATATTGTGTTTCTAGTCATAGTCCTCGTATAATACATTTTTTGTGCGCTCAAACTAGCTCTCTTATTGATTTACGTGATATTATTAGCTTAGGACACTGCCGATCAACTTTGCATTATCGGAGAAGCATGTTTAAATTATTCGATATCAACAGTATATTTAACCTTTCTGCAGCTATCTTTAAATTATCAACGTAGATCCTAGTCGCTCCAAGACTTTCGCAAATCCTTGTGCCAAAATGTCATGATTAGATACGCGCACGTCATGATCAAGCTTTTCAATTTATCTGGAGAGTTTAAAAAGTCGTTAGAAATAAATTCAAGTCGGAAGTTTTTGGGCGGATATATATGATAATAATGCACTTTTATTTCTGTATATGTTTATCTACGTCAAACCAAGATAATGAACCTCATTAGGCGTTTAAGGATAAGCTCATCAGCGTCAGGCTGCCAGAGTTTATCACGGAAATGCAAAGGTTCAAGCAAATATCGAGACATTTTGACGAGGCACTTTACCAAATTTTTTTGGTACTTTTAACCCACTTTACGCCATACATTCGAGACCATGTGGGAATTGATAAAGAGGCACACGAGAATAGACAATAAGCGTGCTTTCATTGATATTTCTAACAACATCAACTGGATAGTAGGAGGTCTGAAGCTAACCTACTTGATCGATTATCCTTTATACGGCGTGGAAGAATTCTTGGCCGAATTACAACAAGTAGATCAGCATTTTATTCTAGAGATTAAAAAGCTTATCAATTTAGTTCGACGAGAGTCACTCTGATCTGAGGGTTCTCACTCTTGCAGGAAATAATCTCATCATCAACTTTAGGCACTTTCATAGGTGTCTGCAGACCGAAAACTATGTCTTCGTAAGTCAACAGGCTCTAAAGTGTGGTTCTAACTGTATTCCAGGCTGAATATACTCCGCTAAAAGTCCTGGAAGCTCTCGATTGGTTATCTGATCAATTCAAAAGAAAGAAAATGATTTCCATTGAAAACCTAAAAGTTGAAACTAGCATTGCATTAGTTGGAGTATTGCTAGAATACGTAACGCCATACTCCACTTTGAGTGACGGTGGAAATTTCAAGCTGTACCAGTACAAGCTCAAGTCAAACCATGATGGCTTGGTTGAAGACATGATATCATCATTCACATGTCCAATGGCTTTATTTCAGGTCAAGGACTTTGACGTAAAAGAAAGAGTTGATCAGCTACTTCATAGATTCCGTGACAGATTAATTTCAGCTCAAGAGAACAAATTATGTTTGAAATATACTCATGTAGATTTAAGCGTTGAAGATATTTACATGAATAAATTAAATCTATGAATGCGCATCAATTTTATAAACTTTCAGAGTCCAGGGGAGACCTCAGCACCATCCTGACTTTACCTCTTTGGGTGTTCCTATCGTTTTCAACAAAAATCTCTACGTCTACCAAATCGAAAAGACTGATGGTGTGTGATTTGGATTGAGAATCCTCAACTACGATCTTGTATTCTTCGGCTATAAAATTAATAGCCTTTTTGAATGTAATAATACCTTCCAGGCCCAAATTGGGTACATAAACCGCTAAACCATTCCTAAAAGTTCTGATTACATGTGCTTTTTCTCTGACACATTCGCCTTTACGATCATTACGAGCTTTAATTGCAAGTGCAACGTAGAATTCGATTGATGCTCTGCCAGCTTGTTGACCAAGACGATGTCTTTTATTAATGTTTTCCATAATACCTTCAACGAAAGACTTATTGTGCAGAGAACCATGTAAAGGTGTATGATTGATCGCAGACGCCAATTGACGATGAGCCAAAACGTCGGCGTATCTTCTAATAGGACTCGTGAAATGAGTATAAATCGGAGCAGCTAAACCATAGTGTGAAAATGTTTCTTTACTATGACTACCACTACAGAAATACTCGGCAGATAACATACAGCGTGTTGCCATAATTCTGACTAGAGTGTTAAATGACTTTTCATCTTTATCAATGCAATTATCTAATGATCTAGCTAATGCACCTGAGGATGAAACATCTAAATTAATACCTTTTCTTTTTGATAGTATGTCCTGCAAAGCTTCAAAGTTTTGCTTCGGTGGGGGAAGGTGTCGTCTGAAAGGAGTTAATGGGTAATAAATTAAGTGGACAAATCTGTAATTACCTTAGAACAGCAGTACCAGGAAACGTTTCATTAATCTTTGCAGCTACACTGCAATTAGCCAACAGCATGAATTCTTCGACAAGTTTGTTGGTTTCTTTGACTTGTTTTTGTTCTACGTCTATTGGTTCAGAAGATTCAGAACTATCTAGATGAATTTTAACTTCAGGTGAAGCCAAATCAAGAGCACCTCTATCAATTCTTTGCTTTTTCAACTTGATGGCGATATCGTTCAATAATCTAATTGAAACTGTGAGGGAATCATTCAAAGATTTATCATCTTTTCTTAATTGAGCTTCTTCATAAGTGAATGCTGCTTTTGAAGCAATTACTGATTTGTTAAATTTGACATTAACAATTTCAGCATTTTGGTTTAACTCCCATGTCACACTAAATGCCAATCTTTCGACGTTTGGACGTAAAGAGCATAAATTTGTACCGAGTAATGAAGGAAGCATGTCAATTCTCTTATCAACCAAGTAAACGGTTGTACCTCTTGATGCGGCTTCTAGATCCATTGTATTATCAGGTTTGACGAAGTGTGAAACATCAGCAATATGGACACCCGCTTCAATATTACCATTTGGTAAGTATTTAGCATGTAAAGCGTCGTCAATGTCAGTACAACCTGCATTGAAAGAAAGTGTTAGAGAGATGAATGATTCTAAATAGTCTAAAGATTCACCTGGTGGATCAATTGAACAAACAATTTCGTCTCTTAAATCAACTCGATTTTTCCACACTGGGTCATTTGAATCTTTTGGAGGAACGACCCAAGATTCACCTTCCTTTGGTAAACAGTTGAGAATAGATTTGGAAAAAGATCTGTAAGGAACTTCATATTCTAGTAATAAACTTTCAATTTCAGCTTCTTTCGATTGAACTTTACCTAATGCTCTAATGAAATGACCTTGAGGATAACGTGATAATATTGACCATTGATCGATTGCAACCAAAATCTTTTGGTCGACTAAGTTTGCAGCTTGTCTAGTTCTTATTTTAATTTTTGGAATACGACGATCTATAGGACTAACGAAAACGGATTGTTGAGATTGAACTGAAGAGTTATTCACGGTAGATTTGTCTAAATGACAGACATAAGATCTCCACTGACGTTTTACTATTCCCACTACACGACCAGTTGGCTGAATATCTGAATGAAAGGAATTTGCTTGATCAATTGATGAATTGATCTGATCAGATTGTAGTTTAGATTCAAATTCAACAGTAGTAGGATCTAAATCTTGATCAACGTCATCAAATTTCAAAGCATTATCGGGATCAATAATTTGATCAGCAGAAGCTTTCCATTGGGATTTTGGAAGAAGTTGAACGACGACTACATCATCTTGAACAGCTCTATTGATGGATTGTCTACCAATGAGTAGAACGGGTTTAGTAAATTTAGGAATTTTGACAGAACCTTCTAAATAGTTGAATGGATTAGCTTGAAATTGACCTTGAAAAAGATGTCCAGATTTGATACCAGCTTGTAAAGAAGAATGAGGAAAGTAATCAGGATATAAAACGGAGTTTGAAGAAGAGGAGGTAGAAATTGAAGATTGAGTTGTAGAAAATAAATCGATTAATTGATCAGAATTTGGTAAAGCTTTGACATAAGAGAGAATATCGGAAGCAATGATATTATCCTTTTTAGCTAGGTTTAAGTTTTCATTATCATTTGATAGTAAAATGACGTCTTTGTGTTGTAGATAATTATTGTACCAAGCAGCAGCGATTCTGATAGATTGGTCATTTATATCGTTAGGGGAAGAGAAAGAAGAGTTCAAATTTGAAGTTTCTGAGAAGAACTCGTTGTAGAAGACGTAGAATCTATTATCATGATCATTGATGATGGATAACAATCTTGAATATAGAGGAAGAGACCGATGTTTAACTTCATTTAAAACAGTCTGTAAAATGATAACGTCTTTAAAGCCACCTAAATCCAACAAGTCTAGCTGAGATAACAATACGTTTGTATCAGGCAAAAGGTAATGAGGCTTATTGAAGAGGGAACTAGTAGTGATACCGGATTTAGATAGGATTGGGTTTTGACCAGGATTCAAATCATCGTCCAAGCTACCTGAAGGGATATCATCACGCAAGTATCTCTCCTGAGTAAATTTGATAATATTCCCCTTGTTAGATTTTTTAATATAAGATTTGTAATTAGCAGTGCTATTATGTAAAGGCCTTTTTAAAATTGAAATATCAGATTTATTGAAGTTCATTTCTTGGTTGGATAGAGTCAACGATGCAGTTGACAGGAATTTTGAACAAGAGATCAGTATGGAAGGGTGAATAGGTGTTGAAATCGTTGATATTGTAATAACAGTTCATCATAGGTCCATTTTTCAAGTCATTTCCAAATTTAACTCAACTAAAGAAGGATAATCAATTGATAAAGACAACAGCGAGGAATTGTACAATTCTACCAAACTTTGTTGGAATGAAATTTGGAGTTCATAATGGAAAGAATTATATACCAATACAAATAACAGAAGCAATGATTGATTACAAGTTAGGATTCTTTGTACCAACGAGGAAGAAGTTTAGCTATCGATTAACTAAGAACAAGTAGTCTGGATAGCTCAAAGATCTATACTCTGACTCAAACGTTTGTAATTTAATTTTATTTAGTAGATATTCGTCAATATTGCCTTCATATCCAGATTTCCTGACTAGAGATGTGATGGATTGAATTTTGTTCCAATTTTGATCAGTCAAAACGTTGGGAAGGTATACAGCGTTGTAGTTGATATGATCAACTAAGAAATTAATCTTAATGCCATGTTTACCGATAGTGAATTCATTCCAATTCGATTGGGATGTAAAGTTGAACAAGACAGATATCGCGCAAGACAATCCAGGTAAAATAGAATAGTCTATAGGTTTAAACCTTTTATCTTTCAAAGCTGACAATAAGCTGTATTGTTTAATACCTTTTAATAGATTGAGTGAATTGAATGTACCCAAGCATCCTCTCAGCCTCTGATTGAAATTCCAGGTTAAGAAAATGGGGTAATTGATATGACAGTCTCCAAGATGAATAACTTGATGATTAACGTCGAAGTGATTGATTAGGGTATCAAATGCTAAGATTAGATGATTATCATTTAATATCATTTCCTTTACATAAAACGACGATGATGACTGAATTTGATGAAGTGATCGAGTTTCATAAAAGATATCAAACAACTCAATTGATTGGTTTAGATGATTTGAATCAGTCAAAAACTTTATTGAAGAGCATCATTATGAATTTGAATGATGATTATAATGATAAATTGGTGTATCTGATATCATCACATTATTCACCGATACAAGAATACTTGATGAATAATCATCACTTAGAACTATTTAATCACTTTATCGATCATTCTATCTTGAATCACTTGATATCCACACTCTCAACTTCTTCATCTATCTTATCTTTAACTTACGTAATAAAATCAAACTCAAGCTTTGCAGTAAAATCAAAGTGCTCATCTTTGTTATCGTCCTTGATATTAAAGCCTGATGGCGTTTCTTCTTTATTAGTCATTCTATTAAACTCTCCTGATGATTTCAACAATCAAAAATTCATTCAAGTTGCTAAATTATTATCAACTAAGCCAAGTACTTTGGATATTGATGGCTATCTTTCTATTATAGTCAAAAACATACTACAAACTCTCCTCCTATCTCCTCCAATTAACCATCTAAAAGCAATCGCACTCACTTTTGACTTCTTTCTATCAAAATATCAAGATAAGTTTATTCATCAATTAAATCTTAGCTTGATTAAACCTTTTCACACTCCAAATCAATCAACTCAGTTAACAAACGCCTTAACTCACTTAAACATTCTAATCCCTCACTCAAATATCATTTTGAACAAATTCACTACTCATTTATTTCCTTTATTATTCAATTTAGGTTGTCATTTGGACTCTTCAAAAACTGCTAACCCCTTATACAAATCTTTGATTGATAATATATTTAACAATTGGTCGTCACTCGTAGACAACGACTTAGCTATTGATACTGTTTGGTACACTCTTAAATCTGGTACCGGTTGGCAAGATGATTCTTTCCAATGGTCCACATCCAACCCAGATGGTTTAGTCATCACTCAACAATCATCTTCATCTTCACCAAATCCAAACTTGTTCAATATTCATCAATCTCAACAAAATGATTTACTAGAAATAGCACCAAATCCTCAATCTTTAGCAACTTTTGTCATTAACATTCATAGGAAGCAGATACTCAGTCCAATTCTCATCAAATGTCTCAGTCAATATCAAGGTTTAAAAGACTTTAATGATTTACAACCTCTACGTTTTAAAGACATTATGAAATACTTGCAATTCTCTACCTGTTTAGTTGAACAAATGGGTACTGACATTTTAGAAAACAAAGATGACATCCTTGCTTTTATTTATCACACCCTACAAATTCAACAACAATCTTCCTCTCGAAAACCAAACGTTGAAAATACTACTAAAAGCTTACAAGACTTATTGGTGTTTGAAGATCATGTTCATAATAACACCGCAAACGACGAGGAGGATGTTGATAGCCTGAAGGAGGTTGATCAGATATTAATCTCAACTGCTTTGTCCCTCCTTTTAGCAACTTTAGAAGGTATGTTATTCAGTTATATATGTGTCAATAACAACTTACTCTCAAATAAGCCAACGAAAGTATACGAGTAGACAACGCTCCCCTGCTCGCATTAATCTCTGATCGCTTGGACATATTCATTGACGAGTTTCCTGCTATTTCACCTGTGGCACATGAGTGTAAATTGGTTTTATCAGCTAGGAATGCTACATCATCAAAAATAGACGATATCATCAGTTGGTCTTACAAAAGGCAAAGAGAGATATTCAATTTATCTCTAAAAGACATTCAAGACTCACAGTTACCTGTTAGAGCACATGGTTTAGATCAATTGAGAAAATTAGTGCAACACACTGTCTCAAAAAATGATGTAAACGCCAATAAAGATAACACGCTCGATCCTTCTTTAATTAGTAATATACTAGATGTTTTTATTCAAGCAATCAAGGCAGATGATAGCTATATCTACCTCAATGCTGTTAGAGGTTTAGTCGTAATGATGGATAAGATTGGTCATGAAATACTAAGCCAATTGTCAATCAAGTACTCCGAGTACCATGAAAGCTTGACTGAAATTGAATTAGACCAAAGGTTAAGAATTGGTGAAGCGATCATACAAGTTATCAAGAACTTATCGGACGCTTTACCCTCATACTCTCACTTGATATTACCCCAATTAATAAAAGTAATGTCCCAAAATAACCTACCAAGTTTGTTGAGAGCTTCGAGCTTAACTATTCTAAGTCAAGCTTGCATCACGTGCATACTGGCAGTTGAACCCTTCATCAATGAGATTTTAAACGGTATGGAAGACTTATTGATGATTGAATCTCTACAAAACTCAAAAGATTTGAGTAACCCTTTGGACAAAGATACCAATTTAGTTCAATTGAAGAGATCTGCTTTGATTCTAATAGCGATGATATTCAGATCACTTTATGATACTGCAAATATCACTGTACCTCTCGCATTGAAAAGCAGTTTAAGAACAAAGATCAACTACATCGCCCAATTTGATAATGACGAGTTAGTTCAACATCAAGCAACAGAGGTTCTAGAAGAATTCAACTGGAGCAATAGATTACCTTGAACAATTCCTTCCAAATTTTCTTGAATAATAATTTATTTCACATGCAGTTCGCTTTCTTCGTCCTGCACCATAACGTCGAAAATGCGAGTAGTCTGGTAGATTGATCCAAATCGCCATCAGTCTATTCTATTCCGATTATCCTATTTGCCGATGATGATTTAATTCTACCCTTTACTAGCGAACCTGATGAGCTATCAAAAATTACTACTGAAGATTTCTGAGGCAAATTTGTATCATTTACATTTCATGCATTGATTGCTTCACAAGTATTTGTAGTCTCTAAACGTCAATCCAACCATCACTCCCCTCTAAATAGGACAATTGCGAATGTAAATTACATAAGAAAAGATTGTACAAGCATATCCAGAAAGAATACAAACACTGAAGTATTACATTTTCAAGCTTCTCTTCTTTGCTTGAAGTTTATTGACTTGGTTAACTAATGAAGCGGACGTTGCCCGGGCTAGATGAGTATCAGACTGTCCTGGGGCTCCATTCTTTAATATCTCTGCGACTTTGAGTACAGACACGTGTACTAGGAATAACATTAGAATTCCCGCTCACAAAATTTAGCCTTGACTCACTTTGTTCTAGAGTAACAACCGGTGCTATCTTTTCCAAAATAGGAACTGACTTCAACAATACACCTGCAGCCAAAGATATCATCTGCAATTATTGTCAATTGTGTCTGCGTAATCTCTATCCTCATACCTTAATGTAGATGAGCGGTAACAACGACCAAGTTGAACACAGTGGCTCTTCAGCTACTGCATCTAACATTTGTGCAGCTGCTTTGACTGCTGCAGTAGCATACCTCCAACGTTCACTAGAAGAACTAAAGTTATCAGCTTGATCGTAAGCATTGGAATCTCCAATTGAAATCTGGTTGATGTAAAGCCGAGCAAAGAGGTAGAACAATGTTAAAGATGTGGCAGGCCATTGATCGGCTGCGCTAACTGAATATTTAATTAGCATTCTCATCTTAGCAACTAAATAAAAATTAACCTACGAGCTGATTCAGGTAGGTTGATGCGCCTCCAACTTTCCAACTCCTCATTCCATGTATCTAAGCAGCTTTTTGTGTCAGCTGTACCAGCATCTAACCAGTCACGACTGTCTAATAATTGTCGAGCTTGTCTAAGTAATGTACATATCCTGGCGTGAGCAACTAACTGCTTGTCACGATTATGGTCTGCTGGATGTCCTGGAGCTGATGCTTCTAAAAGCAACGTACAAAATGATGTTGGATCATACGTCTTTGATGGTCTGCTGGAGTAAAATGACGCCTGGCTTTCGACAACCTGGTATTACTTAGCTAAAGTTATTAAGTGGCTAATTAACTCACATATGTAAATAGCCATAGTCTCAGCCAGTTCTCCAACCCAAGTTGTCTACGGGGAGGTAAATATCCGCAGGCCTCACCAATTGTCATTTGAGGTGGCACCGAAAGCATAGAAGTCTTCAAGAAACCTCTGGCCCATTTGAAAGCTACTTGTGCAAGCGCATGAGACGTTGTGCCAAATCCGTCTGCATTTTGTTTCTTCATATCAGGTCTTGTTGACACATCGCAAAATACCGAAGCAATGCACATTGCTACAATTTCTTCTGGCCCAATTCCCATTTCAAGATCCAGATCATCATTATCAATCGCATCTTGATTATCGACCAAATAATGTTGAGTAATTGCAGGCTTAAAGGAGAAGTCGTCCAAATCCACCATGAGATTACTAACAAGAGATCTGAAACTTTCCGAAGGTACTCTCTCAGATGCCGCCAGGCAGATAACACCTATAATGAGTGGTGTCAAAGTTGGTCTACCTTCAGGCAGGTATGGGAAATGACCAATCTGAAGTCTAAATCCAAACAATTGGCCAGAAAGGTTCGTATGAAAGAAGTCTACCAATTCTTCCGCTGACCTTTGTGAAACTAGACCCTTTTTAATAACATTTGGACGGGGATCAAGAGAACCACTACCCAAAGCCTTGAGCTCTTCCTGAGAAGCACTTGCAACGATATCATGTGATGTTGAAGGTTGGCCTGGAAACACTGATGGGATACCAACTGGTTCAAAAGACATAGCGTCAATGTCTGACAGAGACTTCTCTGGTTTCGTTGAGACAACGTTCTCCGGATCGAGAAGTTCATCTAAGATACTCAAGAATCCTGAGGTTGCGTTACGTTCATTTGAGTGGTCCTCGTCTAGCTTGATTGTATTAGTTGTATTGTTTACATGTGTCTGAGCCAATAACGCAGAAGCACCAGATAAGGTAGTATGATTAGGAACGGAGAAAGGTGAAAGAGGGCCATGATCCTTTGGATGATTGAAATCAATGCTGCCCTTGAGTAAGGAGGATTGTTCGTTGTTTGAATTATCTGAGGATTTACGGGTGACTGCAGACGTCGGTGGTGAAAGCTGTCCAGAAGACGGGAAGTTAGGTGGATTGCTGAGTTGTTGGCTGCTTCCAATATGATTAAAAAAGTTCTCCATGTTTTGACTCATTGCTTCTATCTTATCAGTCAAGTGACTCAATCGGTCTTCAACCGATGCTTGCCATTCGTCGTCCTTAGAATATCAATATAATCCCAATTATTAGTTTATAGCTTACGTGTGCTCTAGTTCTAAATCTACATTCCACTCCTGTGCTCATGCACCTTTTGCATGGTTCCCCTGGAACGGGAATTTCACATTTCAGCTTTAAAAAGAGAATGAGTTAGATCATTTGAAGCTCGCCGCACTTACTTTTGCTCTCCTGCAAGTCAAGCACGCTTTCTGCTTCTTCATTTTAACGATTGGCTCACCACGCGAGTCCATTGATTGTATAGGGATTACGCTGGTGTCGTCGGTGGTGTGGCTCTGTTTAGCTCTCTTATTTTGGTGCTGATGGGTTGACATGATAATTCAATCTTCACGATACATATTAAAGGAAACAATTTATCTCATTTCGGTAGTTACCTCATTGAGTGATAATGAAAAATTACTTTCCTATTTTGGATTTCTTCCGCTCTCTATGGTTTTGCCGTTTTTCTTCCTGTATTTGCTTACGTTTGTTGAGCTTTCCTTCATGTTCCTCACATCCAATATTGTTTCCAAGCAATCTGCAACAACTCAAACAGGCTTTGCGCAAGCACTTGCCGAATGCAGCAGAATCACATCCTTCTCCAATGCATTTCAGTATCTCCTTTTTCACTAAGAGCTCTCTTTGTGGTAGGGAGGTCTCTTCTGTTAACTTTTTCACCTCTTTTGCCCAAGTTAGAATTTTGTCTCAGATATGAATGAAAGACATACCACTGTCCTGTTTATTATCAACTAAGTCGCCTTCATTGACATTGACAGGACGCATGTAAGGCTGTGCGTAGAAAAATGGCACCGATCTATAGCCATTCTCATCCAGTTGTGGTACATTTGACAATTCATCCTCTGCTACGTACGCTTCATCGGATTTTATTCTCCTCTCAAATTCCTCGATAATTTCTTTCCACTCCTTGTCGTTACCTCTACCTAATCTTTCCCGCAAATCTGGCCATCTACTCAGACAAGGCTTGAATATCTTGAAAAGGTGAGACTTTTGAGCACTGACAGCTGTTTCCGTTTTAAGGGAGTTTACTATTTCTAGGTATTCCTTAGCAAGTTTAATAACAGATGGATGCCTCGCTTTATCACTGAAAATCGCAGGGTTGTATAAGTTACCCTTGGTGGAGTGAGATTGGTAATCAACTTTGAAAAGTCCTCACCTCTGCAGACATTATTCCATCGCAACCGGTTGCTTCAAGGCATTTATCAACATCCTCGTGATATAAAATATTACCATTGGCAAAAACAGGAACGTTAACGGCATCTTTAACTGCCTTAATCTTATCCCAGTCTGCTAGGCCCTGGGACAATCAGATATCCACCTTTATAAACCAAAATCACGTACCGTTTGTTGACCCTTCATTTCACGAGTGCGTCCATGCACGCTCAGAATTTGTGCACCTGCTCGCTCAAGAAGTTGAGCGTATTCGACGGTCCGTTGTACATCATCAAGGACTCTAAATTTAGCTGTTACAGGAGTTTCCTCAAGATTCTCATGTAGAGTATTGACTGATATCGTTAGCTGTAGCTTTGAGTAATTATGTACGACTAACTCAATTTGTAAATTAAATCTTGATCCTCTTGTAGCCAAGAACCATAACGACCACGTCTCGCAATGTGCTATAGGAATTAGGTCATTGATTTAACTAACGACAAAGACGCACCTGTGGGCAACCCAAATTCAAATCGACAGCATCGCACTTTCCTTCAAGATCTTTTGCGGATTCTAATAGCAACTGAGGGTCATTGGCTGCGAACTGGACTATTAGCGGCCTATCGAGACCAATCAAACCTTCTTCGTTATTAATCTTATCAAACCACATTTTCTTATTAGAATCGGATTTTAATTGAGCATATTGCTTTGTGTTTATCATTGGTGTGTATGCCAAAGTAGCGCCATATCTGCGTGAGAGAATTCTCCAAGCAAGCTCAGACTGATCAACCATAGGAGCGACTATTTTCTTTGGTCTGCCAAAAGACTCATAAAGATCCCAACCAGCCAGTTTCCTTGATTTTTGCTCAACGGATGATTCCATGTCTTTGTGGTTAACGACGATCAAAAGAAATGTCAAAACCCAGAATTTTGGGTGAGTCTGACAACAATTGTCGCGTTGAAATAGCTGATGATACAAGTGTTACACGGATGTTTGTGAATGTTGCACAAGTTTTGGATACAGCTAATTTTTATAGACACTCAATCAGCTTACATATTATCAAAGAAGATTGGCGCAATAAGGAAGGCTGTGAGTGTTTTTACGCGTCTATAAACCATTTCTCATTCTTTAAAGCTCAAAGATAGCTGTGATTTGCACTTCATTGACGGTCCCTTGGAATTAGATAAGACTGATATGCCTAACGCTGAAATGTACGATAGTATGTTTGTGGATTCAGCTCCAAGAGCTTGGTATGTCCTTAGACATAATCACAAGACCGATAACATGGACTGTGGGTTCCGTTCCGAGATGCGATCATGCATTAATTAAATTCAGTCAAGTATTTTGAAAAGTCTTGGACCTTTCTAAAGGAATTACTATCGGAAAACAAGTACGATGGCATCTTTGGCTTCAGTCAAGGTGCGGGCTTCGCAGCTGCCCTAGCAGGTGTACTGGCAAACCCAGACTCAAAACCTGAATTTAAAGGTGTGCATCCACCTTTCAAGTTCTGTATCACTGTTGGTGGCTTTAAAGTCGTCGACAAGGCGTACGAAGATATTTATCCCCTTCCGAGGTCCGGTGAAAAAACTCACTTCTTGCACGTGACGGGCGAAAACGACATGATAGTTACGCCAGAAAGAAGTGCAACTCTCATTGACAATAGCCCAAATTGTCGCCTTGAAAAACACCCGGGTGGTCACTGTGAGTTGAACGTGAATCACATGGATTTTGTTGACGATGAACATAGTCGTGCCATCAAGTGCTCCTTGGCGCCACTTCTTTGTTAGGTACATTAGTAGCTTCACAGAAGGCGGTGATCAGGGTAACGTTGTTGGACCTCAACCCACTCCGGAAGCTGTGGTTGTAAAGTCACTTCAGGGCAAATCTCTCTAGGTAACGGAAATACCTAATTGATAGAATAAGGACTATATCTGAAATATTCACTACATATATATCAACTTCGTACAAATTATATCCGTAACTGGGTTCAGAATTCTTTGAACAAATGTCCTAAATATTGTAAATTAGTTTGATGAACAAGGAATTCGTTCAACTCACCCCATGTATCATCTCCTGCCTGACCATAAAGACTAACATCATTTTCTTGATACTTATCATACTGGCTTGAGTCACCATCGCCAGCAATTTTTGGAACGTAGGGAGCAGGTATTGCTCTATTGTAAAGTCTATTCCAGTCAACTTCTTTGAACCACTCATGAGTGAACACATCGCGACTTCCGTGTTGCAAGTTACCGAAACGCTTTGTTAAATCTGCCATAAGCAAATTCTTCAAAAGGTCTTTAGCAACTGGGTCAAAGTATGAAGGAAATTTTGGCTTATTAGCTATGATCTTTTCATATAGCTTCATTGGATTTGAGTCTTCCGTGTAAAATGGCGGGTAGCTAAGCACTTTGTGAGCAATTAAAGCTGATCAAGTAAAGCCAAACAAACCCAGCAAGCATCTCAAACACCAATACACCTAAGGCGTACCAGTCTACGGACTTGTTATAGCCTTTCGACTGAACAATTTCTGGGGCTAAGTAATCAGGAGTACCTGAAGAGTGTTGGAGTGTATGCTAGATGAGCAATAGAAATCAACTAACCACAGAGAGTCCAGGTGACGTCCGGTACATACTTTGCAAAACCAAAGTCAGTTATTTTGATGTGACCATCTGCACCTAGTAGAATGTTCTCTGGTTTGAGATCACGATAGATAATATCAAGACTATGTAGATAATCAAGCGCAAGAGCTACTTCAGCAGCATAAAATTTGGCAACCGGGTTCGGAAAGCGCTGATATCATGTCTTAAATTAATGTAAAGTAATGTGTAATGCAATCTCACCTGAGATTTACGGAGAAGGGAAAAAAGCTCACCGCCAGCGACGAAATCCATAACCATGTAAAGATTCTTAGGATCTTGAAAAGTACCCCATAAGTTTACCAGAAATGGGTGACGAACTCGTGCAAGCATATCACGTTCGGAGACAGTGTGCTCAACTTGCTTCATTTTGACGACTTGCTCTTTTGCAAGTACTTTAATAGCGTAAAATCTAGAGTTGTGATTCGATTTAACCAAGTGTACACGTCCAAATGATCCGGTACCTAACGTCCTTTCGAGTTTAAAGTCCTTAAGGGTGTACCTACCTTGAGTTTTACGTGGCTGTACTTTATTATAGCTAGAATCAGGATTAGCGGGTGAATTTTGAGAAGGAATCGCAGGAGATTTCGATTGAGGGATGTGTGAAGGAGACTTTTCAGATAACTGAGTAGAAGGAGCTAAGCTTGGGAGTGCTTTAGCTGGCTGTTGATTTGAATCTTCATTCTGTGGCTGCTGCTGAGGAAATCCGTAATCCTTATTGGTAGAAGTATTCGGGTGATTTGGAGTTGTACTGTGGGGAATAGCGGGGGAAAGCTTTGAGTGGCTATTATGAGAAGTTGTTTCTTTACTGGAACTATGACTATGATGTCCAATATGAAGTTTGTCCAATAAACCCATATTAAATTGATTACGTAGTTGGTGTGAAAGGGTTACTAGCCCCAATTTACATTTAACATCATGTATAAAATTGTTACTTTCGTTTAAACAGACTTTCCAAATTTCTTTTATTTGTATGTTTGTGTGTTCCCCTGGATGATCACTTCACTTAAGATTGATTGCTGGGTTCCTTACTCTTTTTCTGAGAGGTACGCTTTGCGATTATACGTTGCTTGATCTCTAAGCCATTGCCTGTAAGACTTCAAGCTTACAATAGACTCGCCGTAGTAATCTAACTATGTAAGCTTGTGCAATGAGACAATAAATTGCACCCACCAGGAACTGGATTTTGAACTGATTGTCTTGCAGGATCTACCCTCTTCTTCATAACTGCAGTTGTAAACATTTACCACCTCTAAACTATTAAATGCACTCACTATGATGGAAAAATAGTCTCTCTTTGATCTCATACTCAGGTAATTTTGACTTATGTAGGAATTTCCAGATGGAAGTACCTAAAGATGGACCAGTTAACCATCCAAGTGCGCCACATCCCATCTATTTTTGTCAAATGATCCAAATTTAGAGGATAAAGACTCACTGATGCAATCGAGTAAACCCAAATTGCTTCAATACCTGACGATTGTTATTCCTGCTAGACTAAATAACGTAAACAAACCAAATATGACTTGATTAGGATCAAACGAAGAAAAGTAGCTTGCACCACCAAAGAAACCACCTAAGGTGGTTGGTATGCTAGCTATAGCGTCATATCTGTCTAGTTAAGGTATTAAATATAAGCCAATAACCCTATAAAGGCTCCTTACGACGAGATTTCCGTATATTCAAGAAATCCTCCCAATTGAGTGGTTCAACGCCTTGTAAAGCAGAATCTTGATTATTATTGGGCGCAGTAAACGATCTAACTAAATAATTTTTATTCGAACTGTTTAATATTCTCCTCGATAACATTTTGATGGTAAACTTCAACAACCAACATGGTGAGAGTGATTCATTCAATTTAAATATAAAAATTAAGTTTCCTTCAGGCTAGAAATTCTGAGAAATCTCAATCAATGCTCTTCAGGTTTAGAGAGGCTAAACTGAGTGAGATGGGAATGTCTACACGTTTTACTCGCAGGCCAAAAATGGTTTCACTAGTCACTTCAATTAGAGACTGTGAACGTTTTAGAGGTGAAATTCTTAAAGAGATTAGTAGAAAGGTCGATAAGATTCAAGACGCTGGCTTAACAGATTACGAAGTTAGGGATCTCAACGATGAGATCAACGGTTTGCTCAGAGAGAAATCAAATTATGAAAGGCAAATAGTTTCACTTGGTGGTGCTAATTATAGAAGAGCTGGTGTCATGTTGGATGAATCTGGTAAAGAAATTCCAGGTACTCGCGGTTACAAGTACTTTGGACGTGCAAAAGATCTCCCTGGCGTTAAAGAGCTTTTTGAACGTACAGATATGGATGAAGAAGCTGAGGATGATATATATAAGCCATTCACTGATCAAGGACCTGATTACTTTGGTGACACAACCGAATTTAACCATGAGTTGCTTGAATACGAACACGATTTAGAAAAAAAATGTGAGTTTACGTAATGCCATTTTCTCTTACCTCCCTAACATATACAGCCCATCAAAACGCAGTAGAGAGATTGAAAGTAGTTCTAAACACCCCAGACGTGCAAAATGAAGCGTACAGTCATCACAAACCGCGACCGCTTCAAGCACTTATGGAGATCGCAAAAGAGAACAAGTTGAATAGCGTTCATTCCGACTTTATTGAAGATGAATATCTAGAGCCACCGCGATTGCCAACAAAGGAAGAGACTGACAAAGCCTTACTTGATATACGCAAACAATCATTAATGTCTGAATACGGAATTTGATGTACTAATTTATAAATACTGTTGTAATGCTCTATCTTGATTACTTACTTTCATCATGCCTAAGAGACATAAGCAATCTGCGATACACGAAGCTGCTGTCGAAGATGAAAGTATTGGAGGTATTAACGACCCCGGTAAACGTGAAGCTGCCGGTGAAAGACGTCGTCTTATCGAAATTGATCCTTCTAGTACTCTCAAGGCAAATAAGAAGAAGCTCAAAGAAAAAGTAGACGCCCATAAAGTTGATCTTCTCGGTAAACGTAAAAGAAAGTCCAAGAAGTGGGTCAGAGATGTTGACCCTAACGTCTTGATCGACGATAATGCTGCAGAAAACTCCAATAAACGTAAGTTGATGTTAAGAGTACTTTATTCTTATTGACATTCAGTAGTTCCATCTGCTGTACGTGTGGATATTTCATCACTTTAACAAAACGTTAAGAGCTCCTTTAGAGTGTCATGAAAATGATATACAGCCATACGGCTAACTACTATAAAGGTAAAGGTATTCTCGGTGAAGGTAGCGACAATGGTAGTGATAACGACAGCGATGAAACAAATAATGATATTGATATAGGCAGTAGTAATAAAGACCTTAATCAAGGCCTTATCCAAGACAACAATCAAAGCAATGATGAAAATAACAATCACGTCGATCCAACGCCAGTCCCACGACAGGACATGTCTTACGCTTTCGATGGTACATCTTTAGTCTGCCTTGGTGAGCTAATACTAAAACAATTTCTCACAATCCTAACCAACCTCTCACAGGCCTTCTTTTCGAAGAATTGATTGTACACTACACCAGAGACCTCATCGATGAGGATATCGATGTCGCTAGAGAAGAACCAGAGGATTTATCCGGCTTAAATGATAACACGCCGCAAGCTTCCGAAAATATCATAGCTACAAATGCGAGTACATCTCACCAAATTAACGCAAAATCAAAAAAGAAGTCTACCAATAAGCAATCAGACCAATTTATCAAGCAAAAAGCTTTAGACGACCTTTCAAAAAAGAAAGTTGAACCAGACTCAGAAGATAACCTTAGTCTCGCAAGCGACCCTGACGAGAATGCACTGAAATCTAGCCCATCTATACCTTCTATTCGTTCACCGTCGATCGGTTAACCTTAACGATATCAACAGGTATCATAGAAGTCTATTTATCCGTATCCAGAAGTCTGTATATCACCGCCATTATACTGTACTTGGTGAAACGACGTGTAACAATCAAGTATTAAAGATGTATACTGTCAGCTTACTCAAATTTACTCGTACAAGCGTTAACGCGTCGAGAAGAAAGACTAGGAGGAGAAATGATTAAAGATAAAGAGAGAAAAAGCTCGAATGTTTCAAGCACAGCCTGAATATGAAAACAAGACGATGACTACACTTGACCTTATGATCTCGTTAGCAACACTTCGGAGTCAACTTACATAAGACTAACCTTTAATGTCAACCTTTACGTATCTGGACACTTGACTCAGAAGTATTGGATGAACATCTTTACAAAGAAGCACCTTTTCATGATCTGGTGGCACGCCATTGTTTGTGACTCCAACGGCGCTCTTTTCGAAACAGCTAACAGCGCCGAGTTGCTTTAAAAGATCTTTTACTGCCGTAGCATTATCGAATCTAAGCTCATTCTTTATGAAGGATAATGGTATCTTTATGTAAGCCTTAGTTATCATTATCAATGCCTTCAACCTCTCTCTTTCAACGAAAGCATCAATAATGTAAGCAGACATATTTGGCGAATCTTGATATAATTTGAAGAAGAGATGATAGTTGTTAGTAACTAGTGATGAACGTACCTTTAATGCGTGCCTTATTTCATGAGCTTCTTTCTTTTCGTTTGACAACAGTCCAACAAGTATATTCGCCGCTGACCAGTTTCTGCTATAGCATAGGTATAGAATTTGGTAGCTTATAAACTCCAATTCGTTACCCTTAAGATTTAATTGATAAAGAGGTTGTAAATTAGCAGCGCATTGATTGTATTCACCTAAGTCGCCATTCTCTAAAGCTAGTCTTGCGTGTATTTCGTAGACTTGTACTGTGAAATCGTTCTTGATCCGTTGTACAGTAAGGTCTTGTCGAAGTGATTTGAACTGGTCACATATATAGTTATAATCTCTGTCCTGCCGCCATTTTCTCTTAAGGTGATCAAGCGTCTTCTTCAAAACAGGTAAAGGGCGTATTGTGGCTGGATCAGGTGCGGATGTTAGTCTGAGATACTGTTTCTCTAGTGAATCTGATAAGCCGACGATAGTGTGTTGATCCCAGTCAATCACATTTGGATCAGGCTCGCTTGTATTACCTCTGTTTATCCATTTATTTGCCTTTGGTGGCATTTTCACGGTAGCTGGGTTGGTGTAAGTTGATGGTATAGTCGCACCCTCAAATCTCTTTGCTCTTTTAACGCGCATATCCTCATCGTCATCAACGGTGAACCCCTTTGACTTCTTTGGTTGTGATGACTTCTTAGTAGCTTGATTGTTCCTGGGATAAGCGTGTCAGAAGTAGACAGTTTGTCGAGTGATTTGCTCACTTTTTCCGTTTCATCGGCTGTTGCGCCTGCTGAGGACTTATTTGAATGCCATTTGAGGCAGCAGTACCAATCGCGGCTGCGTAGGAACCAGTTGGAGGAGGTAGAGAATTTTGAAGGCTAATAGCTTATAAGAAAGGATCAGCGGTTGGTTGTACACTCACGACGGTATACGCTGTGCCATCCAATTCGTAGTCCACAATCTACCTTCAACGTACGCACTGAGACGTTATATATGTCAGATACATATAACAACTCCAGTCCACGCCATACCGCTGAATCATTTCCTTTAGCTCGAGATTCACTTTGACCTTGTTGCTATCGTTAGCCTGTGACAACACGTTCTCAACGAAATTTCTAAATTTTCTTATTAATTGAATGATTATCTTATTCTCATTTTATACCTTAAAGCTGGTGGCCAACTCGATGACATTATTCCCCTTTATATCTCGTGATGGTGTCAGTTCAAGGTGCAATTTACTGCTTAAAATACATTTAATTTACATTCTCTATACGTTATCATCTTAGTACTATTGGTGGTGCAAGCGTTGGTATCTCTCCCCAAGAGAATTGCTCATCTTTAAATGCCTTTTGAAATTGTTCAGGTAGTTCTTCTAGAGAAGGCGCAAATCGAGCTGATTGATCTACTTCCTCTGGCCTCTGTTCCCTGCTTGGCACTCCAAACGCGCTAGTTCCTATACTATGCCCAAATACTGTCTCCTGCTGACTAGCTGCTGGTTGTCCAAACGCTGATGGGCGTCCAAATGCAGAGGGTTGATCAAGCGTCGAAGAAACGGGAGCTGGTGCTGGAGTTGTCGCTGGAGGTGCTACTGCAGGCGTATCAAATGAAGGTTTAAGTGAAAAAGCACTAGTAGGTGCTGGTGCAGACGTTTGTCCGAATGCACTTTGCCCAAACGAGCTAACTGGGGTCGATTGTTGTCCAAACGCATTATTGCCCCCACTACCGCTTTGAGAAGTGTCATTGAATGCATTGTTCGATGAAGTACTGCTCTGACCAAAGGCGCTTGGTTGTGAGGTTTGTCCAAATGCAGATTGACCAAACGCTAAGCCAGTACCTCCACTGCCTCCTCCACCGCCGAATGCTCCGAATCCAGTCGACGCAGCCGGTGTGGTCCCGCCAAATGCCGATGAACCTGTACTAGACTGACCGAATGCGTTTGTCTGACCAAAGGCGCTTGAAGGCGTCGTGCTTTGGCCGAACGCATTACTTGTAGGAGCACTGTTTTTTTGACCAAAAGCGTTGGTAGGTGTTGCGCTCTGGCCAAACACACTTGTTGAAGGCGTGGAAGTGGATCCAAATGCGCTTTTAGGCTCTGAAGATGCACCAAACGCTGGTTTAGACTCAGCAAACGCCCCAAAGCCACTTGAAGGTGCACTGGTTAGTGCAGATGCTCCAGATGCTCCGCCACCAAACGAATTTGGCTGTCCAAATGCACTGTTACTCGCAGGCGTTGCCGACTGTCCGAAAGCACCTTGAGTTGAGCTTCCAAACGCGCTTTGCTGAGATATAGATCCGAATGCATTCGATGAAGGCTTTGAAGATGAGAAAGCACCAAAACCGCTCGACGGGGCACCAAAACCATTTGCAGTCGATCCACCAAACGCTGAAGATCCAAATGCTGGTTGGCTGGGCTGCGCACTTTGCCCGAATGCTGAAGTTGATGCTGCTGTTGTTGCTGATGGCTTAAATGCACTGTTCGCTGGTATCTGGCCCTTGAGCTTGGCATTAATATGCTTATGCGCGTCAAAGCTGTTTCTAGCCGCACTTTCAAATAACTGTAAGCATTTGGCTGTCTGTGATTCTTCGTATTGCACCTGATCAATACTATTAGCTCTATCTTTTTAGCGCCTTCAGTGTACTGCACTTACGTATTGTTGAGGGTTGCCAGACGCGTTCGCCTGGACAAACTTAAGACGCAACTCTTCAGGCGACTCGTCTAGCTCCAATATGAGATTAGGTTCCTCCTTCGCTGGCCCATAACTTGTAAGGGGATAAATCGGGCGCTCATCAACTAAATCGTGTCTGATTGATTCGGCACTAGTAGTTGTGAGATTTACGTAATCAAATCTCTGATACGCACCTTGAAGCGCTCTCGTTCTTGCGCGCAGAATTTGTATTACCAGAAGCAAATGACGAGTTACTAAAGTTGCTGAAACCGCCTTGTCTACTTCCAGCAGCTAGAATATGTCAGCCAGTTAATTACTTGCTCTTTGTAACCCACTTTGCTCTCCAGGATGTTGATTTTTGCAGTTGCTACCAAACCGGCATCTAATATGCAGTGTCAGTCACTGATCACAATGTCCTTGATAACGCACGCTCCACGTAAAAAATACTGGCAAACTACCTGTGACTTTGTCAGATCGTTCACTATGATTTCAGAGCCGTACCATTTCCGAAGATGATTGTCCAGGTCCAAAGTGCAAAATGAGTAGTATTTCATATCAAAAGTGTGTAATGATATTACCTTTATCTGAAGACTATCTTGATGTTAATATATGAGGGAAAAATTAAAAGCAAATTATAAAAAGATGTCCTCCCACCCAGAATCGAACTAGGAACCTCAAGATGTGCTAGGTTTCAATTACAGTCTTGCGCTCTGCCAATTGAGCTATAGGAGGCTATAATTGAAATCTAAAATAAAACAAAGGTATCAAATTATCTGTCCAGAACGTATACGAGTTCTTCAAACCGCAATTGACTACGTACCAAAGATACTCCGTTGGTTCAATGTAATTGAGAACCACCAACAATTTACAAATTACGACGCTAGTCAAGAAACGCTCCCAGTAAATTCAGCACCCCCTTTGACTCCTCATGCTTTAAGAACTATTTATGGACGCTGTTTAAACAATTATTGTCTTAACAATATATTTAGATTTCATCATCATCAAATTTATCCCATAACGACGCTTTCCAACATTAGTTGATTATCAGGATGATCTTCAGCTCGCTGAGATATTATTAAAGTTGTTTTGTAAGCAATTTTCGGACACAATTCTCATTGAAATCCTAATTGTAGTAAATTTGCTTTCCCTACTGCCAAGTCTTACCGATTCCGATTCAAACTGTCAGATTCACCACTTTGCAGCAAGTGCAATGAAGTAGACAGTATCACACACAGGATTTTCAGATGTAGGAAGTTCGATCAAGCAAGATTATCGTTGAGGAGGAGGACATATGGAATGGGGTTAAGGTTCGAGATGAAATATATGCTTTCAAACGAAGAAGTTCTCAAAGCTCTCTACGAGTTCTTCAAAAACCAGCTCAGCACCCAACCGCGCACCTCCGTTAGCTCCACGTAGTTACCTCCCAATTGCGGCACACGTGCCAAGAATTGCATTCCTCTGAGTCACTACAATCATCAGCTTTCGATACACAAGAAGTATAGATAGGCGAAGATTATTAATCGTTGTAACGCTTTTGACTATATATTATTATTTCTACCTATCATCTCCAGATCGAGAATGTGCACTACATAACATGATTTCTATCCAACAAATAATGGCCAAATTAATCAATGAAAGATTGAAACTCTGAATACAAAAAGCAAACAGACAGATAAAAGGCGAAACTATGTACCGTTCTCGAAAAATGCATACATGTGGCAAAACAAACATGGCCACACAGGTTAAGCAGAATGGGATTAGACAACAAAACCTAATTCTATTGCTTACATATGATAATTATTATATACAGATATCGGTTCTAACATAGGCTTACTGTCTTTAGGCAAGTCAACTATGACATAATGGCAAAGTGAAGAAACTCACTCTCCGCTTTCGTTTGTGAACTCCATATGTTTGCGGATATCTTCATCCGAGACGGTCGGTCGAGTGCTATTGACGGCTTTAATGAAATCGTTGAGGGAGAGGTCAGGTTCGAGCAATTCTTCAGAGTCGATGGTAGACCAACCACCTTCAAAGGCGTGTGGATCACCGGGTGAACAAGGAGTCAGCTTTCTAATTGAGTTTCCACTCTCGTCGTTGACATGTACCTCCTTGAAGTGAGTTGCAGAGAGTACCTTTCGTACAGGTTGCATCAACGCGTCTCTCACGACGATGGCTATATCGGAACCAGAATAGCCTTCAGTCTTTTCGCCTAACAATCTGTAATCTTTTTGAGTCAACTTGCATGGAGTTTCACCGACATTCAACCTAAACATCTCCTTTCTAGCCTCTGGTTCAGGTAGTGGTATATAGATTCTTTTCTCAAATCTTCTCTTTATAGCAACATCTAAAGACCATGGTATATTGGTTGCACCGAGGACTAAAACCCCGTTGTCATCATTTCCTACGCCATTCATTTGAACGAGGAATTCAGTCTTAATTCTTCTGCTTGCCTCAGATTCACCTTCACCTCTGGTGCCAGCCAAACTGTCAACTTCATCGATGAAGATGATGGATGGTTTGTTTTCCCTGGCCATAGCGAAGAGATTTTTTACTAATCTTTCAGATTCGCCCATCCATTTGCTGACCAGATCTGAGGAGGAAACGCTAAAGAAGGTTGACTTGGATTCAGTGGCTACTGCTTTTGCGAGGTAAGATTTACCAGTACCTGGTGGACCAAATAGTAAGATACCGCTGAGAGGTCATGAGGGAGTGGGGTGATTAAAGAGAGACCAACTCACCGCCAAGGTTTGCGGTTACCTTTGAAGAGATGAGGGAACTTTATCGGTAAGATGACAGCTTCTTTGAGAGCCTCTTTTGCAACTTCGAGACCAGCGACGTCATCCCAGCTAACGTTTGGTGTTTCATGTAGAATTGAGCCTTTGTATTGTTAATGTGGGTAATAAGGATGTCAAGCCACGCTCACTTGATAATCCAGCGCGTAATTTCTTAGTCTCAGCGTCATCGTTTTCGGCCTCTTTGTTACTAAATCGACGCGTTAGACCGTGGTTTAAGGGGAGGAGAAAGGACGTACGGTTGACCAGAATTAGCACTGGCAGTGTTAGTAGAACCAAGTGGTTGCTTCTTGTTTTCATCACTTTTAGCAATATGCTGGGAGAATGAGTGAGGAAGGAGAGAGAAAAAGTAGGAAATCACCTGCTTGAGCTTCTCTGCTCTTGTGATGTAATCAACGAGTTTACCACGTATCATTGTCTTTAAAGAAGGGTTCTTTTCGTCTGAGTGGGATTGAGTTGGCAGTGTGGCTATGAATTACTTGAGACGCACATTTCAAAGCCATCATAAAGTAATCCAAGGCATTTAAATAGAGTCTCAAGGCCTCAGCGTAGTTTGTCTTTACATCCTCTTCAATCGCCTGGGATTGGTTAGACTGTGGTCTATTAAGCGTGTGTTGATTATTACATTAGAAACCAAGTCAATGGCTTTCTAGTCGCTTTATTAGAATATTTCAAGTCCCCGACTAGCACACGCACATCAAGGAAATTTGAATTGGATGTCATTGTTGATTTGATAGTGAATTCGAAATCTTTATAAGGAAATATAAAAGTTTTAATTTATTTAACTAACACATTACAATATACCAAGCGTGCACAGCTAGCAATCCCATCCAGCCAGCCGGCTAATCACCCACAGCGACCACTTGGGAATTTAAATGGATCAAGTAATAAACAGCACCACTGAGTACGCTCTACAGCTCCTTAATACCTTATAAGCTTAATTTATTTAAATTTTCTAATTTGTAAATTTTGATAGACGCTGACGCTCATCCTGAATTCCTTCTCGTTAGCAACGCTGTGTTTTTGAAAAATGGTGTGTGGCTGTTTATATGAATATAAGCCATTCTAATAAACTTCCCCCGCTTTAGACCCTTGCAGTCGACCTTCTCAACCCTTCGTATCAATCTGAGGTTCAAAAGCACAAGCTCAAGCGTCTGGTCCCAAGTCCAAACTCTTTCTTCATGGACGTCAAGTGCCCAGGATGCTTTGCTATTACAACCGTCTTCTCACACGCTCAGACGGTTGTTTTATGCGGCTCTTGCTCCACCGTACTCTCTCAACCAACCGGTGGTAAGGCTCGTTTGACTGAGGGTGAGTCCTTTTCCTCTTTTAAGACTTATTTCTCATTCATTACTTTCCAGGCTGCTCATTCCGTAGAAAGAACTAAGTTTTCTAAGCTTAAACTGTTATCTACGAAATACATTCCTCTTCAACGTGCACTAGCAGCTATCATTTTATCTATTACCTTTGCCCTCTTGTCTGTATCTGCAAATAACGCTTTGCATAGCCTGACTAATTCTTCGGACGTGAAGTCAACTAAAGAGCCTTGTTCATGCAAGTAACTGAGGTCTACGAGACTCGCTTCAAGGATCTCACTCAAGTACGCCATCTTGAACCAACTCTCCGTGTGCTTATACCCTTGCGTTCCATTCTCCTCAAATACTTCCTCGATCCCTGCCTGCAATTCCCTACACAACTTACTCACTTTGTTACTATCTTCTTCGCTGATATCGTCTAGATCCTCTACCGCCTCTATAACAAACCTCATCACAAACTCTGCTATTGATCCTAAGAGCTGATTGAGATCTTCTACGCTAATCACGCCTTTGACTGTCGATCTTAACCTCGAGATTGATGATATTACCCCAGCGAACGCCTTCTCGTGCTTTATTGACAGATCAATCAGTGATCCTGCCTCTGTCAGCATCTCAACCAATTGACGCTTCTGTTCCACATCCACCTCCATCATAATCTTCTTGTTGAGCATACCCAGCTTTTTACTATTACTAATTAACTCCCTTTGCCACGTTTGATGCGATAAATACTCGCAGTCGTTTGCAAATTGTAAAGCTAATGCTGGAACAAGTTTGATTGTCTCCTGGTGTACGTGAGGGAATAAACATCTGTATATATCTATGACAGATTCCATAACAGTTGTAGCCTCCTTCAACAGGTCCTTATCTGATGAAGGTATTTCATCTGTGTGCTTAAGAAACTCCTTATCACTATAGACGTCATCCATTAGACCAATCAGCTGATTTACATACTCTGACACTACGATTCGCCGCTTCTGTCCAATTTGTTTCTCGTCCACCGCTTGCTGTGGTATTCGGGTATGTTTTGCTGTCTCACTCCATTTGCTATCTTTAACGGGATTGCGCTCCTCATCTTCAAGTGTCCAGCCATCTTCACTAATATTATCTTTTTTTGTTGGTACTGATGCTGCTGCTGCTGCCTCATCAATGTCCATGTCATCCTTCCAAGGATCGTCGTCATCGGAAATTGGATTGGCGGGTGTCACCTTCTGCTTATCATCAGCAATCTCCACATCCTCATCGTCGTCGAGTCCCCATCCATCGTCGTCATCATTGGCTATGATATCAGGCTGGGGTGAAGTAATGGACGAGCCAGACTCTGTGCGTGACAACTGAGGTTTACCAATCTGCTCGCCTTGAGCTGTTTCCTCTTGCAGCTGCTCAATGCCTTCTTCCTCATCTAGCCCCCAACCGTCTTCGTCCTTCTCACCATCTTCCTCATCGACGTCCTTAATCGATGCTAACGATGTCTTAGAGTCTGCCTTCTCTATCGAAGCACGCGGTTGAGGTAATACTTCCTCATCATCTAAACCCCAGCCATCCTCATCACCCTCATTATCTGGTAGGTGATTACTTTCATCTATATTTGGTTGAGAGGATAATCTCAAAGCATCATCGCTTATTGTTCTCTCTATGTCCTCCGTATTGTACTTGTCACTGCTATCCTTAACCAGAACTGAAATCTCAGCTGTAAACATATCCCAATTTGGTCTCAAAATAACCTTTCTAGCATCCTTCAAAGCTCGATTTTGTCTTTGTTCTATCCAATAATTACCCCAATTCTGAGACACTTTCTTTATCAATCCATCCTGACTAACTTGATTTTCAAAATCAACTGCTTCATCTAATCTTCTTTGGAATAGGGTTACGTCTGGCCCACCTAAGCGATATGGTAGGGATGGGAGAAGGTATACATCCATCAATCTCTCCAACACAAGTGGTGTTAGCTGTTTACCAAGATCTTGGTATCTTTTGTTGATGAATTCTAAAAAAATAGCCAGATTTTTCAATTGTGTGCTCTTAATGGGAGCTTCTGTGGTGGGCTGAAGTGTGAGTGTGTCCTCGCTGAACACTATTGTGGGTATAAGAGCTTTGCTTGTTGAAGGTGGAAGAAGTGTATCAACAAAGTATTCCTTTACGCTGCTATAAAGATTCTTGTAGTGATTAGAGAAGCTTTTGAGAGTATTCAGCGCGTCTACTATTTCCGACAAAGGACGAGTGCCGTATAGACTTTTGAGCGTCAGACTGGAAGCTGTGCACTTGGTTGATTCATTCCATGCGCTGTTTAAATTGTTTGTGAGAAGTTCAGATAATTCGTAGTATTCCGTCTGAAGAGTAGAAGAACCGTCCCATCGCGACACAAAAGATCGTTGAAGCTGCTCAATATTAGATTTCATATCTGATCTTAAATATTGTGCAGCTGTGGAATAGTCATTCGAGTCTATATGCCTCCTCAACGTCGACAAAGATGAATGGACGGAATCCAGTATAGTTTTAGCCTCGTGCTCTAGCTTTGCCTGCTTGTAATCTTCTATGTGAGCTCTGTATTGCTCAACCTCCCGCTCTAAAGAGGGCTTCATTTGTTGGATTTCTAGGTAAATGTCATCTGATTTCGACGCTATTTGTGAGTGTAATTGGGAAATACTAAGCGACTGGCTGAGCTGATGAGCGTGTGTGCTCAGGTTCCCATTAAATTTATCTGCCAACTCGACCTGAGCGCCGTTGATGAGTGGTGCTGCCAATAGCGTGGCAGTATACATACTCTGCGGTCGTTGATATCATTCTCCAATCTTCCCTGCAATGCCACTAGATCGCGTGTATTATCTATCGTCGAAAGTGATTCTATGTATCTGTCCAAGCAACTCATCGTCGTATTCGTGCAAGAGAACGGCGCTATTCAAACAATCCCATCTATCAATTTACAAAGCCTTATGTTCGATTGTATCATTTCCTTGTAATTCAGCTTGAAATCCATCGCAACAGTCTTAATTTTCTTATCGACTAGCTCGGCATCAGGACGCAGTGGCTCATCCGCGCGCGACTTGGCACAAAGAATCATATCGAACAGCGTAAGCCAATTCCAGCCGCTACTCTTAGCAAATAGGTCATTAACTACGTCATACCATTCACTAGAATCCTTTGTCAAGTCTTTTATGTCCTCCACAGAAGTTTCAACTGCGGCATACTCAGCCTTCATCGACGCATACATATCCAGTAAGCAATTGCTATTGCTCCAGTTGTGGTTGATCGATATACAGTCGTCCAAATTCTCTACCTGGTGATACCAGCCACTCGGTATGAAAATTATTTGTCCAGGCTCTTGAACCACCTCTGTCGCGTACTTTTCTGCCTCATAAAACTGTTTAAACACACTCCTATCCACATCGCGTACATCGTACACTATCTCCGATGTCGTAATATGTGGAAATCGCCGCAAAAAAGTTTCAGTATGTGGTGGAAAAAGCCTCCACAGCTTCCTGCCAATGATATTAGCTGACCAAGAGTAGCTCCTATATACATCACGGTGTAAGCCTGTAAAAGTAGATGCTGATCCAGCATAGACGAATCTGAAATCGTCGTTTGTATGTGCTAGATAGTAGTCGTTCATCCAGTCGTCGCGTAAATATGACGGTGTAGAGTAGAAGGAATCCCCACTCCTCAATCCTAAATGCCAGTCTTTAATATACAGACGCTCCCCCTGCTTCATTCTGGTGATTGCATTGCCAACTGTCATTTCTTCTCGCTGCTGGTCGCTGAAATCTCTCACTTCACACAGCGCCACAGAAACGACCTGATCGCCATAGAGCGACGCTAGCGTATCCAGACTCTCCCATTCTTGATAAGCAGTCCAGCTCTTTACTGCATCCGAGTTAATCAAACAGGGGAGATTCGGTAACAGATTTCTAGACTGCCAATTAAAAGTCGAAGTGATCGCCGATAATTCTCCTCACTAAAAACTCATCATATTGTGGATCACCAATGACTGCGACCATTAAAGCCAATCAGAGCGTCAAGCAGCTCGCAAAAGACAAGAAAGAAGCCAAATGTAAACTGTAATTCATGCCAACAATCGTGTAAACGTGTAAAAGAACAAAATATGGGTATAGAAAGTATTGTAAAGTGTAATATTGCTGCTGTAATAATGATAACAAACGTTACTGCTCCGTTGGTCTAGATATGTTAGGTTTCACATGCACACTCTCGTCCTCGTATGCTTCAATGATCGAGTTGGAGTCCAATTGATCTTCATTTGTCGGTTCACGTTGTTCGCTTTCATGTTCTGCTCCTTGTGGCGTACTCCTCTGAGACTGCTCCTTTGAGTGTGACTTAGATGATTGGCTACTGCTATTTCTGTTCCTCCTGAATGAAAATTTTCTATGCGAAGTTGAAGAACTATCCTTAGTATAAGGTAATATCGATTCAGTTTTATGGTAGCGTGAACTACTCTTCCTGTTCAAACTACCATAACCACTGTCAGGTGTTCCAAGCTGAGGCGACTGACTAGTTTCAGCGCCTTGCTCATTATCACTTGACTGTGATTTACGTCTAGATGAAGTTCTAGTCGTTGGAGATGATCTCATTTGAGAGGCTCTTCTGCCTAGTACTTGAAATTGCTCTCTAAACCCACCTGAAGTAGTTCTAGGTGCAAAGTCACTTAACGATAGACCTTGCGTCGAGGCTCTCATAGATGACATATCATGAGTTTGTGATGCTTCACTGCGCTGTAAAGGTGAAGCTATTGCATACTTGGTTCTCGACGTCTCACCAACATTAGACGCCAGCGTGTTTGAGCGCTTCAAATCTATTCTCTCACTTTTCTGTGGTAGCGGTGCCCATGTCAATGGCTCATTATCAAATATAGTCTTGTAGTAGAGTATAAGATCTTCCATTGTCTTGTCCTTCGATGCAGCATGCTGCATTTTGAGCGCATCTTCTGCACTCATACCTTGAAGCTCCTCAATATTGATATCACCCATAATCACAGGCTGGAAGACTATCGCCAAGCTTGACACATTCATCTTATTGTATGGCTCATAAAGTGCAACCAAAGCAAGGTGTTCGACGACCATTTTCAGAGTTTGTGATGCTAGTGGCGACAATTTTCTCATTTTAGACTTGAGCAATGGAAAAGCTTCAGCGAATTGCTTTTGGCGCGTTTCTGTGTGTTGTACACGTTCAGCTAAAGAACATCTGAACAAAGGCTCGGGTAGCTGACGTAGGTATAACTTTAACACTCCTGCAATTGTATGTGGTTCATCTGAACTCGTTATCTCAAAGTTGCCATAGTCTTTCTCAATTCTCCTGACCATATCAGTGACAGCTGCTTGGCGCGGACTGATTCTGTAAATACCTTCGGTTCTGATAGGGCTCCTGTTCAATGCTGCAATGGCTTGCGATACAACACGCGGTGGTACGTCACCAGTACCGCAAGTCATAGCTAAATCAGACAACTTAACGCCAAAAACTAATTCAAACGATTCACCAGCGTGATCAACATAGAGATAACGAGGGGGTATACCAAGTGAAGCGGGATCAGCAGGTAGAGTACCCTTGAATTGAGCTAGATCCTTCTCTGGATCGATTCTTTCGACTGTATCGCGTACAGTTTGAGATAAACCGTCATGCTTCTTGACTAAATCTATATTATGCTCAGTGTAGCAAGTGAGACGCTCACGCATTTGTTCTGACAATGCTTCAATGAACTCGGACAAACTAACGAAAGCAGCTCCTTGAAGGCGCTCACGCTGCAGTCTGAGACTTTCTAAATGAAATACTGCTTGTCGGTATGTGTTGTCAGCTTCCTCAGCCTCCCTCTTAGCTTTGGCTATCTTGAGTGCACTAGGTTTTGAACCAGATTGAATGGATGTAGGGTCTTCAACGAGTTTGCTATCACGATCAGAGTCGTTACTAGCACCAGCACCCATATTCTTGAAAAAGCTATTAAGATGACGTTTACCATTAGCCCAATCTTTAGTTTTGAAAGCGTTTATCATGTCTTTACCGGCAGAATTTGCGTTTGCAGATTCTGGCGACATAGGTCGCGATGAAGGTTCCTCAGAAGCGGTTGAGGTATTGCTCTGAATGGGTTGTATGATATTCTGTAACAATCTGGCTTGAGCGTCGACAGCAGCGCTCTGACGTTGATGGGCTTCAAGTTCTATATACTTCTTCTCGTACGACTTCTTGTACTTCATAACTCTTTCTCTGTACTCGTTGTAATCGGCAGAGCTAGATCTGATATCTTCTTTAACGCGACGACGTGTACGTTCGTGGGTGTCCTAAAACGGATGAGAACGTGAGAATGAAAGTAATTTGAAAGCGCACCTTGAAAACGGTCAATGGATCAACTACGTCATCCTCCAAGGCCTGCCTGAAGTTGTCTCGGACTTGGCGTTCACGGTCCAAACCATCTCTAACCTCTGACCATACGTGACGAAGAGATGTCATGGCATATTTACTGGTAATTTCCGTGAGACTGCTATCACAGCGGTGTATTCCGAGGACATACGTATCTAAATCGTTGTCAATCCTGCTAGCTGAGTCGTGTAAACGGTTAAGGCCTTGTATACTGGGTTTGTTAGCTGCTGTGAATGGCTCATTCACCTCTCGCCTACTATTGAGTCTCTAGTGCTATCCTAATAGGTGAAAATCAACGCCGGGACATTACAAAGAGCAATTGAAACGCACCGCTCGTTGAAGAATTGTACGTATGACTAAAGTACGCTTATTAATAGGTGTGTAAATCCTCACTAGCGAACGAACCTCATTCAATTCCTTTGCTTTGAATGCAAATAAACTGAGCAAACCGAGCTCCTGGACTTGGTTGTGGTTACCAGAGGACAAACGCGGCTGCTGGCTGTAGTCCTGCAGCGTATACTCAGAATTATCGCTAAAAATCACTCCATTCCTCACTGTGGAACTCCTGGCTGTCATCAACGTCTGTGATGAACGAGGATTTAATCCTGGGTAAAAGGATCAAGTAGATAAAATAAATAAATGCAAACACTTATTTGAGATACACGCGTCCATCGCTTTCAACTTGTACTGTTTGTCCATCAAACCCAGGTCCAATGTCCATATCAACTGCTTGCTTCTGCTTTATGTACTCTATCCAACTAGCATGTGTACGCTCATGTCCAAATCCAATATAAAGTGTTTTCTGTGCACCGATCCGATACGTTGCATTCAAACTCTGTTCCAATCCGAAATGTGATAAGTGGGGGTCTGTTTTCAGGCAATCTAGTGCGAGAACTGCGGGTTTTCTATCCCAGAATGTCCGCTCTATAATTTCGTATGCTCTCTCTGGAATTCTACTTACATCTGCCATATAAATCAAACCAACGGGGAATATGAAACTGAGACAAATAAACGGCGAGCTATCTCCCGATACACTCTTAGGTGAAGCTAATCCATGTTCCACCTCCGCGGAGATAACAGGCACACCTGCGACATCAAACTGCTCTCCTGGTGTTATTATGTGCCATCTGAATGCTGGAACATCACCACCGCCGCTGGCTTTTTAAGTTAAGAATTTGTATTAGAAAGTCTCAGTTTTAGCCATAAATATTGCCCACCTTTCGAGCTATCGACCACTGTAATCCTTACGTCAGCCAAAACCGACAGTATCTGTCAGCGAACCCACTGTAAGGAAACACATTCTTAACGGTGTTGAATGTATCCAGGTTGGTATAAACGTCTATGCAGTCCTGTATCGAACGCATAGTCCACGCCTGTAAGGATTCTCAGTAAACTACTCGACCAACTCCACCGATAGTATCCACCGATAGTATCTTCTACCCACCCTCAAATCATCTAATCCATACATAGCATCAGCATGGCCGTGTGTAAGCAGTAGTCCGTCAATCTTTCTCAGCCCTCGCTTAGGAAATTGCCTCAACGAATCCCTATAAAACGTCTTGCCACAATCAATCAATATGGTCTTAATATTTCCATCGCCCCCTTTTGCCTGCACGACTGCCGATGTATTGCCCCTCGTATCCTCCTCCGCGGACGATAAGCACGTCTTGCATCGTTGTTCGGGATCCGTGACGCATGGCAATATGGGCACCGCAGAGCTAGTACCTGTACCCAGAAACATGAATTCAAATTGCGTTTCTCGTACATCGCTCTGATTGCTATCTGGCAGCATTTCTGGTAGCATCAAGCGTGCTATGATGATAGTCTATTTTTAACCCATCAATAACTCCGACTACAACGAATGAAACATGCATTATAAATTCTTTTGTGCCTTTATTTACAACTAACTTGGTGGCGGTGGTGGTGGGATACCTTCGTCTGGTGGTAATGGTGCATCATCAGCAGGCATTTCAGGTGGAAGTGGAGCATCTTCAACGTCTTGGAGTTTTCCATACGCCCCAACAATGGTACGTCCACCGAATACTCTACCAGCTAGCGCTTTCAACGCCTTACTCGCCTGCTCTTCTGTTTTATACAGAATATATATCTTCCCAACGCCTAACTCCTCTGCAACTGCTTCAAATCGGAAGTCTTCCCCAGATGCTGTAACAACTCCGGGTGTTCTGAATACTGGATCATCTGGTCTAGGTGGTCGAGGTATCTTGATTTTTACCACCTCACCATACTGTGAACACTCCTCTTGAATATCCTCTCTGATTTCTTGGTAGTCGAGATCATCTCTGAGCTCCTCCGCGGTCACCATATTCAATAAAAGTAAGACGTTTGTGCGGAAAGCTTGTGTTTCTGACGCCATTGGAAGAATCTGAGCAATTGTTGATGTACCACCTGCGCCAACTTTACCCATTGGACCAGTTGATGAGCGCTGAACGACAAGCTTTCTGTCGCCTACTTCCATCCCGTTCAGACCTTGTATAGCAATGTCGGTGAGTGAGGGATCCTTGTACTCGCAAAATGCAAATCCCTATTTTTTTTTATATATGTTAGTTAAGGCAATTGATAACACAATCAAAACTCACTTTTGAAACCTCCGTCGTTCCTTCTTTAACCAAATTGAAAGAGCGTAGCTCACCAAAACTACTGAGCAACTCCATCACCTGCTCGTCCGTGAGGAAAGAAGGCAAGCTACCGACAAAGATTTTCTGGTCAGAATCTGGCACCGTTCCACTGACGTTGTTGCCTTGTTTGCTCTGTAGCTCCTCAAGCACAACATCTGGACGCTTAACCTGGATGGATTCACCTTGGAAGATGGTGCCATCAAATTGTAGAGCCAGAGTAGCCTCTTCTGGGTTTCTAAACTCAACGTAAGCGTAACCTCTGTCGTGCTTAACTGTGACATTAACGGTAGCATCGCCAGGAATTTTTGCGACTTGATCAATAGTCGACATTTTATCATTAAACAACTTTGTCAAGTTCTCTTCATTGTGATTTGGTTTGATGTCGCCAATAAAGACTCTTCTAGAAGCCCTTGATCCAGTGAAATCCTCTAAAGTAGGAGGAAGATTAGAGAAGGAAGATTGGCCAGGGAAAGCAACAGCGCGTTGAACGCCTGCCATGGCGAAGATACCAGAATACTTAGCCTGCAAAGCTGTAATACCTTCGAAGCCAGGTGGTTTGATATCCCAATAGCTTCTCTGTTTTTTGCGTTGTGATAGTGGCACAATATTGTCTGGAGTTGGGCTGCGTCTTTTTGGAGTGCCGTAACTACGATCCATGTCTTCTCTGCCACGGTCGCGGTCAGCGCGATCACCACGGTCTCTATCAATTCTCCTCCTATCGTCTCTGTCTCTGTCGGATCTCCTCGGACGCCTGTCGTCGTAGCGGTCTCTGTCGCTCCTGTCTCTATCCCTGCGATCGTAGCGCTCAAAGTCTCTTTCGCGGTCTTCACGGCGTGCGCGTCTATCGTAATCATCGCGACGGCGAGATCTATCGTATCTGTCGTCGTCTCTGTCGCGGCGAGGTCTATCAGAGTAACGTCTGCGGTCTAAAGATGGTCAGAAATACGTGGATAAAACCGTTAAATAAACTCACCGTAATCTCTATCTCTGTCCCTGCGTCGTTGTGAGAAATAAATCTGTGCAATTCTTTTCAACTCACATGGCGGTAAGAGATGAGGAGATGGACACGCACAAGAGGGAATATCAATTATAGTATATTTTATGTATGTTTATTGAAATATAATTCTATACGTTAATCTATTTTAAATCTCTAGCCTTATCGACAGCCCAGCGGAGTTGCTCAAGAATAACGAATATGGCTATCGAGTTAGGGCAAAGTCTAATCCAGGCTGGAGTCCAGCCTCTGAAAAGGAATCCCGGTCCTTCATGTTGAAGAGAAGACTTGAACATCTGAGTGATAGATCCACCCGCGCTAGATTGACTCATAACTCTCGACTTGATTACATCTGCTGGTGAGCACACGGTAGTAGCGAGTGTGCCTGCCAAGAATGACGCAGAGAAATGAAGCGGAAGGCCTTCCTCCATTTCAACAAAAGTCATCAAACTTCTCTTGAAGTAATCGTAGCTAGCCAACTGCGACGCATTCATAAGGATAGCTCTGACGGTATTCGGGCCCAATCCTCTAAACAGCGTTTTGACTCCTTCATCCTTTGTCATTCTGAAGGTACCATGCAGCGCATTTCTATATCCCTTTCTTTCAGCAGCAGGTTTAGTAGCATCCGAAGTCATTCTAACTAGAACAATATCTGTTATGCGTTAGATATACTCAAATTTCTATCCTCGCTTCTCACCTGCTGGATTCCCCGCAATACCGCCCAAAGCCCCGGCACCTGAAGCACAGAGCACCATATTAGCAGCGCTGGCCTGTTCTGCGTCATGTGAGTTAGTGCGACTACACGACGTACGCCAACTCACGACCAGGTTTGGCAGTAAACGCTTTAAGTTTCTCATAAGCGCCAAAACGGGTAATCGAGTAGGTCATCCTGGCGTGAGCTTTAGCGTGAGCTCAAGTGAGTGAGTGAAAAGCTTCACTCTGCCACTCACTGCCTAAACACCGAAGCGCTCAAACCAACATAGAGACCTCTGATACCTGCATGATTAGTCAGTATGGACAAACCCACTTGTAATCCAACCCACCTTGCTCTTTCACCGTGGAGATCATCGTCCGCAGCATATTCTGCCTATCCTTTGCAGCCATCGTTTGCATACGCACCTTGGTGAGATCGAGCGGGTGCGTGAGGCATGCAGCCATAGACGCAGCGACACCTGCAGACGTGCCATACGTGTAAGCAATTCTCTTACTATCGCTATTGCTTCATACATACCTCCCAGCCTGCTCTACTTAGCTACAAATTTTTGTCGTTTTTATACTAACACTCACCAGAATGGATATGAACGTTTTGCAGGTGCGGGTGCGGGCGCAGATACAGGCGCAGATACAGGCGCAGGCGCAGAACCAGAAACTGTCTTTTCTTGTGCGTAGTTTGACATTCTCCGACGGCTTGGCTGTGGCTGTGGCTGTGGCTATGGCACTGGCCGTGATTGGTGGATAGGAAGAAGTTTACAGGCACACATGTGTTTAAAACTTAGATAATTATAACATTAGGAAGACGCCATTGCTATATCTAGCACCAGTCGCTGCCTCAAATACTTCATGTGTTTCTGGGTGAATTCGAACGCACTGTCGTCATCGACATCCATACCTCTACTTAAGGCGTCCATAAAACAGCAGGAAAAAACACCGCAATCGAATCCATTGTTCTGAGCGGGTGTATTCTCCGACCAGAAGTCTTCCCAGTCTGTAAAGTCAAATGGAGTGCCCTTCTTCGTTTCGTGTTCCTTGCCAATATACTCGCGCATTTTGTTATATACGTGCTTATTACCCCCACCCATTGAGTCATACATCTCGAAACGCTTTTTGCGCATATTGATAGCCCCACAAACCCAATGTGACTGACCGCGGTTGATTGGAAAGATGATAATATCTTTTTCGAATAAGTCAATCTTCTTTACCCATCTTCCCAATTTAGCTTTGTCATAGCCAGCTGATTCGAGGGTAGAGAAGAGAAATGTGCCGTGTATGTACGCGTCAAATGGCTTGACGCCTTTCTTGTCGTTCTTCTCCCAACTTTCTATATCATCAGCCTTCCTCTTTCTTAGCATCTCGGCATAAAAGTTGATAACTTCATCATTCAGCCACCTTCCAGGAAGAAGGAGTTTAAGATCATTTGACATCATGGTCTGTCTACCGCATTTACTAACTTTGCCAGACAGGCTCATAATCTTCTTGTGCTCAGCGTGCTCTTCATCAGAAAGTTCAGTTGGGAGTTCACGTTTAGGGCCTAAGGAGAGCTTTGCGAGTTCAAGCTGTGATAAGTGATAGACCTTTGGTGGTGCTGCGTTGAAAGAGGTATCGCTGCGCAGCTGCTTGGTATCTAGCCAACCAACATCTAAGCTCTTCCTTGAGCGAGTTGAGGGAGGTATATTCTGACCCAGATTAAGCTTATCGACGCGCTGCTTGAACGAGTAATAGCCTTTAAGGGTAAAAGTGAGAAGAAAAGACCACGATAAGCATCACCAGCGCACCTTTAAAGGTATCAAAATCTGCAGAGTAACCTCTAGACTGCTGTTGATGGAATGCGAGTTTAATTTTCCTCAATTGGGCGTTATTTAAGTGCTGAGAGGGCGTAAGGAGGGGTAGAAAAGAGAATAAGCCTAAGGCACACCTGTAGGCTAAGAATATGAGGACGTTTCTTGTGAGATTTCTGGATAGTTTTGCTTTTAGTGCTGATTGAGAGAGAGTTATTAATATGACGATGAGATTGCTTCGATAGCTGCGATTGCTGCCGAGAATACTGCTGAGGAAATTGCTGCGATTGCTGCCGAGATTGCTGCCGAGAATCACCAATAAAATAATCAGATATGCTATGGAATAAATTTTCTAAATAACCGGTCATCAACCTTTATATCTTTATCTGGTGTTGAGCGTAATTATCAAGAGGAATGGGATACACTTATAGAAGATATATTAGATCAGAATCGGGTGCATTTGGATGCGTAAATTGTAAAACGCATTTAGCAGCGCTTGAGGATTTAGAGAGTCATGTGCGTGGATGGCTAATGGCTGATAAGACATCTAATCAATCTGAAGGCATTTCAAGGGCAAACGGGCAGGGCTTTGTTGTTTAGGAGTGTGTGAGTCAAAGGTATCCAACAGCCACTCAGGCTCACACGAAATAGCCTCAATTACACACTCTCTAAAGCAGAAGAAAGGGGAATGACCACTGGGGTACACACGGTTGCAGACTTGGAGTGTAGAAGGTGCAAGCTGCAGCTGGGCTGGAAATACCTCTATGCTTATGACGAGAGGTGGGCCATGTCTACAGCTATATAATCACACTCATCACAACCACCGCAGCCAGAAGTATAAAGAGGGCAAGTACATCCTTGAGAAAGCTAGAATAGTCAAGGTCGATGGCGGTTTGTCTAGACGTCGTACTCAACTCTTCTCCAACGGCGTTGTCTACAGCGACGACCAGGCCAGCGACGATGATTGACAGCTGTACCTTCAAACGAGGAGGTTTTAACGAACATACTAACGACAGGATTACTTATGTTTTGCTATTCTCAATGCATGTTGTACTATCTATTATTACTATTAGAGCACCGGTGTGGCTGGTGTGGCTGGTGTGCTCGAACGAGATGTCGCTGTTGATTTTGTTGACTTGCGTTTCTTCTTCTTGATTGATGTATTGGCAGTGCTATTAGCTGCCTTTGTCGGTATTGGTTGTGTAGGTGGTTCTACTACAACTTGCTGTTGCTCCCCCTCTTGTTCAGACTGCTCACCAAGTACCTTCGCTCTACGCTCCCGCTCAGCCTTAACATCCTCCCTAGTCGAACGCATCGACCTGAGTAACGGCAACGGGTTATCCTCACTCTCGTCCAATTTATCCCTCTGCTTATCCTGAATATCCCACTTATAACCAATTCTAGGATTATAAGCAGGTAATACATCCCTAATACTCTTCATGGACGACTGTAAAGCGAATATCGCGCTATGGAACTTTATACCTAGAGTACTGTATCCATCTGGTGCAGCGTATATGTTATTATTCAGGCAGTAATAAACCCCTAGTACTCTAACACTGCTAGGGGAGTATCTGTACTGCTTCTTTATGATAAACAAGTCAGGTGGCTTCGAATCAGCCAAAACAAATTCAACGCCAACAAAGTGAACAAGCTGATGTTGTAAATTCATTGGTTGAGCTAAATTTGCAATATTCTGCATCTTGATTAACTGGTTATTGCTCTTCTTATCGTAGAAAGGTGATAAACTAAAGTAATCCATTATGAGTACGTCATTTAGTGTATTACCGTAGAATTGTAAAAATTCAGGCGCTCTCCAGAAAATACTACTCAAATCAATTTCGTCATCTTGTGCCATTGATTGTGATGGTGATGGTCGAGACAAAGAAAGTCAAAGAAATAATAAATTTTCATCTTTACAAAATCATTTCAACTTGCTTGATGCTGGTGTTGTTCATGTTATTCATGTTGCATATGTTGATTTTGATTTTGATTCGTACTCGTACTCGTACTTGTATTAGGTGGTAAGAAACTACCTCCTCCAAACATATTTGGCCACCCAGATGTCCCACCATCTCCCCATATGCTATTAGATCTACCATTCCTAGTCATTTGATTACTATTAGGTGTTACGCTCCCTGTTACTCCCGCAGTCGGCCACCCCGTCTGTTTATCCAGACTCATCGGCAGTGGCTGCCAAGTGCTTCCACCTAATCCAACTGGTGCCATCTGTGAACTTTGTCGCCTTGCTGGTCTTTCCACCACTTCATCATCTCCACCTCCTAGTGCTGAACTACCAAGTAATTTACCCACTGAAGGTGCTGACGATGATTGATCTGGTGTTGTATTTCCACTTGGTCTAGATATCGGTGTTGGTACTGCAGATATAGGTGGTCTGCTAACTGCTCCGACCGCTCCAAATCCAACTGGTCTTGCTGACGTTGAGGCTGACGCTCCCGCAGATGGCCCGGCTAACAAGCTATCTTCACCAAGATTCAAACCCGCAACTCCTCCACCAACACTTCCAATCGGTGACTTTGACTGTCTCTTCCCACCGAACAAACCATCATCCATCGAGTTACTTTCAAATGCAGTTCTTGTCATTGAGGGTGGTGATTTCGCAAATCCGTATGCACCAAAAGGTGTCTGTGCATTTTGCGTTCCATTAGGAATCAGACCTGGTGGTGCTACCCCCACTCTAGGTCTCTGTTGATGTTGTTGATGTTGTTGATGTTGATTAGAAGCTGGACTATGCATCTCTTGTTGTGAATAAAATGGCGGCCTTTGAATATTCCCATTAAGTAGTGCTGAAGGTGCCTTTGGTGCATCTTGCATTTGCTTGTCTTTCGTTGGCGTCATCATGTAAGGTGCTGTCGAATTATGAGCTGGTGGTGACCTCATTGGCATCAACCCAGGTGCAGCTGCTGCTCTTGGTGAAGGTGATGATGTAGATGCTTCTGGGTTTTGTAACTGTCTGTGGAACTGTGCTCGCTGTGCTTGAGCTGCTGCTTGTGCTTGAGCATGTGCTTGCTGTTGACGAATCTGCTCCATTCTTGCTTGTTGAGCTTGAGCTTGTGCCTGCATTTGAGCCTGTGCCTGAGCTTGAGCTTGAGCCTGTGCCTGTGCCTGCTTCTGCAACTCTTCTTCGTGTGCTTTATCTGCTTTAGCTTTTTGCTCAGCTTCATATGCAGCAGCACGTTCCTTTTTACGCTCAAGTTTGGCAGCCTTAGCTCTCTCCTGCTCCTCCTTCTCTGATTTAAGCTTATCTTCACGCTCCTTTTTCTTACGCTCCTTCTCAGTTTCTCTTTCCTTGTGGATTTCCTGTTGACGCTGTCGCTCAGCCTCACGACGACGCTTCTCTTCCTCTTTAGCTTGTCGCTCTGCTTCACGACGCTGTCTTTCAGCTTCTTGACGTCGACGAGCTGCCTCTTGTGCAGCATCTGCTTTGGCTTTCTTAGCTGCCTCCTCTTCTGCAACTTGTGCTCTCTTAGCTGCATCTGCTTCCTCTTTTTGTTGACGCTGAAGACGCTTTTTGTCTTTCTTACGCTGATTCTCTTTGGCCTTTTTAGCTTCCTTATCCGCTGCAACCTTGTCTTCCTCCTCAAGTTCGCGGAGAAGTTGTAATTGACGTTCTTGTGCGACCTGCGATTACTTAGTTGTGATGAATAACGTATATCACAAACCACTCACCTTCTCACGATATGCCTGTAATACACGCTGTTCAAACATTCTTGCAGCAAATACTTGGAACATTCGACGACCATCTTCCATACGCTGTTGAGTGTGAGTTAGAATAAAAGATGCACTTAAAACACACTAACATCCTCATCATCATCATCCTCCAAAAAATCGTCATCTTCTTCATTATCATCCTGCTCATCTTCTTCTTCACTATCATCAAATCCAGCAGCAGCTTCTTCCTCTCTTTGTAAGCGTCTTTCAGCTAAACTTTCCATCATTTCTAAGAACTTTTGTCCGTCGTTTCTCAAGAGATCATCAGCAACGGTGAGTATTCCACCTAGAGCTAAAAATCAATAAATTGAATAGTTGTAAATTCCAAATAATACGCACCTTGTACTGTAAAAGTTTTCGAGAATGATGATGTGAATATCTCTGACTTCTTCCTTCTACTGTTGCCATGGCGATAGCGACGTGAATTAGACAGACTGTCTTGCTCATCGTCGTAGTCATCATCACCCGATATATCATCGTCAGGGTCATCCTCATCGTAATCCTCATCATCTTCGTCGTCGTACTCATCATCGAGGTCATCATCATCATCGCCATTATCGGGTGGTTGAACTAACTGACCGTTCTTGTCAAGTTCCACAGAACCTGGAAATGGACCTGGACCGGGAGGCGGTGGAATTGTAGTAGGAGAGCTATAATGCTGATATTGATGTGCGACGTACTGCTCGAGTTCATCATAGTAAGCATCGTATAAAACTTCAAGTTCATCTTCAATTGCTGAACGCTTTCTACCACAAACAGCGCAAGAGCATGAATGCTTCTGCTGCTCCTTCATTTTTCGAAGGACAGTCTCTTTTTCAACTTGTACTAGCTTTCTTCGCTCGTCTTGGGAGAGAGACAACCAGAATTCTTTTATACGCTCGCGCTCCTCAGTTGAATTAGTGGACCAAATCTTCTTAGCCAGAGAAGAAGAAGGAGGCTGCTTATTTGTGGAAGAAGTTTGAGATGATTTAGATTTCGTCTGATTTGTAGCGGCATTTGACCTCATAGTGGACTGTTGAGGTAGATAAGACATAGGAGCTTTTCCAGCAGCCCTAGAAGAAGGTGGTGGAGGTTGAGTGACTGGTGGGGGTGGAACTGGCTGAGCAGGTGGTGGTGGTGGTGGTGGAATAGAATTTGTATTCAACAAATTATTAACTTTTGGCTGAGCAGTGGGTTTAGTCTTCTTATTCTTCCTCTTCTTCTTCTTTGAAGGGGCGTCTGTAACACCATTCAAATGCTGTTCAGACTGTACACCAGGAGTAGTAAGAGGAATTACGCCGCTATCGTAAATGACGCCAGAATGATAGTTGTACTCGCCGTCAGTACCATCAATAGAGTCAACGTCATCGTCTGTATAATACTCCTGATCAAAGTCATCATGCCTCAAACCGCGTGAAGGTGGCGGACCAAGCTGCTCCAAAGCGAAACGAACAGAAGGATCACTGAAATCGAATGAGCTAGCTGGTGGGGGAGCAGGACCATGAGGAACGCCTTGAATCTGAGAATTGTTGTTGTTGTTGTTGTTTGGAGGGTAACGCGTGGCAGACGCAATTTGCTGTGCGACGGCCTGCATAGCTGCAGCAGACATCTTTGGAGGGGTGTGGTGGTTGTTTGATTGCAGCTGTCCGAGTGGCAGAGCATTTCTAATGAATTGTCGTAAGTGGGCTGGGAGACTGGACCAGTAAGCGTCATCGTCTGGGAGTGAACCTGGGTGATCAGCGGACATTCTAGCGTACAGGGAGCTAGCTGTTGCTAATAAGTCTAAAGATATATGAGAACAATAGGGCTGCACTGCGATTTGGACTAACCATGGGCAGTAGCTGCTGCGTCTACACCCAAATTCCATTGGCCACTGAGATCTGTATGCTGGCTATGCTCATCCACTTTCTTCTGCTGTCCTTTCTTCGATTTCGCGGGCATAACGTCGTCGCTCTGAACTAAGGTGAAATGGCGCAGGGATTCGGTGAGAAGTTATTTAAAAATTGTACAGCTAGTGCTATCTATCCTTTATATCGTATATTCAATTCATTTTAGATAAAAAATCTTTTTTATTTTCATAGCCATCGTCCTGCCGTTGAGGACTTGTTGGGAGGACTGTGCGGATAGTGGCAGGCGTGTTAGTTAGTTATTACAGTCGCTGCTGTGCGTGGTATAGCCAAGCTATTTGCATCGGCTCACAGCTCAGCGGCCTCTGCCTTTTTATAAAGTCGACAGCCCGGAATACAATATCTGCGTTATCAGTATTGTTTTCGTTGAGGTCATCGTAGAATGGCTTTAATTTGTGGTCTTTGCATCGTATAAGCTCGTTTAAGGCTATAAATGTTGCACTTCTGCCGATCCCTGCTGAGCAATGCACAACACAAGGTGATTGCCTATCGAGTCTACGCAAAAGGGTTTTTAAAGAGGAAAGTGATTTCGGCGCGGAGTGATCTGGCCATATCTTGTAGAGTATATGACGGGTTTCAAGTGATTTAAAGGGCGTTGTTATCTCGATAATCGTTGTCAGACATTCTTCGTCCTCATCTATGGACTTTTTTGTGATAGTAATACCATCCAGCTGAATAAAATCGTTTGGCAGGTAATAATCAACCTTTACTCTCCCGCTCTCGCGATAATTGGACAGCTGTATGATATCACGGGCACCTTCCTCGAGAATCATCGTGTAGAATGATTGCAGCGTGTGCAACGGTGGTGCTTGTGTGGCTATAAACATCTTTGACTGCCCAATATCGCAATTAAAGTCGTTAAACTGCACGACGGATGCGTTGATATACTCCACTGTGCTCGGCAGGCTTTCATCGTAGCAGAGTATATTTGTATACCTATTAAACGCGATAAATCGCGTTGACTTGGACTTTGATAAAGATTTCCTGTCTAATCGGACTTTCTCTCGTCGAGACAGCTCTTGAATGGAATCAGCCATCATTGATTGGGTGAATGAAGCACTCGAGGATCAGCAACCAAACAATCTCATCAATCAGCTCGATGATAAGTTCTACAAGCTCATTTCAAATATAAACGAAAAAATTCAGTCCATCGACTACGATAAATCTCAGTTAGATGACCTCAATCGTTTGGCTGTTGAGTTGCAATCGCAGTTATCTCATTTACGTAAAGATTTGCGCTCTCTACCTACAGACGATGTACACCTATCTAAACTAAACACTCTCTCGCGTCTGCACTCCGAGTTACTGACACAAACTGAAAATCTTCGCAACTCATTCATTTGATCCAACATTCCCCCCATCAATCAGGATATTGAACGTAAAGTCCTTATACTCCTCCTCTGCCTCGTCCATATGCGGCGTCGATGGCGGCGTCATGGTTCGGTACGTATACGTTACTTGTAAGACAACCTAGACCTTTTCATCAGCATATACCTTTTCTTTACCAAAACTCACCTCTAATCTCTTTGCGTCTTGGTATACTCCCAATTCAAACATACTGTTTGTCCAATTACCCTTGCTCTCCACCAGTCCGACAGACTTGGCCTCTGAGATGCGTCTTGCCTGACTCTGCACCCACGCCTCCTCTTCAAACTCCATGACATCGTTGAATGCACCTATCTCATACTCCCCCTCGTCTATACGAGCTTTGCAGCCACTCTGGTGCACAACTTTCATCCTGATCTTCATAGCGTCGTACAGTGGATTGACTGTATGCATCTCAAACACATACACCCTCCCTCCTCTCAACTCTCCATTGCTTGTGAGTCTCGATCCTGTAGGTTGCAGCGCCATCCGCGCTATCCTCGCGTTAATCGCAGGCAGGTAGTTATTAGCTGTCATCTTTATCTTGTGTTTAGTGTGTGATTTGGTATCTGGTTTGATGAGGATATGCCTACACGTAGCGCAACGTTTGCTGTATTTTGTAACTAGTTTGATTCTTTGAGGTGTCTGCAGGTGTTTGTATATGCTAGATGGATATGAATTGCTCGAGTTGTGAATGTCGTGGAGATCTGTGGCATTCCTAAGAATGTTGAGTTTATCAAACTCAGTCTCTGCCAAAGACTCCAGCTGCCTATCGCTCGTGTCTGGCGTTGCGTGTGCCGGGTAGAGAGGATGGAAAGCAACGTCATCTACGAAACCGTCAACGCTAAGGAGAGACTCGAATTTACTTCTGACATGCTCAAACTCCTCATTAGCTCTGCCTTCCTTCTCGTCTCCGCGCGCAATAAGCGCTCCGATACCCGTAGGTTTATCAAATACACCCCTCTCACCGAAACACCTGCTGTTCCAGCCACAGCATCCACAGCTAAGCAAGAAGGGCGGGTCGGCACGAGAAGACTCCGCCTCAGTGAGCTTATCGAGACTGATATTAGGATCGTCGATGCTAGTGCCTGTGCCAACGGTAGACAGCGAACTCTGACATAGCGGGCAACTCGAGCAATTCCTCATACACCTATTCCTCTGCGATTTCACAGACGCCGTTGGTACTTCAAATAAACAATTGGGGCAGTAATGCATCACTGCGTCGAGTATGATAGTTCGCGGGCAGCGTATAGCGTCGCATTCTTCGCAGAAATACAAATGCGAGAGCGGATAGAACTCGCCCTTATCCAGCGCCGATCGCAGCTTGGACTGATAGAGTACGCTGACTGACGCCATAATTTGGAGAAGATGGTGGTTAGGGCGTAAGAGAAGGCAGGATTCGATTAATTGCACTAATCCAGTTAGCTACAATGCACGCAACACTCGCCACACGCACTACACTCCTCTACACCGAACGACCATCAATGAGCACACGGATATGAGATCCATCCGGCACTTCTGTTCGACACACACAACACCGCGATCTGGCAGGAGCCTCAACTCGCTGTGGTCGAAACTGCAGCGGGAAAATTACGAATCGATATCGACGGAGCCGGCAACAACATCGATACAAACTCCAACGCCGAATCCAGGTGATTTGGGGCATGACAAGAAGGAAAAGAGCGTCGAAAGTAGCAAAACCCACGCGCACACCATTCAAGGCGTTGAAATACCCACAAAACCAAACCAACCTGCACCAGACGAATGTTGTATGTCAGGCTGCCCAAACTGCACATACGACATATACGCAGATGACTTGGCAAACTACCTCGCTGTTGCCCCGAAAGCAGCATCTCAACTAGAAAGCAAGGGTGTGGCTCTCGATAGGTGGCCCATGGATCTCAGAGGCTTTGCAGGCTCAGACTCCTCCAAGTCTCCTCTAGAGGCTGAGGCTGAGGCTGAGAAGACTGCGGATAAGCTCGTCAGCGACTTAGATCCAACTATGAGGGCTTTCTTGGAGGTATGTCCGCTATTTCTACGCTTCGTCACTCACACAGCCGCAGATGGAACGCAATCTGAAGAAGGTGGGCTGTTTTTAGCTGAAATATCCACATCATACTAATTACGTTACAGAAAAAGAAGCAGATCGACCGTGAGCGACAGTCATAACGAACTTTATATAAGTAGGACAGATTTGTACCGCGATATAGAATACGATCAGATCAAATATCACTTGACTGACGCTCTAGAGCTAAGGTATTATGCTGCATTTCTCCACAAGCCGTAACAAGCGTGGTCAAACTTCAACCTACTAAACCTAACCATCACAGTATCAATACTGGAGCTATTTTGACGTGCCAAAAAAACTTACAGTAAAAGCATTCAATACACCTTAATATTCTTAGTTTTTGTAGCTGGTAATATCAATTGTTTGTTACAAAACGTCGATCGTCGATATGACGCACTTTCTGGTGCTAAAGTGTCTTCTAATAATTGTTCAATGGGGGTACTTGTAACAAATCTCATCATTTTAATTGAAATCGTGTAGAAGACAACGCGTTTGAGGTGATGCTCAGTGGCGACTCTCCTTTAGCACCACAACGACTGCAAGCTGGGGCGATGGTGGTATATTTTTGTAGCAACCGACCGTGTAAGTGGGTTGCAGGTGTGATACTATCACCAGCGCGGCGTATCGCTGCTTGACTGCCCAGCTAGATGTGGCATGCTTCCTGTATAGTATTTTAGAGTTTAAGAATTACTTGCCTTTTACGATTCCAACGCGGCTTTCATCGCCTTCTCACCATCATTTTTTGAAATCTCCAAGTCCACCTGTGAAGCCAAACCCCCCGGATTTAAGATATGGGCTGAACCACCTTTTCTTTATTTGATATGCGTTTTATAGACGTGCAATGCTCCAGAATGACATGGCTTTTTCTCTAGAGCAAGCAATAAGTCCTGTGAACGCTAATCAGCGTAAAACGTAAATCGCGTTTATAGAGCCAAATTCCTGTGATTTCTGGGTGCTTGCGGTCTCTATGAGCTAAGAATTCTCTTTTACCCGATAAAACGCGTCAAAGCCTCCACATCTGTCTTATAGCGTGCTCCAAAGCTATGTCGGGTTGTAACTTCCGAGCAGCCTACGAGACGCAATTGGAGGCTTAGGGATATAATTCTGGCGTAATAATGTATAATTCATCCAGGGCTATTTATGAAGCCCTTTTATTTGGAGATCATCAAATTCGTAAATCCGCCATCTGATATGAGATAGGTGGTAGTGAGGAAAACAACTCAGTGGATATTGAGCGAAGACTTTTGATGGGATGAATTGAAGATACTGAAAGTGGTTCGATAATGATGGTAGCGTGAAGTTGCTTAAACTGACAGTATACATTCATCATCATATGTACTGGCCCATTTGCTAGGCGAGCTGAGCAGAGTCAATGAGATACAGTGACTTCGTAGAAGTGGAACCCTACGAAGCGAATAGTAACTCAAGAAAGTAATGTAGTTAAACTAGGGTTATGAGGTATAAAACCTCAAAAAGATGTCCTCCCACCCAGAATCGAACTAGGAACCTCAAGATATGCCAACGATAGGTTTCAATTACAGTCTTGCGCTCTGCCAATTGAGCTATAGGAGGATATAAAGAAGTTACCCTGCCTTTGTATTAAATACAGTGGGCAAGATGCAGGTAACATGACATCATGGTCGCTATGAGAACAATGAGAATAAAGAACAATGAAGATTATGCATGATTATGCACGATGACAATGAAGATAACGAAACAATGGGAATAACCCCAAAATTCCAAACTATTCAAACGACTACTTTTCTTTTGATACATCTCAGACTTAATTCTTTTATTAATCTCAACGTCTCTCACTCTTTGTGCAAGTTTTCACATCACAAAGAGTAAGACGTTTACAGAGGATGTGATAAGTTTCTGGTATTACAAGTTATATTTATTGAACCAACGCAGCCGAAAAAATATTCAAATTCGATTGCTGCTCCACTAATTGAGATTTCTCTTTCCCTGGTGTGTTTTTGATCTGTTCAAGCCCACTAAAAACTCGCTTTTGCATCAGTAGGCGCTTTTGTAACCGGTGTTTCGTGTTTGGTGCACCTGAAATGTTTCACATTATCGCTTGAGAGATGGTGAGGCTGATGAAAGACTGCCCACTCACAGCACTCACAAAATTCATTCTACACACGCCACCACGTCATAAAACAAAACATGCATAAGTTAACAGCTTAATCGCTTTTTAGTAGTGTAGAGACTCTATCAAGTTTGCAACGCAAGTCTTCGATGGCAGTAGTTCTAGAGAGAGAAAAAAAAAAAAAGAGAAGAGAGTTAGCAAGAAGGGTGTTACACAACATTCCACTCACTCTTCATGAAGCACTCCCTCCACCTTAGCGATTTGCGAAGCGCCAATAGCGGATGAGGGGGTGAGTTTTGCCGCCTGGCCCAACTGATACGCCTCCACCTGCGGCCTAAGGATATTGAGTTGATGGTTGAGCTAGCGGGGATATCAGCAGGAGTTAAAAGCGCGATGCTCAATGCACTCACCCTACTCATACGTGCCTGTAGAGCTCTACCTTTAGCATCACCATTCTTACCACCCCCACTCCCGCCAACTTCATCGCGAATGCGCGCGAGTTCCTCAAACCACTTAGTTTCATGAACTGAAAGAGTAGGTTGGTGTCTGTCCATAAGGCGCTGAAGCAGCCGATCCATCCTAGCAAGCAGGGCGAGCTGGTCGAGAGAGACAGCGTGCACGCGACCACCCTTGCCACTACCCACGCCTGCCTGGTTAGAAGGGTTAGTAGCGACTTGGGCGACGTGAGCGAGGCGGTCAATTTGACGTGCACTCTCGCGTATTTGCAGACTCAGTCGGTCTTGTACGCTGTTGGCACTCGCTGTGAGTGCATGAGTGTGGCGACGCACATTCGATACTACCCCACCCAGATAGCGCAGTGTCTGGGGCGTTATTGCGATCTCATCCCGCGTATGTCCCCCATCTAGTCCACGTGTTAAGTCGATAGGGTGGGCGGCATCGAGGTCGATGGGGTGGGCGGCGTCGAGCAGACTACTGTAGTGCTTCAAGTGCTCTGAGGTATGATCCGCACCCTCAGCACCCTTCTTGTGCTCCTTCTCCTCCACCCCTTCCCCGCTAGTCTCCTCCACACGCAGCGACAAGGCCAGCGGGAGGAGCTGCAAGTTGGCAGTGAGAGCAAGGAGAAAATAACCTAAGAAAGCGTCGTTGACTATATCGAGCGCGACAACAGGGTTGCTTTGAGCGTTATCCCTCTCACCCGTCTGGACTACCTGGATGAGTTTCGAGTCGCGCGTTATACACTCAGTCTGGGCCAGCTCGTCGAGCCACGGCTTTAGCACGAGGGCATGCACGCCGCTGGCATGGCTGATGTAAACCGTGTCTTCGTACACTGGGTCGTGCTCGAGAGACGGGTATCCCACATCAGCACCGTTAACCAACTGGATGGTTTCGTAGGTGGACATAACAGGTGGTTGTGCCGCTAGTTCCTGCCGCGGGTTAGCTGTTAGGACCGAAAATTAAAAAAATTAACCACTTACTGCTCGACTCGACCATCGCCCCTCGACGTTGTCGGTGGCTAGACAGACATCTACGCGGCCATTGGTGTAGACCACCACAAAGACGTCCATCGGGAGCTGACTGGGACGAATGGCGATGATATCGGACGCGTCAGCTTCCTCATCGTCGTCGCTGGGCGGGGGCTGAACGAGATAAGGGCCCTGGCGAAGAATAGATCCAGTAGCTCTAGGAGAGGAGCATTTGAAAGACGTAGCACTACCATCGAGGCTATGCATTTGCTTGGCCATGGCATTCAGCCAGCGCATCTGCTGGTTGAGACGGGCTTCAACGATGCCGTTGTCTTCGTGTGCAGGGTCGAGGAGCTTGGCCTCAGTGACGCCGCGGAGATTCTGTATGTAATTGATAGGGACGAGAGCGTGGGTGGGGAGGAAGGGACACAGAGCGTACACGTCGCCGTTGCGCATGAGGGCGTACAGAGTCAGCGCGCCCCAGTCGGAGGAAGAGCAGCCGAGGTGGAAAGACACGCACTCGTCGTCGCGGTCGTCGTCGGCGGAGAAGCCTCGGGATCTGTGATTGGAGAGCGGGGTGGACAAAGAGCCGGGCATGGCGGAGTGCTGGGTGAAGGAGAGGGATTGCTGGGGCTCGTCCGAGTCGAGGGAGACGTCGTATTCGCGTAGGAGGGAATCGCGGGTGAGGACGAGGAGGGAGGCGGCGGAACAAGACCACGGGTGCCAATCGACGTTGGCAAGTTGGGAAGAGCCGGGGAGAGCGTGGTAGTACTGGCCAATGAGGATGGAGCGGGAATCTAAAGTGGGGGTGACGAGATTGGCGTATCCAGGGCGGGGGAGAACGATGACGAGGACTTGGTGGGTGCCTGAGACGGCGAGGAGCTTCTTGGTGTGGTTGAGGGCGAGCGAGTGGATATCGAAGTTGAGATTGGGGATTTGGAGTGTTTTGATGGGATTACTGGAATTACTACAGCCACCCTTCAGCTGGGCCATACTCACCATCCTAATCACATTCTTCTCCGCCCAGATCAAATCGCTGTTCCGAACGACGAGTTTCTTGGTTTTGATTGAAGGTAAACCAGGCACACCATTGCTCCCGAGATCTGCAACGGCTTCTGTGAGATTGCCCAGCCACGCTTCTGCCATTTGATTTGTTGGTGTTGGACGTTGAAGAGAGAGATGAGTGATGACGAGATATTCCACAACGCGGGCATGGCGGTGTTACACTGCAGTGCCATTGAAGACACGGAAAGCCTCAAGCTACTCATCGATAAAGGCGCTCCCATCTTCTACCAGGACCCTTCTTCCGGCTACACCTCGTTGCACTTGGCAGCGGACAAACAATCACTGCGTTTGGTGCGCTATCTCCTAAGCCAGGGTGCCACTTGGAACGCCATCGACCACGCTGGGTTTACCCCCGCAGATATCGCCCTCTCGTACGGCAACACCCCCATATACGAGGAGATAGTCGCTGAGGGCGTTAGAGCGGAGTTTATTCTCAATCTCCTCGGCGAGAAGGCGGAGAATGGCGACAGCGGCGACGACGACGACGACAGCGGCGACAATGACGACTCCAACGACCCCGCCTCCAACCTCAACGCATTCCTCTCCTCACAGCTCACCTACGAATACGACAGCGACGGCAACGAGCGCGTGGTTGACTCCGCCGGCGATCCCGTCATGATGGCCTGGGAGACGCCAATCAGTGGGCACCTCTACCTACTCTGTGAGGAATGAATCTAACCTCAACGCCCAGTGAAGGCATCCGTGAGGGCGCTCTGTGATAACCACCCAGACACCCAAGACAGTCTGTCGATCCTCAATGTCGGTTTTGGTTTGGGTATTGTGAGTACGCAACTAGCGTAAACACCGCCCTGAGACATCACAGATCGACACAGAATTCCAGAAATACAGCCCAACTAACCACACCATCATCGAAGCTCATCCGCATGTTCTTCAGCATATGCGCGAGACTGGCTGGTATGACAAGCCCGGTGTCACCGTGTGTGAAGGGACATGGCAGGATCATGTGGATAGTATTGGCCAGTTTGATGTCATTTACGTGAGTTGACTGATTTACCTGCTAAAACTAGCACACTGACACAAGACCCAGTTCGATACATTCTCAGAACACTGTGAGGATAACCACCGTTCTTTATCGTGTCTTCTCCCCCACTAACGCCGCTCACTCCCCGCCAGACCGTGACTTGAAGGCCTTCTTCGAACATATCCCTGATCTCGTCGAGTCGCCCAACTCGCGCTTCTCCTTCTTCCACGGACTGGGTGCGACGAATGGTGTTTTCTGTGGGTGGTTATAAATAATAGATAAAGTGGCACAAGTACTCACTTTTAAACTTAACTCCCCCTCCAGACGACGTTTACACGCGTATAGCTGACATGCACCTCGAACAAATAGGCTTGTCTGCGCAGTGGGAGGATGTACCTGTACCTGAGCTCTCCGCTGTGTGGAAGGGCGTTAGACGGTCGTATTGGAATCTGTGAGTGTTGTGTGTGTATGTTTGCTGTTCTCACAAAACAACACACAGCCCGGTATATAAACTACCTATAGCGAGAATGAACATATTTTAAAACATAGAGATACAACGAGCGAGACGGGAGGAAGAGGGAGAGAAGGAAAAAAGAAAACGTCAACCGTAATACGTTAGTTATTTGTCTTTGCTACTTTGCTACTTTGCTACTGTGCTAATTTCTACTACTTTATACTTTATATTGATACGCGTGAGGGCTGTAGAAATACATAATCCATTGTAGCAGCGTACACTCTAGAGTACAGCTGTACAGCTACAGGTGAATCCATACATGCGATGGCACCATCATAGCATCATCACGTCGATCTGTAGATCCCTTGCAACAGAGCGCCAGTCGTCGTTGGGGAGGTGAGCATCCTGGCGTTTCCAGCACTCGCTAACGATAGTTTCCGCGCATTCGAGGTCGGAGCAGTACCATTCGCGACACGAGCGGAATAGTTGGCGAACCCATTCTCGGTCGTGGCTGGTGAACATTTGTACACCGCTAATGATGATTGCCCAAATAAGCATAACTGCCATACCCATATCACGCGTCGCTTCGCTGCACAGTCCCAGTACAGCCCGCGCCGCGGCTTGTATATTAGCATCATGAATAGGTATGTCGAAGATTTCGCGCGAGAGGAAAATCATCAGTGTATGTCTGTAGATGAGGTCTCCGCACTGTTTGTGGGTGGAGTGTGTTAGCGTGTGTGCACACACTCAAACTCAAACTCAAACTCACCTCTACTCGTTGATGCCGCAGTACGAGAGACTGCTGGGCCATATTCTCGAGCTCACTGTACAGAGTGAAAGTCTTACTGCGTATGGTTTGCATCGTGGAGAGCATATCCGCTGGTAACACTTCCTGCAGTGTCGCCGCATCTTTATCGTCTATCGGTATGGGCATGTTCAGCTTGCGTCTTTGACTATGAAGGCGACATGACCGCGCTATTATATCCAGCATCTGCCTACTCATTCCGTAACTGCGCTCGAAGCTGTTATGCGCATCGTCGCCGAAGTTTTCACTGTTTTGCATCTCAAACCACCACGCCGAGTGGGTCGTATCGCCTATAAGTTGGGGTGAGTCACCTGTAGTGAGACACGCAAACACTTCATGAGCGGTGAGTTCCTCGAGGAAAGTACGTCTAATAAGCAAAGATTTTTTGCTAAGGTCGTCAACGACATGGCGACGTTTGTGCAGACCAAGCATGACAGATGGACCACCAAGCTTATTAACTAACGCTAAAGCGACATTCATCGACTGCCGCCAATCCTGACTTGCACTGAGAACGTCATACTTTAACACAGCTATGAATGCTAGTAAGGACATGTCTATGTCTTGACTACTCGAGTCACTCATTAATGGCATCATCACCTGCTTTAATGCCATGTTCTTTAGTTGATGCGATAGCTGAAGCTCTTGATATGCATCTAAGCCCTGTTTCTGACGTATGAAATGCATATGGGTCGCTGAGATTGCTAGTATCCCATACGTGATTGCGGATTGATTCGTATTCAGTACGAGCGGTATGGAAAGCGCTAGGAATGGATTCTTTGGCTCGTTTATCGCGCAAAGCAGCTTCTTCGACTGGCTGAGGAAATTATGTAGCAGTTGCTTTGATTGTGGGTTCGCGTTGATAATGTTGTTCGCGTAGACACCCTCACTCATGATTGGAGGTAGAGCAGTAGGTGAGGATGCTGTTGGTGGGGATGGTCTGCTATATATATACTCATTGTCTGGACTGGTGTCTTGATTGAGTATAGGGGAAGGTGGGGTGAAAAATGGCGTTGAAGAAAGGAATGATGCATATTCGTTGGTAAGTGGAGACGTAGGCGCCATCAAACCGTTGTTAAGCGAGTTGAAAGGGACAGATACAGTAGCCATCGAGTTCCCCAGTGGTGGATCCATATTGGGGGGAAGAATTCTTGACGACGAAGGGTCAAAGTATGAGGGTTGTGGGAGTGGGGGAGCGTCTGACGGCATCAAAGACATAGCAGGACCGTTTGGAGGGACAGGAGGAACAGGTAAAGGATTTGAATTCGAATTTGGATGTGGATTATGATTGTGATTATGATTGGGTAGATTCATGTCACTTTCCAATTGAACATCGGGGGAAGAATCGATGAGCTGCGATAGGAGTTTTGGACCAAGCAGAGACTGTAGACGCTTGAGAGAGTGTATAGGGTTATTAAAAGGGTCATTGTAACTGTCGTCGTCATATGCACTAGGTTCAGGAAGAGTGGAAGAATCATGTGCGTCAGAATCGTATGAAGTTCTTTTACGTTTTCCAGAGGGAGCGTTAGGGTTTGGGTAAGTGCATTCTCTCCCAAGGCTTGTACATTTCAAGCAAACGGGAGCAGTCATGTCGCACTTAACCTTACGCTTACGGCAAGTGAGGCAACCAGCCCTTGAACGCTTAAACTTAGGACGTTGATTACCATTCGGATTCCTATCAGATTGAGTGATGATATCTAAGCGAAAGATTAGAATCTGGGCATAGTGGGACTAAGCGAGGCGACGTACCGCTTAGACGAGGAAGAGAGTCTTGGATGGCAGGGTGGCCGGAGCCGATGACGTTAATTAAATTCTGGACAGAATGTGCAGTGGCTTGACCATTTGAAGAAGCCATTGGAGCCATGAGGAATGGAGGCAAAGAGTAGCGTCGGGGATCTGAGGAGTGAAAATGTGGGTGAAAAAGGGATCAAATGGGCGAGGTACATGTAAATACACCCGAAAACTCTAAACTCCGGTGTAAAATATAGAAAATAGGGGAAAAGGGCAAGTCCGAGGTGAAGAGATTGAACAGATACGCTCATGTCCTCGGATAAATCGGAGTACTGGATAGATAAGGTAGAAACGTGTGGACTTGAAGGGGTTGAGCTGTTTGAGTACAGGAGAAAGCTGTGGACACAGCCAACAAAAACAACTCAAGGACATTTGATCGAGAGGGAGAAAACGCCATCGATTGTAAAGTTAATACAGTTGATCGATAACGCAAAGGATAAGGAGAATTATACAGATATTTGGGATAAAGGTATTTCCAGGATTTATGAGAATTTGGTACAAGGAAACAGGTTACTTCAGCCGCTGCCACTGGAGATAATAGTGAGTGAGATAAGCAATAGAAATATAAATATTAAATGTAAACAAGGTTCAAGTGATTTGTAGAGCAGCCTGGGTTGAGTTGGGAATTTGGCCTGTTGAGTATGTTAAAACGCCAGATCCAGCACCAATTGTACCAAGAGCATTCATGTAGTTTTAGATTGGCGATATCTGTAGTATTGTTAGAATATTCAAATATCCCAAGTATCCCAAGTATCCCCAAATATCCCAACAAACTCACCAAAATAACACCATCACCTCTAACATACAAGATATCCATATTTCTACTAACTACTCTAGCTGATGGCTGTAAAGAGCTGCTATCGACATCCACAACGGTTATAAATTCTTCAACTTTGCCTAGAATCAGATTCATATGTGAATCGTATGCCTGGGTTTGTTACTACGAATATATCCAACGCTAAGCACCAAACACACGTGTAGAATACCCAATAACTCCCTATCACCTCTAAGCTTTACCTTTATTTGTTCATTCAAACTCAATCGAACTAAATCCAATGGTTCTTTGATTGCTTCTGTCATCGGCGTTGATTTTATACAAGTGTTAAAGTGTACACAGTGAAGATGACCAAACAGAAATTTTACTGCGATTACTGCGATGTGTTCTTAACACACAATTCAGCAGCAGGTTGTTATTCCATTTCTTCAAATCGCCGCTAACATCTCTGTAAAGTAAGGAAAGCCCACAATTCAGGTAGAAATCATTTGATAAACGTAAAGGATTATTATGCGTGTGGGTTTTTATTGGCTTATTGTTCTATCACTCAAACTCCACATCTTCCAGCCCTAGGTCATGATAAAGCTCAATTCATTATAGACGAAATCTGTAGAATACACGAATCTGGTCTTGCTAGACCTCCTCCTGCTCTAAACAAGTTCCACGGTCCAGCTGGTTTATCGGCTCCACCAATGATGCGTCCACCAATGCCAGGTTTGTTGAGTTTATCGAGTAGTTGCTTTGCTTATTCATTCGTAGGCCCACCACCACCACCAGGCGTGAGACCAGCCTTCCCAATGCGTCCTCCATTCAGGCCACCACCACCACCTTCATTTCGTCCACCACCACCACCAAGGCCCATGTAGATCAGTTATTCATGTATTTATTCTTCTTCTTGTTATCAACGTTCATCATAGACTCATGAACACTGATCAAATCGATAACATTCTTCGGTGGCTGGGAAGTGACGATAAGCAAACACTCAAACTAAATCCACTTTTATTCCTCCATAAAAACATCTTCTTCCTTCCTCCTAACCTCCTCAATTACTTCCACAGTGTAACAACTCCCAAGCAACGCACTAACATCCCAATCATAAAGAAGCGTCGCTTAAATTGGGCAAAATCACAGCAGCAGCAATCCAAAGATACTTTCACTACTCAAGCAGGGCGTTTCAGAGATCCTTCCAATTTCGAAGAAACTGTTCAACGCGATAGTCTGGGCAACCATCCCAGCTTCAAATATGCACACGACGCTGGTCTCAATGAATCGCAGTGGCTGTCAAACAATTCTATGATGTCAAAACACGCTAAACTCGGCAAACTTGCTGGTCTACTATCCGAGTATGAATCAGAGAGAGATAGCAGATCGTACACGCAGTCTAAAATTGCTGCTTTACGTAAAAATAATTCTGGATCACTCGGTAGATCTGTCTTTGATGGTGATGATGGTCATGTCGATCATCTCGGTGAGCTCACTGGGAAGGAGTCCTTCGAGAGACTCCTCCTCGAGAATTGGATTGATGGCGTAGATGATTTACTCGATTATAGCGTCGATTTCGACGATTCTTACGACTCTCTCTCTCTAAATAACCCCACTGAGCTCGATGAGGATTTACAGCAGTCAAAATACTTTGACGATAGCGATAGCGATTGCAATTGATGCTGTGCCACGCGTCGTATAAGTCATCACGCGTTTGTAACGCCAAATTAAAAATTAAATCTCTACAAACATACTCACGCTTTCTTTGTATTAAATCACTCAAGCAGACGTAATGGATGCTATATTAAAATGCAGCATAGATGGCATTAAGTGGACAAATTCAAATTCTATGCAATTCCTCTGCCAGCAGACCCAATTGAATATAAAAAAAGCAGCAGATTCAATCTTAAGTGGTAAAGTTGTTGGATTTCCAACAGAGACTGTGTATGGACTAGGTGCTAATGCCTTCAATGAGCAAGCTGTGAGGTCTATTTTCAAAGCCAAAGGTAGACCAAATGACAATCCCTTGATAGTACATGTTTCGTCGTTGAATATGTTTAACAGTTATTTCAATCAGAAACTACCTCGTACTTATGAGCTCCTAATAAATGAATTCTGGCCTGGTCCTCTCACTATCCTGATAAAAAGTCCAAGTCAAATACCTGCAGAGACAACTGCCAACTTGAACACGGTCGGTGTTAGAATCCCTTATCATCCAATCGCTAGAGCTTTGATTGAATGTAGCGGTGTACCTTTAGCAGCCCCTTCTGCGAATAGCTCTGGTAAACCATCAACTACGACTGCTTTACACGTTTATGAAGATATTTTTCAGAGAAAAGAAGCACGCGAAGTGATGGATTATATTATAGACGGTGGTAGATCAGATATTGGATTAGAATCGACAGTTATAGATGGTATTACAGTCGATGGTAAAGTGAGAGTACTTCGACCAGGTGGTGTTACAGTAGAAGATTTAAAAAGAGTTGTTGGTGACGATAACGTTGTTTATGAAAAGATGGAGATCAAGACTGCAGATTTCAAACCAACAACGCCTGGTATGAAGTATAAGCATTACTCACCTAAAGCTAGAGTGTTATTGTTGATGAATGATAGTAATACCAACAAGTCAGACAAAATCAAAAAGCTAAAAGAGTTGATAGAAAGCTTAGATACAAATGACAAGATTGGAATGATGACGTTGGAAGATTCACTCATGACGAACGAGTTGATGAACATTAATAAGAGCAGCAACAATTTAATCCCCTACTTTATCGGGCCTTCAAACAATCCCTCAATCGTCGCTTCAAATATATTCGCTGGTCTGCACAGTCTAGACAAGCACCAAGTGGAATACATACTAGTTGAAGGAGTAGAAGAGCGTAATGAAGGTCTAGCAATAATGAATAGACTATATAAAGCAGCAGGTAACCTCGAGAATGTCATTTTGATTTAGTTATAGACCTCTTGTACCCTAACATCCACTTGTACACACTTAAATGGAGATTGGCAGAGCTAAACCACTTTATAGATCAAGAAGTGTGCGCAAGCCTCAATCATCCTCAGCACTCCAAACAACAACGCTTGAAGACGTCGCTTTGGCTATGAATGTCACCATACCAGAGAAATCAACTTCAACGAGGAACTACGACAATTTAGATGAAATGGCACCAGAAATAGTAAAAGAGCAATTCATTCAAGTTGATAACCAGAAATCTCATTTCGAATCTGAGCTTAGCCTGTCTACAGCCATAGCTTATCAATTGTTTCAGCAGAATGACAAGTTAAAACAGGATCAATCCAAACTGTTAGATCAGATTGATGATTTCAATAAACTGATTAGCTACCACTTGAATTTAAACAACGACGACTTTGTCGTTCAAAAGCGTCATTTATCCGTTGCACTTGAGAGTCAAGTTGAAAAATCTCAGTCGGTTGCTTGGATTGAATCTCAAGCGAATGAGCTGAAAATTGAGTTAAGCACTCTACAGAAGCAAATTACTCATCAAAACCTCAAAGCAAAAAGAGAATTACGCGATCTAAAGAATGAACGTGATCTGTTAAAAACGTCTTTGATTTCCGCTGAAACGAGATTCCAACAGCTCGAAATACAGTTGTCACTTGCGTGTAAAAGAAAGCCTTTATCCAATCTACGCCAAGAATGGAGATCGTCAAACGATCAAGAAAGCCTCTGTAATTCGCCCGTCCAATTCCCTCAAGTTATTAATGATAGTCCATTAGCACATCGCAGAACATACAACTCTACTCACTCTTCTTATTCTTATTCTTCCCGCGCTTCTTCACCGCAACATGAACCATTGGTCTTACAACTCACTAATACACCAAAACTATCTTCTCCTAGCGCGAGCGCAAGCGAAACATTCATTCAAAAGAGGCCTTCCAGGTCTCCATCTCGAACTATAAAGCACGCAAGATCATTCTCCGATAGTGCTTTCATGATGGGTGGATCAACTCAACAGAAGAAATTAACACTCGAAAGAGAACTCGCAATGGCGAAAAGTCTCAATGAGCGTACAAAGATTGTGTTTCAGTCCGTCGAAAGCTTTACCACCTATGTCTTTAAGATACCAAGTTGTTTATCGATAACGCAAGCCATCATATCAATTAATATAACTGTCACTTTCGCAATTTTGAGTACAACGCTCAGAGCTATGGCTAAGCTTTTGTTGTATATGTACCTGGCGCTTGTATTACTACTCTTCTTACTGAGATCTCAAATGAAAGCGATGAGATCATTGAGTGAGTAGGTAGTAGATAGTAGGTGTTCAAGTTAACTTTTTATTGTAAATACATTCATTCATACGAGGTATCAATCATCTAGCAGGTCATTAAGCAGCCGGTCTCAATGCCTTGAGCCTCTTCATCAGTTCATCCTCATCTCTCTCCTTTTCAGGTGGAGCTTCTTGTTGCTGAAGTTCTGGGACATCATCTACATGTTGAGCGCCAATCTTCTGACTGATTTCGAGTCCAGCTTCGTCAGCGACTTGTTGGACCAATCCATCAACTGCATCTGGAGGAGTTGATTGAGCTTCTGCGGCATTATGCATAGTAGATTCCATGTAATTCGTATGGCTATCTAAATCTGAGAACTGCGTTTCGAATTTATCCATTATTGACGACATCTTAATTACCATCGAGCGTTAGTGTGTGCAATCAAGCAAAACAGACGTAGACGCAGACGTACTAAATCGAGGTTCATCGTTGACATCGCCTTGTCCATTCCACCAACAACCGATTTCATTGAATTTGACACCGTCCGCATCGTCACTGCTGTCTCCACTCTCGACGCAACGCTATCAACTCTAGAAGACAAACGGAGCAAATTAAGCGATTCATTCTTTTTCCTTATGGCATTTGAAGCGTATATACGCGCTGTGTCTTCATTGCCTTTAGAAAGTGCATTCTTGAGCTTGTTCTTCTCCACCGTTTCGTCTTTCTCCGCCTTCTTTGACTGCTTTGATAATTGCTTTGATGTGAACTGAGTCGAGCGTGTTAACCCATATACCTTTCATTCCCCACTTGACCAACCTTCAATTGAAATAGCGTCTTTTCCAGTGACGCCATGATTGTCTATAAAAGGGAAGAAATTTATACAAATTCAACAAACAAAATCTAAATCCATATCTATCTCATGGCTGCTGCTTAATTGCGGTCTTTGGGTATACTGTCCTTTCATCTTATCGCGCACCGCATTCAAAAGATCGATGAATGACATATCCTCATCCCTGTTTTTATCTGTCCTTTTGTAAGCTGCCATCTTCTAAATCCAAACACCTACATAGTGTTGAAAGAAACGCATAGCTCATAGCTCCACTCTGTCCTGCGTCTGCAGCCGTCTGCGTATCCTTTGCAGCAGCAAACATAATCTAATACGTCAGCTTGGTTACTTTAGAGGTGTTGTAGAAGCTCACAACATCTGCTGGACTGAACGCCTTCTTTTTCTGTTTCTTATCTTCTGTTTTACCCGTGAAGAGCTTCTTTGAGAAATAATACGCATCGTGCAACGGCGATATCATTCCGTTCGGCAGTCTGTGAGAGAAAAGCTCTTTGCTAGCTTCTTTGAGGATATTAGGCTGCTTGACATCACCATTACTATCATCTGTACCGTCGTTAAAACGCTTCATTTCCTCGAATAGACTGACAAGTAAAAGGCAGGTCGAGTGCTGTACCGCTATGGCACGAGTCAAACAACGCGGTCAGACGGCATCCAGCTTCTTCAATTAGCAGCGTAATTGTATATTATCAGTACTCACCCGGCAATGGTGCCACAAGTTCGTCGTACATGGTATCGTCAACTAAGTGTCCCTTCTGTGTTGTGTGTTAGAAGTAAAGCAATCAACACAGCTTTATGACAACTTTCTGGAAATCTACTGGGTACACTGTTTCGTCAAAGCCTGAGGCATCTCGTTAGCGCAACTAAAGGTACATATAAACAACCCGCACCATCATCCTCATCACCTAAAGAACATAATTTAGCAAATATGATCCAACAAACAGCGCAAATTACCATCTAAATCTTTTGTACGTCCGCCGTGTCCACTATAATGGAAGAAAAGTGCATCGTTGAGTTTAGCACCGTCAACAAGCCAGCGCATAGCCGCAAGCATGTTTTTCTTTGTGGGCTGCATACTAGTATCTGTGTCATTAGAGTCCTTGAGTAGCATGATGTTCTGTGGCTTATAACCGCAACGTTTGATCAAGAACTTCCTAACCTTGTCCTGTAAAGAGTCGGAGAATTGAACGACGGTTTTAAATTAGCAGGTAAACTTACAGCATCGTTCTGACATCCGCCCAGCTCATTATCAGTCCCTACGTAGTTGATGCCCTTAGTTGAAATTAGTATATGACGTCGTCGTCGACTTGATAGACGCACTATACACACAGCCTTCCTGGTGCCTGTGCACTCTGAGTACTGGTATTTCAACCTCTTGCCAGGTCCATAAGACCTCTGTTCACACGTCGGTTTGCGTCTGCGCTTTGGATTTGCTTTCGATGGGGGCTTTGCTGGCTTGGCGGAGGGCTGTTGAAACCGAACGGATGGTGCAGCTGATTGTGAAGGCTGCTGTGGTTGGAGTTGTGGTTGGAGTTGTGGTTGTGGTTGTAGTTGTGGTTGTAGTTGTGGTTGTGGTTGTGCCCGATAGTGAGATTGCTGAGGCTGATAAGATTGTTGAGGAGTGGAATCCCTGAATTTTATCAGCCTCGATGTTAACCCTGTATTCCAGCTGCCTACCTATGATAATAAGGACCGTGAGTGCTGAGTATCGCAAGACTCTCGCTGGAGGCAACTTAATAAACGCGTCTAACCACACGCGCAACCCACTCTAGCGAATCATGAGGATATATTGGCTGCCTGAACTGCCTATTCACTTTATCAAATTGCGCTGGTACTCTCAATCCGTAATCCTGCGGATGAGGCGGTGGTGCGATATATCCGCCTGGACTCGGGAAATATTGCAGCGTGTTGTAGCCATTTTGATATCCAAGCCCACCGCTGCTCTCAAAATTCATCCGCCGCCGCTGCTACCGTTATTGATAAGAGCAGAAAAGCACGAAGCGTATTTTCACGGCAAAATCTACATTTATAAATACATACACAGCTTATGATGGCCCAGGCTCAGGCGGTACCATGGTATCGTTGTTGATAAATACAGTTGCTGCTTTGGTGAAATCACCGGCTTCATCACCGTTCGCGTACGCCAACCGGGCAAAGTACGGTACACTTGTGTCATTACGCTCGAAGGTGTACGAATGCGTACTGGCATTAGCCTTCAGACGCAGCACATCGTTGATTAGCAGCTCAAATCCATCCCAGGAATCATCCATATTACTAGGAATCGCCTCCCAGCTTATGGTGTTGTTTTCGAAGCTATCAAAGCTAGGTAACGCGCTTCCTAGCGCTGCATCTCTTCGCAGACTTTCTTTGGTCTGCAATACTGAATCCATTCCCCATCTTTGGACGCCATTGATAAGCAACCCGATCAAGAAGCATTGGCAGATAATTGATACTCGCGTAGGGAGAGCTGTAAGTGGAAGCAGCAACAGGGCCAAAATGTAGTGATGCTGTAAAGTGTTAGCCAATACTAAAGCACAATACTAACCACAAACCAATCTAAATGAAAGTGTCGGCAACAAGCAAGCAGGCATTATGACAAACAGTCCCAGCAAGAAGTACCACTTGATATAAAGCCAGAACTTGCCTGTGTTGCGAAACACCCGTGCTTGATTTAAACCGAGAACCACTATGATGATGACGACTATGACTATAGTAACTACGGCGTCTGGATTATCAGCGATATCAGGTCCATATAATCTATCTAACGGGCTTTCTCCAAGCACTGTAACGAGCAAGCCCAACCAGAACGGTACTAGAGTGAGTACTGTTCTCTCTATAGGCATGTTGCGCCAGAACGGCAAGCAAAACCTCACCACCAATCTCCATATACAGTATGCAACAAACAGCATGGGCAGGAAGTCTTTGAAGGCGCCTTCAAGATCAGGAGGAATAGAGCGCGGCTCTGAAGCTAGGGCGTTGTTCCAATAACCCATACATATCAATGTCCAGTAGTACACCAGAGGTTTTGGTGACAATATCAGCGAAACCAACACCGACATGACAATATTGAATACCAGAATCGGCATTCTGTAGTCCTCGCAGTGACTAGACTCGACGTCATCCTCGAAAATGTACGAAGACGGGAAGGAGGAGGGGAAGCTGACCGAATCTATCCCATTTTTCGTTGAGCCGATATAGCCAGTGTGCTGACCTATTTGGCGCACAGCACCGCAACCGCCCTTGGATTTGCTAATGGCCGAAGCATGATACGCACTGGAACAGATCCAAGAATCGGCGCGGTATATACTGGAAGCGAGAGGTTCTCCCTCTTGTCCACCTCCGACTACCAAAGTCATTCCATTTGGCTCATTCAACCCGACTGTCCGCTTGTTGGCTAGTGTGGTCGATTCACAGCCTCGGGGACATCTGTAGGGCATAGGCTGGGTTTCGAATGGCTGGCATAGAGTGCCATCCAAGCCACATCCATCTAGCCGGCTCCAGAAAGATGACGTGCACGATAGCATCTCTGGGGTTCCTAGGCTAGTGGATGATTGATACCACGAGTACTTTGCGAGGAGCGCGTTGGCAATAATCCAGAGAGCATAAATGACTAGAATAACCACGCCATTTCTGAACCAATTTGTGCTTGATAACGTCCGCTTCTCGAGTTTGCCCAGAAAACGCAGTCGATGCGGGATGTAGTGATTCTCAGGTCCTAGAAGCTGTTGAGGTGGCTTTGGACCACTGAGCCAGCTAATAGATTTATTCCTCTGCAGCCGCACTTTGTAGCTTTCTCTTTTAGGATTCAGTTGCTGCTCGTCGTCCATAAATAAGTCTCAGATTCATCGGAAATAGAAATATGTGAAATAATGATAATGATACATGATTCGTTTATCTATACATTGACAGCACTCCTCCGTCTCTTATCGGGCTTATAGACATGGCATCAAGTGACTGCGGTGCACGTAAGTACTGGAGGGATTTTTTGCTGAAATACCGCAACCAACCTTTCCAAGTGACTGCGAGGGGTTCGATTTAGACATTTGCTCACTTTCTTCATCGCTTTCGTCTTCCTCGCCTGTGTTGATAGCTACTTCGTCCCAGTTCCTGTATATATCATCTATAAACTTTTGCGTTCGCGGGAGGCGGTAAGGGTCGAACGGAAAGAAAGAATCGAGCTCTATCTCGGAACCATTGTTTTTGGTCACTGCCAGTGATCTCGTTTGCGTGTCTTTTTGCTGACTCTCGGCGTTTTGCCCTGGCGTGACTCCGAGCAAAGACGAAGTCAACGAGGCCATTGTAGCAGGCGTCACATCAGACCGCTTGTTGCTTTCAATTATTGAGTGGCAATACAGAAATCCTGCAAACTGGGATACTTTTGCGAATTGATTTACAACGGTTGATGCACAAACCTATAATGATGTCAGTTAGATAACGCAAAATTATCTTGCATACTTTGAGTGGATTGAGAGGGCTGAGTATAGCGCGTTGTAGAACATCTAAGCCTGATATCCATGTCTTTGATCCAGTAGGCAGCGCTTCTGCATGATCAAATACTGTCTCGTCGTCATTCGCTAACATTAAATCCCTCCAGCGGAAACAGAAGATATAAAAAACAGCTTGCACTATCGCATACCAAACACTGTATGTGTTTAGCCTGAAATTTGTTATGGGTTGGGGGATGTTGTCGAGCTCGTTTGCTATATAATCGCACATTAATCCGACGACATGCTTTGTTGCATTGGCATCGATAAATTTTGCCCGACTAACATAGCTGGCAAGGTAGGAAGCAGCAACCACTCTAGTTACTGACGGCTCTTCGTTTTGAAACATAGCTTTGCTTAGGAGCATGCCCTGGAAGATATCGGCAAAATGCGCATTGTACGAAGAGTATTTGAATAGGATGAACTGTGTGTATCTCGATCTGAATGTTGGCAGGATTGTACGCTCGAAAACGCTTAACAATGTGGAGAACTGATCAAGTTGAACTTCCTGGTTTCTAACCGATTTGTCGAGGTATTCAAAGATCATATAGAGCATTCCGTCTAACTTTTGCACAAGGTCTTTAATGGCTGAAACTTGCATAGGTGCTTCCTGGCTACCGTTATCGCTGAGTCCATCGTCAGACGAGAGATCAGACAAAAAGCCAAACTCGTCGTCTGAATCATCGCTGGACTCTTCGTCTGAGTAAGTGCGATCGACGGATCTTTCAAAGATATCAGGCTCGTTCTCGAAGATTGCTTCCGTCTCATCTTCAAGCTCCTCATCCAGATCGTCTAGCTCTACTTGAATTTCTACCTGTAGTCGCATGAGTATTAGGTAAATTACAACTATAAAAACGTACGTCGATCTGAATAGTCCTGTCAATAATCAAGCCGAAGATTTCATCGGTCAAAGCAGGACAGTAGCTGATAATTGAAAGTAAATTTCTCATGTAAGTAACTTGTTGAACTTTATTTTCGCGTTTGTGGGGAAAGTGTCTGATAAGGATTGGCTGTAGGAGGGAGGGAAGGGTAGGGACAAGGTCGAGAAGCTTGTTGAGTAGGCCGTGTAAGCGGTCGAATACAATGCGCCTGGTGAGTCGTTCATTTTCAGGCACATGTTCAACATTCTCTAACGCCTTTGAGCCAGCTTCTGTTGAATTGTTAGAGTGTAGGGGGATCTACAAGAACGCACGATGAGTCAAGCCTTTGATAACTTTAGCGAGTAAGAGCTTTGTGTATTGAGGGTGTGCACTAATCAGCATTGAGACGAATGCCATGTAAGTGGACACAAATGAAGGGCTACTAATAGTCCAAGCAAGGGACATAATAGCTTCAACAAGCGGAAGATGAGATTTATCCAGGTGAGAAATGACATTAGCGAGTGCATCCAGCCACGGTTTGAGCTTGTCGTACTCGTGTACGCCGGTTGAAGTGAATTGCGATATCAATTCTTCGTATGGACCGCTTTCTCCCTATGGAGAGTATGAATATGAATATGAATAAAAACCAGTGCTCCAACGGAACGCACCTCCTTCTTCTTCTCGATTGCGTCGTTGACAAAGGAGACGTAGAATTTATTGAGAAATGATTCCTTGGTATTTGAGAGCTGGTGGCTGCCGTCTACATTCATCCCGTCTCTGTCTCTTTTGATTCCCTTCGAAGGCGATGAACTGGCCATGATCGCCGGTAGGATAAAACCATCACATCTTCACTCTCCTCGAAATGCAGCTCCCCGAAAAGGCTTTATCTGCGCTCAAGGAGCGTGGTCACTCTGGATCGTACAAAATTATCGGTTCAAAAGTCCACTTGGACGATGGCAACATCTTCCTCTTTAAGTCTGCTCCACGCTCTTCAGCTGAGCAAATGATTGGCGAGGCTATGTCTATTAGTGACATGAGCAGCGCTTTGCCTGGTATCTGCCCTGCTCTCATAGACTCCTCTCTCGACAGCGATGACTCTGACTTCTACATGCTTACCGAGTGGCACGATTTGGGTGGCTCTGGCTCACGTATGATGGAACTTGGGAAAGAACTCGCCCAAATGCATCTCAATGGTACAGAAAAGTCTGGTAGGTTTGGGTACAAGATGCCAACCTACTGCGGCGAAACTAAATTCAACAACACGTGGAGCGATAACTGGATTGATTTCCTCAATAACGATCGTTTCCTCTATCTTTTTGAGCAGATCTGCGGTAAGAATGGCTCTCGCGATGTTGAAATATGGAAACTGGGTCAGACCCTAATGAACAAGACCGTTCCAAGCCTTTTAAGCGGTATTGATGTTAAGCCATCCTTACTTCACGGCGATTTGTGGGCAGGAAACGCATCATTTTCTAGAACGACTAACAGACCTGTCATTTTTGATGCCTGTAGTTTCTATGGTCACAATGAGGTAAGTTGGTTGAGTTTTAATATACTCAACTCCCTCCCTAACGCACTCACTAAGGCCGAGCTGGGTATTTGTATGATGTTCGGCGGCTTTGGCTCTAAGTTCTTTGAGGGGTACCACTCTGTTTATCCAAAAGCTGAGCCCGTCGATGAATACGACCAGCGAATCAAGCTCTACGAGCTGATCCATCATCTCAACCACTATGCCATTTTTGGAGGAATGTACAGAAGCGGTGCAGTGAGCATGATGAAGAGCTTAAACCGCTATACAGAATCAAAGTGAAGCGGTAAAAAGATGATGAACGAAATGTAAAACACGTAACTAACACTTAATGAATCAATGAATTAATGAATCTTTTCGACAAATCCATCTCTCAAACGTATGTATCTACCTTGATCAATCTTCCAAGGCACTTCAGTTTCGTAATGAGTGACAAAAACCACCGCTTGTTCACTCCCTAGTTGAGTTTGCAAATACATGCGCGACCTGTAAACGTCCTGAGCAGTCATGCCCTGGAAGGGTTCGTCTAAAATAAGTAGCGGAGATCTATTTACTAGCGCGCGCGCTAAGAACAGGCAGCTTTTTTCACTCTGACTGAGAGTGGTGAATGAGGCACTAGGATCGACAGCCGGAGCCAACTCTCGGAGAATTTGATAAACGCGTGTTTTCTCTCCCTCATCTCGCGTCGGTCTGAAGCAGTAAACGCCCATGTAGCCAGTAGCGACGACGTCGAAGGCTGTCAGAGTTGTGGATCTAGGAAATGAAGATGAGATTTCGGGTGATGTAGTGCCTATGAGTGTCGAAAGCTGTGTCGTGGCAATGCGAGCGCGAGGTTTGTCGAATAGCGTGATATCCTTGGTATATGATTGAGGGTGATCGCCAGTCACTAGCGATAAGAGGGTCTGGAAGCTATATGAGCTGACACAAGAAGGATACTATTTGAGACTTACGGTTTTCCCGGATCCTGTATTCGCTAGTTAGTTTAGTGAAAGTGTTATAGTATCATGCTAACCATTGTAGCCTTGAAGATGCCATCTTTCACCAGCCCTGACTTGCCAGTGGATGTTGTTGAGCACCTAAATCGAGAGTCAGAGAGTTCATCGAGGCCAAAATCACTTACAGGCGTTTTTCTGTAGGAAATATTTACATCTTTCAAATCGATGAGGACCTTTGCGTTCTGCACACACCCCAAACCAGCTCCATCGGGCGTTGTCTCGGTATCTGAATGCAAAACACTAAGCACCTCATCCTTAGGACCCGATTGAATGACACCATCGTCATTGATTTGGAGGACGTGAGTGATGTAGTCAGGCAAAGAGTCTGAGGGTTTCAGAAGAAGTAGAACATTAGGACTCATTGATCTGTGGAGAGTCTCAAGTAGCTGGCTCAGTCTGGCGCGAGATGGTGGGTCGAGACCGGCTAATTAGAGTGAGAAGCGAGCAACAACCGGTAGAGTGACATACTGTAGGGCTCTTCAAGCACCAAGAGACTGCGACGGAGCAGCAATGCATGTGCAATCTTCAGTCTTCGCGATTGTCCGTTACTCAGACCGATCAATGGGCGGTCAAGCCTGTGATTGTGTTATACAAACAGAGCAAGGGCCTGGTAAACTGACAGCTTCTTTAAATCGAGTTTGTGAGCGATTTCAGCGACGAAAGCAAGCACCTTGTCATCTGTATCGCTTTCTGTATTGCTTCCATTCCTCGGTACTCTGTTCATCAGATATGACAGCACAGTCTGCGTCTCATCGCCTCTCAGACTGCCATAACGTGCTGTATAATCCACAAATCCATCCGCAGAGCTGAGTAAACGAGTGGAGAAGTTTGCGATGCTGTAAGTCTCCCAGGGATAGCATTTAGCGGAATCAGCGAGTGGGTGAGATAGCGCAGTAGCTGGAACTGATTTATCGGATTGCTTAAATAGCGCTTTTATCAATCGTGTGGACTGTGGACCAATAATGGCCCATGCATCGTGATTAGCACGCTTGGATTCAAGGGACCAGCTCAATGGGGTGTTAAATAGGGGCTGTGAGTTCTTAGTAGTATTTCCAAGTGCATAGAAAAGGCATTTGTTTGCGTGAAAGTAAGCTGGCATGGAGTAAGTACGCAGATGAAGGGGATAGGATGGGAATGGACTGTGAGTGTTGCAAAATGACTTTAATATCAAGGAAATTGAAGCAGCTTGGTGTACAATTGATAACCAAATACAAATCCCTATTTCGTATACGTGCCATTGTCCTTTCTCTTACGCTCACAACAAACATCCCACAAAGATGTCCCAATCCGTGCAACTACCAGCCAAACCGAAACAATTCATATCTAGAAATCAGGCAACAGTCACTTCGAACCTCTTCCCGATGAGAAGATTCCCAAAGGACGCACCTCCCTCCATCTACGTGTACGACGTCACTATCGAAGCAACCAAGCCAAAAGTTCGCAATTGGAAGGATAATTTGCGGGCTATGAGATTCTTCCTCGTGCGTATCCGCTTCCAATTCTCATTCTCCGCTCTTCTCTGACTTCTTCTGTCTTCTTTCTAGGCAAACGAGGTTAATTACGGCTCCACGTGCGCGTACGATGGTCAGTCCTTACTCTACAGCTCTCAGCCGCTGCCATTCGACAGTGAAATTTCTGTATGGTACCTTACACGCGTGATTTCACATGTCTCATCCGCTGCAGGTTATCTTCAATCTTCCTGCAGAAAGTGAGACCCCAATTGTCGACAAGGCTACCGGAGAGAAAAAGGGTGCTGTAAACAAGATATCACTCAAGCCCGTGTCTGTGATTTCCACCGAGTGAGTCGTGCTTATCAGCTACTTAGCTGTCTAGCTGTCTTGCTCATCACATTCCAAGTATCGCGAACAACAGTGGCGTTAATGAGCTCATCGCTGCCCTCAACACGGTCGTGAGATACTGCGCTACCATGACTCATCCCTCGACCAAGGGTATCTACTATCCTATCAATGGTCGCAACCAAAAAATGGAATTCGGTGCAAATCTCCTCCGCTCTTGGTTCACGTGCGTATTGTGTCCTTCTGTCTAACACTATGTCTTAATGTTCTTTTTCAGAACAACGAGAATGTCCGCCAACGGTATTATCCTAAACGTCGATACCAGTGTCATCAAGTTGTTGCAAGATGGCCCGCTCGACGTCGTCGCTGGTGAGCTCATGGGTATGAGAGGCCAAATAAACATGACTGTCGGTCCAAGGGGTCGTATGAACAACAATCAAAGACGTATGCTCGAGAAGAAGCTCAAAAAGGTCAAGGTCGTAACTAATCACAACAAAAATCGCCCAATGACCTTTATGGTTCAGGAGGTTTCCGAGAAAAACGCCGACGAATTTGTCTTTGAAGGCTCAGATGGTGTTGCAATCAGTATCTCAGAATACCTGATGAAAACCTACAACCTTAGACTTAGATATCCCGAGCTCCCAGTTATCGGAAAGAGCAGATCGGTCTTCGTCCCAATGGAACTATTAAACGTCTTACCCGGCCAGATCCATCCCGAGAAAGGAATGACGTCTGGTCAAACATCACAAATGATGAACTTCTGTAAAGTTAAGCCTTTTCAAAGACTGCAAGAGTCCACCGATCAAGTCACGTCACTGAGTAGACACAATCACATTATGGACAAATTCGGATTCGAAATCAACCCCAAACCTGTCGAATGCCAGGCATCAATCATCGATCCACCTCAACTGGAATTTGACAGACGGTTGTTATCACCAAACCCACAAGAAGGTGAATGGGACAGACCATCTCAAAATATGCGCTTTTACGCACCCGCCAAAATCAAGAGCTGGATGTTAATATGTTTCGGAAGACAAGAAGACTACAGATGGCTCGGAGGTTTTCTCAGAGGCTTACGTGACATGTGCTCGAAGCGCGGAATGAGTGTACCTTATGAGCCGGAGGTGGTTTTTTTAAGAAGCGAGAACGCAAGATTCGACGAAATCATGGCTGACTTGCGTCACTTCTGGGACAGGAATCCAAGAATGGATTTCGTTCTCTCCACCTGTAAGTTTGAGAAGTCGAATGCATACCGAGCCATCAAGCACTTCTGTGACATAACTGTTGGAGTGCCATCTCAATTCCTTTTGTCGAAGAAGGCGTCCAGTGCGAAGCCAACGTATATCTCTAACTTGGTACTTAAGATAAACGTCAAAGCAGGTGGTATTAACCAAACTCTGGGTACTCCGAACCCATATTTTGCACACAAGGACAAGGTTATCTGCTTCGGTGTTGATGTCACACACCCAGCGCCTGGATCATCAAGCGCCGTTTCAATTGCTGGTATCGTCTCTAATACGGATCAGCGCTGCTCGAAATTCGTCGGCTCTGAGCTGGCTCTTGGTGCGCGCGAGGAGATTATTGAAAATCTCAAGAATGTAATCAAGAGACATGTGAAGACGTACTCGGAGAACAACGGCAATGCTATACCAAGACACGTCCTCTATCTGAGAGATGGTGTTTCAGACGGTCAATACAAGGAGGTACTCCAGCACGAGAAAGGAGCAATCATGCAAGCGTATCGTGAAATAACTGGTGGCAGGACACCAGTATTAACGTTTGTAGTCGGACAGAAGAGACACCATGTTCGTTTTGCTCCACTTAGAAATCAACCACAAGATAGATCAGGTAATTGCAGAAGCGGCACTATTATCGATCATCCAAGCGTCACTAGAGCGGATCAATTCGAATTTTACGCTTACACTCACTCAGGTTTGATGGGTACTTCTAGACCTTGTAGATATGTTGTTTTGCACGATGACTTTGGCTTCGACATCAACACGCTCGGACAGACTATCTACGCGACATGCTTTACGTATCAGATCGCAACGAGAGCTGTATCTCTCGCTACGCCTGTATACTACGCTCACAAGCTAGCTGAGAGAGCCCGTCTTCACTTGAATGACGGACAATCTATGACTGAATCTGGTTCAAGGGGCTCAGGCTCTTCTGCAAATATACCAGGTTCGGGACCTACGTCTTTGTTTGTGAGTAGGAGTTAGGTGTTTAGATTCCTACTTATACGTAACAGGAACCTCACATTAACATTCGCAATTTACCTTACTTTGTTTAACGGATCAATGCTGCCTTATCCTCTACTCCGTGTCAACATTGACGTCGATGAGACAAAAAAGTTATCTAGCTTCATTTAATATATATCACACACGCCTCTCTCTCGCTCTCTCATCACCTTGTTTGTTTTATCTATTATTTGTAAACGAATACAGTTTTTAAAAAGCATGTTGTTTCTTTCTTCTTTCTCACTGGCAGCAGATTCACAGCAACGCATCTCAAACGTTAAGCTGTGCAGCCTTTGCATTCGAGATGGCAGCTTGGTGGGGTTGCAGAGCCGGTTTAACCCATTTAGCGATGAAGCTGTCGACCTGTTGCGGCGCTCTACCAGTGAAAGACTGAGGATCGAGTAGTTTATCCAAATCGCCAACGATCGGAGCGAAGAAGGAGTCTTTCTTAACTCTCTCAATGAGGTCATTTTCTCTACCAAACTCCTTAACTTCTCTTCCAGCTTCGTGGGACAGAACTCTTATCTTCTCATGACACTCCTGTCTATCGCCACCCTTTTTGACGATAGCCATGATTATATTCTCGGTAGCCATGAACGGCAACTCCTGAGCAATTCTTCTTCTGATGATGGCTGGATAGACAACGAGACCTTCACTCACGTTTTGCATGATTGAGAGAAGGATATCCGTAGTGAGGAAAGCAGAAGGCAAGCTGATTCTCCTGATTGCTGAATCATCCAGAGTCCTCTCAAACCACTGTACGGCATTAGTGTTGAGAACGTCCTGCGACAGACTGATCAGGTGTCTAGCGAGCGAACAGGCTCTCTCTGAACGCATTGGATTACGTTTGTACGCCATAGCCGATGAGCCGATCTGGTCCTTTTCGAAAGGTTCTTCGACTTCCTTGAGGTGAGCGAGGAGACGAATATCAGTGGCTATTTTGTGCACCGTCGATCCGAAATTGGAGAGAGCGAGGACGACGTCATTGTCAATCTTGCGCGAGTACGTCTGAGAGCTGACTGGGTAGGCGTACGGGAAACCGAGGAGTTCAGTGACGCGCTGGTCGAGTGCTTCTACCTGGAGTGGAGAGTAAGTGATGAGTAATTAGTGAGCGCATAAACAACGCACCTTATCGTGGTCACCGTCAAAGAGAGCGAGGAAAGACGCTTGAGTGCCTGTGGTACCCTTCACACCACGAAAACCAAGGTCATCGCGAGCTCTAGTGAGGTTGCGCAAATCCCAGAGCAGTTCCTGGATAGAGTCAGCGCGTGTATTAAACCACCAACACCAAAAACACTCACCTGAATCCACAGCGTTGTGCGCTTGCCGACGGTAGTGAGCTGCGCAGGCTGGAAATGGGTGAAACCGAGCGTGGGCAAGTCGCGGAACTTGTCAGCAAAAGCCGAGAATCTGTCGATGGTGATTGCGAGCTTATCGATGACCATATTGAGGCCTTCGCGGAGAAAGATGAGGTCAGCGTTGCTGTGTGGTGGAGCGGAGAGTGAGACGTAGTTGTAAAAGAGGAAAGTAGACTAACTCAGTAACGAAACATGATGTAGCACCGAGGCTTGAAACCCATGTGAGATTGCGAGTTATTCGGAAAATCTGGCTCACTGGATGATACCCGCTGCTGCAGGAGCTACAACGCCGAAAGTGTGGACATGAGCCATGACATCGTGGCGGCGACGTTTCTCTTCTTCGGCAGCAATCTTCATTTGATCGTCATCGAGGAGAAGATTATCGGACATCTGCTTAATGGCCTCGTCCGAGATGGGCAAAGCGAGCTCCTTCTCAGCTATGGCTAAATTGAGCCAGAGCTTTCTCCAAGTTTGGAATCTCATCTGTGGATCCTTCGGTTAGAGCGTGAGAGATACTCGATCGACGACGCACAGAAGACGAGAAGAGATGGCTCATTTCCTTGGAAGCATAGCGGCTGGCAGCGTCTAAGAAGCCGTACAATACAACAGCAATTTATTCACCTTGAAAGCGGCGTTTGATAAGATTCCATTGTGATTGTCTTGTTGACAGCGTCGTAAAATACATCATGAAGATATAATTAAGGAAAATCTTCAGCCTGTTGACAACCACACAAATGATATATACCGTATTCATGTTATATTTGCGTACAACTTGTATTAATAGAATTGAAATTTGTTAAAGCTTAAGCCTTAGCGTCAGCCTTGGCAGCGAAAGCACAGAGGTCAACAACTCTACGAGAGTAACCGTATTCGTTGTCGTACCATGAGACGAGCTTGACAAAGTTTTGGTTGAGGGAGATACCAGCGTTCTTGTCGAAGATGGATGATCTCTTGTCGCCGATAAAGTCGTTTGAGACAACTTGCTCGTCAGTGAAGCCGAGGATTCCGTTGAGAGAACCAGCAGAGGCCTCTTGGATGGCCTTGGTGATATCTTCGTATGAAGCTGGCTTCTCGAGACGGCAGGTCAAGTCAACAACGGAGACATCAGCGGTTGGCACACGGAAAGCCATACCGGTGAGCTTGCCGTTGAGGGATGGGATGACCTTGCCGACGGCCTTAGCGGCACCAGTTGAGGATGGGATGATGTTTTGGCCAGCTGAACGACCGCCTCTCCAGTCCTTTCCTGATGGACCGTCGACAGTCTTTTGAGTTGCAGTGGTGGCGTGAACAGTGGTCATCAAACCTTCTTGCAAGCCAAACTTGTCGTTGACAACCTTTGCCAATGGAGCGAGACAGTTTGTGGTGCATGAAGCGTTTGAAATCACAGTTTGTGATGGGTCGTATGAGTCGAGGTTGACGCCAACGACGTACATAGGAGCATCCGCAGATGGAGCTGAGATGATAACCTTCTTGGCGCCACCCTTCAAGTGGGCGCTGGCCTTCTCAATGGTGGTGAAGACACCGGTTGACTCGACAATGTATTGAGCACCGACGCTGCCCCATGGGATCGCTGAAGGGTCTCTCTCGGAGAAGACTGTGATAGCCTTGCCGTTGACGATGAGCTTGCCGTCCTTGTGAGAAACTTCACCGTTGAATTTGCCGTGGGTGGAGTCGTACTTGAACATGTAAGCCATGTACTCGAGGTCAATGAAAGGGTCGTTGACGGCAACGACGTTTACGTCTTCGTGCTCGAGAGCGTTACGGAGGACACTAACGCGTAATCAAGTGAGCAATCAGTGCAAATACCTAACGCGCAACTCACATACGTCCAATACGTCCAAAACCGTTGATACCTAATGAAGCCATTTTCTATTTGCCTTGTTAGATGGCTTACAGTGTAATCGCTTGTTCGCGCTTACATTTTATTCGTTCGTGGTTGTCCAGAAGCAAGAGTGCGTTGTGGCATTATACGTTTTGAAATAAAAATTGATGACAACATACCCGCCCGTTGGCCATCTCGCAAGGAGATAAGCGGTGCGGGAGTGCACACAATTCTCCTCTTTCAAATACTCCTATAGCCCTATTCACGGCCCCGATAGGCTTCTATCCGCAATCAACAAAGCCAGGCCATTGAAAACTGATTTGTATATATAAGAATCATTTCCTTCTTAACATTTTGCACTCCCGTCGGCAATGTATATTTAACCATCCTCGTGCTTAGGGTTATGCACTAGATACCGCCGGGGTAATCATGTAAGCAGGTGAGTAGATATTTTCAAACAAAGTTGCATCCTCTTCATCTAGCTTACTCCGGCGGCTTTCGGGTGTTCTAGGTAAGCTACTGAAAAACTTCGATAGAATTCCAAAACAATCGTAAAAAGGCGTCACTGGAAAAACTTCATGTTCACACGTTGGGGTTATAGACGAGTACAAGTGGAAAAGCTCACTCCTCGGGAGACTTTTGTCTTCTTCGCAGTCTTAAAATGAGTTGTTGAGGACTTTTAGTTGAAACTACTTGCCAAGGCTATCTTGGAGGCTGATCTTACATTATGGGTTTTGGCTATCTCGCTATTCGCCTGTTTTCCTCGTTACATATGCGCGCTATTCCTGTCGGTTGCCTTACTCCACGCTCACTCCTCTAACCCACCCCTACAGAACCTGGCCGATCCGTGGTGTATGAACAATGTTATGATATTAAAAAGACATGATGAAACTACGTGGCTAATGTTGATAATAGTTGAAAAAAAAATGCTTGAAGCGAATGATTGATTGAATGTGAATGTGAATGTAACTGCTGTTTGTCTCTTTTTAAGATGATAATTGTGCTCGTCTGTAATATCACGGTTAATAACATCCTTAACGCAAAAACACCCCACTCACTCGAATACTTGCAAATATAAATATCTGTAATCGCGTAAATTCCCTGAAATGCGTTTGAGATCTACCGAGTATAGTCCAGGTAAATTCTTAATCTTGGTCAATTTCACATCCAAGACTACTTCACCCCCACTGTCAACTTGGGTTTCTCCATATACCGTATTGTTGACATCTTCATCATTGGACACATTAGACACTCCAGCAGAAGAACTAAGATTGGTCGATTGAGATGATGATCTCTTGAACATGAGTAAACTGCGTAATCCACCTGCGCTCGACGATGAAGGTAACAGTTGAGCTTGCGATTGCTGCTGTTGTTGCTTCTTTGAAGGTCTCACACACTTCAAATTTACCTGTCCTTCCTTCTTCACTATCAATCCGAGATTCTTAGTAATTACCTTCTTCACTTCTGCCATTACAACTGATGGTGGTAAACCTGTTAATGCGTTTTGATCGACGGTACCTGTGTGGGTGTCCATAGCATCTTCAGAAACTGGCTTAATTTGATTTTGCTGTGCTCCACCATTTGCTCCAGCAGTTGATGGTCTCGTTTTCAACGTAGCTGGTGGAGGTGTTGATTGAGGGGGTGCTTGAGATGGCGTTTGAGGTGACTGAGAAGGTAAATGTGACGAACTACTCTGTTGAGCTGCAACAGTAACTGATTGCGTTTGTGATTGAGTTTGTGATTGCGTCTGTGATTGCGTCTGCGTCTGCATCTGCGTTGTTCCTGTCGACTGTACAACATCTCCACCAGCCTTAGCCAAGCCTTTATTACGGAACCAATTCATAACAGACTTGGCACGACTAGATGATCCTTTATGCGAATTTACTTGGTTTGATCCATCAAATGTCGTGCCAGCGACATTTGTAAAGGTTCCTGAAGGTGGTGATGTGGCTGATATCTGACTCGTCGGTTTGGAAGAGTTTGATGATAAAAATGCTGCTGATGTTTTACGTTCTCTCTTCGTTGTGTCTTTATTTTCATCGTTTACTTTATATTGGTTTGAAGATTTGCGTTCTTTCGATGAACTTTTACCAAATGGTTCGACCATCATTGATAGTGCCTTTCTACGACTACTTGCACTTCCACTAACACCACCTGATGTAGGTGATGACTTTTTACCAGAGTCTTTGGAATGTGAAGAGGCATTACCACCAGACGAACGATTGGACGATAACATTGACTTATTTTCGTCATCGTTTTGTTTATTCATCATTTTGAGTGCACCCGAACTGATAGGTGGTTTGCTTTGCTTGTTGGTGTTGATGTGGTGAATGCTACTGCTATTCTCCTTATCCTTATCATTCTCTTTGCTGATATCATTGTTATTGGTATCACTGACATTGTCAGATGGTTTATCCGTTGAAGCCATGTTTCCGGTTGATAGAGCTTTGTTTGAAGGAGATTTATGAGGCTCGTGAGTCTCATGAGACTCACGAATCTCTGTATCCTCACGAGACTCAATATCAGTCTTGACCTTTTTATTGGAAATGTCATGTGATAAAGGTAATGGAACGCTATTAATGATTGCAGGTTGAGCTAATTGCGCTTCTTCTGCGGCGTTTAATGATGGCGATGGTATTTGATTGTTAGATGGAGGAGTAATTGGTAATTGCTCATTTTTGGATAACTTTGTGGTATCAATTTGCGTGGACTTTGTGTTTTGGTTGTCATCCTGTTGATTCTCATACTCAACTTGAATAGTGTGTCTTTGAATATTTGGATTCCTTTTACCAGATGGGTTATTGTGAGAATGAGATTGAGTGATAGTATCAGGAGCGTCTCTCTTTTTACTTGTAGAATGATCAATTTCATTTTGTTGTTGGTATTCGAGGTACTCATTCGCAGCATCTTGATTAGCTCTTTGAAGATAGTCAAAGGGTGACAAAGTTGAAGAGTTTGAAGTTGGTATACCCATAGCAGATTGATGACGTGCACCTTTTGAAGTCATTGCAGGGAATAGATTAGGATCAGCTTCAGTTTGAGAGCGAATAAGTGAAGGAGATAAAGATTCCGCCTCGAAAGCTTGAAGTTGACGCTTTTGAGCCAATCGTTTTGCGTTTAAGAGGTCTTGTGAGAGTTGCTCCCATTGAACAACGGATCTATCGAATAAGTGGGAGTAAGATTTCAACCAAGGGTGAGACATGATTTCTTCAACAGAGCAACGCTTAGTTGGATCAGGAACAAGCATCATTGAGAGTAAATGACGAGCTTGAGGGGAGACAAAGTCAGGAAAAGTGAGAGGGGTTGAGACAATGTATTTGTAGAGGAGATTGATGTTATCACCTTCAGGGTTTTGAGGGTCATCATCGAAAGGAAGGTAACCAGCTAACATAGCGTATAAGATGACACCACAACTCCAAATGTCAACAGCGCTTCCAACGTATAAACCATCAGAGATGACTAATTCAGGAGCAGCGTAGCAAGGGGAACCACAAGAAGTAGCCATGAGGTCATCTACACGGTGCTCAAAGCGATTAGCGAAGCCAAAGTCAGTGATGATGATATTTCTGCCCCTATCGAGAAGTAAATTTTCCAACTTTAAGTCACGATGAATAACTTTCTTATTGTGAAGGTAGTGAACGCCGGAGATTAATTGAGCGAACAATCTACAAGCGTCACGTTCTTTGAGGTATTTATGACGTAGGATGAAATCGAAGAGTTCACCACCTGGAGCGTACTCGAGGACGATGCCAATGTACTTTTCAGTTTCAATAACATCGTATAATCCAACGATGTGAGGGTGGTTAACGGATCTCAGAACTAAAATTTCACGTTCAACTTTGGATAATCTTGATTTATCAGAGACGGAGTTTCTTCTAATGAGTTTGACAGCGACTTGTTCACCGAATTGAGAGTGGAGACCGAGTTTAACTTTACCGAATTCGCCTTCTCCTGTATTTTGAGGGTTAGAATAGAGTATAATCCAAGTAAATACCAACCCACCTAACGTATTCAATAGTAAGTAAGGACCAAAGAATATTTTCTGTCTCCTTGGGTGTAGCTTGAAGTATTCCAAGGCTAAAGGGTGGTTTAGGGAGTTGTTTAAATTAATTTGTGACATAGATGGACATGGGTGTGAGGATGTGAGAATGGCTTTGTGGGTTGTAATGACAAGGAATTTGAAGGGAATTTGGAATTTGAAAGGAATGAAAATGTTAAATTAAATTTAAAATTATACTTGAGAAATTAAACCAGATTTTATATTAAATAAGAGACTATGTTTTCATCAATTGACTTGAATAATTCAAGTATGACAGTTGACTTACCCTTTGACTTGAATTGAATCATCATTCAAGTAATTTACAAGGTTGTTCCTATTAAATTGGATGTTTTCAATAATCAATTCCTCAGTAGATAAATCCTTATCAAGTGATCTACAGTGGTTAATGAAAGGACTTAACCACTGCCCAATTGGACTATTGAGATCCATCATCTGTCCATCTAATACACTTTTGCTAGCTGCAATTCCTCCACACCCTGTATGTCCACATAACGCTATTTCCTTTATTTGAAGCTGCTTTGTTGCATAATCAACAACAGCTTTAGCAGATGTATCATTGGTATTAAACTGATTTGCAATATTCCTATGCGTGAATACTTGTCCTAATTCACTGTCTAAAATTGTACCTTCTGTACACCTACTATCACTACAACCAATAAATAAAACTCCAGGCCATTGACCTTTCTCGCAATTCTTTAGTATTTCCGGATTTATATTTTTTGCCCAGTTTTTGTTCTTTGATAGCAGTTTTGTGATATTGGACATTGATGAGTTGGGGAAGGGAAGGAAGATGGGGAGATGACTGAGTAAATCCAATCACGGTATCATACCATTATAAAAACAATTAAATAGATTTATCAAAGTTAAAAGTAATTTTAACAATTTTCATATTAAACATACTTGACATATCTCTTGCCATCACCACCACGACGAAGAATAAAAATAAAAAATGAGCACACGGAAACAATCAAATGTTAAAATAATTAAAGAATTATTCCCACACTGGAATGAAGACGATTTAGATCAAGTTTTAATTGACGTTAACGGTGTACTTGAATCTGCGGTTGCTAGAATTTCTGAAGGCCACGCTTCTCAATTCTCAACGGTACAATCAAAGAAGGAGAAGAAGGCTGCGGCTCCGAGCGTACCAACAACTACACCACCTGCTCCTTCAAAACCCAAGTCTAGCACGCCCAAACAACCTCGCAACACCAACAATCAAAGTTCTCGAGGTCAACCCGCTACTAGAGGGTCCTTCAACCCTCCACGTGGCCCAAGAGGTGGTTCTGCTAGATCAAGTACACGTCATTCAACTACTCCTGCTAAGTCTACTCCTTCAAACTCAACTACTCCGGCGAAATGGTCTGATCCTTCAACTAGTAGTGAGCAAGGCGTGGTCAATAGCACGGCAACAGGAACAGGTACAGGCACAAGCACAACTACAACCAATCAACTCCCATCCTCTCAACCCTCCTCCTCCGCTGCTCTAAGATCCTGGGCTCAAATCGCCAAACCTCCTTCTCCAAAGCCCGAAACTATCGTCGAAACCGTCGGTGAATCCGTCGTTCAACCCGATCCTATTAAACAGCAAGAACTCGACCAAGAAAACCACGATCACGACCTTGTCCACGATCATGTCCAAGTACAAGTACAATCTCAACCAAACCCTCCAGCTCAACCACATCAAGATTCTCAATTCAATTCCACCTCCTTGTCTCAACCTTCCGAAAATTTGTCTTGGGATCAACCTACTACTGCTTGGAATAATTCAGATTCCGTTTGGCCATCCGATTCCACTCCAACTTGGGATGACTCTAAACCTTCCGAACAATCCCCTGTCAAACAATCACAAGACTCTTCAAAATCCACTCAACAAACAAACTCTTCTGCTCCTCCTGGCTTTGGAGCTCCTCCAAAACCAAACTCTAGAGCTGCTCAACGTGCTAGGCAAGACGCTGCTGTTGTTATGCCAGGTGCTTCCGATAACAAATCTCTTGGAAATGCTATTGGCGTTCAATTTGGTAGCTTATCCTTGTTAGATAACGGTGCTGGTGGTCCTGGTCCTGGTCCTGGTGGATATGAGGAACAACCTGATCAATCAGAGCAATTAAAGGCTACTCAACCTCAACAAGATTCTGTTTCTATTAATCAACCTGAGCCTTCTTCTGCTTCTGTAGCTGTACCTGCTCCTGCTCCTGCTCCTTCACAACCATCTCAACCCGTTCAACCTGTCACTCAACAACCAACTACTCAACAATCTGAAATTTCTGCATACACCTCTCAACAACCACAGCAAGACGTCTACGGTCAATACTTCCAACAACCTCAACAGCAACCTTCAATTCAACCAACTGAACCAACTCAACCACATCAACCCGTTTCTTCGCAAGCTATTCCTCCTCAATTCCAACAATACAACCAAACTGTTACTCCAACCCCAGACGCATACTCTAACGTTTTCTCCAACTTAGCTGCTCAGCCAGGTCAATTAGGTGGTGGTGCTTTTGGTCAGCAAACTCAAAACGATTATGCTGCTCTTTACAACGACCAAGCCCAAAGGGTGAGTGCGTTTTTTTGTCATTAGTTATTTTGCTAACGTTTCATAGGACTTTGCTCTTCAGCAGGCAAACTACTACGGTCAACAACAACCATCCAGCTTCGGTAGACAAATTGGCCAAGAAGACACAAAGTCAGTCCCAACACCTTCAATCAACCAAGCAAGCACCCCATCAATCTCCTCTCAACAAACTGCATCAGGTTATCCCGGCATCACCGCCCCAATGCCATACTACTTTAACCCATATGCAGCAGCATACGGAGCACCAAATGCTGCAGCATTCTATGGTCAAGCAGCTGCTAGTCCATATGCACAATTTGCTGCCAAGTACCCAATGTACCCAGGACCACAACCAGGCACAGGATTTCAACAGCCATCGCAACCCAAGCCAAGTGGAGCAGCAAGCGCGAGTGGAGCAGCAGCAACTCAATCACCATATGTTCAACACGCAGCAGCAACCGCGACGAACAATGTAGCATCGCCATCGCCATATCCATCGTACGACTCAGCGAATGCATACGACAGCTTCTTGAACCAGTCGCTGCAGAATGCTGGTAGTCCTGCAATCAGTCATCAAGAGAAGCAGCAACAGCAGCAGCAGCAGCACGCGCCAAAGAGTCAACAACCTCAACAGCAACATCAACAACACCAACATCAACAACACCCTCAACACCCTCAACAACAGCCTTACAACGCTTTCGGTAGCGCGTATCAGGCTCCTCCTCTCTTCCAAACACCTAGCTTCTCCCACTACCAAGGGTACGGCGGATGGCAGGCGCAGCAGAGATATGGACAGGGCTATCCATAAGCTGTGCAAAGGTGTAGATGACGTGTGTTAGTCTCAGTGTGTTAAATTATATTGTTTGAATTAAAGAGATTTTATTAACCAAGACGGAATTTATTTTTCAACTAAAACCGTAATGAACCCATCTACAGCTGGCAGCGAGTATGACAACGCGCGGCAAGAGCTAGCAAACGCCATAAAAAAAAAGAAGCAATTCGATAAGCAGCTGAATGTGATTGAGAGTGATATATATACCCATGAGACAAACTACCTTGAAGAAACTAATGTACCGGGCGGTGGAAATGTAGTACGTGGTTTCGACGGATATCTCAAGCAGACTCCGAATAATTTGATGAGCTCTACGGGCAGTGGCAGACAGTCTACAGCGGGACACAAACGATTCGAAGTAACAGACAACCAAAGGATATTCTCCAATTCATCTGACAGTGTAATTTACAAGGATGTTTAATTTATTTTTGATTTTAGTATATATTCCAACTACTCCGCCATCCCAGGTGCTTATGGCGCGACATAGGACCTTCCATGCCGAAAACGACGCCGCGGAAGTGGTAGAAAGTGAGAAGAGTGTTGAGAGCGAGTACTGCAAAGACGAACCACTTCACGCCCTCTGACACATTGCGCTTGAAGACAACATGATCGAGCACCAGCGCCAGCACCAAAACTGCAAAGTAGAGTGCGGGAAGGTAGTGATGAAGATACGTGACGCGGCCCATGATGAGAAAGGGTATGTAATGGAAAACCCATCCGCCAAATGCGACCATACCTACGTAGATAAAGTGGTCCAGTTCTCCTGCGAGGGGTGTGAGCAATCAATAATGATTTACAGTCCCATTCGGACTTGGACTCACGCTTAGTCACGTCGCGCACACGCCTCCGTTCGCACACTACATGGTAGCCGCTGATAAGGACGAAGAGCATCACAGCTACACTCGAGCACCACCATACAACGGGGTTGCCGATCAAGTAGTATTTCGTGTTGTGGTCACTCCACCCATTCATCCTCAACCCGAGACGCAAAAAGGGCCAGTCAGTAGGTTTGCTAGCGAGTATATCTGCCTTGTCGGGGTTAGGGATGAGAGCGTTATTCGACATCATCATGGCGATGTTGAGATGCCAGAAGTCTTTGAGGAAGTTAGTACGGTAGAGTGATTTCTTGCCCCTGGGTAATCTGTCATTCCAGTGTGATTCGACATTCCAATGCGTGTAGTCGTCCCTCACGTCATTCTCCTTGGTGCACGTCACCTCTACCTGCTTGAAACCCCATTCGGGTAGATTCCTGTTAGCGGCGCGGAGGTAGCACCCGAGGTTGCGGTGTCTGAAGCGTAAGCGGGTGGTGAGTGAGTGTATACGGTCGTGGGGTGTGAGTTTTCCGCGGAATACATCGTCGACTGGCTCCACTATCCAATTATCATTTGTATCGTCTTCGCGAGAGGCGCTGAATGCAGCCACCTCGTAATCGAGTCGCGACAGTGGTGCGGGGAGGTCGTGAGCATGTATGTAGCGTGAGTAAGGGACATGTTGGAGACGAATGATGTCGCCTGAATGGAGGAATCGTATTTCATCCTTGTCGCTTCCTTCATCTTGGCTTAAATCTTCACTCTGTTCACCTCGCTCACCCAGCTCACCCACTTCACCCGCAGATAGTTCACCACGTTCGGCATTCCGGGTTGCCTCGTCCACCTTCTGCTGCGCGAGCGAAGGCAGTACGTTGAACTGGTTGTTGTCATCCTGGTAATGGTAGCATGTCACTTGACCCTCGAGTGAGCCGAGAGGGAAGTTCTGCACATGCGAGTGAAGCAGCCCTCCGCCATAGCCCATCTGCTTGAGAGTGACTTTGGATCCGTACGCAATCTCGAGTGGGGATTTGTAGAACTTGTTGCCTTTCAGGTTGGCCTGGAACAGAGAGGACATTTGCGCATCGCCGCTGCCCGTGTGGTTGAGGATCATGAAGTGTGCCTTGAATGCGGCGACGTAGACAGCCACGGGGATGAAGATGAGACATGCGATGCGCGCGAGCCAGTGCTGCGTATACGTCTTCTTGGGAAGGGAGACGTCTCCCAGTTTCTCCCACAGCTCACTAACCGTGTATAGGCCAACGACGGCTGTGACGAAGAGCCCCACCCACTTGACGCTGCACACGGCGCCGATTGAGAGCCCAGTGAGGATAAGCCACATCCACCAGTCGAATCCGAATGGGCTGCGGGTATGTGAGTGGGTTCGTAAGAGTGCAGTCGCATCACACTCACTCGTGCTGCTCGTTGTGGAATTTGGTGAGGAAGAATACTGTAGTGAAGGTGAAGAAGAGGAGCATACTGTCGAGCAGAATGAATCTGCTGATTGTAGCGAGCGCAGTATCGCATAACACCATTAGCGTTACGAGATGACAGCTGCGTTTGCTCAAATGAAGCTCGTTGGCCGTGTACCACGCTAAAGGCACGATAAGCACACCAAAGCTAGCCAAGTAACCCCTAAATATGCCGTAGTTGAGTGTGTCTGGGTATGGCTCGCCCGATTTGAACTCGAAGGAGCCATTGTACCCAGACAGCGCACCTGCGAGTCCAACCAACATCTTGCCAAGCGGCGGGTGGACATCAAAGTAGAAAGACCGCTTCAGATAGTAGCTACCGAATTTACCGAAATGCGCCTCGTCCCAAACAACAGAAGGCTCGTAGTTGATCCAGAGGAGACGCGTGAGTGCGCTGAGGAAGGTATAGATGAGCGGGGTAATGTGTGGCTTGAGCTCGTCGCGCGTGGGGATGACATCGGCGCAACGGAACCAGCTGCCGTCCTTCCTTGGGCGTGGAGGAGCCACTTGTCTTCTCCTCGACACGAACAAATGTTCCTTATCGGTTTTGTCGTAGGAAGCGGGTGCGGATACGTCGCTGCCGCCGAGAGTCTCCAGCTCAACTTGCGGCTTGCGCCTTTTCATCGTCTCGTTCATTTTGTAGAAGCTCGGAAGCTGCTCGTCCATAGAGTGATGGTGGTAGACTGTGAGCGACAAGTGGAGGGCCGGGATATTTTGTGATTGCTTGAGATTGTTTGCAACAGGACCAGGTTATTTCCTTGTACTCTCTCTCTCATGACATACCAACTCCCAGAAGGAATCCCGCAGACATCCCCAAAGGATACCAACAGCTTCGCATATGCAAGTGTCGTGCGTAGATGGCCTTCCATTATCACAAACGTTATCGACTCTGTCTACCAATCAAACGCGCTCGATAGGAGCGCCTCCGACGACAAGCTCCAAGACGGTAAAGCCATCATCCAGCAATTGTCCAAACTGCGCCATGAGATGGGCAGGGACCAGCCTTTATCGTGCGTAATGGCCCATTCACGCGTCATACACCTAACTTGACGCACCAGCGACATTGAAGACACTAGCGCTGCCAACACTCATATTTACAACGATGAGCTTAGAGTGCTCGAGAAACACTCGGATAACACGTGGTTCACCGCCCCTTGGCTTTTCGCTGAATGCTACATGTACGCAAGAATAAGGAGCTACTTCAGCAACAGCACCTACTTCCAGCAATACGATCCTTTCAAGAAATCTAAAGACGATACTTTCAAATCATCAAAAGCCTCAGTTTTCCAATTGGCGAGGGCTCAGCAGCAGCTCATCACAAACACCACAAAACCAACACATGTCGACGAGAGCATCGAGATTATGTTTCTAGAGATGCTCCAGATGTGCTTGTGGGGAAACGCAACTGACTTGAGTCTATTGGTTGATCTCGATTACGCCGATGTACAGAAATTACAAGCTGTTGGAAAGAAGGCGCTGGAGGAAAGCTTCAAGAAGATTATCAAGAACGACATACCACGTTTGTGGCAGTATATCTCCACTAAACGCGGTGGCAGAATCGATTTCGTCCTCGATAACGCAGGCTACGAGCTCTACACTGACCTGATTCTCGCCGATTACTTGGTGAACTGCACTCCGTTCGCTGACACGGTCGTCTTCCACCCGAAGACAATCCCATGGTTTGTTTCTGACGTGCTGCCGGCGGATACACCTGCGCTTCTCAACCAGCTCCTCAACGCCAAAGACTTCTTCGGCGAAGACAGCCAGGAGGTTGTCGACCTGGGCGAGAGGTGGAAGAAGATGTTCGATGACGGCACGTTCAAGATGTCGGTCCCAGCTGATTACAAACTAGGCACACCCTCGAACGCCGACTTTTGGTGCACGCCTTACAGCTACCCCCAAATGCCTGACAAGGCCGCCAGCTTGGTAAGCGACCTGCAGAAGTCTAACCTCGTTATATTCAAGGGTGATCTCAACTACCGCAAGCTGACGTCGGACGCGCTGTGGGACCCGACTACGCCGTTCCAGACCGCCCTCGGCCCGCTTGCCGGCCAATTCCCTCTCCTCAGTCTGCGCACGAACAAGGCAGATGTCATCGTCGGCTTGGAGAGGGACGTCGTCGACACCATGCAGAGGGAGCACCCGGACTACCGCATCAGCGGTAAGTTTGCAGTCGTCTCATTTGTCTGTTGATATATGCTATATGTACTTTCTCTTGGATTGCGGTGCGTTTGTGGCATGTGAAAAGCCGTGCATCACCAGCAAATGCCCGCTCGCTGTCTGCTGTTGATTTCTGAAATTGGACCACGGAAAATCTTTTAAATCGTGACAAGTCTTGCGATAATTCTTCTTGGATGATGTTGACGATAACGTTACTCCTGACAACTCTGATCTTCCTAGTGTTATTATTGTGTATTCAAATTTTATATGCACTTTTTCCGATCTCGCGGCCCCACTTAACATATCTCGCGCCACTTACCTCATCTCTGAGAGATAACATCATTATGCCAAAAGAAAATCCGCTGAATAAACAACTGAAAGATGACAGAGAGGGCCTGCTCGCTGGAGTTAGTGCTGCAATGGCTGGTACCGAAAAAATCACTAGTGTTCCTGCCAATGGCTTTAGTGCGAAGGTGGAGATGAAATCAGGCGGTTTAAAGCTGATTTTATGAAATGGTTCACTGATATTCATCAGCCGGTGCACATATCTGAAACCCGGTCTTCCCCTTTTGACGACATAAGCGGTTCGGAAGAGTCCATTTCGTCTTTGTTAAATGTGCTTGGCTGCTATATCAGTATGAAAGCAGAGCACACTAAAGTTATACACCCTTCCGAAGCCCCAAACAAGCGGGTGAAGTATTCAACGTTCATCAGCTGGGCAATAACTGTCGTAAAGCTGTCGAGAATGAGTTTAAGGCAAGAAAAATTACACCTTCAGACATAATCAGTGGTTCTTCAAATGACCTAAAGGACGGTTTACGCTTTCGTTTAATAGATGACTGCAAGATCCAGTGAAAATACCTAGAGTTGAATAGCCACCCACCCACGAGACAATCCTACAGAAAGCTCGAGTTCATCAAGTGTGTCGAAAGTCTTTTGTCCAGGCCATTCGATAGAAGTCAAAGTTCCAGTCACAAACTTGTCACACTTTTCGCCCTTCTCATCGTTTCTAACTTTGGGTTGCGCAAAGATAGCCTAAGAAACATGCGCTTTGACGATTCTAAATTAATGACCATGGGCGAACTCAAATAGGAAGTAACCAATTATATAACCACGCTAAAGGGCCAAGAGAGGCGAGCAATCGACGTACGGCAAAAGGCATGCGGATTCGTCGCTAAAGAGATCCAAGATGTACAATTCAAGTTATTTCCAGTCGCATTACCCTTTTTATACTTTATGGCGGTTTGTCAGCCACACTGAAAGACACAAGGGAGGTGCCCATAACTTTGCTATCCGACTTCTTGACACACATCGACATTCCTTATTTGAATGCACATCGCACAATTATATCCATTCAAAGCAATATATCAAGGCCGTGACGAAAATTTATGTTCCAAACAATGTCGCGATGGGATCTGGTGCAATAATCAGCAGGCTCAATACTGTCTACCAACAGGTAGGGCTTCCGACAGGTGGAACTTACCCGTGGTGGTACGCAGTGGGTGACAAGGCACGTCTTGCTGGAAGGGAGTTCCAAGCCGATATTCTTGGTCATGGAATGTCATATACTGGTACGCAAAGCTACACTAGAGGTGAATCAATGAACTATACCAATATCTGCAATTATAGCTGACAAGAATGATGTTATCGAGGAGGGGCAAAGGTTGGCTTAATGGGTCAAGGCTGCGTATTGGGTTTCAACAGAGCTCACCTCTACCGCAATAGCTTCCACTATGAGGAAAGATAGGAATCCTTTCCAGCTCGACAAGGAGAAATTGGATATACAATCACTCACTGCTTGCAAAAATAGCGAGCGAGTGCAGCAAGCTTTCAGGTTACATAATCAATTCATAAACACACCAAAAGCAAAGATTTGAGTATTGAAGAAGGAAAACAATTTGAAACGCTTAAGGACAGATTGCGTTCCTCAAAATGAGCTGAGAAGGAGAAAATCAAGAACTCCAGCAGAGGAAAATCAAGAACCTACTCAAGCTTCTAGCAATTGAGGGAACTTTCGATGAGAAGAGGCAAGCAAAAGAAACTATATGTTCAGCAAACTTATATTCTATTGGAAATGAAGAAACAGAAGCAGCGAGAATTCGAATCGATGCTGCTTCAACCAGCGACAGACCTGCTGATCTCATCAAAACACCCGAACTTGAAGATCAATTCGTCGAGTACAAGGATGAGGAGGAAGACGAGTTTTATGCTGCTGCAAAAGGCTTGACAGATGATGTGGCAATCAACAGGATGGCAATCGTTTTCCAACTGTAAAGCTCAATTGCAGCGAACGACATCATCACAGGAATGTTGAACCTAATGGTAGATTATAATGATTGTTTATATTGCCAGAATATAGTGAGTATGATATTTACTCTCACTAGGCATTTGAATAACGTTTCAATTTGCAGAATAAGGAGATTAGCTTCTGCAATGTTAGCGTTGCCCGTAAACACTTGAAGAACAAGCACGCTGAAGAATACGCTAAGTTTTTGGAGGGGAACATGGAAGAATTACTGAATACGATAATCTTTGAGAAGTTGCACGACATTTGCCAATCATCTCACGAAGGTATTCAGCGTCTTTGTGCCGTGACAAATCAGGATATCATCGACTTTTGCTCATGATATCGTTCTCATTATCTTCTTGCTAGCTGCTTTGTTGTTAATATTTCAAATGTATATCTTCATTTACAAACGCCGCATGATATTCGTATCAGCTCTAGATACGTAGTGGGGAATTGTAGAATTGTAGATAAGATGAGAAAAATCTTGAAGTGTATGTTGAATTCAGCGATAAATGCAAAATCTGCGATAGTGTGCAGAGCTTGCGCTCATCTCCGGCGACCATCTCTCGCACCTTTTTTGTTTTTTTATGATGCGGATGCAGATGTATGCATCAGTGAGGACCTTAAAATCAAGACCCGTATGAGAGAAGTCGTGATAGTAAGGGCTCGAGCGAGGCAATATCTAGCGGTAGTAGGGTGCTATTGGATCCTAACAGTATCGTTGCTTTGGTGCTGTGCGCGGTGCCGAACGGGTTTATGAAGCGAGGGCCAAAGTGCATTGGCTGCAATGTCAAATGCTTCAAATTAACAGGAAATAAGCTCGCAGGCTGCTACATTCCCTATAAGCACCCTACTGCTACTGGGTTAAGCTGTTTGTTGATCAAAGATGTTGTTGGTGATGGCGTTGTTCTTGCTGCGAAGGCCGAGTCCGCCAAGATGCTCACTGCGCTCATCAGACACCTTACCCAGGTAGACCCCTCTGTCCTCGATTGGTTGCTTGTACTTGACAGCACTCACGATGTCCAGAAGTATTCCAGCAAGAAGGCGCTTTGCGAGGAAAAGCAGAATGTGGTGATTGCTACCTTTACTGCTTTTCCTTATTGCCTGGCTCAACGACGATCGCGCTGGTGTTGCTACCTCCACTAAGGTTTTATTCCAGCTATGTACTCTGCGCGCACACGCGCCAAAGGTCCGACCACCTTACTTCCTGTGGATGATATGGTGTTTATGGGGCGATGGCGGTGTGGTTGGTGCAGTACGCACATGGTATCTTGATTGCTGCACTGTCGTGTTCCTATGTGTCTGTGCGTGTCCACCGGCGTGTGCTTTGGATGCCCGATCAGCGAGTGCATTTTCTGGTACTGCTGCGCAACAGACGCTCCGGCACAACGCTAGTCTCCGCACACTTACGGGGTGGTACATAACTACCGACGAACTCTTGCGCATATGTGACGGTGCTGAGGGATAGATAGATAGAAATCATAATATATAGTCTAAAGCGTTACAACGATTAGTAATCTTCGCCTATCAATACTTCTTGCGCATTGAAAGCTGACGATTGTATTGACTCAAAGGCGTGCGGTTCTTGGCACGTGTGCCGTAAATTGGAAAGTAGCTACGTGAAACTACCGGAGGCGAGCGAGTTGGTGCTGAGCTGGTTCAGCGCCTCTATCCGCTCCCTTCGTGGCGCAACGGGAACAAAGCCTGTCCAAAAGCCGCTCCCGGAGCAAACGTCCGACCGCAGGCAAAAACACTGCGCCTCCCACAGATGCTAATGCGAGCTTCCCGCTGCGCCGCCGCGCACCTGGATTGTCAAATCTCATCCGTTTTTTCAATTATGATTGTGACCGACATGGCGGCCTTTATAAGTCAGGATGGCCGAGCGGTTAAGGCGCTTGACTTGAATGTCTGAGACGTTATCAAGTACCATTTGGTGCGTAGGTTCGAATCCTGCTCCTGACGAACTTTTTATTTTGTCGTTTTAGCGACCGCTAGTGTTACGGCAGGGAGACAGGCAGGCAGGTTTGAGTATGCCTGTAATTAGTGCGCAACAGCTGGCATCCAGAAGAGTGCTTTTGACAGGAGGCACAGTTTTTCACCCCCAATATGACGCGCGCGGGGATCTTCTTCTCGAACAGCGAAGACGTCGGCGACGGCGGGGCTTGTGCAGCCCGCCAGTCCTGCAATTGGGCACAGCTCTCTGAGTCTTCGCAGAGCAAGCTGCACGGTTTGAGTACGGGGGTGTCGCCTGTGGCACTTTCGTAATTAACCAGTGGTACAAACGTGAGCTAGAGTGGGAAAAGTAACAGTATTGTAAGGAGTGCGATGCATCGTATTGTTTGCGCAGTGCATTTGGCGGTAATTGACGTGTGTGCGTGTGCTTGTGTGCGAGAAGACACCGTGCAAAACTTCACGAGTCAGCAGGCAGGCAATGTGGGATGGCGCAACACGCACACGTACACACACAGATACGCCTTTCAAAGCCTCCTCTCACAGCCACATGAAATAAAAAATCAGCCACTTAAAACCGCGCAAACCTTCTTGTTTCCCTCCATGATACAATATTCGCCTTTATACTGTTGCGTATGCGAACAATGCATAGGACAACGGGAAACGGGGTGATAGAGAGACAGCTGGGGGTGCTGCTGCAGACATGGCCCAGTGCCACGCCTGCGAGCAGCCCCAGCGACAAGCCTAGAACTGCAATGTGCTGCTAATTTTGTAGACGTTGATTTGAAATGATTCATTATACAATTACTAGGTATCGTCGTTGTGGTCGTGGTCGTCGCGACGGGCGTTGTTTCTATGTCTGACTTCCTGCTCAGGCTGCTCTTGCTGCTGACGCACTTCCGCCTGCACCTGCTCACTCGCCTGCGTCTGTCCTCGCGCGGCGGTATGACCAGCGTGTTCGTGTGCCCTGCGCGTAATTTCCGCCGTGAGCCTATCGACTGCCCTCTGCCTCAGACGACCCATGATATACTGGCGCAGATAGAGGAGGGCGACGAGTGTGCCGATAACGACAACGAAGGTAATGCTCTGCGAGCTGTCGTGGTGGTGGTGGCCATCGGGCGGGGAGGAGCGCTGGAGGAGGCCGTCGACGAAGCCGAGGTGGCCATGCGGGACGTGTGCACCTTGGTCACCCGCGCCATAGGCCATCCAGTCCACTCTATTGACAGCCTCGCGCGCATCGCTTCTGTCGCGATCCTCCTCTCTCTCTCTCGCGCTTCTACCATCTGCAGATGCACCTGCATCATCCTGCGCTTCCCCACCCCCGCTAAAGTGTGACAGGAGGTTGTTGTCGTCCCCGCTCCTCACCCACTGCCAGAGGGATTTGAGGTAGAGGTGGGCGAGGGACAGGAGAACGGGTACGGCAGCCTGTGCGTTAGTCTCGAGTGCCTGGTCGTAATAACGTTTTGCTAGGTTGAGATCACTCGGGAGACCCTGTCCCGTTTCATACATCCATCCCACATTCCAGAGGGCGAGTGAGGAGGTATCCGCCGCGAGGTACAGCTCAGCAGCTCGCGCGGGATCAGCGGGTGTACCAAGCCCTTTGAAATGGTAATCAGCCGCCTTAATCCGCGAGTCTAGGGTGTGCTGCGCAGCGGATTTCTCCCAGTACCGCAGACTGATAAATGCGAGCGTGTGGTTGACAGGCGGATCAAAACCGAAGCTAGTGAGGCGCACTCGCTGCGTGTCCTGGTCGAGAATATAAGCGACGTTGTTTTGCGCGGACTCGTATCCCATCTCGGCAAGGCGCCACCATGCAAGTAGGGCAGCTTCCGCTTCGTGGCGACCATAAGACTCGCGGTGCCAGTCTGAAGATAGAGCCCATCGCTGCGTCGCTTCCTGCCATAGCTTGTCCCCCGTTAGCCAGTCACCACGCTCAGATACACTCTTGAAACGTGCAAGTGCACTCGCACAATCGTGGTGGCGCGTTAGGGTTGCTAGTCGGTATGTTCCCTCGAATGAAGCTGATAGGTTCACCGCCCATTCGTAGTGCTGGATGGCATTCTCGGTGTCACCGCGCGCTGTGTAGGTGCGGTGTCAGCTCTGAAACGCATTCTCACTCCCTCTCACTCACCTAGTAAACCATTCCCTAGCTCTACATACGCTTCGGGGTAGCCACTCGAAGCGGCGCTGGAGAAATGCATCGTTGCGGTGTCCTCGTTCGAGTCGACGTAGTAGCCGTGCTTATACATGAGACCAAGATAGTACACAGCCTCTGCGGACTGGAGATCGCGGGCTCTGTTAAACCATTTGTAGGCCTTGGAGTAGTCCGCTGTGCCTGCGTCACCCTCACCCCGCAGATACATCCTGCCCAATGCATTAGAGGCGATGCTGACGAGATGGCGGGTATACTTGGTCGCCTCTCTCTGTTTATCAGACTGCAGACCATCGTGCCAGATCTTCCTTGTGGCGCGGGTGAACCAGTACTTGGCCTTATTGAAATCCTTAGGTATCGCACCAGAGCCGTCTGCGGGGCCGAACTTGGGGGTGTACACACTGCCGTGGTAGTAGATGTTGCCGAGACGAACAGCGTACTGAAGATCACCCTGGTTGGCAGCGAAAGAGAAGTAGTCGATGAGATCGTGCCAATTTTCACCAGAGTCGCGCGCTTTGCCTGCGTAGATCACAGGTCGATACGCGTTCTCGCCGGTAGAGGCAGCAGACGCGCCGAGACCATACGGGCCGCCTTTGAGATCGGAGAGTTTCGGTTTGGAAAGAGGGAGAGCATGACCGCCAGGGGGACCGGAGAGGTAGTAGTCCATGGCTTTATCGGCGACTCTGCTGTACCACTCAACAGCCTGGTCGCAGGAGAGCTCGGCGCCGTCGCCAATAGAGTGCTTGTAGGCGAGGGCCATCTCCGCGGGCGTGTGGCCGGCGAGAGCGGCGAACGTGTAGTGGAGGAGGGCTAGGCCAGGGTGGGGGTCGACGACGCTGTTGTAGCCCGTGTCGTAGAGGAAGGCGAGGATGGAGTGGGCGGTGGCGGAGGCGTTGTTGGCTAGTGATTTGTAGAGTTGGAAGGCGTGTTGGGTGTTGTGGGTGAAGGGCGGTGGCGCTCGAAAGACGAGATCAGCGAGTAGCTCAGAGTCGTCGAGCAGCTCAACAAGGCCGTCTGCTAGTAAATCGTAGTCGTTTGGAGAATCCACTGGGTTATAAGACGAGTGTATGTATCTTGAAGGGTGGATGGAAGAAGGGCTGTAGTTGGAGAGGGAGCTGAGCTGGTCGAGGAGCGATTGGACGGGTGCGTCGGCTAGTGCGTGTGTCGCTGGGAGTATCCCCAGCACCGTCATCGTCAGCGTTGCAAAGATATTCATGGGCAGTGGAGATGAGAATGTGAGAACGACAGAGATAGATTCAGCTAGTTGCCAGGATTACTGTGGTGTTAAAATAAGAAAATAAAAACGAGTTGAAAATATTTGCTGATGACAAGCACGCCTAAGGAATATTTGGTCTAACACGACAACGACGACGACTAAGATGGCATTACCAGTGAGATACAGCAAGAATGAAATAATCGAGGCGTACAAGGGGTTACAGATTGCCAGGCCAGAGAACATCAACGACTCGCTGCTGGTATCTGACTCGCAAATAACTCCCGTGAATTTATCCAGACACACGCCGATTTCTGGCAATTTAAACTCTAATTTCAAGAAGCGTGTTGTTAATAACAATAAGAAATCAAAGTCGACGCCCGTGAAGGGTGGTGGCGGTGCACACGGTGTTCACGCTACTCAAAGTGCACACGCTCCCCACGCCGCTCCCGCTCCAGACTGGGACAACCACTCGGGCTGGGCTCAGCGATTCAAAAAGGGCGACGATCTTTTCAACCGGAAAGTCGCAAGCAAGCCAGTGAGCAGGCCAGTGAGCAGACCAGCCAGCAGACCAGCCACTCCGACGACTCCGACGACTCCGCCCAAAGGTCTTCTTAATAGACCTTCAAAGAAGGCTGTTGACGGTGTGCAGCAGCCACAGCAGGTGGTTCAACAGCCGCAGCAACACGCGCCTCCACAACCACCTTCACAAACCCTTTCAGACTGGGTCTATAGGGACCCCTCTGGCAGCCTCCAAGGCCCTTTCAATCCCGACACCATGCAGCAATGGTTCCTCTCTGCCTACTTCCCGCCCTCGCTCCTTGTGAGCAGAGTAGATAGTGAGACATTTATCCCACTCGACGAATTGCTAGCTAGAGTGGCAGACCGCAGCCAGCCCTTCCACAGTGCGATAGTGGTCGACGTGAACAAGCTCTACCACCCACAACCACAGCCACAACCACAGCTACAAAGGCTAGCAGCAACTGACTCAGCTGGTCCATCACCCGTATCCACCCCATTCGCAAGGCCATTATGGGCGAGTGGCAGTGGCAGTGGCAGTCCAATGGTGGATGTAGAACAACACCACCACCAGCAGCAGCAATCCAAAGAGGAGATTCTACTTGCACTCCGTCACAGAGACCTCCTCGAGCAGCAGCAGCAACAACAACACCAACAACAACAGCAGCAGTTTATTCAACACCAACTCTTACATCAACAAGCCGCTGCTCAACAACAACAGCAGCAACAGGAATTGCACGTGTGGCAGCTCCAGCAACAAGCCCAGCAAGAGGCACAGAAACAGGCTCAAGAGCAGGCGCAAGAGCAGCTAGCGCACACGCATCTCCGCGACGATGCGGATTTGTCAGTGGCAGTTGAAGCACCTGAATCTACCGTCGATAGTGGTAGTATAGCGGAAGAAAGTGTGATGTCGCCTATTAAGACTCCGCCATCCGTGGCAGTGGCGCCCGTTGCGCCAGTCGCTCCGGTCGCGCAGGTGCAGGGAGTTGAACCAGTCCAGGCAGTTCACCCACAACACTCCCACTCCCAGCCATTATCAGGCAGGGGTGGTGTGAATGTAGTGACGCAAGCGGAGCTCGAGAGAGTGCAGCGTGGCGTGAATGGTGGTGGCGTTGGTGGTGGCAGAGACATAGCCCCACATCACTCTTCCGACTCACCCAAGATGTCAGTATCGCTGGGCGACGTGCTGGAGAAGCAAGGCGGGCACACAAACACGCATACCACCTACCCACCAAAGAAGGCAGCTCCTGCACCCTGGGCCGCACAAGCACAGGTACAGACGGAGAATGTGCGCGAGAAGACCACACCTTCACTCAAGGAGATCCAGGAGGCAGAAGCTAGGCAGTCGGCGGCTAAGAAGCAGGCTCAGGCTCAGCGCTCGGCAGCGCAAAAACAGCAACAGCAACCATCTGCTCGTGTTGACGACGTCCTCCCAGGCACACTCAACTGGGGACTGGCTAGCAGTGGAAGTGGTGCGAGTCAGCAAGCACACAATGGCTCTAACACTAACTCCAAAGATATCACCTCCACTTCCACTTCCACCCCTCCAGCCTGGGGCGGTAGCAGCCTCGGGCAGAAGAAGAACCTGAGACAGATCCAGGAAGAGGAAGAAGCAAAAGAGCGCGAGGTGCAGAGAAAGAATGTGGCTACGGCTCAGGCCCATGCTGCTGCGAGAGGGTATGCGGCATCCGCGCAGCGTACAGCGCAATTGAATGGAATGACTGGTGCTAATGCAAACGCAAACGCAAATCCAAATCCAAATGCAAATATAGGCAATGGTGCTTGGACAGTGGTGCAGGGCAGTGGGGTGAAACCAGGTGCAGTTGCAAGTCAAGGCAGCGGGTTGGGGTCACAAACACAAAGCGGAGCACCAGCAAAAACGGCGAAAGCAAGCAACACACCGGCTAAAACAACAGCTACACCAGCAGCACCTACACCTAGCGTCAGTGTACCAGCGTCGATTGCTCAAGGCTCGAACGTGCGTGAACCAGGAGCACCTTCAGAGGAGTTTGTCAAGTGGTGCAAGGGGTCGATGACAGGGTTGAATGGGACGACGGGTGAGTGAAAAGTGGAGATAAGAAGGGTACAGACCGCTAACTAGACACAGCTGATGAAATACTTCCAATACTTCTGTCGTTCGATATAGAGAAACCAGATCTGGAACTGATCCAGGATATGGTGTATGCATCATCGTCGACGATGGATGGCAGAAGATTTGCGTCAGAGTTTGCGCGTAAGAGGAAGGAGGATGCGAAGGGGGTTACAGGGTTGACAGGGACAGTAACGACGACGAAAGCACCACAAGAGACATTCAAGGTGGTGCAAAAGAAGAAGAAGAGAGTGTAAAATGAATTGAATTGAATTTAAATTTCATTATTTTAATAATTTTAATTTGATTTGGGTGAATACCATCATGATGAGGATTAGTAGAGTGGCAGGTAGAATTAGTGGATTAAACAGATTAAGTGGATTACGCTTTATAAACACCCAACCAAGCTCAGATTTCAATACACCTGCACCAATAAATCCAGCTGTGTACACCACACACCAACAAGGACCTTTACATGACTACGCCAGCTACATAATGGGATCATTACCCAAGTTTATACAAGAATTTAGCGTTTATAAGGATGAGATTACTCTAATGGTTCCTCCTTCTGGCGTTCTCCCTACGCTGGACTACCTCAAAAACCACACCAACTCACAATTCAAATCAGCAATGGATATCACTGCAGCTGATTACCCAACCAGATCCCAAAGATTCCAAGTCATCTACAACCTCCTCAGCGTTAGACACAATGCTCGTATTAGAGTGAAGACATATGCTGATGAAGTTACGCCAGTTCCTTCAGCGACAGCAATCTACAGAGGCGCTGATTGGTTTGAAAGAGAAGCCTGGGATATGTATGGTGTCTTCTTCGTTGGCCACCCTGATCTTAGACGTATCTTGACTGATTATGGTGGGTTTGAATGGTTGTTTGGCCAAAGTTTTCACTCATCCGCAACATACAGGATTTGAAGGTCATCCACTTAGGAAAGACTTCCCCCTCACTGGCTACACAGAGTTGAGATACGATGAAGAGAAAAAGCGTGTTGTTCAAGAACCTCTACAACTCACTCAAGCCTTTAGAAACTTTGAAGGCGCTGCTTCGGTCTGGGAGCAGGTTGGTGAAGGTGTTGATGAGAAGCCAGAGCACTTTAAGCTTTCTCCACCAGAGCCAGATACTGAGAACAAGTAGTGTTTTTTAATAAATAATCATTTTTCAATTTTCAATTTATCTTGAATTTAACCTGACTTTGTTTGAATTTACTTGAATACTTGAAATTGTTCGAGATTCCTTCAACTTGCTTGACTTGTTTGGTAACACTCAAACACTCAATTTAAATACCTGTCAATCTACTAGCAATTTACTAGCAATGACCACCTTATACACCTCATCCACCTCATCCACCCGCCGACATACCTGGATCGCTTTCTCCAGGGCTTTTACTTCATTCTCGTCTTTCTCTTCATTCTCATCACAGCGGAGGTGGCTGCACACTCACACAGACGACGATAGCGGCTTGAGTAGTCCTGTTGGTGTTCCATATGGTGCACGTCTACCCAGGCGTAGTAGACGTGTGGCTGTCAGTAGCAGCGGTGATACCAACACAAACACACAGGCACACGCCTACATCGAAAAACCCAGCACACCCACTACACACAGCTCTCACCGTCCTCCCCTCCTGTTCACCATACGCGACCAGCTAGCCTATGGAACTGAGCTGAATGAGCTTAATGAGCTGAATGAGAGGGGCAATACCAGTACCACTAATACACCAACCAAATCACGCAAACAACGTCAAGCGATGAAGAGAGCGCTTCTCGAGGCTGGCGAGCATGTAAACCCGTTAAAGCAGCCACAGTCACGGCAGTTAGCACAAGACACTCACACCCCGAACTCCCCTCAATACCCATACCAAAATCTACACCCACGCTCCTACCAGCAAGTCTCACTCGCTTTACAGCGCCACTCACGAAGACAAGTCAGAGAAGCACTCTCGGCCTTCCCACCCCAAACGCTCTTTCACGACAGCACACTCGCTAGCATTCTCACAGTCGGACTTGTGCAGACGCGCGATGTTAAGGGGGCTGCTTGGTACCTCGAGCAACTAGGCGAGGGAGTGCAGCTGAGTGAGGCTGCTTTTGTTGCTTTGCTCGATGGTGTGCCAGCGGAGAGAATGGGGAGAAGGAGCGAGAGCGGGAGCGCGTCTACTAAACAACTCCGCGATCAGGGTAGAGCTCGCCGTAGCAGCAGCTTCCCACCACCTTACTGCTCATTAGTGGCGCAGTATCAGTGGAGACGTCTCGCGACACTGATCGATGGCGTTAAACCTCCACAGCAGGCTCTCGTTAATGTTCTTCCCCTCCTCGCTTTGCAGAGAGGGTTGTATGTGTGGGGGAACGGGAGTGCAACTGGTTATGATAACACTCAAACACACACTCGCACTCAAACCAACCCCCATACTGCCCTTGCTGTTCTCCGATGGCTCCTGCGCACTGGATACGACGACAGCGCGGCGCTGTTTGTGGAGGAGGTCTTGAGTGGCTGGGAGGGAAGCGAGCACACCAAACACACACCGCAAATCACCTCATTCGCATTACACTCTCTCAACCTCTTGCTCAAATCACTCTCTCACTCCCATGGTGACCCTGCTGGTCCCAAGTTCCAAGAAAGATATAAACCATACAAATACTACAAAGACGCGTCGCCAGCCTCGCTGCAGAGCTGCAAACAGGTGGTTGATTTCTTCTGTAGGAGAGTTCCCTCGCTGAGGTTGAACGGGATGACACATGCGATTGTTGAGGGCGTTAGAAGGGGTGAGAAGGATATCGAGAGCAACATGAAGAAATAATGCATTAGAATAGAATGGATATAGATAGCATACATAGAATATATAGTATACATACTTTCGATGCGTGATACACTTGAGACACTTTCTTTCGTATATTGCAATACGTCTAAGTCCTCCGACCAGCACCCTTCTTAGGTATCCTAGATTTGATTGGTTGCTGAGATGGGTGTTGAAACAAGCCCTTTTTAATACCCGAATTGATCTGATCTTGGAGAGACTGTGGGGACTGCGACGAGGTGGTAGTGATGGAATGTTTGTTGATGAGGTTGTTGAGGGAGTGTGTGGATGAGGTGAGGGCAGCGAGGAGGGTAGTGAGCTGGGTGTCGTTGGCTTCAGTGTCCAACTCTCTCTCAAACTGAGCACTGGTAGTCGCAGGCAGTTGAGTTGAGATGTTATAAATCATACCAAGTATTTCGTCGTCTCTGCGTGTCTGGCCATGAACTAGCTTTGTCAAATACCCTCTAATCACGTCCACTCTCTCATCCAACAGTTTTATAGCGTTAACTTGCGTGTTGAGGCCGTTTTTGAGAGCAGAGGAGTGGGAGGAGTGGTTTGATTTGTGTATATCATCAACAGTAACCCTTTCAATATCAGTTGTTTGGATTGAGTAGTCGCTTTCCACCAATTTAATGTCATCCACATCGAATACACTGACGTAGGCGTGGATGTTGGTGGACTGAGTGTCTACGACGAGTAATAACGGTGACTCAGTGTACTTAAGGAGTTGCTTGTGTATTTGAGTGGTGTTGGCGATTGTGCGTTGAGTATACCAGCCAATCAGCTCAAATTCCGGGAACACCTGCTTGAATAGCTCGAGACGGGTATTCAGGTATTCGTTATCCAATTCGACACCGCCCGCGACTCTCAACTCGAAGCTATTTACGATTTGAACATTTCTCCCAGATTGAACGCCTAGAAGCGCACCTATAGACACCTCAGCACTGCCAATCCACTTTGACCTGGTACAGTGATCGGATATGTTGAGTACGGGGAGTGGGTGTATAGATAGCTGTACTTGGTTGGCAGACGACATGGTTGTTGGGATCAAATCTATTAAAGGGCTACTACAGAACAAATACCAATCAAAAGATATAAAATACATTGAGACAAGTATTATATTATGTCTATTGCGCGTGTTAGTGTTGCTCAGTGGAACGCAGCCAGAGCCAGACAGCACTCAGTATGTCAATTCTGGAGCCTTGTAGATGATACATGAGCACACCACTCCTCCCTGAAGAAATTCAAACTTGTGCAGTTCAAAAGCATCATGCGTGGCTGTCGTGTGGCTCTGGCTTATAAACACCACTCACAGTAGAAAATAGAAAACAACCGCATCCAGTACTGACCAAAAGTAAGCCCCATTCTGTTGCCATTGAAATGACCAGCAAAATACCTTTGATAGTTGACTATCTAATGACAGACTGCAAACACACAGCTCTTGTCTTCGCTGGTGAGTGAATGCTTTCTGCCTTTCATCGGGAGTGTTTGGTGTGTCTCCCACTGCAGATCACAGGAGCCATCACCCCACTCCCCACCACACCATCGTCAAAAGACGTGCTCTCCGGCGTGCGTAGGTCCGGGGACTTTCCCCACAGCTGTCGTCGCAGCAGAACTTGTCTACTCGCTTGTATTGCTGCGTTATGCTGCTTTTCGTCACTGGATGCGGTTGTTAGGAATGCGTGAGCTGGGATGCGCGCTTAAATAGTCTGGAAAATTTGTAAAATTGCTTCAACTATCCTGATATACATGTATCTTACATTCTACTATACAATACACCTTTCTACACGCTTGGGAATGAGATTAGTGAGGGTCGTTATGGTCTGAAAATTTTCATCTTTTTCAGCGCACCTCACCGTCATTAGCATCACCAGCAGAAGCCTTGGCGCCCCCGCAGGCAACGACACCTCTCTCCTTGTTCCTCTCCCGAATCAGCCCCGCTAGCACCGCGCGCAGTCCCTCTACGACGCTGGTGGTGGGTGGGGGATGGATACGCAACACCTCGTGCGTGCTCACCAACCCCGCTTCGTCGAATGCATATCGAAACAGCACATCCCACTCGTATCGTTGCTGAGTGAGTCTGTTCGTGCCGTTCACTATGAGCCCCATGTGGACATGGCGGTGGTCGTGCAAGCTCACACCCTTCACCACCACCGATGTGTCCGCGTGCAGCGCTACAAACACCACGCGCAGCACACCCGCACTGCGCATATACACCCCTCTGCCGCGCAGAGAAGGCAGTGAAAATTGGCGCAATCGGAGCTGTACGTGCGGGGAGTATAGGGGTGCGCCATTTGGTAAGATATCCACTAAACCCTCATGGAAGAACTGAGGGAGCGTCTCGTTGAGTGTGTTTATCGCCCTTCCTGCGTGGTTTAGCGGTGTAGGCAGTGGAATACGCATACACACCGATTCGTAGGGATTGCTGGGAATCTGAGTGGATATTCCTAGTGTTCCTGATAGCTGGAATACGTCTAATCCTCGTAACACCTCTAATGCCTGTACTATACCCAATACACATGGTTGTTCATCCCATACGGCCATGTCCACAGCCACGACGTCAGCCAACACACATCCCACCACCCACGCCATATCCACTGTCCTCGGTACAGAATCATACAAATCAATTAACTCCTCCAAAATCCTCATCGTCGGCGCTGGTGGAATTGGCTGTGAGCTACTGAAGAACGTTATCCTATCTGGCTTCACAGACGTGCACATCATCGACCTCGACTCGATTGACCTCTCTAATCTCAACCGCCAATTCCTCTTCCAAGCGCGGCACATCAAGCGTAGCAAAGCGGTCGTAGCCAAAGAAACAGCGAGCACGTTCAACCCAAATGCGCTTATAACACCCCACCAAGCCAACGTCAAGGAGACTCATTACAACGTCTCCTGGTTCGCCCAATTCGACGTGGTCCTCGGCGCACTCGACAACCTCGACGCGCGCCGTCACGTCAACAAGATGTGCCTAGCTGCAGACACGCCTCTTATCGAGAGTGGAACCACGGGATACTCAGGTAACGTCCAGGTCATCATCAAGGATAAGTTTGAATGCTACGATTGTCAGGTGAAGCCAACTCCCAAGACTTACCCGGTGTGCACCATCAGAAGCACCCCTTCTGCTCCCATTCACACTATCGTATGGTCTAAATCCTACTTACTACCGTTAGTTTTGATTTTCTCTTGCATTATCCTAACCTTTCTCACAATCCTCCCAGACACGTCTTTGGCGAGGCTGAGGATGAGGGTGAGCTTGACCGCGCTGAACTCGACGGTGAGAATGGTGACGAAATCAAAACGCTCAGGGAGGAGCAAGGCTCGTTCAACAAGATACGCGAGGCTGTCAAGAGTGATGGTGGGCCGCGTGTCTTATTTGACAAGATTTTCAACCGCGATGTCAGACGATTGTTGCAGATGGAGGATATGTGGAAGACGCGTACTCCGCCCACCCCTCTCGAGTTTGACGAAGCGAGTACGTCTACAGCGCACCCCACATCTTCTGGCGCCAGTAAGGGTGAGGGTGACAGCGCTACTGAGAATACCGCCGAGAGTGCCATCGCAGACCAGCGCAAACTCACTCTTGCAGACAACGTTGGTCTCTTCCTCGACGCTACTGCCCGTCTCGCCCAGCGCTCTTCTAACACGACCCACCCGATCGAATTCGACAAGGACGACCGCGACACGCTCGAATTCGTCGCAGCTGCTTCTAACCTCCGTTCAATAGTCTATGGCATACCCACCAAGACGCTCTTTGAAGTGAAGGAGATGGCGGGAAACATTATCCCTGCGATAGCCACCACGAATGCAATTATAGCTGGAGTGCAGACGATGAAAGCGATCAATGTGCTCACGAGGCAGATGGAGCTGTGCAAACCGAGTGTTTATCTCGGCTCGCAGTTGATAGCAGCTCCGTTCGAGACACCTAATGCAGGATGCACAACTTGTCGCGATGTCTACCTCACCCTGCCAGTGAAGGCGGAGGAGGTGCGTCTGAGCGAGTTTATAGATGCTCTCAGGAGTAGAGTGGCCGTGTACGCTGATCCATCGCGCGAACTTGCCGTGTTTGAGAGAGAACGTCTCCTCTATGATCCAGATTTCGACGAAAATCTAGACAAAACCCTCATGCAGCTGGGATGCGGCGAGAATACATTCATCACTCTCGTTGATGAGGATGGCGAGGTGGAAAATGTTACCGTCGTTCTCGCTATGCCTGGGGAGGAGAAGATTGCCCTTCCTCACTCTGACTCTATCAAACAGCCTGCAAAGAAGGAGAAGAAACTCGCTCCTGTCGCTGAAAACTCACGCAAGAGAGGCCGTGATGATGATGCAAACGATGACAGTACTAATACACAAACTTACACTGAAAATGCTCAGGGCGTCGTTAGCATCGTTGATAGCAGCGACGACGAAGGCCCACCGCCAGCAAAGAAAATGCACACCGATGGACCAATTACGCTCGACGACAGTGATGATGAGGGTGCTGAAAAAGGTGCTGAAAAAGATATCAATCACGCTGCTAACCACACCGACAACCATACTGCCAATCAATCTCCCCCTTCAAACGACAAAGTCATCAGTTTAGACGACTAAAAAGAATCACGCTAATGCATTCTCTCTCAATCTTATTCTCACCTACCCATTCATATCACTCTGTATAATACATAAACATTGCAACTCCATTAGACCTCTTTGTACATCTGTGGAAATGTCAGCAAACAGCAATAATTATAATCCAACCACACACCTTAATAGTCTTATCAGCACACCCAGTGATCAACCTCGATCCCGTCTGGTCGAACGTCGAGCAGAAGATGCCGGCTTCAGCGTCCAATGAACCGGGTTGAGGAATGTCTGACATGGACTGGAACGGCAGACCTGTTTTGTAATCCCAGAAGGTCATACTACCGTTATCAGCACCAGAAAAGAGTACTCCATCAGGATTAACAGCCAGACTATTTATAATAGAATCGTGACCGCTGAAATTATGCACAAACTGCCCCTCCGGACATTTCCACTTTTTGATATTATTTCCACCAGCGCTGCCACTAGCGAAGGAGTATTCAGTTGGGTGAACAGCCAAGCTACGTACGCTTTTCTTGTGATGAGTGAGTGTAGTCATAGCCTTACCTGCAGCGAGATCCCACAATTTCACCGTGGAGTCCATAGAGCCGGTGATTATTTGCGGGTCACTATCCTGAGTGGCGACGCAGCCTACTGTGCCTTTATGACCAGCCAGGACGTGTACGGGAGCCTTAGTGCGCATATCCCACACACGCGCTACACTATCGCGACCGGAAGTGACGAGGAGATCTAGAGTAGGGTGAACAGCCATGCTATAAACACCCGAGAGATGACCGTGGTAGTGTCGTATCACCTTATTAGCTTCGAGATCCCAGCATTTCACCAATTTGTCCTCCCCGCACGAGAAGAGGTACGGGTGGCGGTTGGAAATGGCCAAACCGCGCACTGTGGATATGTGACCTGTTAAAGATAACTTCAACTCGCCGCTGGCCATGTCCCAGATCTTTATCACTCGGTCTCCGGCGCCAGTCGCAAACCAGTTGTTGTCGGGCTCGACTGCTGCACAGCGCACCCAACCTAGATGACCCGAAATGACACGCATAAGCTTCCATTGTGGGTGGTAATCTGGTTTCGCTTGCGTTTGCGTTTTGAGGTTTATCAGCTGCTGGCTGAGCCTGGTGGTAGACGCGCTGGTGGATGGTGCACTCATACTTGCACTCTCACTCCCACTTCTAACCCCACTCGCGCCCTTGGGGAAGGACTTGTGCAGGATGAGTGAATCGTGGGCGTCCTGCTGCGTGCTTCCTTCAATGGCTCTCTGCGTCGGTTGCGATACTGGGAAGTGTGAGCATAATCGCTATAGAATCTACCTCTACTCACCCTCGCCCGCTTCTGCCCCGTCTGCCTTGCGCGTCTTCTTGCCTCGTGGTCCCGCCTGGGCAGCGAGTGAAGGCGGGAGATTCTGAGCGGCAGTGTATTCGTCCGCTATCTTCGAAGCAAGCTTTGCTTTATTTCTGTGACGTTGGCATTGTTTAGCGAGCGTAATGGAGAGTGCGCAGAACCCACCCAGCCTCATTGACCCCAGTCTCCGCGCTCAAGTCTAAATCTAAATCTGCATAGAACAGCTCCCTGCCTCTCTTGAGATTCTTATTTATTAGTTCGTTTAGTGATGGTAGCTGGCTGCTGGCTGCCATGGTGGTTCTACGATAACAAGCACAATTAAGATACTCAAATGCATATTGTATGATATTCTATTACATTATACTCTATTCTATTACAATACATCACGTCTGCTCACTCACAACCGCCCTCTTCTTCTCAGACTTTGGCTTCGCCTGTCCAGCTTTGGTGTGCGTGCGTATATTCTCCTCTTTAGCTCTTTGCGCATCCACCATAGTCTTCTTAGCTGACGACGCGTTCCTAATAGCCTTTGGTGTGTTTCTTCTGCGCTCCACCTTGCGAACTTCACCCACACCACCCCATCTCTGCCTAAGGCTATCTCTATAGTTCATCTTATCACGCTCACGACCATCAATCTGACCAATCTTATCACTTGCTCTCGACTTCCACATCCTAAGATTACCATCATCTGAGCCAGTGAGAATGTACTTGCTATCCAGACTGAATTGAACATTCATCAGTCTCTGCATACGCTTAGTGTGGTAGCAATCGCTCGATCTACCGTGATTCTTGTCGAATACTCTAACAGTGCGGTCCCAGCCACCACTAGCGATCTGTTGGCCGGTTGGAGACCAGTCACACGTAGTAACAGCAGCTACGTGGTCTTTGTATATCTGTAGCGCACCATTGCCAAGATTGCGTATATCCCATGTGTAAAGATTGTGGTCTTCACCCGCTGTGAGGAGGAGCGTTGGGAGGATTGGGTTGAAAGACAAGTCATTCATCTTGAAAGGAGTCATAATACGACCTATACTACCACCGTTGACACGCGTATCCCATAAAGACACACTTCTATCACTACCTGCAGCAGCCATGATGGAATGCTCGGTGGGGGAGAATTTGAGAGCAGAAATGTTATCGTGACCCCATTTATAGGTCTCAATTGGTTCAGTGCGTGCCTCTTCCCAGAGCTGAATTGCGTTAGATGCAGTTGCGAATGTTGGATGTAAGCGATTGTGAGTGATTGAGCTGTGAGGGAGGTGTTAGTGGGCATGAGAATGTATAAATCAATCCAAAGAGGCTCACTTGATACCAGCATTAGCTGACCAAACTCTTAACGGTTTTTGTGAGTGTTTCTCAGCGACATCTTCATCAATAAAACCGGCGTTATCACCAGCGTCAGTGGAGTAGTTAGCGTCCCACATCTTGACAGACTTATCAACGCCTGCACTAAGTAATCTGGAGTCGCCGCGATTAGACTTAGCTGTATGTGAAAAAGTTAAGGAGGAAACAATGCCATGATGAGCGTTTGGGATGTTGAGTAGAGGTTGACGAGTGGGTATATCATGTACAGCGACTTCACCTAAAGCGCCTGAAGTGGCAACAACGCCCAACCTAGAGCTATCCCTAGCCATGCCGTAAACACCATCACCGCACTCAATTGAACCGATAAAAGGTTTGGCGAACATTCTATCCATTTTAGAGGCAACAACGGCTCTAGTGTATTCTCTTTGTTTAGAGAAATTGTGTAAGTTTGGATTAGGATTACGAGAAGGAGGCTTCTGATCGGATGGATGGGAGTCACTGTGTGTTCTAGTGATTGCTTTTATTTTCTATTGGGATTTGAATTAGAGTTTAAATTTTAAAATATAACAATTCAACAAACCATTTCAATTTTACTTGATAGTACTTAGCAACGATTAGGATGCTTGTAAATTATAGTTCAGATGAGGATAATAATAGTAAACCCTTGAATTCAACTGAAATTCAATCTGCCCCTCAAGTACATACCGCTGCTGCCGTAAGTGGATCGTTAGTTGTATTCGCTGAACCCGCTTAATCACAATCCCAGGATGAACAAGCTCAAGCACTCATGATGAGACCAACTGATGATCAAATGATGGTTAACGTCCCTTACGATCATTTGAATAAATCCTTAGCAGGTCCTCAAGATCCCTTCAGAGATAAGAACAATAGACCTTTTCAAAACCTACTAAACGCACACGTTGAAGAGCACACCATGAATGATCATGACTTTATCTCCCTCCAACGCCAACACGAAGGCATCACTCGTCCTGACAAGAAACAGAGACAATCCTTTCCAAGAGAAGACAAAGGTGATTTAGAAGACGTTGACGGCGATAACGCTTATAAAGGTCCTTGGGCTGAATGGAAGGATGTTCGTAAACCCGATGAGATTGATGCTCCCTACGAAGAAGACGTCGAAAATTGGGAAATTCAACGCGACAACTGGCTCAACGACGCCAACAAAAGCAAAGCTAGCAAAACTCTACTCGCTCAAGGTGGTGAAAAGTCAATCTTCCACGGCAGCCAAACACGCGATTATCAAGGACGCACTTATATGCATATACCGACTGATGTCGACGTCAACCTCTACGGTGAGGAGGGTACCCAGACTAACTTCCTACCAAAAGCTTGTATACATACATGGGCCGGTCACACTAAGGGTGTCTCCAGAATCAAGCTTTTCCCCGGTTCTGGTCACCTCCTTCTATCTGCATCGATGGATAACAAGGTTAAAGTGGGTTATACACTCTGCTGAACTCACTCCAACTCACCTACCTCTTCACAGCTATGGGATGTTTACAACGAGGGTAAATGTCTCAGAACTTTCATGGGCCATTACAGAGCCGTAAAGGATATTTCCTTCAACAATGATGGTACACGCTTCTTGTCTGCTTCGTATGATAAACAAATCAAACTCTGGGATACAGAAACTGGTCAGTGTCTTAGTGCTTTCTCAAACAACAAAAGCCCTCAGTGCATTACTTTCAACCCGGATGCAGACAAGCAGGATACTTTCCTAGCTGGTATGCAAGACAGAAAGATTATACAAGTTGATCTTCGCTCGAATGAGATTACGCAGGAGTATGACCAACATTTAGGTCCAGTTGTGAGTATTTATCGTGTTAGCCAAGAAAGAATATCTAAGTTCACACTCACAGAACACACTAACTTTCGTTGATGATAATCGACGTTTCGTTACAACATCTGACGACAAAACTATGAGAGCGTGGGATTACGATATACCCGTTGTCATTAAATACATTGCCGAGCCCGATATGCACAGTATGCCAGCTGTCGGTTTGCACCCGACGAAAAAGTTCCTGGCTGCTCAATCACTCGACAATCAGATATTGATATGGGCAGCAGACACATTCAAGCAGAATCGCAGGAAGAGATTTGCAGGTCATTCAATATCTGGATACGCCTGTCAATTAGGTTTCAGTCCTGATGGTAGGTATATCAGCAGCGGAGATGGGGCTGGTAACATAGTGTTCTGGGATTGGAAAACGAGTCGTCTGATGAAGAAGCTCAAGGCACACGATAGATGTGTGATTGACCATGCGTGGCTTCCTCATGAGACCTCCAAAGTCGTTACAGCTAGTTGGGATGGATCGATCAAACTCTGGGTGCGTGTGGAGTGTGGAGTAGCATGTGTGGAGCATACTAACAAATACACAGGATTAACACTATTCATCCCCACATTATTATGTATTATACGCCATATTAATATTGTTATCGTCAAATATTGTTAAATTGCTACTCCTCACCGACGCACAGCCTTCTTGGACACTGCACTTCGCGAGGGCGGCCAGCAGCGAGCAGCGAAGAGTGACGCTGGCGTTGAGAAGAAGAAATAACCAATAAATGCATAGAGAAACCCACTATATGCAATATACGCCATATACAGACGCAAAAGGAGATATGCTCGCCACATCGATAACAGCGCACGAGCCACAAGGCAAAACGGATGGAGCCACAGCGGCAATGGAAATACCTCGCACAAAAATCGCGACTGGCACATCCGGCACACCTCTCTCGCCGTTCTCTCGCTCGTTCGGCGTACTAGTGGACGACGTGTCCGGTTGCGCGTATGACAGCACAAATACAGACACAGCATGTGATTTGAGCTGCGAGGTAGTTTCGGAAGAGAGTCTGTCCATGTCAGTCGATGATAGTAACAGCAACAACAACAGCTACGCTCTCACTGATTACCTCCCGCGACTGGAAGAAGACTTCTGCAGAAATTTTACATGCTGCGGTGTTTACCTGGATAATTTGCACCAGCTGCAGAACCATTACGAAGCCGAGCACAAGCAGGTGCAGCGGGGGAATGTGGATAAAGTCGAGCAGACCGACGAGGGGGGTGATGACATGAGCATGAGCAACATGAGCAACATGAGTAGCCGGAGCAGCACGAGCAGTGGTAACTCACAAGGCGCTGTCAGCACACCCGCCAGTTCAATACACAGCGATATACAGTCTCATAAGCTCAGATTGTCGCAGGCACATAGCCCACTCACAGCCAGCTCCAGCTCCAGCTCCAGCATCAGCATGCCTGGTACGCCGATGATGGATATGGAGATGGATTTCGGAGTCAGAGTCGCAGGTGCTGTCGACAACGCCTACTCACCTGCTGTGCCGAGGAGCTTCAGTGGGTGCATTACTCCGCACATGCTCCATCCAGCGGCTATGGCTAGGCAGCAGAGTCAGAGTCAGAGTCAGCATCAGCAGCTCCACCACCAGCAACCCTCTCATCCACACAAATCTGTACCCGTTAGCATGTCTAGCCCATTATCTGGGTTCTACGCTCAGCCTCCGCTTGCACCGCAGCCAAACGCGGGTCGCAGAGGTCCATTCGCTTCCCTCCAGCCGCAGCCCGCGCGCTCGACCACATCGACTGCTGCTAGTGTAAAAGGCTTGTCTAACCAGAGCAATATGAGCAACACCAACACACATATACCCTTCACAGCCGCAGTTCATCCCCCAGCAAATCCACAGGAGGAGAAGGACAGAGACAAGCCATACAAGTGTCCAATTCCGGTGGGTTAATGATATTAATTTTGTTGCGTAGAGCTCTTCTCATTCTTTGCAGGGCTGTAATAAGGCATACAAACAACAAAACGGTTTGAAATATCACAGATCTAAGGGTCAGTGCTCATTCCAGCAGCAGAAGCATAATCAGGCGCAAAGTCGCGAACATCAGCTTATTTTTTCGTGAAATGGTCCTGAAGTGAAACACCAAAAAAACACACGACACACGATACATAACAAACAAAGAACACAAGACAAAAGTAAACCCGCGTAGTTTTGTATAAAGTATATATAAACGAGAAATCATGATATATCCCACAAAAACTCGTGCAACTTGACTCCGAAACTTTTGGCCAGATTCGACGCGACGTGGTATCCGATAGCGCACTTGAATGTCATTCCATCGAGTCTGTCAGACGGACATGTACGCTGAACCATTTTTATACGCGAAAGATGAGCGATATTCTGTAAAACATCTACCTGACCAAGCTCGTTATCGGTGAAGACTCTTGAATCGTTTTTGAGGTTATTGAGTGAGTAAGTAGTGAGAGTAGATTCACTAACGAAATGCAACAATGAACCATATATATGCAACCATCTATCGAATGAAAAGTTCTTAGGACCTAGGAGATTTTGAGCAGGTTTTTTGTTCTGCTTAGATAATCCAATGTCACGTCGTCTAGGCCTGTACCTTTTTGCCCGCTTATCGCTACTGATAGACAGCATCTGTATATCCTTCTTAGGTGGGTTATATGAGGCGAGATAAGATGCAATGAGAAGGAGTTGCGCACAGCGTGTGAGATCGGTAGGTAGTGAGGCTTGCAAGAGATCCATATGATCAGGAAGACTGCTGTTGATCGACTGTATCACACCTTTACTAATTTTGCTGAAAGTGAGTGTAAGATGGTCATTGTCTCTCATTGACGGTCTCGCACTGAGCTCTTTCCAAGGGTGTATAAAAGTAGGCCATGATTTATGCGTTATTTTGAGCAGTTCCTTGGGCTGAGTGTTGAGTGCAAGCGTTGAGCTCATGATGAAATTGCATAAAGCGAGATAAGAGTTGTGAAGATTTTCACCAATATGCACCGGACGGTTGAGAATGAGATAGTCTAAGATATCTTTGTGAGTAACTGAGGGTATATTTACGACGATAGGATCAGGAGAGAGACCATTGGTAGGACGAAGGGTTGTGTAAGGCTGGTTTGAAGTGAGGATCAGAGTGAGTGGGGAGTTAATGATTTCAGGAAGACGTTGGAGTGCTATGAGAAGGTTGCCGTAGGATTTGAGTCTGTGAGCGTCAGAAATGACGATGAAGCGTTTGCTCGAGTCACCACCATTCAAGGTGGATAGACCATCGATCAGCCTCTCAATTGGATTGGTAGAATCTCCGTCAACGCCGAATGCCGACAAGACGCGCTCAACGACTAAACGCGCGTTATAAGCCTCATTTGAATCAACGAAAGGTGTATTCCTCGGAAGCGCCTGTTTGAGAAAATCAAGGGTGAAATCCATGGATTGTATATCTTGAATGAACATTGATTGCGGTGAGGGTATGTCAGGGGATATAAATGTGCTCAATTTCCTTTGGATTGCGTTTTTATGAATTTCCATATTGAGAGTGTATAAACAAGGAGAGAGTGTGTGCGGGATTTGATAGTTGCCATTGTAATACACGTATAACACTATACACACTTCCACATCAGCCCTGCTATTCTCCCAAATTCGTTCAATTTTGCACGCCCCTCTACTCAACCAAGTAAAAGCGCGTCTCTCGTCTTGAATCACCGTCACAAGGAGGACAGAAAAACATAAAAGATGACAGCGCCTGTATTACCAAATCATTTCAATGATTTATTAGATATCTCCGAGGTGCCCACTCCAAAATGGCAACAAGTAGGCTTTTCTCCCTTCTCTGGCCTTTCTTTGGCCCCTTTTCTACGCGACTTGCTCACAAAACGCTATAGATTACGCGAGACGATAGACCAATCACAATAGCTAGATTGAAGTTGCCTCATCCGGTTAGTTTAGCGCCATTTACGCCTTTCAAATCATCTTATTCCCCACTCAGCGCGAAAAGCACACGTTCGTACTCAGGAGATACGATTGCAATGGAATATCTTTCGGATCGCTCTTCAAGGCCGCGTTCCCATACGCTACTGATGAGGAGGAGAAGAATGAGTTTGACTACGTGAAGAAAAACTACGATGTGATGTTGGTGCCTACTGAGGAGTACAGAGACACGAAGCTTGCTAAGCTCGCTGGATTTTGGTATGTGTTTGCTGTTGGTCTCGTTTACAGCCTCTTACTCTCCTCAGGATTCCAATTGAAGTTGCTCAGAAACTCGGTAAACGCTACGCTATGGAGGATTTCTTAGAAGCGCTTATTAAAGCAGACAAACCAGACTTGACAGATTTCAAGAAACGCTCTTCAAACAGACAAGCCTCAGAGGATGCTAAGAGCTCTCCAGCCAAAGCTCAGGCTTCTTTGGAATCACCAGCCAAGTCAGCTACAAAGATACCAACACCAACTAAGAATCCGGCTCCTAGGAGATCAGCTAGACATCAATCGAGATCACCATCACCATCACCCCTGACTCACAACCTCACCCCAGGCAAGAAGAAGGCAAAGAAGGCACCAAAGGAGGCAGTCATTGAAGAGAGTCTCGAAGAAACTGTTACCACAATCCAGCCTCCATCGCCAATGATGCATCAGTCTTCACCCGTGCATGAACAGCCATCCTCTATGCACGACCAACAACAGCCACAGCAGCAGCAATCATCACCAGTACACCACCCAGCACACCAACCAGTGCTTCACCAGTCATCACCACTCAAAGCTGCTCTCAACGATGACCAAGTACTTGCTGATATCGAAAGGGCAAAGGACTTGGTGGATGATATTAAGCAGTCCAAACAGTTGGCTCAAGGCAGTCCAGTAAAGGTGTCTGGTGAGGAAGTGGAAGTTACTGTTCAACAACCAACCGTCTTTACAAGCACCTCCGATCAAGGTGAAGGTGAGGGTAAGAGAAAGCGCGAGTTGGAAGATGAGACTGGAAACGAGATCAAGGTTGTGTCGTTCGGACAGAACCCACCTGCAAACGCTGAGGAGATACAAGAAAGACCAATTGTACAGCGTAGAGGTGTTGCTGCTGCAGTTGGAGCTTTTGCACTTGGTTTCGGTTTTGCAGCCAGCAATATCCTTCCAAGGTTCTTGTTTTAAGCGAGCACTTTAGTAGTGCTAACAGGATACTTATTGCTTCTACCACCAATACTCATTATTAATAATGCTTCATCTTTCTTTTCCTCGATTTGTCATTCAAAGCCTACAATATCTAATAATCTTTTTCATTCTTTGTATGTTTAGTAAGGTATAAAATGAATAAAATGAGAGTTCAGTTGTCAAATTTACGATTTGGGTTGCTGCCGAAGAGATCGTATCTGATTTCAGGCAGCATTCTGTCTTCAAGGAGAGTAAGACGGGCCTCGATTGTGTTATCGATAAAGATGCGATTTCCGAATGCGCTAGCCTTGAGACCGCCAGCAGCTGAGTCCTCGAGGGATGTCTGCACCTGTATATCAACATCGCGACCAGAAAGCTCCTTGTATTCACTCTTAGCCGAGTCAAGTGAATTTTCTGTCACCTGCTTATCCTTAGGTCTAATGTGTATAATAACCTGCTGCTCTATAAGCTTCAATAAAGACTGTACGATCAATTTCTTGATGACTTCAGCGTAATCGTCGGATTCGGAGAGCTGGTTAACACGATGCTTAACGTCTTCGAAGAGTGTGTTAAGATGGTCTTCACGGCTGCTGAGTACTTTCAGTCTCGATTTGTTTGTTTCTGTGGATTGTGCGCTGCATTTGGTTGTGTTGTGAGTATAAGAGTGAATGCCTCATAGCCAAACTCACATCTTGCGGGCCACGGTAGCCTGCTTGTCCTTCTTATCGTAAACGCTATCGAGATGCTTCTGCTCCTGTGCGACAATCTTGGCCTTCTCATGCTCGTACTCCTCGTCAGCCTTAACACGCAGCTCTCTCGCCTTCTCCTCTGCCTCCTGCTTGATGAACTGTACCATTTTGTTAAGCTCGTGCTTCACTTCATCGTCGTCCATTGGTTTTGTCATGGTGTTGGTGGTGTTGGTGGTGCAGGTCCAACGTCTATGCGCCTGCCAGCGGCTTGTACTAACACCACAAACAATATACAATGCCCCCACGCAGACTGCCTAGCTCTGTGAGCATAGGCACAGCGTATGAGATGGCCGTACGCCACACTCTCGCTCGCCAGCTCCAATTCGAGCTGAGTAGAGTCGGCGGTGCGCACGATCGCGGCGTTGACCTGATGGGCGTGACGCGCACTCCTCAGCGACTTAGTTTGGTAGTGCAGTGCAAATGCGAGTCCAAGAAGCTGTCGCCGCGTCATGTAAGGGAATTGCAGGGCACGCTGGTTCAACATCTCGATAGCAGCGGTATGACAATCGCCTTGCTGGCTAGCTCACAGGGATTCACTTCTAGCACCGTTGCAGAAGCTATCGCTTCGCGTCTGCCGCTCTCCCTAGTGCATATCTCAACTAATGGGACTCTCCATAATTGCCTTTTCAACAACGCAGCTTCACTCCTCCTCGGTAAAGCTGGTTTGCAGCTCGTCAAGAGCTTCAGCACCGCCCGTAGCCCCAATAGCGATGGCATGGACTTGGTTATATCTCTCGAGCAAACAAAACCATCGACATGAAATTCGAATTGGCTACGTATTGGTATTATGTTTAGACTTAGAATTTAAAGTAATATGGAATTTACGCGAAATAGTACTACAAGATCCTTTTTCCTTTTGTATCAATATTCTCATACACTGTACGCAACTCTGGCACCTGCAAAGACATAAGGATATCTGCAAAACGGGTCAGATTTTAGCAGCTGAAACCAAGTTCTTACGTACGGCTTCTGGTACCAATTCCTGAACGACGCTCTCTCAGCAATCCTACCCGCGGATGCATAACTTGCTCCTGAGACTGTATAATGAGCACCGTCGAAGAAATCGTTCGAGTAGCCTGGATACAATTTGCTTGGCTCGTATCCTTCCAATTTATCGAACGGATTGCTCGACCACTCCCACACGCCCCCATTATGTCCTTTGCCGACGCGGCTTGGTGGAGCAGGAGGAACGGGGTGCCAATTACCGAAGCTGACATTAGCTGCAGGATGGTCGTTGGCCGTGACGCTGCTCAGCACCTTCAACTCGGGCTCGTTCGGGATCCTACCGCCTTTATCGTGCGCATATCTCTCCAGCCACTCCAGACTATCCTGGACAGGCCAGTGCTGTGCAACATCGAACTCAACAAGACCGTACAGCGTGCGTACCTTTGTTGACCCATCACGCACTGCCCACGATGCAGGCATGTGTGTGCTGTGCGTACGCTCAAGCCACTCCCTAAACTCGCCATTGCGGATCGGGAGAGCATCGACGCGGAAGGCTCCGACGTGGGAGAGTGTGGCTGCATGTTCACAATCCCACCCATACTCGTGCGTCTCTGGCTGGTCGTTGGCGAGATTCTGATCCTTATCGCCTGACTCGGCGTCGTCGTGTCCGAGCGTAACAGTCTGTGCTGGGAAATGCAAGATATTATTGCTCAGTGCTTCCTCCCCCTTCTTGCCATTCCACATGGTCGCCAATGCTTGCCAATCTGGCACGCTGAATCCGGAAGGTGGGTTGATGTCCTCGCATTTCTGTATAAGCATGTAAAGAAGTGTCTCGCCGTGCATTATCATATGCTCGTATGTCATGTGCAGCACACGCGATAGACGTCGATCTAGGTGCACCTTACCCAGATCGAGATCGGCGTATATGTTCAGCAGACGCTGTCTGGTCCTGACGTCGAACTCTAGCACTTGCGCGAGAGTTGGCCAGTCTTCCTCCTTCTCAGGCACGAGCGAGTGGTCGTGACAGACATTCGGGTCGTCCATCGATGGATCGATCCCGCGCTCGAAAATATCCTTGAAGCGCGCATTTGTGAGCGGTGTGTCGAAGTGGTTTGAGATGTATATATCCAAGAATGCTGGAATGTGGCCAAAATAGAATAGCACTATGTGACGTAAATCTATGGGCTTCCGGTGCAACATCTCATCAGGTACCATACCCATTATGCAATCCCAGCATTTCCACATCTCAATCCAGTCAGAGACGAGTGGGACACCCTGCAACGATTGGCGAGTAGTGTTGGCCCACGATGGCAGATTAGGCGGAAGGAGGTTGAATGATGGACGCTCTACCAACCACAATCCATACATGTCATTGCTGTCGCTCCATTTATACGTCGCGCGCAGCCCCGCTGCCCTAAAAAGTGAGATGGCTTCTTCATCGGAGTACTTGTATGACCATTCGACATTGAGTAGTTCATCTTTTTGGATTTGAACCTGTTTAACGGTATCTGTAAGCTCATTAAATGCGTTTATCGTAGGAATCGTAATCGTCAGTGCCTCCTTGGCTTTGTAGTAAGCCTCGTGACGTCCATTGTCCTCGTCGTACACTGAGACATACTCAAATTTGCCCTCGAGTAATTGATCGTTGTTGTCGTTGTATGGTGCGAGGATACGGCTAGCGTGCGAAAGTCCGTTGAGGATGAAGCGCTTTGTTACGCCAAATTCATCATCGTATGCGCGCTTCACCATGTTCTTCTCATTTCTCTTGTCGAGCCCGACGAGCAGAGTATCGAAACCAGGCCTCAGGCTTTCCCTGACAGTCTGAAGGAAGGATACTGCACTGTTCCTGTCAAAATTTCCGATAGACGAACCGAGGTGCCAGAAGGAGAGGGGGTTTCTGTCGTCACCCAGCACACTCAAGCTCGACTCTGACTTCCCAGCAAGACCAGGAGAAGATGGCGGGGTTAAGACGGAGGATTTACGCGGTGGTGGCGCGTCGCCGAAATCACTAGCGCTGGATTTGCGATCAGATGGGGTGATTGGGGCAGAGGAGTCAGGGCTACTATCACCTGATGAATCAGACTCCTTCTTGATCTTGGAGGACAGCCAGTCGAATCCCATGTCGTAGGTGCCGCAAAGACCAGCCATTGTGACGTCTTTGTCTAGCTGCTGATGGTGCATATCGGCCAGCGTACGCTCGAGCTCGTGCCTGTCGAGATCAAGAGCAAAGTAATTGATGTCGCTGCGTTTATTGGATCTGCTAAGCTGATTCATTGCGTCGAGAAGGTGTGACGTCTTCCTGAGTGAACCAGCGCCCAATTCAACCACAGTACCAGCGTTGTATGAGTTGAATAGCTTCTGGGCTATTTGGTGCTTATTGTCTCTCAGAATCTCCAACTCTTTCCAGAACGGATAGTAAAAGGTTCCTGAGAGTGTGAGTGGCGTGGGACTGCAAACAAGAAACTCGAAACTCACCTTGGGTAATCTCGTCATATAGCTGGAGACCCTTGTTATCATACAGAAGCAGCGTGGGGATTGACTTCGTGTAAGGCAGCGAAGTGGACTGGATGCTGTCTGGGTTATGTTCCAAATCGTCCAACGAGCTAGAAAGCGATTTTAGTGAGAAATTCGGATCGATTTCCAATTCTGTAGATAGATTGTATATTTCAGCCATCGCCGTTCAATTGAGACTCATGCGGCAGCCAAACGGCACCTTAATTAACCAATTACGTCAATAATACCCGACCCACAAATACTTTGGACAGTATAGTCGTGATTCGGGTAGCTCAAATTGTGTGTATGTACTTGCCTAATTGTACCACAGTGATTTGCGCCATCGTTCCTGGAGATCATTTGATTTCCTGATAAAGATGGGTTGGAGACGCGTCGTTAACGAGGGTCTGCATTCAGTAGTACATTTCATCTTTGCGTATCTCTCATTTTCGCTATCTCTTCCTCCTTCCGCTCAACGTTCATCATATCAAAGGCTCAGAAATGGAAAGAGATCCACTGGGACAGAACAGACCTTTTAGACATCAAATAGATTCGTGCGTCTTTGTTTCGCGTTTCTGCGCTCTCTAATGTCACAATAGCGACGAGGAAGATGAAGATATGCAGGGCTTTTATCCAGGCCAGCAATCGCAGCAGACGCAAATAATAGACACACCTTTGCAATTCAAGTCGGCTGTAGACGCCCGATCCCTCCACAAACCGCTGCTCGTTGCTTTGGGTGAAATCGGACGTCATCTCGTAACAAGACTCGAGCAAGTGAGCGTGGTGAATGAAATTTCAGCAGACGGTCAAGTGGTGCGTCGCATTGAAGCTATTTTGCATCAACTAATGTATACTTTAAGATAGCACTGCTGCTCGCACACAAGGACAATGCCAGCATACTCTACATCCCCTCGCAGCCCGTCTTGGAGCTCACACACAAGCTGAGCGTACTAATCCTCGACTTGCTCAAACCAAGCTCGGTTGTCTCGGTGGACACATACCCCAATACGACGATATACCTCCAAGACTCCGATAGCGAGAACCCTCCTTTGTTACAACTGGCAAATGTGGCTGAGGATGGCGTTAGCGGTGTAGATTCCCTCCCACCGCCCAACATTATCGAGGGTATTTCAGCTGCACTTCTGTCTAGTGGTCTCATTAGCCAGTCGATTACACCCGTAGTTGCACTTCTCGTTCCTACTCTGGCACCTCACACGCCGATAGTCAGCCAACGTCTAGCTAATAACGTTGTCGTTGCTCAAAGACTGAAGAGCGACGACTTGGATGATTTCATTGAGGGGCAAACCATGTTCAGCATCTTGGCAGACAGCGTGAAGCTCAAGACTGGCATAGTTTTCAACGCGAAGCAAGTACAAAACAGGATAGACTTCATTGGTCCGTTTAGAAGGAAGAGACACACTGAGAACCTGATGTACATGTAGAGTAGGCGTTGAGCTTACTTTGGTGTAAATATGTTGGATAGAGGGAGCTGGCGATGCATATTCTGTGTTAATTCTATATACTCGTCTATATCAGGACTGATGAAGCCGTGTCTGACAAAGAAATCGATCAGGACCAATGCGCAATTTGGTTTGAACTGTCTATCGTGGATGTTTGCAATAGCCTGATCCACACTGATACAACTAAATGACTGCACCTCGCCATCATTGGGTGTAGGAGTTACGTGGTGATCCACCTTCAAATCGAAAACGAATTGAATTTCAGGTTGTGCGAAGAGGCCTTGTTTCATATAGAAGTAAGTGACGACGCCGGTGCTCTTAAGGCTGCTATGTATGATCTCACTGGGAAGATTAGCCTCCTCTTGGCACTCTTTGATGACAGTATGCAGGACGCTATCACCGAAGGCTATTCCACCGGCTACAGTGTTATCGAGCATGGCAGGGTAAGTCTGCTTGGTGGGTGATCGACGCGGTATCCATAATTTGTAGTCGGGAGTGAATGCAGTGAGATGTATCCCGTAAGTGGGTATACCAAGAATACCAGCGGCTGCCCTCTCTAATGTGAAGAGGAGGGAGTTGTCTGCGCTGTACACCCCATAATCCTCATTGCGCCAGCCATTCAACTCATGTTTGACTGGTAAGGGAGTATCTGTGGCTTCTTTGAGTGTTCTAAAGTGGAGATTTATAATTTCTGAGTCGCGTTGAACCGAGGAGTGGGTGTATATCACAGAATCGTGTTTGATAGTGAATGGAGGGATATTAACGAACCCAATCAATTGTTTGTTAATGTAGCCGATAGTATGTGTATTGTGCTTCAAAGGTATAAATCCTTTTGGATTGAAATTATTCAACTCGCGGATTAATTCTATCATCTTCATCGTCGACGTCCATCAGATTGACTTGGATTACTAGAGATGGAATTCTACACAAAATTACGTGATAAAGATAGAGCCCTGGATGATAAAATACAGCTTATACGCACCAACACCCACTTTATCCCAAATCTCCACGAGATGGTCGTTGACTTCTTGGTGACTGAGTTATCTCAACACCCGGATATCCCTACATTATGGCAAATGCTGCGCTCTAGCCTAGACGCACATCCAATTACGGCCAATATCATACGCTTGGTGAAAAAATCCAACCTGATTAACCCAATCTCTGTGGTATTCAAACAAAACAACGAAGATGCACTAGAGAATGTCGCTAGAATACTCGATTTGACTATAGGCCACTATAACAAAGACTCTGTCCTCAATTCGTACTCAATTTACCTCAATTCAGCCACATATCCACCAATCAACGATATATTCATCCGCTTCATACGTCTCAACAAGTTTAACAAGAAATCTTTATCTGGATTCGTACTTGAGAACATTGATAAATTCATCACTAACTACTCCTTCACCTCCCTCCTTATCACTCAAACTGACACCATTCGCTCTATTCAATGGGCTAGCGATATGGACGACTTTCTCATTTATCACCTCACCCAACACTACGATAAGGATTTGATTGAGCACTTTATTCGCACCAGCACAAGCCATCACCTTATCAGCAGTTTGCTCCAATTGAATCAATCAAAGGCTGTGCCTCTGTCGGAAGACCTATTGCAGCACCTCACTCACCAATCCATCGAGTTACGATCACCAACCATTTTGAATGCATTGTGGACCATAGAACCTGACCATATGTTTGCGCATATTGATGCCAGTATTCGTATAGGCTTAGCGGACGATGTAGACAGAATATTGCAGGAGAAACTTCTCTTCACCATCATTACCGTCTACTCGGATACGCGTTCGTTGCCTACGCTTACAGAATCGCTCATTAGCGCCCTCTCCTCTAATAAGCACATACACATGCACAGCACCATAGACTACGCACTGATGAACGCATACCAAATATATACGACATCTGAGCAAGTCGAGCAATTGTGCAATTACTTTGGAGATAGATTGAGGGGGACTTATGGAATCGAGCCGTCTATCAAGAAACGCAAATCGGAGGGTAATGGCAAATCGGTAATAAACCCAGACGTTTCGTTTACAGCTACTGCTGCAATAGCAGAGCTCTTTTTCATGGCGCTCCCCAAGCTACTGACAAGCGTGACGGCTGGCGTAGGTGATGACCTTCGCACCCAGGTACAAAAGCTCGCCGAAGATATATCCCCGCAGTACACAATTTCAGATGCTAGCAAAGAATACCGTTCTGTGCGGCTGATGAGGTGTCTCGCTATCAATCAAATCATCACTCTACCGCAGGTTTTTAACGCGATGATTGACGCATTCGAAGCCGCTGCGAAGAATGACGATGACAGCCTAGCTTCTGAATATGCCCAGATGGCGTTTTTCACGCTCAGTCATAAGGTTGTAGACGGTGATGTCGCGAGGAGGTTCCTAGATGTATCCACATCTGTCGCCTTGCACTCGTCAAAGGTCGGGGAAAAGGTGCTGGGATGTGTAGTGCGTCATCTCTACGTGCTGGAGTAAGTCGCTTCACTGTCAACTTGCCGTCTTTTAACAACATCGCAGACACTACGCGCGCGATGAACATCTTGACGCCTTCATCGAATTCATTTGCAGAGGTGAAGACATATACACATCATCGCAAGCTGTGGCTGTGGAAGAAATTCTCACTTCTGCGTTGTTTTGGGAACTCTCTCGCTTTAGGAGCCGGTTGACGACGCATGTGGAATCTACTCTTAAGAGCGGTGACCAGAGGATTCAAGCGCACACACTCACACTTCTCCTCCGTTTCCCAAGGGGGTCTTATACGTCTAAATTTGTGCGCAATCTTGCTATCGATACGGCTATCGCGCTAGAGAGTGTAGCCGAGAAGGTATCTACTTACATCACCCTTCGTCGTCTATTGTTGGCGCTGATTGGTGATAACGCCAAAGTTGGCGCTAAGGTGTGTACAAGTTGTCGCTTGCAAGGGTTACCAAATCTTATTCGACGCAACAGAACGAGGAGTATGCAGTGTATCTAGCGACCAGCTCAACGTGGAACACTAGTGGAGATGAAAAGGCGTTAAATGAGCTGAACAAAGTCTCAATACAGCTGCTTGACATGTTGGCAAGGTGAGTACAATGTGTATCTAAGCAAAGCGGAGCTCCGGCTCACCACAAACCCACAGACCAATCATCCGCACCGACTGTGCGCAATTGTTCAAAAAACTGCACAAGAAATTCGACAAAGGTGTCTTGAGCATGATGGCAGCGAGTTGTGTTCTAGAAGTATACTTGGCGCACCACAAACCCAGTCAAGAAAGCGAGAAAAGCGCAACGATGACAACAACAACAACAACAACAACGAAAGACGACAACAAGTATGTGTACAAGCTGACCCAGGCAATGGTGAACAAACTGTGCAGCGAACTTGTTTACCACACCACCGTCGCTAACATCTCCGCTTTGGTATCGTGTCTGCGTATGAGTATGATACGGGGTGGTGGAGCTGTCGATGCAAAGTGTCTGGATATAGCTAAGAGCGTCACATTAACACGCGTGCACTCTACAACACCAAACGCTCAGGTAGATTCTGCAACTTCGGTACTCCATTTCTTGTCGGCTGGACTCGTACGCAATGTCGAGCAAATAGACGTAGCTGCTGCGTCATGGTGTATTTATCACGAAAGAGCATCAACCGAGATGAAAAGCGTGATTGGAAGAGGATTGGCTGAGGTTGTAGTTATGTTCTTAGGTGATAATAACAACAATGACGTGGATGTCGTCGGTAATTTGTGGGAAGTCTTTCATTCTCACATCCGTGAGCCGACTTCACCCCTTTTGGCTGCGCTCGATGGGTTGAGAGTGGTGGTCAAGTCGTGCAGAGAAGGTGGGAATGGTGTGTTTGCGTAGACAGATAGCTGACAATACCAATATGTAGGAAGGTTCATTCGCAGACGTCTCTCGGGATTATTAATCGATCTAGCCAACGCAGCTGCTGTATACAAGCACCTTCCAACCACATTAGGTGGGATAATCGAACTCCTCGAATCAATTGTACATGAGAGGGTAAGTTGGTCTATATAATAACTCCCTCCAATTCTGACCAACCAACAAGGCTATTCTCCTGCAATCTACAGACGTAGGATCGATACTGATAGCGCTGACAAACGCAGTAAGCGCGTCGAAGGGGACAGTGGAGAATGAAGCAGACTCAGCGAAAGCACAAGCACTCTATGACCGGGTGAATTCAACGTTACTCCAACTAATCAGACTGCGTAGAGACATATGCGCCAGCCATGCGCCCTCACTAGCGCTTCTCCTGAGTGGGCTAATCGGGTTACCACTAACACTGCGTCCCAATCTTGGTGGGGGAGCAATACGAGCGCATCTAGCGCACCGCCCGAGCTGGCTACCTAGCGAGATGGCGCTGAACCCTAAATCACTTACGCGGCTACTGGAGGGGTTAACGACGAAGACGGTGCCACTGACAACACAGCACCAGCAGCAAGTCACGTCGAACAGCTTGAAGGAGGCATTCGCGCGTCATGCTTATATTGTCCTGCACACTTTCGCTCGCTCGGCCACCTCCCCACATAGCTTCTACCCTCAGTCTACCAGACATAGCTTGATGGCAGGCTTGTATGCACTGTGCGAGTGCGTCGATCTACATAAAGAACAGGAATTTATGCTTTCGGGTATCACGGATGATGGCGCAAGGAGCGTCGTCAAGGTCTTGTGGAAGGATTACGATGAACAGCGCTATGTCGGTCTCTCGTGATAACTGTGACAGTGCTGTACTATTTATTCATTTGCTTTGTTAGTTTATATATAAATTGTTCATTATCTTGTTATCAAATGACTGACATGGCTGATAATACAAATACAAAACTAATCGCAGCGGCATTCGAGGGTGCGTATAATAGCTTGAGAAAGCAGCACCCAACCAACAAGCCGCCCAGGCCAGAAGAAATCTTACTGCCCTTACAGCCAGTTTAGAGTGGGCGCGGCAGTTGTGAGCGAGGATGGCAAAGTGTTCAGTGGTGCGAATGTGGAGAATGCGTCGTGGGTAGTGCAGGCTGGAAGTATAAGGACATATTTCTGACCACATCTGGTACAGATATGGCGGAGCAATTTGTGCAGAACGTACAAGTCTGGTGAAGGCTGTAGTGGGTAGAGGTACGCAACGAGGCTGGTAACGCTCACCGAAGACAGTCAGAGGGGTGCACCAACCTGAGCGGTCTGGCAGTCGTCTCTGATCTCGATGAACCTATCACGCCATGCGGGATTTGTAGACAGTTCCTCAGGTGCGGTTGGAGTGTTTGGTAGTGTTGAGTTGTCTATTCACCACATTGCCATTTTACAGAGAATTCTTTGCTCCACGTACACCTATCTTGCTGGTATCGCAATCGCACCACGCGAACGCAAACAGGCGCGATACAGATTATGCAGGAGAAGTCGTCATCAAGACTAATATAGAAGAACTATTGCCGTGGGTGACGAAGCCATTCACTATTCACAGCTAATGTCGTTACAGACGCAGCTTTGGACCGGAGCAGTTAGGATAAATTACGAAGAAGCTTTGTGTATCATTACATTTAATAGTCGAGGAGTCAGGAAGAGAGTGAAAGAATCCCATGCGAGTGGTTTATGCAGTGGCCATTTCCTTCTTCATATCAGCAATAGCCATAGCTGGATTGAGACCCTTTGGACAAGTGCGAGTGCAATTGAAGATGGTATGGCATCTGTATAAACTGAAAGTGTTCTCGAGCTTCTCCTTACGCTGAGCAGCCTTATCGTCTCTAGAGTCAGCGATCCATCTATAAGCCTGCATGAGAACGGCTGGACCGAGGTACTCATCTTGATTCCACCAGTAAGATGGACAAGAAGTGGAGCAACAAGCGCAGAGGATGCACTCGTACATACCGTCCAATTTCTTCCTCTCCTCTGGCGACTGACGGTGTTCAACGCCATCGGGAACGTTGTCAGATTGGAGGTATGGCTCAATTGATTTGTATTGCTTGTAGAATTGAGTCATGTCAGGTACTAAGTCCTTGACAATGTACATATGAGGAAGTGGATAGATTTTGCTCGGCTTGTTCTCATTTCTGTCTATTCTGCATAAACAAGCCAATGTATTCTGGCCTTCAATGTTCATAGCGCAAGAGCCACAGATTCCTTCTCTGCAAGACCTTCTGAAGGTGAGTGTTGGGTCTGCTTCGTTCTTGATCTTTCTATGCGTATTCATGAGTCGTGTATCTATTGGCGATATTCGCCACCCACAATAAAGCGTCTAGTACCATTGGTCCACATGAGTTGAGGTCAACGTCGTATGTCTGCATGCGTGGCTTTTCTGCTGGTTCATCTGGGTTCTGTGGAGTGTTAAAACCGTTATACAACCCAGCCACAGGTCAAACTCACCCATCTGTAGATCTGGAACTTCTTCATTAGCGCAGGCTTAGCGCCACCGACGGGAGTGGCAAGTGAGCGACGTGTAGATGAGCTGAATGATCTAGCTGCTTGCTTTACAGCCACTGAGCTTCTTGACATGTTTATCATTTTTCGTCGTCGTTGTTCTCAAAAAGGCCGAATCGTCTCAGCAAATCAAATCGCCTAAGTTTGTGAAACCGATTTCAAGCGAGGATTGAGTGGTGATGTGAGGGGAGTGTATTTTATCCATTTATCAATCTTGACATCAATAATCACACCAAAGAATCATGTCAGAGCATTCAGTCAGTCAGTTCAAGATGAAAATTTTACATAATTTGAATTCATATTTATAAACGATTTATTCTTCAAGTGGTGTGTACTCTCTGGCCTGTGAGATTATTATTAGCTTTACCATTTCAATTACCGAGCTTAAACCCACCTTATTCTCATCAACACCACTTAACTCATCCTTAAGTCCATCTCTGTAGCTTAAATTAGTATTAAAATAATCGTAAAACCCATCTTAACCCACCTAGGATAATCTCTTGGTGCAACGTTACGCTGTGGTACCATTGCGCTGGCCAAATAACCAAATGCAGAGAAAGCAATTATAGTGTAAAGAATACTCTTTGCAGATTCCGCGTAAGAGTATTGATGTACATCTGGTGCGTGCACTCCAAGGACATCCTCATCTTCATGTAGCTATAGTTGTGTATGAGCTAGAGATCAAAAGGACCAAAAAACACCCACCAAATCACCAAAGTTGGTTCTGCCTTGTTGATCCCAGTACTTGTTGTATGGGTTCTTCTCTTGTGCTTTCTGTGGTACAAATTGTGGGTAACCACCTAATTGAGGATCTGGTTCATCACCCGTGGTAGCTGAACTTTGTCTGGTAGCGTAACATCTAACAGAATTGGATATGTTTATTTGCTTAAATCCACGCCTAGCAATCATATTAATCATTTTTCACTTGAACTGAGTTGAATTGAGTTGAATTGAAGCTGCTCTGTTCAACAACACACTGACATAACAAAATGTGAGAAATTTACATGTATTTGATAGCCCATATAACTAATAATCAACTAGGGACGCTATACAACCAGGTGCAGCTGTCTACACGCAAGATGAAGTCCGTTCACTCAGAATCTTCTCGAATTCAACTTACACTCACATTTAGCACGGTAACCCTTTCATTATCGTTAGGGAGCAGGATAAGAAGACTCGTACAAGGGGCGTTGATGCTATTAAAGTTTGTCAGCCCTCTCTCACTCTTCCTCGCTCACGAGAATACACCAGTCACATATCTTAGCTGCGCGTACTGTCGCAAATATTATTAAAACTTCTCTTGGTCCGCGTGGCCTCGATAAGATTATGATTAGCCCTGATGGCGATATCACAGTCACAAACGATGGCGCAACGATATTGAGTTTAATGGAGGTGGACAACCAAGTCGCTAAACTTATGGTTAGCTTATCCAAATCTCAAGACGATGAGGTCGGTGATGGTACTACTGGTGTCGTTGTTCTTGCAGGCGCTATGCTCGATCAAGCTATCGGTCTTCTCGACAGAGGTATCCACCCAATCAGAATCGCTGATGGTTTCGATAGAGCTTGTAAAATTGCTGTTAGCGAGCTTGACGGTATCTCTGACTCTGTTGAATTCAGCCAGGATGGTAAAGGTCCTGGTACCGCTGCCCTCTACAAGGCTGCTTCTACTTCATTAGGTTCAAAGATCGTCTCGGCTCACTCTAAATTCGCTCAAATCGCTGTTGACGCCGTTCTCTCCGTCGCTGACATTGAACGTCGTGATGTTGACTTTGAATTGATCAAGGTTGACGGTAAAGTTGGTGCTTCTCTTGAGGATACTTCCCTAGTACAAGGTGTTGTCGTCGATAAGGATATGTCTCATCCACAAATGCCTAGATTCATCAAGGACGCTAAAATTGCTATCCTAACCTGTCCATTTGAACCTCCACGTCCAAAGACCAAGCATAAGCTTGACATTGGTTCCGCCGATGAGTACAAAAAGCTCGAAGCCTACGAAAAGGAAAAATTCGCTGATATGATTAAGAAAGTTAAGGACTCAGGTGCTAATTTGGTCATCTGTCAATGGGGTTTCGATGACGAAGCTAACCACTTGTTGATGCAAAACGACTTACCTGCCGTACGTTGGGTGGGCGGTCCAGAGATTGAGCTTATCGCCATCGCAACAAACGGTCGTATCGTACCAAGATTTGAAGATCTTTCTGCTGATAAGTTGGGTCACGCTGGCGTTGTAAGAGAAATTGGTTTCGGTACAACAAGAGATAGGATGCTTGTTATTGAAGAGTGTGCAAACTCAAGAGCCGTCACTGTCTTTGTTAGAGGATCGAACAAGATGATAATCGACGAAGCCAAGCGTGCACTCCACGACGCAATCTGCGTTGTTCGTAACTTGGTAGTTGATAATCGTGTTGTATATGGTGGTGGAGCAGCGGAGATTGCCTCATCGATAGCTGTCACAAAGGCTGCAGACGAGACTGCTTCAATTGAACAATATGCCATGAGAGCTTTCTCACAAGCTTTGGACGCTATCCCATTAGCATTGGCTGAGAACTCTGGTCTTTCGCCTATTGAAACGCTCTCAGATGTCAAGTCACACCAGGTCAACGACAAGAATCCAAACCTTGGTATCGACTGTATGGGTAGAGGCAGCAGTGACATGAAAGCACAAAATGTACACGATCCACTTGTTTCAAAGAGACAGCAATACCTCTTGGCAACTCAGCTCGTGCGCGCTATTCTCAAAATTGATGGTGAGTCATAGGAGCGTGTAGATATTGGACTAGAGCTAACAACAATGAAATAGATGTTATCACAGCAGGTGGAGATATGTAAATATAAAATGCATTTGTTATTCCCAGTCTTGATTTTCTAATTTGGTGGATGCAATTTGTTTTAATTTCGCGATTCACCGCTTCGCCACTCTTCCGAGCACATCCATCAAGTAACCTTTTTGGAATAACACTCATTTTCTTTCTTGATCTTCTACAGCCACCATGGACAAGTTAAATTTCCCAAAGCATTCGAAAATTTTGACTCCGTCCAACAATCTCGGCGGTGCAAATGCTGCCGGCAGACTCGGCGAGAGGAGAAACCTCAACAAGGCTGCGCTGAGCTTCTGCGACGTCGGCGATCGTAAGCATCTCCTCATCTGCCGCGTTTTTGTGCTCATCTCGTCAAAGTTTCACACGTTGCGCAATCACAGGCGCCATCTCCTATAGCCATTCCAGCGTGCGCAGGTAGGTGCTGAGAATCTTTCCCATCTCCCATTTCTCGTCATCTAATACATCTCATCTCCCAGATTCCCAGTCGACAGCTCGTCCCATTCGTTCAAAGACCATATCTGTCTCCCCGCTCGTTAATGGACTGAAAGAGGCTGAGAAAGAGAATTCATCTCTCGATCACCGCAAGATCGTCTCCCACGACGTATCACAATTTCGCCTGCAGTTTCACAAGCAGGAGCTTGACCCTATCCAGGATGTAAACGAGCAAGGTACTTATAACAGCGAAATCCATTCACCATCGCTGGGCACTGGTACCCGGCGTTCTCAGCTGTTCTGCGTGAGCTGCTGCGAGCCACTCGCCAATCTCGGTGTCGTGTTTGACCCATGCAAACACACTTGCTGTGTTGTTTGCCTCGTTAACAGCCTCACACTCAATCGGGAGACATGCATTTTCTGTAAAGGTGTCATTCTCCGCTTCCAGTCTGTCAACGGCGGCCCTATCACTTCGCCTGCTTTGTCAGGCATTGGTGATACCTCTGACGATTTCTTTAACCAATGCGCCCCAGCCGCTTCCATCACTAAAGACAGAAGCGAAAGAAGCTCCCTCAAGTCTATCTGGAGCCCTGAAAGCTCAATTAGTAGGGTTCCATCCATCAGCTCGGCACTGGCATCTCCACCACCACCGCCAGCAACGGTAGTGACTGCTGCGACTGCGACGCTGTCCCCAACGCCATCTCCTTACAGTGTTGGATTGCCACGCGTCAAGTATCCTAATCATGGCAATCTCAGGCTCCATGAAGGCGGCTGGCCAGTGCTCAAGTTGGAGAATGTTCCTTGGGTCGGTATCTATTGTCAGCTATTGGTTTGATTTTATTTAACGCCCAATTAGGACAGCACTCCATCAATAGTCGAGCAATGGCTGCCAAGAGAGGCATTGCCACACTGGAGTGTTAACAGCCACGCCATTCACGTCGTTCTTGACAGGTACGTCATTGCTTCTATGTCCACACACCTCTCACTCACATCACTCCGTCTAGAAACAACGGCAAAGCATCTAGCGATCTATACGTCGAAGTCGTGTCTGTGGAAATACGTAACGAAATTATGCGCTCCAGACAACACTCTGTGCTTGAGAGCAGAGGAAGATCACGCTACGTGAACATTTTAGCGTCATCTCAAGATGAGCTTTTCAGAGCAGTGCGCTTTTTTGTTGCTGTGAAGCGTCTTGCCTTTCTTGCTAACTGAGACATGCAGATTTTTCCGAGCTGGTGCGATAATAGCGGCGACTACTGTAAGTGGCGAGGTGGTTAAATTGGTTTGTCATTTACATATTCCCAAGCCAAACTCATTTCTGATCATGAGCTGGGTACTCTTATCGACCTCTGCGAGCGTGTAGGCAAAAAGGCTATTCAGCGCATGCCTCCAAAGGTGGGAGTGTAAGCGGTAGGAATTGAAAAATCAACTAATACTGCTCCTAGATGCACTTCTGCAAAGAGCAGCAGAACCCTTTCAACATGCTTATGTCGATTATTAGCAAAATGCCATGGCAGTTGCTTCCAGCTGACAAGCCCAAGAACTTATATCGTAGATACCAAACTGCACTTAATGGTGAGAATGTGTGCTTAATTCTATTGACTGACGCTGAGTTGCAATCGCAAATTACATTTTCCAGATTGCGTAAAGAGTTAGTTGTATCTTGGGTAGAAACAGGAAACTGGCTACTGACAAGAAACAAATACAGAAGCCATCGAAATTATTCTCTTCCACATCGAAGCACACGAAGAGAGCGTTGACATACAGATTTTGATTCGATTGGTAGGGGTGTTAACGCATCAAGCCTTACTGAATAACTAAAAACCTCCATAGCTGACAGTTGCGCTCTCGTGCCCAGGTAAAATACGCTTAATTAGAAAGGGCCTTCTGACATCTATGCAGCATTCAATGACGTGCAAAAGGACTGCTTCATGGTCATGTCGAAGCTCGACCCAAACAATCTTCCATCAACAAACTTGATGAAGCATCACGCACCAAATCACGGTCTGGGACTGACCGATGTACCAGATAGCGGCTGGATTGAAATTGGTGGGGAAGGTCTGGAAGACTTAACTCAAACAAATGCAGGACCAGAAGTAAAACGTGGTAAATCAATCAGATTCAGCAGATCCGCATCGTCAATTAGCAAGCACAGCTATGACGCGCGTATCGACTCTGCTTTACTTCCTCTCACGCCTGATCAATCGCCAGACATGAACTTCAACGCATTCGGTAAGTTGGTTGGGTTTAATTGATGACATAATAACGAAAACCACAGCAGATCAAATTAAACGCTAGCTAGGTTTAGTAAGCGTTTAAAATTGCTTGTTTCTTTAGGATCATGTTTGATTACGTCTCTCATAACTTCTAGGTTGTATTCAAGATACCAAGGCACTGTATAGCAAATTGTAAATAACATTTATTATGTGAATATATCGCACAATCATTGATTTTATTTCTTCATTTACGTGTTGGGGATATTAAGTCGTGATTGACTGACTTGTATTCAACGATCAACGATTGTAGAATGTCACAAGATCCATTAGCTGTGAGAATTTATTTGCGATCTTGAGGATGTTTGAACTAAACAACACTCTACAGGACTCATTTAACAGCTCTTTCGAGCCTGCACAAGTCAAGAAACCAACAGCGACAGAATCGGCCACGGCATCGGCCATAGAATCGAGCACACAGACAGCACCTGTTGAGACTTCCAATAAATTCGAAAACCTCAAGGAAGAAATACCAAAGTCAGCGCAAGACGTTGAGCAGTCAAAGGCAGCCGCTGACGAGCTCGAGAAGAAAAAGGCAGAAGCGTTGGAGAGAGTAGAGGAGACGAGACAGCTTGACATGAAGCATCACAAGGAGAGAAATGAGCAGACCGATGCACGTCTCAAGAATGAAGGCTTGCCAGACATGTTGAAGTCTTCTGTTGAGGAAACACTGGTATTTCACGAGAACTACGCCAAGGAAAGAGAGGCAAATAGCTTCAAAGAGCAGCAAGCTATATCGAAGCAAGTGAATGATGCCGAGAAGAAGAGAAAGCATGAGCAGCCAATATTCTCTGCGATCGACGTCGAAACAAAGCGTTTCAAGAGCGAGTCTGGTGAGGAGGTGGAATCATCTACTGTGCTCGTTGATAAGGAGAATTCGAGCTCCGATTTCGAGTTGGTGCAGTCAGAATGGATTGAAGAGAAGGAGGTAGGTGAGAATCAGAATGGAAATGGCGCCGTCCAGAAGTTCAACGACACCGCCCACCAATCACCTACATTGGCATTATTTAGAAGACCCTCAATCAGAACTATGCTCGCCGCTCTCGCTGTAAACTTGCTCATTCCATTTGTGAACGGTATCGCGCTCGGATTTGGTGAAATTTTCGGCAGAGAAGTGCTCGTAGGATACTTTGGGTTTGGAAGGAGATGGTGGACACGCGTCGATAGTAGATCCAGCCTCGGTTCTGCCGGTGCTGGATTACGATAGACCATAGACGTTTCCCCATAGTAACAATAACAACGACTGCAGTCTCTGTTTATACGTTGAATTTATATTTAATATGCATATCGCTACACTTTATGATTATACGCGTCAAAGTCCCCTCACTGCCACCATCACAACAGCCGGTTTGGTGCAGAGGAGTGATGCAGAGAACACGGTCAAACGAAACATCTTCGCCGAGCTCGTCCAGTAAGAAAGGCCGCGGTGTTCGATCTCGTAAATCAACTCCAGTCAGTACAGACGCTAAACCTGGCCCCGTACCGCGACCCCGGGCGCAGAAGCACCGGTTAAGTAACACGTCTACTCCAGCGCCTGAACAGCCATCTGCGAAGCGACCGAAATCACTGCAACAGCCGTCGTCGTCTGGCGTTCGATCCGTAGACGTGATCGATCTCATCAGCGACGAAGACGGCGAAGAAACACCACCATCGATCCCATCCACTTTAAAGACAACACAGAAGGATAAAACGTCATCAATCAAGCACCATAAGAAGCAGAAAGCAACTGCATCGAAGCATCAAAATCAACAAGAGCAGCAGCCTGCCATACAATATCAACTAGTACCTAATGCAACTCCAATTCGACCCAATCCGTCTGTGCAGCACCCGCAGATAAGGACACCAACACCTAATCCACTCCCTGAAACGCGCCTCAGTCTGCCTTTCACATTGAAGCAGAGATCCGGGTATGTGTATGATGCGATGATGGTAGCACATGCAACTCAATACGATAATGAGCACGATCAGACTGAAGTGCCTGAACGCATCACTTTCATTTTCACCACTCTCGCTAAAGCTCGCTGCATCAAGCTGATGAAACCTATACGGTGCAGACGCGCACTGAAAAAGGAGCTCATGTTAGTGCACAGTCAGAGACATATCAATGATGTCAACGCTTTGCAATGTGAGTGTGTTATTATATGCCATATTCCATTAACATGTTCACTCAAGTTATCCCAGAAATCACCTTATATGGACTTAGAGGGGTTTACGATAAAGAGAGCAGCATATTTGTTAATCCATTTACATCAGACTGCGCCCTACTCGCTGCTGGTAGTCTCATCGAGTTGACTAAGGCTGTCCTCGATGGTCTCATTCAGAACGGCTTCGCTATCGTCAGACCTCCAGGTCATCACGCAGAGCCCGAGCACGCTATGGGTTTTAGCTTTTACAATAATGCTGCAGTTGCTGCGCGCTGGGCTATCACATCTTACAATACCATTAGAAAAGTATTGATATTAGATTGGTGGGTGATTTAGCTAGCTTTCGTAGGGCCTACTGACAGCTCCCAAGGGATGTACATCACGGTAGGTCGATGAATGTCTCATTATTGCATTATTCCTGACCCAAACCCCAGGCAACGGCACACAGAGAACATTCTGGGATGATCCCAACGTTCTCTATATCTCCATACACAGACACGAAGACGGCAACTTTTTTCCTCCTGGCTCCTACGGTGACTTTAAGAGCGTTGGAGGGCCGAATGCCAAGGGCTAGTAGGTTTTGTATTGCACAATGCAAAAGCAGCCATCTGACTCGCCATAGTAACGTCAACATTGGCTGGTCGTCTAAAGGAATGGGCGACGCGGAGTATCTCGATGCATTCAATAGAGTGGTGATGCCAATCGCTTCTGAATTTAATCCCGACTTGGTCATCGGTGGGTGGGTGTATTAGCTATAGTGCCACGCTGATACAGAACAGTGTCGGCGGGATACGATGCCGCGGCTGGCGATCCTCTGGGCGAGAACGAAGTCTCGCCTACTGGGTACGCGCAAATGACGAAGATGTTGCAAAATTTGGCTGGTGGTAGAGTGATTGTGTCGCTCGAAGTGGGTTGGTGAGCTCCTCATGATCACCAAGCTAACGGTCGACGAAGGGTGGCTACAATCTCAACGCTATTGCTGAATCAGCTCTTGCGACAGTCAAAACACTCCTTGGTCAGCCGCCTAGCATACATCTGAGGAAGCAGATACCAGAAACAAGCGCAGTCAATAAGGTGTCTCAGGTGGGCTTTTTACTTTTTAGACGAGCGATTTACTAATTAACTCAAGGTTCTGGCTCTCCACTCCAATTACTGGCCATCATTGCGGAAGAGTGGCATGCCATTACTTGGTCAATCGCTGCAGAATATCAAGCAGAATACATCTAGATGGTATTCATTGGGACGTGGGTTGCTGCAAAAGTATTACTCCTCACTATTGACACCACCCTAGAACTGCTCAAAGATCGCTACTTCTCTCGTATGCTGCATAGTCATCCTGATTGCAAGCTGCTCTCAATGCCGTCGATATTCACGCCTGAGCCATTTGACTGCCAGGTCATGGCTGACACGAGCATACTCAAGTCGAACGTAATCCTTGTCTTTGTGCATGATATGTAAGATTATGTTTGATCTCTTGCTGTCAAGCTAACGTGATTTTCAAGTGGTAACCTTTACAATGAATCATTGCAGGGGCGTGTAAGTAATGTGGGACAGCTCGAAGAGATTTTGGTAGGCAATGGTAGACACTAAGAACATTACTCACATCGCTAATCTCAGTTCCAAAACGGTTGCAGTCTACACAAATGGGCACATGAGAATAATGCAGCGCGTCTCGAAGTCAGCGTTCACAGAGACTTTGAAAAGGAATTTCTGCCGAACATCGACACTAAGATCGACGAAACACCATTACAGCTCGATCTGATGATGGACGATTTGTGGGTCAATACTCTGAGGTGAGTGTAGAGTTATCTTCACGACGTAAACCCACATCTCGCCTCAGCCGGAGTGCTGCTTCTACAATCATCTTTGTTGGCTATAATGATGGTTGCAAAGCGATCCAGAGGCTTGCAGAAAAACATGCGAATTTTATGTCTAAGTTTGGTGGTGGTGTTCAAATACTTGGACCAAACTATATACCCGACCCTCCCAAAGCCATGCGACAGTGGTATTTAAGCGTGAGTGGGCGTGGTAGCGTTTATTTCGGGGACTGAAAATATACTAGAAAAATTTTATGCTCATTCCATCTAGCCATCAACACCTTACTTCTACAAATACTGAAGAGACGGAAAACTACAAGATTTCAAGTGGGTTGTCTTGCTGCGCAGTTTGCTGCTCTAACAACAATTAGACGAGCGCCTTCCTGCGCAAATGCTGGCCAAGGAAATGGTGCGCGTCAAGTCTTACCTTCTAGATAGAATATGGAGTACGCGATAATGCGTGCCCTAGAACTCAACGACTAAACAACCGATGAAATGCAAAACAAGAACAACAAAAATCACGAGCATCGTTGTACTAATTTATTAATGTATGCAACTCAAAATTCTGCGTTTGATGAGCGATTTCACGTATGAAAAACCATTGAAATCGGAAATACTATCTTTTATACTGGCTTACCGTTTTCGTCACCTCTCGTACGAATTTGTCACTGTCAGAGGATTTGTAGTGGCCATTACAAAATGAGTAATCTCGTAATCTGACGATCGGATATTTTTTTCTTGACGTCTCTCTGGCACTATCTAGCTTATAACTTAAAAAATTCCATTCGGTTCTGCTGAAGTTATCAGTATGTACAATACCGGTGATACAGAGACAATCATCGACGAGCCATCTGCCGATTACAAGAGTCCGGAGAGACGCAATTCGCAGCACACAAACACAGACTCCCAGGGATTGGGGGTGAGCGAGAAGGAAGGCGCTGGCGCTAGCGACCAAGCACAGGACCCGCAGGAGGCGACGGATAAAAGGGAAGACAGCACAGGAGCGTCAGAACCGATTACGCCGAAAAGATCCAGCAGCAATGCTGTGAATTTCATCTTCGAATGGGCAGCAGTATTAATATGCGTCTCGTCTATGCTCTTTACGCAGGTGGGAATAGGTGCCTATCTGGTAATCACGAAGGAGTTCATCGCCGCGACTTTCAACATTGAGGGCAATGCTGGACAGCAATCGTGGATTATCGCGGCGCATTCGCTGACGGTGGGTACGTTTGTGCTGCCCGCTGGCAGACTAGGAGATATGTTCGGTAACAAGAAAATTCTCTGCATCGGTTTCTTGTGGTACTCTATCTGGTCGATGGTAACGGGGCTGACGGTATACACGCGCTCGATCATTTTTTTCGATGTTTGCAGAGCATTGCAGGGGATAGCTCCCGCCTTGATGCTCCCGAACGCGGCGGGGATTATCGGGCGCACGTATCCACCTGGTGTGAAGAAGGCCATCTCGTTTGCGCTTTTCGGAGCATCTGCGCCGAATGGATTTGTATTTGGAGCGTTATTTGTGGGTCAAACGGCTTAATGTATTCAACCCCTCTCACACATACCACAGAGTAGTCTTTTTGCTCAGAGTTCCGTCAAAGCACCTGTCAACGGGGCTGAGTGGGCTTGGTCGAACTTCGTCCTCGCGATCGCTCTTGTGGTCATGTTCTGTCTGGCGATGTGGATTATCCCCGCAGATGGTGACAGGAGCGAGCAGAAGGGGCTCGGTTTCGACTACTGGGGCACGCTGACCGCCGTATCCGGACTGATCCTCTTCAACTTCGCTTGGAATCAGGCAGCCATTGTGACGTGGAATAATGGGTATGTGTGCGCACTACTTGTCGTCGGTGTACTCCTGCTCGGCGTGTTTGCATGGGTGGAGAGTCGCGTAGCCCAGCCGCTGCTGCCGCTGTCGGTGTTCCGCAATGTTCACAACAACCTCATGCTCGGATGTATCGTCACCGGCTGGTCCACGTTCTCCATCTGGCTCTTCTATAGTATCAGGTTTATCCAGGATCTGCGCAACGTCGGCACGCTGGAGACTGTCTCTCAAATTGTGCCGTGTAGCGTAACAGGTTGTCTCGCCGCGTCCCTGTCTACCATCCTCATCCTCAAAGTGGGCGGGAGCTGGGTGATGATCGGAGCGCTTTTCGCTTTCCTTACTGCCATCTGTCTCGTCGCTTTCCAGCCCGTCGATCTCACTTACTGGGCAATGCAGTTTGTTGCTTTCGTGATAGCGCCTTTCGGGATGGATATGAGCTTTCCAGCTGCATCTATCATTATTTCGGATCACCTTCCCCGCGAGCATCAAGGATTGGCGGGGTCGCTGGTTAATACACTCGTCAACTACTCTATCGCAATTGCGTTGGGTATTGCGGCGACCGTTGAGATGAATGTTAATAACGGCGGTAGAGATACAGAGTCTGGGATCAGAGGCGCACTTTATCTCGGGGTGGGATTGGCTGCAACGGGGGTCATACTCGCGCTCACCAACAAAATGATAGAGGTGGTTGAATCACGCAGATCAGCAGATCCCGAGAGCGCTCGTGAAGCTGGGAAAGCTTTAGAGTGAGCCTAACAAACTGTACCTGGCAGTCAGGAGATTGTCTGGTGTGTAAGCATCAACTTAAATCACAGTATATATCACTTAGCTAATCAAATTATCAATACATTAATATCTCATAATTAAGCCTAAATTTGGACCTCAACTTGTTTTTACACAGCTCAAAATGTCTAATATCACTCTTTATTTTATTTCAGATGCCTTTCAATCTCTTATGCATTAGCTGTCATTGTTATTTGGTTGATATCATATGTTCGCTGGAAGACATACATTCGACGGTAAAAATTTGAAGAATTCGCACTCATTATACACCTCTCTATCATATTAATTCAATTGATTGTGATAGTCATCTACAAACCAACTGCCATGACGCTTCCATGTTTTTTTTTTTCACAACAGGCACCTCTTTGGTTTAGCAGAGAGCTAGCTAACCAACTAAACGAGTAAATTCACGTGGTAATCGCCACAGCTCGAAAACTTGTAAGCGTTTAAGACTTGAATGAGCTTGCCAATGTTTCTATTCTCCAGCTGAACGTGTCGAGTGCGGAGGCAGACATAGCGCGTGTTGTCGAGGAAGTGATTGCAATGCACGGTAATTTAACACCAATCAACAATCCCAGCAGTGCGCTGTCTGCTTGTGTCGAAGAGCTCTCCTTAGACCAAGCCATGGCGCAATTCGACGTCAACTACCGGGGTGCTTTGGCATTCACTCGCAAATTCCTGTCACACTTAAAAATGCGCATGGGAAAGTCCAATTACATCTGTGTGTGGCATTTAGTCCTAGCCTGCTTTGCCTTACTACGACGACAAATTTTTACATTGAAGGCGTCATTCGAAGCGCTCAGATTCGAGACGGATTAATTACGTATACAGGTCATCTTGATCGAGCCCGGGTACATTGTTTTCACGGCGCTATGCCTCTCTCACATACTTCAGATACTTCCGCACCAACTCCTTGAAAGAGGTTTGTCCTACTATCTAACTAACACAAGTGTTTCCAAAGATATAACCGATTGATTATTGTCTGCTAGAGTTGCACTGAGTTCTGACGGTCGCGACTTAATCGTCAAAGAGACTCATGGTCTGATCGATAACTGCAACAAGTGGGCAGTATTCTTTAAGTTGATCGACTACAAGACGTAGCAATGTAGCACATTAGCACTGTCTTGGAATGTAAAGCGCGTATTATAGATGGCATACATTGAGCAAAATGCAATAATTAAAACCATATACACAACATCAAAACAAATTAAGCTGAAGCTTGTCTGACATTTTCGCGCCTGATTAATTCCTCTTTAGCTCTATAGTAATCCCAACCTTCACGCAGACCCCTTCTAATAACGTCCTGGTGAGAAGGAGGGCAGTGAGCATGAGGGGGCGGAGGATCAAGATCCAAGTTGGTTGGGAGAGAGTAGCCCTCACCAGCAATGCAGATGAGAGCATCAAGGGAGTATGAGAAGCCGCATTCTGCGTGCATGCGTTTGAGGTCATCCCACACATTCAAAACGACCGCTGTCCTGTTAACACTTTCCATTGGCTTGCCGAATGCGCTTGAAATCTGAAGCAGATTGGCAGAACGCCTCACACTGTCACTTCCTGAGGTAACATTCGCCCCAGCTGCATGATGTAGACCTGGATTAAAGAAAATTGAATCACCTTTCGACATAGGGATGGCGATTGCGTGTGCTTTGAAGTATTCGACGAGCTCTTTGTTGCGATAGTGGCTATATCCCGCGTCGTACTTCTGACTGAATGGCAGCAAGAGTGTCGGTCCACTCTCGAGTGGCATGTCGCAATGCGCTATGGCACCTTGCAGTGTGAGCAGCTGTGTAGCAATCTGCGTGATGGCTGGGTATCGCGCTGTTTGCTCGCTGCTCTGGAATCCCAAGGGAAAATCTCTGTGAGGCTCTTGTGCAGCACCACTGGTTGTGTTGTGTTAGCTGTTAGCTGTCCATGTAATTGGCATAACTTGCGGTCTTACGACTTACGAAGGCAAGACTATGTTGAGCTATAAGTCGCGTGAGTCTTGCACCTGTTTGTCTATCTATACACATTGCACCAACTTACCTGTGACGTCAACGCGTATGCGGGGCCGAGCCAAGCCTCGCAAATGAGATTTCTGCGAGATGATGTGAGCGTGGGTGTGTAAAGCGCAATACATACAAGACTGGGTTACTGTAGTAATCGACAAAGCCCTCTGGATCTTGGTGTGCATGTTTCTGAAAAAAGTTCCAGATTCTCTCATTCTTACCGCCTGCAGCGAAATGGTCACCTCTGGCAGGATATTCAAGTTTCTCTCTATCGATGATGGTGTTCGCTGCAACCTGTGCTCTGTCCAGCGTGTCGAGGTTGTCGGACAAGTTCTTCACCACGAACACCCCAGGGCCGTCCTTGAGGATGGTGTGCCACTCGTTCATTATCTCTGAAGCATCTACGAGCGGGATATCCTCCTTGTAGTAGATGGGCACAGACTTGATGACGTCACGTGCTCGAGGCACTTCACTCTTGCTAATGCTCGAGCTGGAGCAGATTTCGCTAAGCGCGTTGGCATTGTACTTTGGGAACTGACGCTGGGATGCCATCTTTGGGACTGTATTGGTCGCTGCACAGCAAGCGGATTAAATACTCAATACTCAACCGAACCACGAATTTACCGGAGATGCGCGGTGGTCGCAGGTAGTCCTGCTGACGATGTGACCATGACGTAAAACGTCGGCTGCATGGTAAATCCTTCTCATTCTTTCGTTATATAGGTATGGTAATGTACATGTATTATATATATATATGTGTGTGTGCAAGTGTACAGGCGTCTAAGTTTCCTAAAGTTAAAGTGCTAATTCTCCCACGACCTCCCCTCCACTCCACTCAACGGCAATCCCGAGGACCATTTATCGAGGAGGAGTCTAATACGAGTGAGATTAGCTTCGCTGTTGCTAGCCCAGGCGTTATCGTCATCAATGACCGTCTTAAGAAGCCGGAGCACCTTCCTCGCCTGCTCCCCAAAAGCAATTTGCCAAGGCTGACCAAGGATTTCGAAGAAGGTGGCAAGGAGTTGCGGGATAGTGGCGAGGGTGGGCAAGGGAGGGCGGAGTGCGTGAGCGAGCCAAGTCCAGCACATTCCGAAACGGAATTGGGGAGGAATGCGACTGACGAGGTCATCCTGTGTTGCATTTCTTGCCTGATCACCCGACAAAACAAGGTTATCTGTACTGACGCGCGTTTGCAGAATAGCAAAGTATAGAGCGAGTATACCGCTCATGCGGTCGTTGTATTGCACGGTGGTTTCAGAGGCGTTTTTGCGTCCTACACGTCGTTTATACGCTTCTTCATTCTCTCCATCGGATTTGGTGGGGTAGTAGGGGATTGTCCAGCATGCCTTCTTTACCATGCGTCCCATTAGAATTTCAGCAAGACGAGGGTGTTCATTGAGCGAGAGAGACATGACAAGTCGGGCGAGTGGGAAAGCAGTGGACGATTTCGCACTCACTTCAGTCTCGGCTTGACGGAGAAGACATTTGGAGAGATGGTTAAGAAGCCATGTGTAAGCGGGCGAAGACTCGCCGTGGAGTAGTTTAGGTTCGTTAAGGGTGTCATTGATTTCATTTGTCTTTGAGGGGAGAGTTAGGGTGGTGAAGGGGAAGAGTAAGTACTTACGATGCGCGTGGTTTGAGTAATAGAGTTAGTTAGTTGACCAATTTTTGGTGTTATTTTGCGTTTGGAAGCAGAGCAAGCCTTCTTAATGGCAGGGTTTTGGGAGACTTGAGGGAGAACAACGTGTTTAATGTGGATGATGAGGTTGTAGTAGTGTAGATAATCATCTCTAGCCTTGTTTTGGGTAAACTTGAGAGATTGTGATTGAGATTGGAGGTGTTTGAGGTGTTGCTGGTGTTGTTGAAGGTGTAATTGTTGTTGTTGTTGTTCTTGCTGTTGCTCTTGTTTACGCTGTTGGTCTTTATCATGAGCTACTTGATCAACACGTTTCTTCTCCTCAGATTTGAGTCTATTCTCCTCAGCCTCCCTCTGTGCCTGGATATCAGACTCCTTTTGAGCAAAATCAATGGAAGTTTCAATGGACAACCAAAGCTGTTTATTGCGCTGATTAAATGCTTTTTCGAGGTCAATAGAATCTTGTTTAGATTTTAATTGTAATTGAGATATTGTTCGTTGAATATGGTCAATATCCTTGTCTTCATCGTTGGATGAACCTAGTTGGCCAATCGAATGAGAAAACGAGTTACTTAAATTACTAAAATTAATTGGATGGTTGTGGATATTATCAAAGACTTCCACCTCATCAAATCTACCAAATTCACTGTTTAAATGGTTTGAATCGGATTTTACTAATGAATTTGAAGTTGGTGATTTGAGAATTGATTTAATTGGTTTGATATTATTCATGTCGTCATCACTGTTACCATCACTATCATCGCTATCACTTAAACCATATCCATTCCTATATCTCTCATCTGGTACGCTAAATCTCATCTCTTGATTGTTAACCACCACGAAAGAGATGAGCGAGATGAGCGAGATGAATGATATAAAAAAGCGTAAAATAACTCGAGCATGTGATATCTGCAGGAGAAAGAAGATTAAGTGTGATGGACCAATCAAAGCCGAGAATAATGAAAAGTGTTCAAATTGCGATAACTTCAATTTCACTTGCACGTATCTAGAGGCAGCTAAGAGGAAAGGACCCCCAAAAGGATATATAGAATCACTTGAGAATAGAAACCTTAGGCTAGAATTGCTGTTTAATAGAATGTTGCCTGGTTTCGATTTGAATTCTCAAGTTGGTCCACCAATTAATCGCGATTCATTTGAATCTGGCTGTGAATCTGATACCTCGAGGTGGAATAAGAATAGAATTCAATTACCTGCACTTAAATTAGAAAACACCAACTTAAACTCCCTTCCCTCTCCATCCTCTTCCTCCTCATCCGACCATTTAGAAGAACGAATGCAACAGATATCCATCTCTCATCAATGTAAAGACAATACTCGCTACATTGGTAAATCAAGCTCTGTCTACTTGATGGCTGCCCTTGATGAATACAGCCACAACAACTATGACATCATGGACACAGACCGCAGACCCGAGTTTTGGAAGGACAGGGAGTGGTCTATTGAAGAGGGGAACGATCCCGCACCTCTCCCGTACTCCCCTGACGAGCTTCCTCCCGACGATCTCCTCCTCCACCTCGCAAATATCTTCTTTGATCGCCTCAACGTCTACTTCCCTGTCCTCCACAAGTCCTCTTTTCTTTATAACCTACAAAACAACACCCACGACCCCAAATTCGGTGCCATCGTCTTCCTCCTTTGTGCCACTGCCTCGAGGTATTCGAATGACCCCAGAGTTGTCCCCGACGACGACAAGGATGAGCAGGGAAATGTCAAGAACTGGCGATTTGCCGGCAACTCCTTTTTCATCAAGTTCAAGACTCACTGTCGCAGATTTCTATTGACTGCAGCCACACTACAAGACCTCCAACTGATTATTCTCATGATTGTGTATTTGCAAGGTGGTCCATTTAGTCCTGCCTGCTGGGCAATATCCAGTATAGGGTTGGTGTTAGCCCAAGTGAGTTTAATGATGAGTCACAATGATAAGCGCCACTAATACCACAACACAGGACATAGGTTTCCACCGAAAGAGACCGCAGGGTGATGGACTGCACGACGAGCTACGCAAGCGAGCGTTCTGGTGTTTGTACATACTCGACAAGCAGCTCTCAGCGATGTTAGGGCGGCCGAGCACACTACACGACGAGGACATCGACGTAGACGAGCCATCAGTGCTCCCCGACGAGATGGACACTTCCATGCAACTGAGTGTACTACATTTCAACAAGCTCATTGCGCTAGTCGCGATACTCGGCGAGGTGCTGCGAACAGTGTACGTCGTCAACAAGCGTCGGCGGCCAGGTAGTGGTGGAGCGGGAGGAGGTGGGCTCTCCGAAGCGCAGCGAACGCTGATGGATGTCGCAGCGCTCGACTCTAAACTGCACAAATGGCTAGACGATATGCCCCCAGAGCTGAGCTGGGATGCTAGCTGCACGGATTCGCTCACTTTCAACTACATGTGCATCCTCCAGACTACCTATTACGTAGTGCAGATATACATTCATCGCCCCTTCATAGCTACTCCTAGACGCCCCTCCCCGCTTAGCTATCCCAGTCTCGCTATCTGCACGAATGCGGCGAGATCCTGCATTCACGTTCTCGATCACCTCCAGACACGCAGTAATGACGTGCTGTATATGGATAGCTGGATAGGCATGGGCAGCTTCACCTCCTCCGTTATTCTCATCGTGTCTGCGTGCGAGGGTAGACGGAATGGCGAAACACATTCGAACATAAACTCGAACACAAACCCACACCATCACACACCCGAAATGAAAGACATCGATATGGGCATCGCCGTCGTGCGTAAACTAGAAGACCGCCACTTACATGCAGGCAGAGCGCACGACGTGCTGCGCAAACTCAGGAGCAGGATTGATTCTATCCCCGTTAACGCTGGAGATGCAAAGGATGCTGGGCGTGGTGATTGCTCTGCGAGTGTCAGCCCATCGACCACCACTAGCACTGGCACTGGCGAAGGCGATGGGAAGCAACGGCGGAAGATTGCCAAGAAACCTAGTCACTTTGGGCAGGGTGCGCGGGGTGGGCATGGAAACACAATCAACCACGCCAACCACCCTAGCCCTAATTACCACAACCTAGCTAGCCTTCCCATTTGCACAAATGACCTTGCTAATCACAACTTTTACCCCACGCCAACTCCACCCACTGCAAGTCCTGCATGTGGCGGGTTCGAGTTTGACCCGATCCAGTTGGAAGCTTACTCGGAGGCGCAGACAAAAGCACAAGTACAATTACAAATACAACCACAACCACAAATACAAACTCAATCACAACCACACCCACACTCACTTGCGGGATTGCATAGTGAGTATAACATGCTCGAGATGGACCGCATTCCACCTTACACAAACACACCAACCTACGATGGATACTCTGCCTACCCACACTATCTACTCGATGACATGTTTCCAGCACCTCAACGAGAGCAGGATCTCTGGTCGATGCTTCCAAACTCGACATACAACCCCAATTCGGAAGACTGGGCAACGTTTTTCAAATACACATGAAAATTGCATAAATATTGTAGACTGTATAACATAATTCTGAACACGTACTATCCATCAATGCTGCCTTGATCTCTTTGCCAATCGGGGATCTTCAGCAGGGGGACTACGATGACCACTGCCACCACCGCTGCTCATATGAGGGAGGGGAGGTCTACCGCCCATCATCATCTGCTGCATCATAGCGGGGTTCATAGGCATTCCCATCATATTAGGCATACCCATCATTCCCGGCGGTTTGCTGTTATGGTGATTGTGGTGCGCGGGACCAGAAGGCGGTGGGCGGGAAGTACCTCTAGGTCTATAAGAGCCTCTCGACAGCTGTTGATTCTGATAAGCCAGGTTAGCGTTTTTTCCGCTGTTCTCTTTAGGAATGGTTTTGAATGGGTTTCCATTAACGCATTGTGTGTGCTGGACCTGCATGCGTTTATCCTGAAAGTCGTGCGTATCGAACCACCTCTTGATCAATTCTGCCGCGTCGCGTGAGGGCACCTCCACATATGCGGTGCCCTTGCTCTTCCCGTTGACTTTGTGTTCCGCGAATGCGATATCCTGGTAACGGATACGGAAACCGAGATCATCCAACGCAGCCATCAGATCCTCGTCTTTCGTGTGCCAGTGCAGCTCGTTGAACATGAGTGCTGCGCCTGGCTTGTAGTTGTAGGGGAGCGCCTCTGAGCGGAAGACAGGCGTGCTGGTGATGACGGTGGGCAGTATCTCCTTCTGCGCATCTGCACGCGCTTGCTTCCTCTCTTGCTCGCGAAGCTCCTCTTCCACCTGCACCTGCACCTGCACCTGCTGCTGCTGCTGCTCGTTGCTCGTGCTACTGCTGTCTGCCGCTGGATTATCTTCAAATACACCGGGCTTCGCGTCTTCTAGTCCACCGTATATATCTCCAGCCTCGCCGTAGATGTCTATATCCTCTGTACCTGTGTCCATTATATTGTTCACTGTTCACGTCCAAGAGATAAAAATACTAGATAAATATTCCTTATTTACTCAAATGCCTCCGAGAACTCGCGCTTCGAGTAAACGCACTGGGAGTACTGCCTCCAGCTCCAGCCTTGGTGGCACACGACCGCTATCTTTCGGCGGTGAGAACAACGCGTCCATCACCAGCTTCCTCAAGCCACAGACGGCAAATTCCAGCAGAAGTCTCTCTGTAAAGTCTACGATGGTTGATGAGGAGTTTGGTGGCGGTGGTGGCAGTGGCGGCAGTGGCGGTGGCAGTGGTAACGGCAGTCGCAGTGGCAGTATCAGCGGCAGCCACACCCACGCCTCGCTCTGGTCAGATGCTTACGCTCCCACTTCCCTCGACCAGCTCGCAGTCCACACACGCAAGGTGGCCGATATCCGTCGCTGGCTCGCAGAAGCGACGAGTGACACGCGCACTAGCAAATACAGGAAAGTACTCGTCCTCACTGGTACAGCTGGCTGCGGCAAGTCCACCACCGTCAAGTTGCTAGCCCAAGACATGGGTCTTGGTGTAGAGGAGTACCTCAACAGCTCCACCTACCGCTTCCCGGGCGACGAGTATGGTTGTGGGGTTGCACCCAGTAAACATTTTGCAACGTATCTGGGTAAGGCTGCTACATACCGCCCACTCTCCTTCAACAGCACAAGTAGAAAATCACACCCATCACACCAGCTTATCCTCGTCGAAGATCTCCCGAACGTGCTCGAAACGCACACGCGCGAAGCTACACACCAGGCGTTGCGCACACACTGCCTCGCTGCGCAAACACGCAACACACCCCTCGTTATAATTGTCTCAGACACCGGCACACGAGGCACGGGCGGGAGTGCGGATGACGTAGGTCCTTCGCTCGGCACCCCCAAACAGGTCATAGACGCGCGTTTAGTCGTCCCAACCGATATCCTCGACGGCCCTTACTGCCAGACTGTTCACTTTAATCCACTCGCTAGGACCTTCCTCACCAAGTCCCTCAGTGCTTTGCTCGAGAGGCACGCACGCTGCACGCAAGTGGGAGCAGACTCCACCACCCGCTATCAGCGCCCGCACGACGAAGCTCTCCATCTCGTCGTAGAATCTAGCAATGGCGATATACGTTCAGCTGTGAACACGCTCCAGATGCTCTCACAGTGTGCTCTGCCTGGGGGTGGTGGGAGTAAGGGTGTGAGTGGAAATAAGAGTGAGGGTAAACGCCGACGCAAAAACCATGTAAGCATGAGCATGAGCGACGGCACGCGTTCAGAGATGCACGCGTCGCTATCGACGCTAGCCCGACGAGAGACCTCGCTCAATCTATTCCACTCGCTGGCTAAAGTTCTGCGCAACAAGCGGCATGGCTTTGACGATGGGTTGAGTGAATATGAGTGTGAGTGTGAGCACATGCCCGCCACCTTGCCTATACCCTTGCACATGCACAATCGCAGCAAGCCACGCTCTCACGTCAACCCCACCGCCCTCTACCAGGATATACCCGTCGATGTAGACACTTTCCTCCTCTTCCTCGCACATAACTACCCCGCATACTGCGCAGACTGTGACCAGGCGGAGAATGTAGCAGAGGCACTATCTGCGGCGGACAGCATGGGCTCACACTCGTTTTCATCCTCACTCTCGAACAACACCTCATCTTCCAACTCGAGCTCACTCGCACTCTCCAACACATTTGAATACGCCGTGCGAGCCACCCTCGACACCCTCCCGACACCATCCCTCAAGCGCAGCCAGAAGATGCGCAAACCGGCCCATTTCCTCGCGCGACAGGTTCACAGAGAGCGTGCAGAGAGGGTACGCGACGTCGCCAGGCAGTCTGTCACACTCGCGGGACAGGCTGATTTACACGCTGTCGAGGTAGATGTCCTGCCTATGCTCAAGCAAATCTGGCCAGTCACAAGCGTGGAGCCGTCTCTAAACAGCTGGCTCGCGTACGGCGATAAACGCTTCGATTCCCTTACGGCGGATATCCTAGGCGAGAATGAATACGAGACCGATCTGGATCTGGAAGAGGACAACGCCCATACTTTACGTCAACCACACACTAATACCGCCACCCAGTCGGATAAATGGCTTTCCCTTAAAGATGCCCTAGGAGCTGTTGATCTTGTTGAACACGACAACGTCTACGATGTCGATGAGGAGATTGAACAGTTTTCTGATATATAATGCATTATGTTATACCTTGCATATCTTGCACACCTTGTACACGCTTACACACTCTCAAATCAACAATTGTCCATTATGCATTAAAATTATTGTCCTCAAAGGAACCCTAGTGTATAAAAGATGATTAAATGGGTTGTTAGCCGGATTAAAAAGCACGGTTTCACTCAAAGTGCACGGTAGAAATCGACACTAATCACGCGTAATTTACGCGCTAAAGACCTGTCCTTGGTTGTTATCAGTGCAACGCTCGAAGCTGATATAACCGTAGTTGTCGTTGAGACAAAGACCACCATCGTGAGCGATTCTATCGTCATCCGTGAAGTAGAGTTGTTGGTTAGGTTGGTTGTCGTAGCACGTGTAGATCTTGCCCTCGTTGTTGCCTGCGTCGATGCAGTAATTGTTGTCTGGACCGAATCTGATGAGAGATGGACCACCGCGTCTGATAGACCACTTTGGAGCATCTTCGCAGTCGACGGCAGCGAGAGGAGCATTGTTGGCGGGCTCACTGCCCAAACCAAGGCATTGCGCACCACCAGCTGCGTGGAGGTATAAGTCGTAGCGAACGTCGTTCAATGCTACTGGAGTTGGAGCGGCCATGTAGTTAACGCTTGGGGTTGAGATATCGATGCCATTCGAAGGGGATGGAGCGGGTGAGCAGTTGGACACAGCTGGTGTGGTAGCTGGGCCTGATGGAGTGACTGTAGTGCCAACAGTGTATGAAGTCACCGAGCCGTCTCCACCTGTGTAGCTACCCTCGTAGTGCTGTCTGAAAGTAGAGTAGCTGCCGTCATCCTGTGGATAAACGCCTGGAGGGAATCCAGCATCAGCGTCGCAGTTTTCAAACTCGCCCTCGTTGTAGGCTCCCTCCATTGGCATCACGAATCCACAACCCATCTCGTCCAGCTTGTGCTCGCACCATGTGGCCGTGTTCCATCCGTCTACTGGCTCATTGGTGCAGACGCGTGCGCAGAATATATCGCTCGAGATGAAACTCATCCACTCCTCATACGACTGCTCCTGACCATCGAGCACGGCTGTGACATTGCCCCCAACGGGGTTTCCCTCGCCCGTTGCGCCGTGAGGGTCGAGCTCACCACCCGCGTCACCATCGAGGACATTCACCTTGGTGAAGTCACCCTGCGCTGTGATCTGCACGAAGGCTGGTGTCTTCTGGTAGTGTACACTTGTTATAGTCCCGTCGGGAATCAAACGCGCGTTGTTGCGTGGTTTCGTGCACCACGCTACTACCTCTGCTTCAACGTTGCCTGTCGTGTCGTTAGCACGTGCTGTCCTGCGTCTCCGCCTGAGTTTCGTGTCCACTCACCTATCGGCTCACCGTAGCTCGGTGGCGCGTACAAGCAGAAGTCATCCGCGCTGTTTAGCGACATGAGTCGCGCGTTCGAGTCTTGATTGATGGCCGTTTCCATCGTCGGCATCGGGTTTGTGGGCCCCATCGTTCCAGTTGGGAAGATGTGCGCCTGGGTGCTTGCCAGTGTAGCGAGTGAAATAAGCGCGACGTTCAGCATCGTGTTTTTAGCGGTGGTGATCGTTGGTTTTTGACGAAAAACGCGCTACTTCCGTGGCTATTTATCTCAGTTACAAGGGCGGTAGTACTAAAAAAAAAAAGCGTTCCTGTGCTAGGGAAAGCTGTGCTATCGGAGTCATAAATCAGCAGTCAATCCAAATCCAGTCGTCGTCGTTCGTCGTGCACGCGTCCTTCCACCCCTTTCCATATCCGAGCTTGGCGCCCAGAAGACCGATTACATTCCGCGCAGCTACCGTTTCCGATTCCATCGTGCTGTGAGTGTGGAGTATGTCAGCATAGCATTGCGTACCTATTCCTATACCCATCATACGTACGAAAGGACGGGCTCTGTGGGCGGGTGACATCAGCCATCATAAAATATCACACAATATCAATTGGACAAACCCACCCATAGCATTTATATAGAACACCCCGTCGTCTACCTCGAACGGTGGAAGACTGCTGGCATTCTCAGGCTGGAGATATGGATATGCCTTGAACACATGCCTGTGGGTCCAGCCTACGTTTTGACTTCCCCCGAATAACACGTGCAGGTCTTGATCGCCCCAAGCGGATGGCGATTCTGAGAAGATCTTGACTATCCACTCGTCATCGACATCGACATCGTCGTCCTTACTACCCTTTCTTGCCTGCTGCACGTAGTTAACACTGTTCAACTCAAGTTGACTCGTTTTTCCTGTGTGCCTTGCCAGCGCATCAGTGGTAAGTATCATGCTTGGCGGGTGGCTGGGCAACCCCCTGAGAGCGTCACGCGCATATGTCGACGCGTTCGTCGCCACCAGGGTAACGTACAGGTCAACGTACGGTACCCGAAACAAAGGCAGGGGGGTAGCGAATATAACGTAGTCGTACAGACGCTCAACGTGCTCGCCATCACCTAAATACAGCTGCCATAGCCCGCTGCTCGTTCTGCGAATATCGCCAACCTCACACCCGAAATAGACAGTAGCGTTCGAGTGTTCTAGAAATCTCTGAAACACACGCCAATTACCGCCGTCAACTGCCTGCGAGATTAGAGAGGTTTTTCAGCTACTGTTTCACTCTGCACGTAAAAAAGCCCCTACCATGCCATCATTGCCTGCCATGCTGACGAGTGCACCGAGAGCATGGATGGAGTCGATGTTTTGCCCGTAGTTGACACGGGTAGCTGCATCAACCACCTCGCTGGCGAAGCGTGAGTTATGGAAGTGGGTCAGACCGCTCTCCTCGACCAGTCCATCAAGGCCCAAGTCTGCTACCAAGTCTTTGGGGTGCTCCCAAGGGCCGTGGTTGCGGAGAAATTTTGCATCGTAAAGCTGTAAGAACTTTTCCATGGCTTGCTTGACCTACGTTGTTTTGGGTTGTGTTGTGTGAGATGTATATTGTTTGTCTGGGCACCACACTCACGTGTATTTGTACCGTGCGAGGTGCCGTATATCCATATCTGATTGGCATTAACACTTAGAGTGTGTTATTGAATGGAAAAACACACCAACCTCCACAGTAATTTGACGTAATTCCAATATGTCCACTCACTCGACTCGAAGACAAAGGAGTCGCCGTCATAGATCCCGAATGAGCCAATATCGGTATCAGCGAGATTGTAGTCGAATTCCCTCACAGCCTTGACCATGTTCTGTGGGTGTGAGAGTGTGAGTGAGTGTGTACACCGCTAAGCAGCTAGCCACCTTATTGGCACCGACGAATATACTAGCACCCAGCTCAATGGGGCTGTAGCTGCTGTCGTTGTATGGCGTCACCGTTCTTGATCCTGTATATAGGAGATTGAGCGGGTAACAAATGAATACACAGCTACTAACTTCCACCCGCCTGATAACGCTTCTCAAACACATCTATATCGATAATATCTCCATTCTGCCTCGCCGCCTTTGTAAGGTAGTACGCTGCAGATGATCCACCAGCGCCTGCGCCGACAATAGCGATGCGAATGGCGTGTGTATATGCCATAAAACACAGTGTAATAAGCCCTAGGATCTTCATATCTGCTAATCGTTTGGTGGTGGTTGAGTTGATGACGTAGATTGCAGTTAAATTAGGCAGAAACGCAGGTGACGCGTGTAATACAAACAAATTATATCCAATATGTATGCTTTTGCTGCATATTTAAATATTTTCCCAAAAAAACGCGTCGAGTTTATTCCGTTTGCGTGTTGTTTGCGTAATGTCATCACCGGCTGCTGAGAAAGGCTATCAGTTGCAACGAGATAAAGAGGAAATAAAAGGCAGTGATCCGTTGCAGCCAGATTTTGTGGTGGAGAAGGCCGACGACGACTACACTCACAACGATGAAGACGAAAACACCAATGCAGACGCCAATGCACACGCCAACCCAGACGCAGCTCCACCTTCCTTTGAGCCATTTATTAATGCTCTCCTAGAGCCAGCTTCACAAATCCTGACTGAGCTTCACGAGCGAATTGGAAACGATGCCAACTGCACACCCCAGGATCTCCACGAAGCACGCTTGCATATTGAAGCACTCACACAGAAACTTGTAGATGAGGCCCGTTCTGCTGCCAAGGACGTCGTCGGGAGGCGGCAGCGCGACGCGGCAGACTTAGCCAAAGAATGCGATGGCCTTATATCTGAAGTTGATGAGTTGCGTCTTGCACTGGGTGAGGAGGGCAAGCGCACTACAAAATTCAGATTAAGTGGTGGTACAGAATCTTTACTCGCCAGGCGCGACAGAGTGAAGAGAGAATACGACGGATATATAGCTACATACGAACAGCGCAGCCACAAGCTTAACAACCTCACTAATCGCTTGAAGAAGCTGCAGGATATTCTCGGTGATACTCTCGTTACTCTACCTCCAGACAGCGGCAAGTACAATGATGTGACTTTGTTCAGTCTCCGGAGTATAGAAATGAATTTAACACGTGCAGAAACTGAACTCAATCGTCGGCGAGAAGTGCTTAAAGGTACACTCGTCGAACTGACGAATAGTCTCATTGAAATAGTCGAGCCGCTCCCCCAACCCACCCAAAGTGAGGACATGTCGATATGCAAATTTCAAGACACGTTCTATCCCCAAATACCAAAGCTGCTGGAGCTGGAGGACGAGAACATACTCGACACCGTCCTTGAACTGCTCACACCCACTGATGCGCTTCTCGCACATACTGAAACACTTATGGAAGAGTACGAGCAGGAGAAGCTGCGACGCGAGAATGAAATCCAAGTACTCTATGACGAACTCAGTCCACTCTGGGACAAGCTCGACATCAGCGAGGATGATAGAGAAGCGTTCATCAATGCGAATATGGGAAGCACACTCAGTGTCATTGAAGCATACCACGACGAGCTCAACAGAATGCTCGAATTGAAGAGGGAGAATATGGCACTCTTTGTGCAGCGAATTAGAATTGACATTGAGAAGTTATGGGATTTTATTCAAATTGGAACAAATGAGAGAGCACACTTTACAGCTTTCACGGATGGTGTGTGGAGGACTTCCTAGGCAAATAAAGCTAACACCACTTTTAGACTCATTCAACGACGAATGTCTAGCCCAACATGAGGAGATGCTGTCAACACTGCAAGAGGAGAAGAATACAAAAGGACGGATACTTACTAAAGTGCATCTTTACCATCAAGTGGTATCTGAGGAGAAGCAGTTGGAGGTAGGGTTGTTTATACCACTCGCTAACCCGCTCACCCCACTCCAAGGAAAGCGCGAGTGACGTTTCTCGTCTGTTAGGCAGAGGACCGCGCGACCCCGGGCGCCTGATCCGCGAAGAGAAAATGCGCAAGCGCGTGGCGAAGAAGCCAGTGATAGAAAGTGATCTCCTCGAAATGCTGGATGGGTGGGAGAGCGAGAATGGAAGGCTGTTTCTCATCAACGACGAACACTTTGCACAAACACTGCGCGACCGTGTCGAGAGTGTGGCGCAGGAGAAGGAGAATAGACGTCGGGGTGGTAAACCGACAGTAGGAGCAGGAACAGGAGCAGGACCAACTACAGGCGTGGTTCGCAAGGCATCCAATAGCTCACTGAATGCATCAACTGCATCCGCAGGGTCAAATGCACCAAACGGCAACGGAAAACGCAGGGTAGTGACGAATGAGAGCACGACACCTGCACCATCAGCTAAGCGGATGCGCGTCAACTCCAACGAAAGCAACAAAGGAGTGGTTAATAGCATAACTAAGAGCACGCACTCGCATAATTCAGCCATCAAGCCCAAGACCAAGGTGGTACATAAGGCAGCACCGCCACGGTATCCATATGCGTTATCATCGGTGGCAGAGTCGCCAGCTGCCGGACAGGATATATTTGGGAAACCGGAACCACGGCCCAAGATGAAAATGGGAAGCAGCGCGATGAAGAATGCAGCGAATGCAGCTAAAAAGAAAGCAAGAAGAAGCTCATTTAAACCTGAGCAGCGCGTGGCTAGCGTGTCGAGTGCGATTGACCACCAGTATGCGGAATTGGAGGCAATCGCCGCGGGAGAAGAGGAAGACTGGTAAAGGATTGATTGTAATATTCGAAATTGTTGTAATAACTGCTAATATTGTACTAGATTTTATGTTTATTAAGGTAGCCACAGTTGGTAAGCGAAGATGGGGAATTGAGAGATGGCCACAGATAGCCAGTGATAGCCAGTGAGATGACCACACAGCCAAATATCTACTCCCACGCTTCCCCCACCTACAAACCCTCCAGAGATGGTCGTTGAGCTCCTTGATCCACTAACGCCATCACGTTGGCGACAAAAATTAATAAATGAGTTTAGGACATCAATTCAGTCACAGCGCTGCGTTAGTATATTTCGCAAAGGCGTGTGCACCATCTCACGCCTCTTAGCCCAGTGAAAGGGATCAAAGAGGTCCAATTTGGTTTGATGAGCCCGGAAGAGATGGTAAGATGGGATTTCTTTCTCGATATCTCCCACGCTTATCACGCCCTAGAAATCTCTATCCGTCGCTCATATTGTCCATCCTGAAGTCATCGATGAAGGCACAGGGAGACCGCGTCAAGGCGGCTTGATGGATCCGCGTATGGGTACTATCGACAGGTCAGTCGCAGTCGCTGCCGAGACAGTCCAGAGACAGTCTCTAATGCGTCTTCTTTAGAAATTTCAAGTGCCAGACTTGCGGTGAGGGTATGGCTGAGTGTCCAGGCCACTTTGGCCATATTGAATTGGCAAAGCCTGCGTTTCACATTGGTGCGTGTCTCTCTGTTTTATAAGCAGGTCAACTAACCCATATTCACAGGCTTTTTGACAAAGATCAAAAAAATCATTGAAAGCATCTGTGTTAACTGTGGTAGACTGTTGGCGGACGAGGTGAGTTGAGACGGCTTAGAGCGCTCTCCTCTGCTCACTTTCCACCCAGAACGATCCTGAACTTGCTAAGATACTACGCACCGTTCCCGTTGGAAAAAGGCGGTTCGAGTCTGTTCACGCCTACTGCGCCAAGATAAACGTATGTAAACCAGACGAGCCAAATGAGAACGGTGAGGATCCCGCAAATCTCCCGCCAGGCCACGGTGGCTGTGGTCGTCTACAGCCTGCAATTAGGAGGGAGGCTTTGAAGCTGTTTGCTGTCAACAAGCAGCAAAAGAATGATGAGGAGGTGCGTTACAGCTACTTCTACTACTCCAAGCTCTAATTTACTAATTTGCCTTAGGATGACTCGAAAGCTCAGCAGGATAAGCGTCAACTCACGGCTGCGGAGGTTTATACTCTTTTCAAGAAAATTTCAGACAGCGACATCACCAATATGGGTCTATCGGCTGAGTTTGCTCGTCCCGACTGGATGATCATCACCGTACTCCCAGTTCCCCCTCCTCCCGTCCGTCCTTCCATTGCCGTCGATGGTGGTGCAACTCGTTCTGAAGATGATCTTACTTACAAGCTTGCTGATATTCTCAAATACACCGCATCTCTTCGTAGATTTGAGGCAGAAGGTGTTCCTGTACACATTATCAGCGAAAATGAGCAGCTAGTCCAATTTCACGTCGCTACGTACATGGACAACGACATAGCGGGTATACCACAAGCAATGCAGAAATCAGGTCGTCCAATTAAATCCATAAGAGCTCGTCTGAAGGGTAAAGAGGGTCGTTTGCGTGGTAACCTGATGGGTAAACGTGTAGATTTTTCAGCTCGTACCGTCATCACTGGTGATCCTAACCTCGAATTGGACGAGGTTGGTGTCCCATTCTCTATCGCCCGTACCCTCACCTATCCTGAACGCGTCACTCCTTACAACCTACTTTATCTGCAGGAGTTGGTCAGGAATGGTCCCACCCAATACCCTGGTGCACGGTATGTTGTGCGTGACACTGGTGAACGTATAGATTTGCGTTATAACAGACGTGCCGATACTTTCTTGCAATTCGGCTGGATCGTCGAGCGACACTTGAAGGATGGTGATTTTGTCCTCTTCAACAGACAGCCTTCGCTGCACAAAATGTCTATGATGTGTCACAGAGTTAAGCTGATGCCTTACTCTACTTTCAGACTGAATTTGTCCGTCACTCCACCCTATAATGCTGATTTCGACGGTGATGAAATGAACTTGCACGTACCTCAATCTGAAGAGACGAGGGCAGAGATGAGCCAAATTGCAGCAGTTACTAGACAGATTGTCTCTCCTCAAGCCAACTCTCCGGTTATGGGTATTGTCCAAGATGCACTCTGTGGTGTGAGGAAGTTGACGCTCAGAGACACATTCCTCGATAGCAAACAAGTCGCTAACATTCTAATGTGGGTTCCTGGATGGGACGGTTTAGTACCAACGCCTGCAGTACTCAAACCCAAGCCTCTGTGGTCGGGTAAGCAAATACTGTCGCTGTGTATTCCACGCGGTATCAATGTATTCAGGTCGAATGAGGCCAAGTCTTCAGCCCCAGTAGATGATTCGGGTGTATGTATCGAAGATGGTAACATCATGTACGGTGCGATCGATAAATCCACCGTCGGTAAATCTCAAGGTGGTTTGGTACACGTTATTTTCCGCGAGAAGGGTCATATCGTCTGTAAGGACTTCTTGTCTGGTCTGCAGGTTGTTGTTAATTATTGGATGCTGCACCACGGTTTCTCGATCGGTATTGGGGACACTATCGCCGATAAGTCTACCATGGCTTACATCACTGAACGTATTTCCGACGCTAAAGACAAAGTCAAGGGGATCATTCAATCTGCAGAATCTGATCAATTAGAGGCACAAGCTGGTATGACTATTCGTGAATCATTCGAAGCCTCTGTCAATATGGAACTGAACCAGGCTCGTGATCAAGTCGGTAAATCTGCACAAAAGTCCCTTAAAGACGACAACAACGTTAAACAAATGGTTGTTGCAGGTTCCAAGGGTTCTTTGTGAGTGTTAATTTGGTTGGTTTGCACCCCACTCACTAATCTCTACAGCATTAACATTTCTCAAATGTCAGCTTGTGTCGGTCAGCAGTCCGTCGAGGGTAAACGTATCCCGTTTGGTTTCAGATACCGTACACTGCCTCACTTTACCAAGGACGATTTCGGTCCAGAGTCACGAGGATTCGTCGAGAACTCATATTTGCGTGGATTGACGCCATCCGAGTTCTTCTTCCACGCTATGGCTGGTAGAGAAGGTTTGATTGATACAGCAGTGAAGACAGCTGAGACCGGTTACGTTCAAAGACGTTTAGTTAAGGCGTTGGAGGATATTATGGTGCACTACGATGGTACAGTGAGGAATTCTCTCGGTGACGTTCTTCAATTTGCCTACGGTGAAGATGGTATGGATGGATCTGTTATGGAAAAGCAGCACTTTGTTGGTATGTCTGCTAGCGATGAGGAGTTTGACCGCAAGTTCCGCATTGATCTCACCGACCCATCTCGTGACTTTAAGCCTGGCTCATTGCGTGTTGGGTTGGAATCCACCGAAGGCTTGCAAGCCAAGTTGGATATGGAGTGGAGGCAGCTCGTCGATGATCGCGTAATGCTTCGAGACTTCATCTTTAAATTCCGTCCAGGCGATTCTACACTCCCATTGCCACTGAACATACGTCGTACTATCCAAAACGCGCAGCAGATCTTCCGTATTGACCGCCGTCAACCCTCAGACCTGGATCCAGGGTCAGTGGTGGATGAGGTGCATGCACTTTGCCGTAGACTAGTTGTCATTCGCGGTAAGGATGTGTTGAGTCAGGAGGCTCAGAACAATGCCACAATGTTGTTCGCTATTCTCCTCAGGTCTTCGTTGGCTGTCAGACTCATCATTGAGGAGCACCGTCTTAATAGAGAAGCGTTCGATTGGGTTATTGGTGAGATAGAGACTAGATTTAATCAGTCTATCGTAGCACCGGGTGAAATGTGTGGTACATTGGCAGCACAGTCGATTGGTGAACCTGCGACGCAGATGACACTTAATACATTCCACTATGCTGGTGTTTCATCGAAGAATGTCACACTTGGTGTACCTCGTCTAAAGGAAATTATTAACGTAGCTACAAATATCAAAACTCCATCTCTAACTGTATTCCTCGATGAGATGACTTCAAGGGATGTTGTTGCTGTGAAGAATGTACAGGCAGAGTTAGAACACACGACACTCAAGACTATCACAGCAGCTACGGAAATTATTTACGACCCAGATCCTACAACAACAATCGTAGATGAGGATAGAGATTTCGTCGAGGCATACTTTGCCATTCCAGACGAAGAGGTAGCTGCGAACATTGACAAGCAGTCGCCATGGCTACTGCGGTTGGAGTTGGATAGAGCCAAGATGTTAGACAAACGTCTTGAGATGAACTTTGTTGCTGGGAAGATCGCTTCGCTGTTCCAAAACGACTTATTCGTCATCTATTCGGAAGATTCCGCAGAGAAGCTCATTATCCGTGCTAGAATAGTTGGAGATGATCCATCGACTAAGGAAGATGATGGTGTATCTGAGGATGTCTTCTTGAAGAAAATTGAGAACAACATGTTATCAAACATCTCATTGCGCGGTATAGAGGGTATAACGAGGGTGTTCATTGTCGAACGTAAGAAGGAGGTGATAGCTGAGGGTGGTAGATTTGAAAGACAGCAAGAATGGGTTCTTGAGACTGATGGTGTCAACCTCTCTGAAGTACTCCCAGTTAAGCATGTGGATGCTACGCGCACGTACTCGAACCACTGTCAAGAAATATTCGAGGTGCTTGGTATAGAAGCAGCGCGTAATGCGATTTTGAAGGAGTTGCGTAACGTCATTGAATTTGACGGTTCTTACGTCAACTACCGTCATCTGGCGCTATTGTGCGATCTGATGACTAACAGAGGAAGACTTATGGCTATTACGCGTCATGGTATTAACCGTGCAGACACGGGAGCATTGATGCGTTGTTCGTTTGAAGAAACAGTAGAAATTCTTCTCGAAGCAGCTGCAATTGGAGAGAAGGATGATTGTCATGGTATAGCTGAGAATGTTCTTCTTGGACAGATGGCACCAATGGGCACTGGAGCGTTTGATGTTACACTCGACATCGATATGCTCAAGGATGTAGTTATCGATGCTAAACTTCCAGCACATCGCCTTAATGCGCAGATGGCAGAGGGAGCGATGGTTATAGATGAGCAGGGCAAGATGACGCCATATGCACATGGGAAGAATTCATACGAGGCGCAGATTATTGGAGATGATACAGCACTGTTCTCTCCAATCGCCGCATCAGGTTCAGATGAGTCGAGTAAGGAATACTTGGGATACGGTCAATCGCCATTGGTTACGGGAGGGGCAACTTCGCCAGGTTACTCACCATCGAGTCCTACATGGTCACCGACGAGCCCTGGATATGTGCCAGCGACCTCGCCAGCTGTCGGAGGAGCTGTGTCTCCTTGGGTACCACAGGGAGGAACCTCACCTGGGTATTCACCTTCAAGTCCAATGGTTGGGATTAGCTCGCCTTCTTATAGTCCTAGCTCGCCAAAGTTCAGTCCATCTAGTCCGACTTACTCGCCTGCGTCGCCTAGCTATAGTCCAACATCGCCGCGCTACAGCCCAGCTAGTCCGGCATACAGTCCATCTTCTCCCAAATGTAAGTTGATCTGGAAAGTAACTGAAGGAATAGAAGCTGACAAATTCGCAGACTCGCCAACATCGCCAAAGTACTCTCCAACATCACCACAGTACTCACCAACGTCACCACAATACTCACCGACATCACCTAAATGTGAGAGGAAAGTTTAAGACATGGAGCGATTGCTAACGCAGCAGCAGATTCACCAGCATCACCGGCGTACAGTCCAGCCAGTCCAGGATGTGAGTTGAAAGAGATTGTAGATTGTAGAGATAGCTGACAAAAGACAGACTCACCTGCATCGCCTGCGTACTCGCCAGCGTCGCCAGCTTACTCACCGGCGTCACCAGCGTATTCACCGGCGTCGCCTGCATATTCACCAGCGTCGCCTGCATACTCGCCAACGTCGCCAGGAGGAGCGACAGGGGTTAATGGGGAAACGAAACCAAGTTGGCAGACAGGCAACACGTCCTCAGGGCCAAGCTGGAAGACGTAAGTGGGAGGCAGAAGAGGGGAGAAGAAAGAGAAAGACGATAAAAGAGAAAGATATTGTAAATTTCTATTTATGTGTAAAGTGTAAAGTGTAAAGCGTGCTGCGCGTTTGCATGTGTATCGTGAGAGTAGATTACAGTGTTATAGAGTATTTTAATGCAAAGGGTAGTTGATATAATATTCGAATTTAGCATTTCCGTGCGAGCTGTGGAGTGTGGGGTTAGACAGGAAGCTGGGACAAGGCACGACAAACCTCCTGCTGAGTTAGATTGAGTGAAAATTGCTGTGGCTGATTGTTGGATACGATATCGAAACCCTTTCTACGTGGTGGCTGGGTGTGCTGCTTGTATGCATTAAGAAATGGGTTCAGCTTGGTTGACTTTGGAAGAAGACCACGACGAGGGAGCTGTGGGAGCTGTGGGAGTTGCTCTGAGTGGCAGTGGCTGGCTGTGGAGTTCATATTTATGTTATCTTGATCGTCGTGGAAATGTGGGGAATTAATTTAATTATGTCGACATATTCTCGTTGGGGATACGCAACCCAACGAAACGGTAAGATTGCACGAGAACACAAATGAATTACAAAAGCGGAATGAAGAGAATTTTAAAGATAAACGGCCCAAATGATTTTAAGAAGGTGCTCCTGGTCTGTGAAAGTGCTCTCCATATACCAACCAACTCACTTCCCACAGAGACCACATATTACACAACACAGCCACCAGCAATCCCCAGACACAGCTAGCAATGAAATATACAAGCTACGTACCCGACTAGATGACATCTCCGCTAAGCTGGTCGAATTGAAGGTTATTCCATCTCTTTGTGTTGTGATACACTCTAACGCGCCATAGACAGGTGGCATTAACTGATTGTGTATTTGAGTATTTGTTTATTTTCATTTGTATTCATCTCTGTTCATCTCCTATCTCCCACCTTACATCTCCCACACCGCTTACCGCCACTCTCCCGCTCACCACGATCATCCTATTTGATACCCAATGGAAACGACTAATTCGCCTGATAATCCCAGTCTATCATTCTTGAATGCCTCAACGACGCTACTACCGCACAGATTCGCTCAATCCGTCACGGCGATATCGCTATCAACCAAATTCAGCCTACGCACCGCAGCATTCCTAATAGATTTATTCCTGCACGGCTTTAGAAGCACGACGACGAGCTCTATCGATATCGCACGCAGAGCAACCATCTCCGCCATCAATTCCGCCCTCCGAACTTACGATCCAACTACCGGTGACATAGATCTCGAGCATCTGTCACTCTCAACAGGCTTAGCTGCCTTAGGCATATCTTGCACGTCCTCCTCTAACCCTGATCAAGTCCACAGGAAGCTCCTAGAAGGCTACACTGGCTTGGGTGCGTTGTCTCGCTCTTATTACAATGTCTCACCTCCATTAGGCGTTTATCTCGTTCACCACTCTTTCACTCTCGCTGAGCTTTTCGCCCACGCTGGCTTCTACCTCACCCAGAAAACTCTAAAGACTTCCTTCTCCCTCGCCGAAGAAAGCGTTTCAGTTTTTGATGGCATCTTCGGCTCCAACGAGACTAGCCGCGCTTTGTCTGCCATTATCAGCTTCATGGGAAAGCAGAACGAGGCTCCGAAGCATATGTCCTACTTGAGCTGGATCGTCGCTCTCACAAAGGCCTTCACTGCGTTTGCTTGTCTCCAGAGCGCAACACAGAAGCGGATTCTCGAAAGCCAGAACATGAAAGTCGTGTGGGATTGCGTTGTGGTCAATAGATCCTTCAGCGAGGTTAACTCTAAGAAGAAAAAGTCAATCGGCGATACACTCGCTAGTTTAGCCACCATGCTTGAGTCTTATAGATACAAGAACTTGTCCAGGAATTCTTCTGCTGCCTCTCCAGGCGACCGGTCGCCTGGAGAGCATCAACGTGAGCACGCACATCCACATGGAAAAAGCATGCATCACTCCATCTTGAAGAAGAAGAGTGGTAATCTCTTCTCGTCGCGTGAGGCGACGACTTCCACTGAATACCGCACGCGCAACCTCTCCCCCGATGAGCGCAACCAACTTATCAAAACCCTCACTGATCTGCTTGGAGAAGATGCGCACATTGATACACAGGAAACTAACGCATCTCAAGACACACATGCCCCTTGCGAGTGTGCGGAAAGTGACGAAATGATTAAGAAGACCATCTGGGAAATGATCACTGAGAATGAGGAGCAGATAGTCACAACAGAAATGCGCAGCGAGCTGGCACAGGCACAGGAACACGAGCAGATGCAGACACAAACACAGCAGCCACAGTCACTACACCCTCCCACGCCCCACTCCCACCAAACAAATACCATCCACTTTCCATCTATTTCGACCTTCTCCAAATCAGCACCCCAGACGCCTTACCAAGAAGATATGGATACAGACGACGGGCGCAGGGAGAGAGAAACTATGTCGTACTTCCCACACTACTCTAACTCGACCAGCTGCCTACCCGGACTCAGCACTGAAAGCCAGGAGTATTCCGTAGCGAGTGAGTCGTACGCAGATACGCTTAGCCACCCTGGTGAAAGCAGACAGCGTCTCCAGAATGTGCTGCGTACAGTCACCACGCGTCTTACGCAGAAACACGTCGCGCGCAAGATTGAAATAAGCGGCAGGAAGAGAAGCGGGAGTGGGAGTGCTGTTATCAATCGCAAAACATCCACACCGGAAATAAGTATGATGAGAATGACGAGCTCGGATAAAGGCGAGGGTAAGAAGAAAATGACGCTCCCACATACCCGCACAAAGTCTATCAGCACACACACACATCCTAATCAATTATTACAGGGAGCGGAGAGTTTGTCGCTAGGTATTACAGACGGTCTCGCGCGGAATGGTTTTTCACAGAATGACCAGCCCCAAAATATACCATCGCCTCATACACCTAAACATAATATACCCCCACCCAGTACGCCTACACAGAAAATCCTCGCACCCCACACAACATCTCCCCAGAAATCACCAGACGCACCACAAGCACCGCCGTCGTCGCCCGTGTGTGCACACACGCGTGGAAGCACCAATTTGAGCCCATCTGCTACAAATCTATCAACACTACCACCGTCAGCCATACCGCCGACGCCAACACCACCAAAAGACGCTGTCGAATCGACCTCGGAAGGTGTTTACTGGCCGCGCGAGCATATTATCAAGAACATCCACCGCTTTATGCGCTACTCCTCGGCAGCGTACGGCAAGTCATTTATGCGTATTCTTGGTATCGGCGGGGATGCGACAGCGGACCACACAGACACGTCTGCGCACCAGCAACACATCAACCACCACGCATTTGCATACCACAATAACATACCTATCGACGCAATTCTTCTATCGTCTTACACTAATCCCTATGATAATTTCAAGAAGGACAGCGGGAAGATCTACCCGCTGGTGCACTACATAGCGATTGACCACAGTGCGCAGTCGATTATCCTCACCTGTCGCGGCACGCTAGGGTTCCAGGACATACTAGTTGATCTAACGTGCAACTATGCGCATCTGGACTTAGATGCAGGATCTTATGACAAAGACGGCTACTATGCGATACACGAGGGAATGTTAAGCAGTGCTTATCGACTAGCACACTCTCATACGGTGCTCTCTACAATTCGTAGGGCGCTACTCGAGTATCCCCGCTATGGGTTGGTGCTCTGCGGACACAGTCTAGGCGGTGGAGCTGCAGCTGCGCTAGCTTTGCTATGGGGCACGCGATCGGATGTGTTCGCAACGCAGGCACGCAATAGAGGTATGTCATTTAATGTGAAAGCGTCGACCACTTTCGTCACGGGATTTAAATCACTCTTGCCGGAAGGTCGCTCGCTTAGCTGCTACACTTACGGCACACCATGCGTATCCACTCCTGACCTCACAGCATATGCGCGAGGTCTTATCATTAGCGTCGTCAATAATAAGGATATTGTCCCCACACTCTCACTCGGTTTGCTGCACGATATGCGCAAGATGGCTATCATGTTGCATGAGGAAGAGGGCAACATTACGGATGAGATTATTGGCCGCGTGCTCGGGTTCAGAGGAGAGAACGGCTTACAGAGTGGCGAAAGTAATCGGCGTCGGAGTGATTCAAACGGAATTGAGGGTGCGCGGGGTGGGAGTGGCGATGTAATTGAAACACACCGCACAGATACAAACAGATACAAACACACTCACCCGACTGACAAAGTAGATGAGATGGCAGAGGACCTAGGTACGCCAGCCGACACACTACGCACGATAACACACCAAGATGCAAAGGTGGGGCACACCTCCAACGCTATCCTTAAACCTGGTTACGTAGATCCAGCGCTAGTTGCAACGACGCCGCAAGCCGACCAGGAGCTCAGCGACTGGCTCTGGAGTTTGAAGACAACGATCGGAGCTGACATGGATGCGGTGAAGCTGTATCCGCCGGGCGAAGTGAGTTAGATGGAGCGTCTTTAGCGGATTGTGTAAATCGGCTGACGATGATTGCAGGTGTTTGTCGTAGAGAGGTCCACGTGTCTAGTGACGCTGGAGTGTGGCGGGGGCGAGAACGGTGAGGAGGAGGGTGAAGGTGAGCTTGGTACGGAACAACACACCCACTCTCACTCTCACGCCTCGCCCCAATATAAACAGGAAGCTCATCGCGTTATTTTGAGATACTGCCAGGATGTGGAAAAGAGGTTCAACGAGCCGTTCTTTAGCAAAAGCATGTTCACGGATCATAGCCCCGTCGAGTATGAACGTGCGACGCAGCTCTTGTTTGATGGGATAGCGGGGTGATGAAGATGGTGATAGCGATCGCGATGGTAATGATGATAACGTTAGCGATAGTAATGATAGCGATAGTAATAAAACCTAACAACGATAACAACGATAAACATAACAAAGATAATAATACCAGCAACGACATTAACACTCCAGCATAACTACAGCATTTCTCGAGCACTTCACACACTTGTAACATTAGGCAATAGCTTATATATCAATCTTTTTATATTGTTTGCGTATTTTCTCAGTTACAAAGAAATAAATCTATGAGAGTAAAAATGAAGTATTAAAGGTGTAGTGAGTAGTACTATAGAAGAGGGTGGTTGGGGGCAGTAGTATCGAGGTTAAGTAAGGGGAGAAACTGCGCCAAATATAAAGTTAACGATGCCGAGAGGTGAGAAGGTTGTAAAGGTTGTGAAGAATCGAGACAGCAAACCACCCACTCAAGCTATCGACTCACGCTTATTAAACTTAGCGACAAAGCCGTCTTTGGGGAAAATAGTGGCAATGACTTCAACATTGTGAGATTGAGGAGTAACAATGTGTTCCCAGTCCATAAGGACGCTGGCAGACCCAATGAGAGCGGTCATATGCAAAACGGCGTATTCCTTCCCGAGGCAATGATGAGGACCATGTCCGAAAACGAGATAGTTAGCAGCAGCTTTTTCAGCATCGCTCGGATTACCATTAGCATCAGGAAGCCATCTTTCTGGCCTAAATGACTCAGGGTCGCCATACACTGCCGGATCATGAAGCGAGGGGTAGATACTAGGAATGAGCATAGTACCTTTAGGTACAGTGTAATCAGCGTTGATAGGGAAAGGTTTTTTAGTGAGATAAGGCACCATAATAACAGGAGGCTTGATACGAAGAGATTCCTTTATACAAGCGCGTGTATAAGTCATCTGGTCGATCATATCGAGAGTAGTTGGTGAATCTACATCGCCACCACGGACACGATATTGCTCTTCACGTACCCGACCCAGTACCTCCGGATGATCAGCTAGTAATTGAAAGATGTAAACAACACCACTGGTCATGGCATCCTGAGAAGCGAATAGGAATGATAAGACAACCATAGCCATTTCGTTATCGGAGAATTCGCGCGCGCGTAACACTTTGCTTGAACCATCTGTATGAGCGTTGTTTTTAGCCTCGTGCATCGCCTTCGTCCAGTGGTCAAGCAAACACTCTGGCTCTGCATCATTGCTCATGCGCTCCTTAGATTGAGCGGACGCATGCTCAAACCATTTAACAGCCACTTTGCGTGCTTTTATCGCTTTGTATACCTTAGTACCAGGCCAAGCGAAGGGGAAGTTGACCAGCTCGAGCGCGACGGTAATAAGCCAGTATTTGGCACTGATATCGTCTTGCGCATGCTGGGGAATGTATTCGCCACAAAAGACTTTTAATGAGGTTTCCATGTTGAGATCGCGCATGGACATCATGTAGCTCTTGGGAGTGGCATCACGCGTCCACTTGTCAAAGTACTTGCGGTAGATGGACTCTTGAATGGGGAGATAGCTGCTTAGTGCGCGGCGGGTGAATAATACGTTGAGGCCCTTGCGGTAGTCGGAATGCACCTTGCCGTTGAGGAAGACCCAGTTGTTAGGATCGAGAACCTTTTTGGCACTGGCTACGAGACACGGCTCGGCGTAGGAAGCGCTGCTGAATATTTTGCGACTGTACTCGTTCTTGGCAGCTTGGACGATGAAGCTAGAGAGTGTGGATGTTAGACGGGGGGCGATACAATGAACTAGATAAACCAGACTAACATATTGAAAACAGAGACTGCAGATAAATCACCCAGCTTCCATCCAGACATGTAGTTCTCCAGACTAGGATTTAAACTGTCGGCGAAACGACCAATAATGGGAATAGACCAACTGGGACCCTGTAAAGGAGGTTAGCGGATATATCAACAAATTAGCACTCAAAACACACGGGCAAATGACCCTTTTTGTACTTGTAAATGGCCTGCTCGAGGATGAGCAGCGAGGCAGCAACGGCGAGAATGGCAGTAAGGAGAGGCTGGCTAGTGCGCTCAACGGGTTGAGCGTCGGTATAATAGCTTTGCGTTGAGTTCATCCGTCGTTGTTGATGATATCGTTGTCGTTGTCGTTGTTGGTGAGTAAGATCGGATGAAATCAGGCCATTTCGGTTATGATGAAAATGGCGTTGAGAGTGTTTGTGGGAGTGCGCATGTGTGTGTAGTTTGTGTATGTGTGTGTCTTTATATACTCTGCTCTTACCAATATAACCAGCTAAAATTGTAGTAATGTCTTGGCTTACATAAAAATAACGCCAAAAATTACGTGAAAATGATGAACATGTGTGTATATTTGAGTGTATTAGGTTTATTCAAAATGAAAATACCTCAATTTGATTAAGAATTTAATGGTGAAAGTTGGCATATATTTTGATTACATGTGTGCAGGTGTGCATGTGTGCAGTTGTACATGTGAGCATACAAGATAGCTTGAATGTAAGCATAAGAATAGGAATAAACAGGTATAATAAAACAAATCAACGTATTCGCGAAGATGGGAGAGATGGAGAGATGGATGGATGGATGGATGTTGTCAGGAACTTCTAAAGGATAGTACATCTTCGTCTACGTTGATTTCTTCTATAGGGCTGAGCAGGATGTTGATTAGTAGTACCATTGACACTTTGTCTCTGCCGCCTAATCTCTCTGACGACGTGAAAGAAAGCTCTTTCAACATTAACGCAAGTTTTAGCAGAAGTTTCAATCATGGAGCATTGTAACTTCTTTGCCATGAGTTGAGCCTCTGATAGACTAACTTCACGCTCATAAACCTTGTCACACTTATTTCCAACAAGCATCAGTGGTATGTCATCACTCTCCTTAACACGAGTGATAAGATTACGGAATTTATCGATTCTATCGAAAGTGGAACGTGAAGCAATTGAGTAGACGAGTAAGAAACCTTCGCCTTCTCTAATCCATTGATCGCGTAGAGCAGTATACTCCTCTTGACCGGCTGTATCAAGAACTTCAAGTAAAGCAGGGCTATCATCTAAAACAACTTGCTTTCTGTAGCTGTCTTCGATGGTTGGATCGTAGGTTTCAACGAAGGAGTTCATGCAGAACTGGAACAAATTTAATTGGTGAATTAGAAAGTGCGCTTACTCACCTGTACAGTCAGCGCAGTTTTACCAACACCACCATCACCCAATACACTAAGTTTACTGAGATGTGTTAGTAGTGGGCGGGCTCAAAACACTTCAACTAACTAAGGCGTGGCTTTTGACTGGTGTATTTGTTAATAGATGTAGATTACATTTAAACATACTAACCATTTTCTGTGTGTTTGTATGTGTTAAGAGAGTAGCATCTTACACACAGAGCAAACCAACTAAAATTTAAATTTGAAAATAAAAAACACCAATATGATCATATATACTGTATATTTAACAATATGAATTTATAAATCCGTTTAAATTACTCATTTTATATTTATATTTGAATAACTGAGCTGGCTTTTAGCTCGCGACGCAGCTCCTTTAGCTAAACCAAATTAAGTGTAATTGTGAGTGGCTCGGGATGTATACCCACGTATTCTAACAACCACAGAAATGGGATTATCTGTTTCAAAACTCCTGTCCACTCTCTTTGGGAAGAAGGAGATGCGTATCCTGATGGTTGGTCTTGATGCTGCTGGTAAGACTACCATCCTCTACAAGCTCAAGCTGGGCGAGATTGTAACCACCATCCCAACCATCGGTTTCAACGTTGAAACTGTCGAATACAAGAACATATCCTTCACTGTCTGGGATGTTGGTGGCCAGGATAAGATTAGACCCCTTTGGAGACACTACTTCCAAAACACCCAAGGCATAATCTTTGTCGTCGACTCAAACGACAGAGATCGTGTCACTGAGGCTAGAGAGGAACTCCAAAGAATGCTCAATGAAGATGAGCTTAGAGATGCCCACCTCCTCGTTTTCGCTAACAAACAAGACCTTCCAAACGCAATGAACGCCGCTGAAATCACTGACAAACTAGGCCTCCACTCCCTCCGCCAACGCACCTGGTACATTCAAGCTACATGCGCAACCTCTGGTGATGGCTTATACGAAGGCTTAGAGTGGCTTTCAAACAACTTGAAGAACAAAATGTAATCCCCCTCTTTTCTTTTGATTATTTCATCATATCCTGGTATTTTCGGTGTGTTTTGTGTCTCGTGTATCCCATGTGTTCCGCGTGTACCTCCCTACAAACCCCTCTTGATCCCCAACCATGAAGACCTTTTCAAGAGAACAAGTTGCAAACGTGAGATAATCGTCAATCACCTGTTTACCCCACTCACACTCCCACACAGCACAATTCCAAAGGAGATTGTTAGCCTGGCTTATAACCGGTAATACCCTTTCTCACGCTCTGTATTCAGTGTGGATCGTTATCGACAGCACCGTGTGTCCATCTCTTGCCATCTCCTAATATCTCCAATTCCCTTAGATCTACGACGTTTCCAAGTGGGCTGCATCTCACACGCCACCTACTCACCCACTCACTCCCGTACAGATTCATCAACATCCATCCAGGCGGCGCTTCCGTCTTCTTCGACGACGATATCGCTGGCCAAGACGCTACTGAGCAATTTTTCAACCTCCATCGGTTCGTTCTCTTTGATTGTTATCTCACCCTCACCGTACCCAACCAGCCTCGATGTCCTCGAAAAACCTCAGTACAAGCGCCTTATCATTGGCCAAATTGAGAATGAGAAACCTGTTATTAAGTTCCCTCAACCAGGTGATCTTTCCGAGGGTGTGTCATGTGTCTTGGTGTTTCACATTCCATAACTCTTTTTACAGTACCATACGGCGAGCCAAGCTGGCTATCGCAAGCATATCACTCTCCATACTACAAGGAGGTGTGTCTGATTTCTACTAATCATATCACTTCACTCACCACCTTAACAGTCCCATAAAGCTCTGCAGAACTGGATGAGAAAGTTCGTAGACACTGTCATCACCCCTGACGCTCTTGCACGCGAAAAGGATGGCAAACGATGCTCTGATGGTGTTGTCGAGAAAATGGCGTGAGTTGGAAATTTTTCACGAAGTACTCCCTCACTTTTCACCATGCAGTCAATACGAAATCAATGCCATGCGTCTCGGCCCAGGTAAGCATCTTCACGGCCGCACCCTCGCAGAAGGCATCGTAAAGCCAGAGGAATTTGACTATCTCCATGAACTTGTCATCAACCAGGAACTCGTCCGTCACGGCCAGCGTGGATATGGCGATGGTTTGCTCGCTGGTATGGTTATCGGTCTCCCACCTGTCCTCAATTTTGGAAGCGATGAGTTGAAGGCGTGAGTATCAGTTGAGCGGCAATAATCACGCACCCCTCACATATACTCCAGCCGCATTATCCCTCAGGTTCTCTCCGGCGAAAAGGTAAGACACGCCCCATTATTATATCATGTCTCACATCAACGTGATCAGTTCATCTCACTCGCCATCAGTGAGGCTTTCGCAGGCTCTGATGTCGCAAACCTGCGTACGACAGCAGTCAAATCTCAAGATGGCAAACATTGGATCATAAACGGTACCAAGAAGTGGATCACAAATGGCACCTTCTCCGACTACTTCAGCGTAGGCTGCAAGACGGAGGGAGGTCTAACAATGATCCTCGTAGAGCGCACTGAGGGTGTATCTACGGAGCAAATTAAGACATCGTACTCTACTACCGCCGGAACAGCGTACATTACATTCGATGGTGAGGGTGGTGTTTTTGAGTGAATAACATAGAGCCCACTAAAACACTCAATAGATGTCAAAGTCCCTGTCGAAAACACTCTTGGTCCTGAAGACGGTGGGCTGCTCGTTATACTCTCCAATTTCAACCATGAGCGTTTTGTAATGGCGACTGCGTCGACGCGTTCGATCCGGTTCGTTGTTGAGGAGTGTTTCAAATGGGCCAACCAGCGTAAGGTGTTTGGCAAGACTCTCCTCGGCCAGCCAGTCATCCGCTACAAATTAGCAGGCATGGTCGCCAAAGCTGAATCCTTGCAAGCTTGGCTTGAGTATGTGGGCTATCAGATGACCAAGGTGGGTGGGGTTTGTTAATGTTGCTACTTTCGCTCATTAAACACCTCCTTATCGGCGCAGATGACGTACAAGGAGCAGTCGAAGCACCTCGCCGGTCCAATCGCGCTGCTCAAGATGCAGTGCACAAGGGTCGAGAATAGTGTTGCTGACGATGCTGTACAAGTGGGTTTGTCGGTGTCCGATGACCCAACCGTCTCACTCCCTCGCAGATCTTCGGCGGCAGAGCTATCACGCAGACAGGCATGGGACGCAATATTGAGATGTTCAACCGCACCTATAAATTTAACAGTGAGTGTGTACTCTATTAATAGCACCACACAATTAACAACACCCTTCCAGGCTTACTCGGTGGTTCTGAGGGTGAGAAGGAGTATTTACACACGCGCGATGCTGACGCGAGACAGAAATTTTGGGTGATCTTGGTATACGCCAGGCTATGAGACAGGTGCGTGTGCAGCAGTATCTTTCATGTCACTCATCTCACATCACTAATATCGCTACAGATGCCAAAGAGCGCACGTCTCTAGCACCCCAGCACGCTAAACAATCTTGTATGTATAACTAATGATGATTGATACCTCGAGAAATATGAAGTTTTCAACTTTTGGATTGGTAAGACTGTAACTGATATTGAGGAGGAATGAATAGATAGAAATAGAAATAGAAATAAGGGATGATCATGTTACAAGGGAAGAAAATATTTTGCATCCCCTATAGCAAGACAAATCTGGGTTTTAGATATGTCGCACCCGCTCTGTTTGCACTCGTATGAGGTATTCCAAAAATCAGGAACGCACGTGAATTTTCAGCGGACAGTGCAGTCTGGAATTCTTCAGACCGAATTGCAGCTTTTTGATCAACCATCGTTTTCGAAGTAAAAGCAGGCTTTTAGCGAAGACATTCATCAAGTACCGACAACCTACACACATACAGACAGACACGTATAAACACACTCATTTAGAAATGCTATCAAAACTCGCACTCGCTTCTCTCGCCGCTTACGCTAGCGCACACGGTATAGTGTCGCAGGTAATGGTCGGTGGCCAGTGGTACAACGGAGCCAATTACGGCTCAACAAATGACAACTCCCCTGTACGCGGATTCCCTTACGACGGAGGGTATGTGCCATACTACAACGTGAACACAGATGACATCGTTTGCGGTGCGAATGGCCACGGTTCTGTACCAGTAACAGCAACTGTCAATGCCGGCGACGACGTGAAGCTCCGCTGGCACGGTGACCGTGGTCCAACTGGGGACTACTGGGGCCACTACGAGGGTTCTGTAATGGACTACCTGATGCGCTGCGACGGTGATTGCAGCAACTTCCAGACAAGCTACGGCAATGCGCGCGTGTACAAGATCTGGGAAGCTGGTCTCGACACATCTCAGCCACGCCCTGACCAAGGTTTCTGGCCATCTCGTCCTCAAGGTGATGGTTTGTGGGCAATGGATGACATGTCTCGTAACTGGGGATCATGGCACACAGTAACCATCCCAGCCACAACCGCACCAGGCCAGTACATGCTGCGTCACGAGCTTCTCGCTCTCCAGGCCGCATCGAACCTTGCAGGCACAGCTGAGACTCCAATCGGTGGTCCACAATACTACCCTGCTTGTGTCCAGCTCAATGTCGTCAACAATTCCGGCAACGTTGTCTACCCACCTGAAACTCCAGTCAGGGAAATCTACAGCACTGGTGACGCTCAGGTCAACATTTACACTCCTGCTCCTAACGGTATCGAACATTTCGATATCCCTGGTCCAAATGTTGTCAACACCTCCCCTTACAAGCGCTCCGCTCGTCGTGCTGATCGCCACGCACGTCGTGAGGCTTTCGGTAAGACTCACTAAGCGGTGTGCACAATGTGCATTCACCGGCGCTCTACCAGTAAATATCAGTGGGAACATTTATTGGTATACTTATTTATATTTCACTTGATCTTTCTTTGTTCTTCTCTGACGTCTGAACTGGTTTCAGCGTCTTTGTCTTATTGTTTTCTATACATTCGTTTCGCGTCGGTCACTGTATATGTGCACGAGTGTTAACAACAAAATATCCATGCTTAATATAATGCGAATACAATAATGCGTATATAAAATGCGCCCAACACGCATGCTACCATGCTACGCGGACAGACGCTCCAACACCTCCTCGATGGCGTCAACAGCGCGTGTAAGGATAATTACCTGGTTTGTCAGCAGCGACTGCAGCATGACGAGCACACTCTCTCTAACAGTGTCTCTGTTAGCGAGGAGTGTCTTGAGGGTCTGCGACGTGCTCATAGCCTTATTCTCGAGCATGTGAAAGAGTGCAGCGTGGAGATCGAACTCGATGTCCTGGTTAGTAGAGGGGGAGTCATCGAGAGTTTGCAGGCTGCATGCGCCTTCGTCGCTGATGTTCTCATCAGCCAGTGAGCGCATCAAGAAGCGCAATCCCACTGGCATGTTCTGCGTAAGTGAGAGGTTGAATGTGCATAGTGAGCCGTCTTCAAGCAATAGATTCCACTTGCGTAAAAGGTCTTGCTTGCGCTGCGAGAAATCCATACCGGCACCGGCACCTACCTTGAATGGAACTATGTCGTACTCAAGGTTGTCAACAGCGAAGCCATAAGCTAGAAGGAGCTCATTGGTTGCTTTGGCCCCGTAGTTGTTGAATACCTCGCTACCCTCTAAGGCACCGTGCGGCAGACTGATGGCTATTTTGGAAGTGCGTGTATAGATACTATCCTTCCACACCACTGCCGACATGGGCTTGTGGTTGCCTATGTCCCACAGAGGGACGAGCATCGGTGTGCTACTGCCACTCGTATTATCACTGCTACTCATGCTCGTGTCTGCATTTCTGCTCCCACTCCCGCTTATCAGTTTCGAGGGGAAGGAGCGTGAGGAGAGCATAGTGAGAGAGTGCTTGAAGACATCGTACGAAAATGACGCTAAACCATTAGATGCCAGCCAATCGGTAACGACGACGTAATCCCTTTGCCATTGCAACTCTCGCTCCCGCGTTGTGTTGTACAGACTCGTCGGCTGCGTGTACTCGAGCTCGGTGGGTGTCCAGTAGAGAGTCGTCAGCGTGCTTCCTATTGGCTGAAGCATAGCGACGTATGCGCGGTGCTTCAGTGCTCTTTGCAGCGAGTCGGGTTGGTTGTCGTAGTTGTAGTGCAGCGCTAGGTATACGACTACGAGGATATCCTCTCTTAGTGGCGTGTAGCTCAAGGCGTGGAACAGCTTCCTGCAGGAATCACGCGTTATGCACACACCCTCTGTCACACTGACTATCTCTGTCTCCTGCGCTATGTCTTTCTTCGCTATCCAACTGTAGCCAGATTGGGGAGAGTACGCAATGTCCATGTCGTCGTGTAGTTCACAGCCATTCTCCTTGAGCCAAGCTTTGAAGTTGTGGATGGTGGTAGTACGAGACATACTCGAAACAAGCCATCGTGGGCGGGAAAGAGCGAAGAAAATGTCTATAGAATGAAGACGTACAAGATTCTAGTGCCTTTGTTTAACTTGATTCACTTGGGATCCTCCACCCCCTTATACTCAAACACAGTCCTTCTCAACCTCTTGAAAGCTTCCTCGGCATCTTCTATCGACGCCATCGAGTAGCTCAGCCGTGTGTATGGGGTGACACGCGGAGTTGGGTAGAAGACCACACCTGGGAGGGCAATTACACCGTTGTTGATTGCCCTCTCTTTGATCACTTCGTTGCTGTCGTCGCAATCCAGTTTAAGCCACAGGAACATTCCGGCAGTTGGGGTCACCCAGCTAGCGATATCGCTCATATGTTTAGCAGCTGCGCCCTCGAAAGCGTCGCGCTTGACTCTATAGAAGTCTGCAACTCGCGCCACATGGTTGAGCAGTCCGTCTATTCCCCAGTGCGCAAATAATGCCTGTACTATAGCCTGTGATGTGGAATTTGGTTGAAGATTTGCAGCTGAAGTGTGCAGATCCATCGCTTTAATTATCTCCTGTGGTCCTGTTGCCCAGCCAATTCTGATCCCCGATGAAAGAACCTTGCTCATCGAATCGAGTCGCAGAACTCTGCCGCGCTCCCCGCCGAGTTGCTTCTCCAGTGCAAAGTAAGAAGGCACCCTCTCACCGTCGAAAGTGAGGAAATAGTATGGATCGTCTTCAAGAATAAGGAAATCGTGTTTGCGTGCTAGGTTGAGTATATCTACTTTCCTTTGTTTACCGGCAGAAGCACCAGATGGGTTGTTACCAGTGGGGACAGTGTAGACGAGTTTTGGGCGTGGTTTGTCTTGTGGCCAGTTGTCCATGACTTGCGCTAGTTTCTCAGCGGACATGCCCTGCTCATCGCACTCAATCTCAACAAACTGAGCACCAGCGATGGTCATTTCTGGGATGGCGCCCGTGTATACAGGTGACTCAATAAGAACGTAGTCACCTTGCTCAATTAGTGCAGCACATGCCTTTGTGAAAGCGTCTTGGGAACCGTTTGTGATTGTGATTGCGAAATCATCCTCACCTGCCTCACAACGACGGCCGTGAACGTGGTTTTGGAGGTCAGAAACGAATTTGTGAAGTCTTGGTAGACCACATGTAGCAGTGTACTGTAATGCCTCCGCGAGATCTGGACCTGCATTGATTTCAAGTTTCGGGTGGGGAGCTCCCGGGGAAACAGGCTTAAGGGAGACTGTGATGTTTTCAAAGGGGAATGTTTCTGGGCTGAATAGGTAAGAATATTGCGTATAAACCACGCATTCAACTCACTTTGGTTTACCAGCCAGCAAAGAAATCATACCAGGCTTATTCTCAAGCGGGAAAAGGGCTCTGATAGCTGATGGGTGTCTTGATTTAGCTTGGGCAGTGAGCCAATTATCGTAATGCGTTGAATCCAGCTGAGAAGAAGGTTGACAAGTCATTTCTCGTCGTCGATAAGGCTCTATAAGATTGGGATAGCTTGTAAGTGTAAATTTAAAAATGAAAAATGCATCAAATATCAATCAAATATCAATTAAATATCAATCAAGGCTTCTTTTCTTCATCTTCTTCTTCGTCTGGCTGCTCACCACCGCCGCCTTGTGCTTGGCCAAGTTGTTGCATCATCTGACACAAAATTAGCTCTATTTAATCAAAATCGCCAACACCACTCACAGCTTGGAGATCCATTTGACCACCACCTTCACCACCAGGCATATCCATACCTTCCATAGGGTTTGGCTCTTGTACACTGTCTTCCTGCTCGTCCTCATCGACGTAGAGTGACCAATCAACGATAACAAAAGGAAGCTTGACTTTCTCCTTCTGCAAGCGTGGCCAGTACTCAGCTCTTGGTGTGGATTTGAGCAGCGTGAGTGTAATACCCTTACCAGTCCTGTTTACTCTGATTGGCTTGTCGAGTACGCTATCAAACAAGTTTATCTCAAATCCATATTCCTTGCCGTTTGATGTTGCTTGAAAGCTTATCTTCTCCGGAGTCAAATCGAGCTTTGGTGTGCCTTCAATGTCACTCAAGTTAATAGTGACGAAGAGTAGATTCCTGTGCAAATTGTTAAGCGTGTAAAACACACAATCCTTTCACTAACTTCTCTGCTTCAGTTTCTGAGCTTCTTTGCGCCCACTTTACTTCTGGATGTTGCATAATGATCGTACAAGTTGAAGAAACTTGAAGAAGCTTTTTGATCGTTTGGCGTATATCCTCGTAAATACTTCGCTTTATATCATTTATTGTGCAATACATATCACTCTCCAACCACCCGCTCCTCTTCCTCTATCACTCCGTCTGTTTTGCTAACCACTTGCGTCATCCGCCGTGGCCCAATGCCTTCATTTTCTCGTAATGCTAAATGTATAAACTTTTAAAAGCCTTATAGGGATTACGCTTTGCCTTAATTACTCCATGATAAAATAAAGGCAAAAAGTCTTAATCAGATTTTGCTATTGAAGAATTGCGCTTTAGGTGAACAGTATTAACTGTTACAATTAGAATTATATATCAGTTCGAAATAATTCAATGGGAGTAGCTGATATCGAAAGGTTGCAGGTTCGAGCCCTGCGTCGGTCACCACGGCCGGCTGGCTCAATGGTAGAGTATTCGACTACGGCTAAAACTTTTGTTTTTACTGTCCATTTTACAGCTCTACCGGAATTATCTTTACAGACGCGTTATTATGGGCTAATATTTATATATTTTTGAGTTGCGCGTCTTCAACTAAACGCTTCTTTTCTTTTCGTTGATTTCATGTATAAATAAGCTCTTACGCGTGCGCAAGTGTAAGCTAGACGCGCAAAAAGTTAAACAGATAGCAACAAAGACTTAGTGCTAAAACGTGGATCTATTTTTATATGCATGTTCCTGCTTTGAATTGGTGACATGCACAATTTATGTCGTAGGAGCAGCGAACAATGCGCAATGCGCAACGCGTTAGTGTAGAATAATTAACAAAAAACCTTGATACACTATTTTAAAAAGAGATAAATTTTGACTTTGTTTTCATGAACTGATTTCACCACTGTCTTCTTGAATAACATCAACGATAAACCAAAATGAGTCGCCCAGAAAACGTTGGAATTAAGGGAATAGAGATTTATTTCCCAAAGAGAGTTAGTTGAGGTGGTTCTGGTACTTCTCTCAGCTCACACACCGCACAGTGCATCTCAGAAACTGATTTAGAGCAATTTGACGGCGTTTCTGCTGGAAAGTACACTATCGGATTCGGACAGCAATACATGGCTTGCTGCGATGACAGAGAAGATATCAACTCTTTCGCCTTGTCCGCCGTCGATGGCCTTCTCAAGAAGTACAACGTCGATCCAAAATCTATTGGCAGATTGGAAGTTGGCACTGAAACTGTCATCGATAAATCCAAATCTACAAAGACTGTCTTAATGGACTTGTTCAAGGATTCTGGCAACACTGACATTGAGGGTCAGTCAAACGTTTGCTTTCTTTACCATTTCTCATTTACCTACAGGTGTTGACACTAAGAATGCTTGTTACGGCGGTACCTCAGCCCTCTTTAACGCTGTCAATTGGGTTGAATCTTCTAGCTGGGACGGCAGAGACGCTATCGTCGTAGCCGGTGACATTGCCATTTACGCTGAAGGTTCTGCTAGACCTGTCGGTGGTGCAGGCTGCGTTGCCATGCTCATTGGTCCAAACGCACCAATCGTTCTTGAGCCTACTCACGGTACATACATGACAAACGCATGGGACTTCTACAAGCCAGACCTCAACTCTGAATACCCAGAAGTAGATGGCCCACTCACTATTGACTGCTACTTTGGATCTCTCGACAACTCGTACGACTCGTACCGCGAGAAATACTCCAAGCGCACCCAAACCAACAAGCAAGACGTTAAGGGTGACAACTTTGACTTCATGGTCTTCCACTCTCCATACGGCAAACTTGTCCAAAAGGGTCATGCCAGACTCACCTACAACGACTTTGTATCCAACCCCTCCCTGCCAAAGTTTGAGGGTATCGATCAAGCTATCGCTTCAGTACCAAAAGCAAAGACGTACTTTGACAAGGCAATCGAAAAGACATTCATGACTGCCGCTAAGGATGCCTACAGCAAGCAAGTTGAGCCTTCTTCAACTACCTGCAAGCGTCTCGGTAACATGTACACTGGTTCTCTCTACGGTGGTCTCGCATCTCTCCTCTCCAACGTCAACTCGGATGACTTGCAAGGAAAGAGAGCGGGTATGTACTCTTACGGATCTGGATGTGCTGCATCCTTCTTTGCTGTCAAATTCGTCGGATCTACAAAGCAAATTGCTGATGCGGTCGATTTACACAAGCGTCTCGACTCGATGAAGGTTGTTCCTGTGACTGAATACGTTTCTTCCCTCAAAACTCGTGAGGAGAATCACAACGCAAAGTCTTATGCTCCTAAAGGTCAAATTGAAAACATATGGGGTGGTGCTTACTACCTCGACAACATTGACGAAAAATTCCGTCGTCACTACAAACAAGCTCCACTCGCATAGATTGAGTGATCGTGTTTTGTTGAACCGCTGCAATGCCACACCCAATTGATAGAAAAACCTTTGTTTAGATAACATTTGTATTAGCAGTATATTCCATTTCTTAGGATTAAAAGGTTGTGTTTGGTTTTTTTGGTTGCTCATACACGCTACCTCACCTACAAAAATCACAATACGATCATGCAATACAACATAAATAAGACACTCTCACATACTTTCAAACAACAAATTAGCCGCCATTTCCGTATTTTTCTCACAAGCAAGATAGCATTGCTTGGCTTGTTCAAAGTCAAATCCACCAAATGAACAGAGCTGTGTGATGTTAGTTTTACTCCATTTACTCGCTAACCTTCACTCACATTCTCAATTGCCTCTCTGTCTGAAGGTGAGACGTCGACTTCTCTTTGTTCTTGCTCTCTTTGCTCTCTTTCCTGTCTAGCCGTCTGTTCAGAAGCTGCAAGAACGTCATGAGGAATATCTTCAGCCTCATTTAAACTTTGTGCATTCGCAGCTGTAACGTGTTAAATGGGAATCAACCATATAACTTAACTCCCACCTTGTGTACTAGCCTGCTCACGAGCAATGGCCATAAGATTCAGCCAGCTGCTGCTCTTCAACAATTTCTCCAAATCTCTTTCATCCCTATTGATACCAACCTTCAATGCCAATCTAGATTCATCCGCACTGAACATTCCAGATGGCTCCAAGAAAGCAATCAGATGCCAATCATTGAGTATATCACAAAGCGCCTCCTTCTTTTCATTAGTGACACTTTCAAGGTCAACATCATCCGAATTATGGAAACCCAATCCAGTACTCTCAGAAACAACTGGCAAGAAAGTCGAGATAAGCTTGCTGACAGACTGATCCTGGAAACCTTGTCTGTTTTCTATTGGAAATACGCTGCTCTTAAACACCGGGTTGGACTGGTTAGGGAAACCGTGTGTGAGATTAACAAGCAGATATTCCACAGGGAAGCACGGTTTAGCGTTCTTTTTAACATCTATTCCGTACTCATTTTTGTAGCGGTAAAACACATCGGGAATGTACTTTCCCGGTTTAGACTCTTTCATACGCAGCGTTGATGGCTCGACGGATGGTTCGACGATATCTGCATCGATGAGTGCCATTCCTTGATCAGAGATTTGGAATGCAGATATATCAATACCGCCATTCTGCGTGCCACTGAGCACGCAAGTGATAAATCTTGAGTTGAATCTACCACTCTTGGATTGTGTTGTTTGTAACTTGTGTTGATTCTGTAAGTGTCCCGCGAAACACAACTCCAATGAAGATAAAAAGAAACTGTCTTTGTGGCGCTTGAATAGTGGTGACTGAGTGCCCGGTGGTTGGGAGAGATCGGAGTATATCATACCGAGTACCTCTAATCCAGCATTCTGCGCCAATTCAACGACCCTCTCTTGATCTTCCCATGGTAAGCCGAGAGTCATACCGTCGACTTCACCTTCTTGTGGGATCTCATGCACCGCTTCGACGACGGCCTTAATACCCATAGGCACAGCTTCATATGGTGCATATCTACCGAGCAGAATACCAAATCTCTGCAAACCAGAAGCGCGCCAGAAGTTCAGCAATCCTTCAACCAAACCAGGAGAGGAAAATTCGACATGATCGAGCATTCTGTATTCCTGGACTTGGAGAGTGATAGCGTTAGGAACCCACTGCTTAAATTTAAAGTCCAATTCTTCTAAAGGTGGTAGCTGCGCGACAGAGGAGGTTGGTGGATTACTATCTTTGAGTTTACGAAGGTATGCGTGAAATGATAAGTGCTTTATGTTCTGCTGAGCTTGGTATTCTTTGTCGTAAGGCTGAGGAAAAGTGAGAGTGATAAATGGAATACAATCAACGCACCTCGATTGGAAGTGTGTTTAGATTACCTTCCCTCGAAGAAGACGACGTCTGGCGAGGTATCTTACCAGACTGCCTAAACCAATGCGCGTCGATTGGATGGTCTTTTACGAGTTGCCACGGTCTAGCGGGAAGGCTAGAAGTAGTACCAGAAGCAGTGCTAGAGGATTGCGCTGGCTCTGGCACTTTTGCAGAGGAGGCGAAAAGAAGATCACCGTGCCTAGGAAGAGTGCTAATCAGCTAAATTCCTTGTAAATCCTATCAATCCACGCACTTTATACCCAAATCGGATAACTTCCTCTTTGAGAGTGACGACAGCTGAGTCTCACCACCCCTAGGCTCATTTGAGAGCGATAGCGTGTGCTTATCGAGTGTAGGTGCACTCTCTATAATCTACACTTTCCGTCAACGCGAATCCACGCCACCTGCGCTGCTACCCACTCTATCTCCCAGCAATTCGATCGAATCATCTCCACTCAAATCGAATCTGAATGTTCCTTCAGCTGAGCGTATTCTGACAATCTAAATGACGCCATTAGCGTGTCTATGTGTACTAGCACTCCCACCAACCATTTCAACGTCAATGTAAACCCTAAAGAGATACAACATTCATATATTTCTTAAAATTATCACATTATCATACAGTTGACATCTTCTATCCCATTCTCCTCCATGTGCTCCTTCTGGGCTTCTTTGTCGTTCGCTTTCGCTTTCGCGCGGACTTCCTTTGGAAAATACAGCTCCATGAAACCAACGAGGGCTTGATCGAGATTATCTGAATGACTGTCTGAGTAAGTGCTTATCTGACGATCGCCGACTCACTTCTATTCGCTGACATCACTACAGGTGCCCTACACAATGGGCAATCTGACTGGCCGCGCTTTTGCATCTTGACGAGGCATCTAACGCAGAATATATGAGTGCAGCTACATAATTTGTTAGCTTGTTTCAAACATGAATACACCTAACTCACTTTAACCTAATTGGCTTTGTTTGTTTTGTTAGCAGCACCCTACCACAACCAATGCACCCACCTTAAACGCAATCTCTTGGCATATTAAACAATTGTAATCGTCTATAGACGGGATTATTGGTATCAATGTCTCCGTCAGCCTCGCAAGAAGTACTCTAGGCAAGCTGATAGTGTAGAATGTCCAACCGAAGTTAGAGTTCTTGGAACTAGTTGCAGACTGCAACGCGCTCCCTTCGACACCAGCGAAAGAGTAGAAAGAATCCGTAGGCAGTGCTGTCATTTTCATGTGTTTCTTGAGTATTTTCCGCGCTGCTTCAAGATTCGCAGTATAGAACTTTTTAATCTCGAGCAAAGCCATATTCAGTTCCAAGAACTGATCAAGAGCCTGCCGTGATCGCTTTGACTTCATAGTCCGACTATCACCTAGTCCACGCTTGACGACCTCAGCAGCGAATGCATTCAGACGTATCTCCGCACTCTCTACATCCCTTTCACCCCGACTAGACTCAGTTATACCTTCATATATTGCAGATTCCACCCAGAGCGTGAAAATCTCCCGCCACGCGTATAAATCATTCGTCTTCTTCTTGTGCAAACCGAATGTCGAATGATTTACCGCACTCGGTCCTGTTACACCTGTTATGGCATTACATAGCGTCTCTACCTGCGTGGCGAACTTCTTCTTTTCAACCATTTGCAGCGCCTCGAGCTTATCGAATGCAGCTGTGAGTGCGCCCAAGAACTTTGCATCCGCGTTGAGGGGTATGTGAATTTCTTTGTTGGATGGATCTGTGCCATCTGTGAATATTTCTTCCATATTGTCCTGATGCTGCTTATCAAGGTCCTTGTTTGAGGTACTTGACGTACTCGCGGTGACGGCATCTAAACCGGAAGAGCCCTTCTGAAGGTTGTAGAGACTCAACCACTCCTCCCTGCTATCATTATCATTGAACTGTACAATAAGTCGAGGCTGTGGCTGATTCAATGGCCCGTCAAGGACATATTCGATGTGGGTATCTTCCGTTTTCCTCAAAAGCAAATCGAGCAACTTCGATTTATTCAATCCGATCATGTTAAGCTCCTCGACGACATCCGTTAGAAGCTTTTTAAGGTGCTTATACTCGATGCTGTTCTCCTGCCACTCTGTGGGGAAAGTTAGTGCGATGTGGCACGTGAAGTATAACACACACCCTCTGGGAATTCTTCATTTAGCTGCTCAAATTGTTTCCCGTATTTCATTGCTTGGATGCATACGATTCGCGTTTCACGTTGATATTTTTTGATAGCACTTAAGCAACCCCAGTTACACTAGCTTTACTCAGTTTGGTATGTGGTACAAGGGCTTGAAATGCTCGAGGAAATTATTCCATTCAGCGCACGTTGCTTAGGTTTGTCTTGGAAATTTTATACTTGAATTTTTTTGTAAAAATAGCGCGTAAATGCATATTCTACAACTCAATCCTATTATACTTGGCATCATGATTGTGCAATTTGCTCTGATTGATCTTTATCCTCTTCTCATCCGCCTTAACAAAGACTTCAACCGACCACTCAAACCACACCTTCTTGTTATCAGTAAGACGCCAGAGATGTACATCCACCTCGCTATTCGTTGGTAGATATACGCCCGTGTTTATTGGAAAATATATTGGGAACCAACTTAACATTTCCTTATCATAACGCTCTGGATGTGTCGATAGCCACACATTCCCGTACAAATGTGCTTCAAAGTATCCTGCTAATCCATGCAGAACACCAGCATAAGGAATAGTGAATGTCAGATGGGCTGCTCTTGTGTTATGATAGTTTGTCATCGGATTCCCATTTCGATCCATCACAAACTCATACTTGGATGGGTGCTTATACGACCAACATTGCTGAACTGCCTTACGATTGCTTTCTTTATCCATTCCGCTGAGTATATTTACAGCCTGGAACATGACCACGTAAGGCATTTCAGCATTCTTAGCATCTCCCATGTGCATCACCTCATTATACAGCTTGGTTGACGATAGTGGGGCTATGTATGACGTGTAGTAGGATGGTATTGACACTCCATATGGCTTCAAAAGCCTCATAGCACCATCTAAACATTCGGGAGAGAGTTCATTATCACCAAAGCTACCAAGTAGCTCAGAGATGAGTATATCATTCTTCTGCTCGTCTTCCAGTTCTATAATACGCATATCGCCAAAAACCAACTCTACACTCGCGATTTTGCTCTCATTCCATTCATCCATTCTACCTTGCAATGTTACACAAGCATTTGGGTTTTTCTCTACGGCCATTATGTGTATCCTTCTACCTTCAGCTGCAGCTTCTACTGCGTTAATTGCTCCTTGCACTAATGGCCCTCGACCAGCACCAACGACTGCTATCCTTGTCAGTGAATTTGGTTCTTTATCGAGCAGTGCTAGGTATGTTGCTTGTTCGTATTTTTGATACTTGATAGGATCTTTTTCGAATATTTCATATGTCGAGCTATCCAAGTTGTCAAGAAGAGGCTGCAGCGGTGCTTGTAACCAATCCATATATCCACTTGCAAACTGCTCGACAGAAGTTGCACTGTCGTTTGAAAGCTTCTCCATGTAGCGTAGGTATTGCACATATGCTTTGCTGCCACCGGACTTGTGAATACCTTCGTAAGTCTCAGTGAGTACAATTGTCGGAAGTGTCTGTTTGTTGGAATGAGTTGAGTTAATAGAAATGACAAAGAAAAAAATACCCACTTTGATCTGCTCCTTGATAAACTCCTGACAAGACTTGGAGAGAACAGGATATCCTTTTGCGTTCCCTACAAAGGCATTTGCTGGTATAATAATCTGCCGAGTTGGTTCACTCGACCATCTCTTGAGTGCACAGGGCGGTGGCAGAGGCTGGCCAAGATCCAACGCCAGGCCAAGCCTAGGCGAGTAGTCACAGAGTGTACGTATAGCATCCCAGACTTCCCACGTCGATGAAGGATCGCCCTTGAACTCAGATAACGCCGGGGATACGCCGGATTGCTCAAGTTCAGCAGGATCAGACACAGGTATCATGACAGAAAGCTGCAAATACGACGTGCTATCTAATGCTGCCATAACAGACCGAGCATAGTCTGCGACATGTTTCCGATTCTTCGGTGCTGGTAATATGAGCGTGTGTATACTAAGATAAGAAGCGTACGCGACTTCCTGCTTCAGAGCCATCTCCGAATCAAACCTGATTCCCTCATCTGGAGAATCGAGCTCAAGCCAATCTGACGCAAAGGCAATTATCGACTCGCATTCGTCTGTGCGCGTGAGTGATTAGAGTAATGGAATAAGCGTATTTAACGCACCAAGCTTAGAAACATTTACTTCATTCTTATCGTAAACCCTTGTTAGCCTCCAGACTTCTGCCTCCTTGGCTGTCTGTCGATCTTGTACAACGTTCTCTGTCGTCAAGGCCAATAAGAGCAGGCAATCAACAAAATCAAAACGCACCAGACTTTCCAGCTATATAGCTCGCCCTAGCTCTGCCCTTATTGACATCGTTTTCGTTTGAAACACAGTAGCGCTGCCAACGAGTTTTCCAGGTGGGTTTGGTGAACGGGAGAGTGATTGCGTCGTAATCAAGATCGAATGCATCATTCACGTGATCCAAAATTGTCGGATTGCTATCGAGCAAGTCCTGATCGATGTGGTTCGCTATCGGCACACGATTCCCGGTCATGGTTACTGTCCAAGGGAAAAGACAGACGCGTAAATGTGCCAAAGTGTATTCATGCATAAATCACAAGTACTCAAGCATTTTACAACTCAAACCCTTCCGTACTCAACTTCTCCTCAAATGTCAACACCTCAAACACCAACCTACGCCATATCTTGATAGCAGCCGTCTTTGAGTCTTCAAGCATCACGGGCTCAAGCGTCTCCACAAATTCATCTATACCTTGCTTTGATTTGAGCTGATCGCTCACAATTTCCATCATTTCTTCATCAGCTTCTCCGAAATACTCCTGCATCAGTGACTTTGTAATGGGTATGAGTCTCTTTGAGATAATTGCATCTGTTATAGCATCCCAATTCACATCAAATCTGGATAACGATGTGTAATCTTCTGGGACATCGTTAGCAATTTCTCTCAATCGCACTCTTCTCGCAGCCTCTCTCTGCTCCGGCGTGAGATCATCTTTGTCTGGAACAATACCGCTGTAGTCGAGTTTGACAAGTTTGCGCTTTTGTATTGTCTCGCCGTTTTCATCAACCTCCTCATCGTTGAATGCTGTGGTACGTGCTGCTTGCTTGGATGGCTCCGCCGTCTCAGTATATTGGGTGGGCTGAGCGGCTGCTGACAATCTAATCGGCATACCGTCATCCATCAAAACACCTCTCTTCTTCTGCTCTTTAGTGAAGTTCTCCATATCTCTAGCTTGTTGCTCTAAGAAAACTTCAGTGTCTCTCTTAACCTTTTCAGATTCGTTTACTTCCGCCACTTTATCTGCTTCATCTGCGGTCTCTTCTTTCCGTCTAGCTTGTGAGCGTCCATTTCTCCATTTGCGTCTAAAGCATGTAAGTTAGGTGATGTAAAGAACGGCACACCCACCTGTTCACGTAGAACAGTTCATTCTTTTCAGCTAGTTTATCATCGTCAACTGCTAGTAGCTTATGTAATGCACTCTCCCTCGCGCTAGTGTCAGAGCTATCATTTGCCCTTTCTCTTGCAAGATCTCGATCATATTCATTTAGTCTTGCTCTCTCCTTCCCTTCAAACTTGCGTTCACGGTCTCTGAAAGCCAGTTCTCTATCTCTAGACCTCCTGGACAGACGATCTTTTTCTGATTTCTCATCTTGCTCGGCCATTGACAAGGCTTGCTCTAAGGTCATTGGCAAGTCTTCAGATCTGTCTTGTTGATGGCTAGAAGACGACCTTACGAAGCCGACAGGTTTATTGAATGACTGTGGATCATTAACATTGGAGCCACTGATACCGCTTCGACTACCCCACTTTCTCATGTTAGATTTCTGATCGCGTTCTCTTTCTCTCTCAGCCTGATCTCTCTCCAAACGCTCTTTATCGCGCTGCTCTTTCTCCTGTCTCTGCACCTGCTTAGATTTGACAGCAGGGTTTACCATAGTGCCTGATCTGAACATTTCGATCATGTTGAGTGTCTCCTGTCTATGAGCCTCAGGTATCTCCTCTGGAGGTAAATCACGAAGGTGGGCAGGTGTATCGTCTGCTATAGGAACTGCATTGTTCATATTAGGGCCTCTAGCGTATAGGTTTGGATCTGACATGTGATCCAGTATCTTTGCTATCACTTCCTCTGCTCTGTGCTCCTCCAATTCCTCATCGTCTGTTTTAAGCAGAGTCTTCTCGTAATCGTCTAGAAATGCTCTCGTTTTCTCGTCTGGCTTCACCAGCAGATTCTTGCGTGGTTGACCGCGTTCACCAGCGGGGACTGACACGCCATTAAGCGTTTTGATTGCTCGGAGTACACTATCTGGCTCGGCAAACGTCGCGAATCCAAAAGCCTGTGGTTTGCCTGTTGGGCCTCTAACACGATTGAGAGTAACGAGATTTCCGGCGGCCTTTGATATTTGATTAGAGGGAATTATAATTGAGGTGGTACTCGATATGGTACACTCACATTCAGTAATCTATCCAGCCACTCATCACTTACGCCTGCACTGATACTACCCACAAATACTGTGAGCTTCTCGCTACCTGGGACCATTGTAATGTGCAAAGAGAGGAAAGTACAAATAATATTAATTAAAAGGTATTTGACAATGAATTACTTTAAATGCATCTACTCAGCGTCTTCATCACCAATCTTTGGAGCTAAGAAGTACTTGATATGACCAGCACCGAACTCATACTCCAACAGCAGCGGTATGTCTTTTGAGAGTGATAGTGTTACTCTGCTTGAGAGTGGAGTTGACTATTGTTCATTTGTTAGCGCGATGTGCAACTTTTTATCCAAAATCGACTCACTCTTGTAAAGTTGTTTAGGTATTTGAGTGAGAATGTAAGGCTGACTTGTTGCTGCAATGAAATGCTGACGCCATCTTCAACGACTTCCTTCTTAGCCTTTTTAGCCTTCTTCTTCTTGTTACCACCCTTTGCTGACTTCCTCTTTTTATCCTTTGGCTTGACATCGTCATTGTCTTCATCATCCACGTTTGGCTTGACATCCTCGTCATCATCTTCCTCCTCTTCCTCTTCCTCCTCCTCTTCGCTTTCTTCCTCTCTCTCAATACCCCTTCCGGATGATTGCTTAAGCAGTACGGAAGCTTTTCCAACGTCACCTTCAACTGAGAATCTTATACCCTCCTTTGAGGCTTCAACGCGGATAGATTCACCGAGTTGAGACAAATCGCGACATATACGCTGGAATTCAGCCGAGGGCATTGAAATAACACTGTCATATTGAGTCGTTGGGATACCAAGGTGCTCCTGATCGATATCAAGCAGCTTAATAGAATATTCACCAATTCTGTCAGTGTTTGAGCTTTCAAATGTAAGTCCGAGACTTTCTCCAGAGTCGTCAGCTTTGAGAGTGACAAGGTCGTTATCTTTAGCGCATTTTATAACTTTTGTCAAGCTGCCGAGGTTTATACCGAGTGGCATATTACGGTCGCATCTTTTAAAGCCCGTTAATTGAAATTTGAGTGGGTGAATCTGCAACCCACCTATAAGGCTCAAACGCGTCTTGAGAGAGGTGGACTGTAACGAGGGCTACATGTGAGTTGTCCATAGCTTGCAGGGACTACGTGTATATGAGTGGAATCCACCAAAACTCCTACGAAGATTACCCACAATGCCATCCTCGTTACACTCCCAATTTGCATCTGAAATTAAATCTCTAACTGCATCGAGAACCTTTTTCAAGGTACCCGCCTCTGACATTCTAGCTTCTAACATATTTTACTTAACACGTCGTCGTTCTCTTTAAAGACGCGCAGGCGCAGGCAATACGCGTCGTGATCGTAATTTCATCGTAAAAATATTTGTGTGTGTGCCAAATAAATGGACTAAGTGATCGTGGTTACGAGCGTATGAGCTACCGCCTTGATACATCCCCACATCCTCAAACCATTCATCAAAACAGCTTTGTCTATAAGACTAATATGTTTACAAAGGCATCATCTATATCTTCATGTGTAGCAAATAATATCTAAGGAATCCAACCAAAAAACATCAAAAAATTGTCAAAGAGAGAAGACATCCCATCTACCTCCGACTACCTCTTATCATCTTCACTGCTATCCGAGTTATTCTCCCTCCTCCCTGCACCTCTATGCCTGAGATTGTTGTTTGCACTCTCCGCCTCCCTGTCACTCAAGCTTGGTCTCAGCATTTGTTCGTTTCCAGCAACAACAGCAGGATCCAGTGGCTTTGGTTTTTCAAATACCGAAAACTCAGCGCCAGTTATCTTGGAGCGTATGTACATGTACAATACCCTAACTCCAAATGCAGCAATTGTCCAGAGAATTGAGCCCACTGGCGCTGCAATAAACGTACCTAAAGCCTCGAAACTGTTGTACGATGGATAGAGACCTTCGTTGATAATGAGCAAAGCACCTGCAGATGAAGCATCTCCATTGTAATAAACCAAGCCGAATAAGAATACGGTGAGAATGCCTGGTGGTGGTGGTGGTGGTGAGCAGAAGCCGAGATTTTGCATAATAACTTACCTCCCAGTCCACCTATTATCACATCAAACCCATTCAGAAAGTATAATCTGTCCGTAAATCCAAGTAACATTGCCGGCATAATAGCAGCGGACACCAGATCAGCAATGAGATAAAGAATGAGGACATCATTTACTTTGTTGGATGCTACTGGTCCAATTACAGCTGCATTTCTAAAAAGAACGTCAGATTAATCAGCACTTCTTAGTAAGAACCTACACAATCAAAATCAATCTTGTCCACCAAACGTTAATCTTGTTTCTGAATATGTCATTTGAAACTGTTGCAACTAAAGCTGTTTGGAGCGTATCATACGCTGCACATGAGAGAGCAACAGACAAGACCATCATCAACCCATTTATCCACGCTGGACAAAACCTGTTGACGAGAAGGAAGAGTACTGTTGAGCTGCTATCTTCGTTTACGTTGTTGGGACCTGGATATACGTTTGACCAAGAAGCAATCAAACCAGCTTTAAGTGGTGTTGATTTTGGTGTTAAATGGGTGGTGGGTATTAGAGAAGGTAAATCACTCACAAAATCCAACAAGGAAGGTCAAGCAAAAGATGAGACAAGCTGCGAGGATACAGCCGATTGTCAAATCTTTCTGAGATTTGGCGGCGTAACAACGCTGCCAGTAGCTGGACAAGAAGTAGTCTTGGATGTGATGTTAGTAGAGAGTGTGGTGTCTTTGTGATTTTGCACTCACTGTTGAACACAACAGCGACTGGGAGAACTTAAACTTGAATTAACTTTGATTAGGAGGATAAGCTAACAACCCACTGTACAACAGTTGCCAACCGAGCTGACTATCCTTCAACAGATCTGATCTTTGGTGAATCAAATCGGTGTCAATTTCTACATTCACGGCGACTGCAATTGTGCAAACAACAACGAGAATAATGAAGAAAGAAGCCTGAATGGTATCAGTTACGAGGGATACCTTGAAACCACCCCAAGCGGTGTACATCATGGTGACCAGCATTTCCACGACGATGGGCATAATCAGCCAAACGTTTTGAGTTTCTGAAGACCATCCAGTGAGTGACTGAATGACAGAGTGAATGGAAGTCATTTCAGAGAGCATAAAAACGTATAATGTGATAATAGTGAATGTAGATAAGAAAAGACCAGCTGGAACACCGAATCTAGCCCTAATGAACTCTGTCAAGATAAAACCCTCCGGACATTTCTTTCGAAGTTGAGAAGCGAGTGGTGGGAAAGTGAGCAGTGGTAGACTGGCAGCCAAAGAGTACGTTATCAGTGGCTGTAGACCGTAAGTTGCAATTTCTGGGTAAGTGAGTTGTAGGCCAGCGCCCAAACCTTGAGCAGCAAAGTTGCACATAATAACGCCGCTATTGGCAGTCTTTGCGGCTGCCAGGAAATCTGTTTTGGTCTTGGTAACGAAGAAGCTGATCACCAAACCGATAATGAGGAAAACACCCAAGGTGACGTAGATGATAGCCATTGAGGCATCGTCAGAGGGATATGCCATGAGAGGATCTATCTGTTGGTGGTTTCGGAAAAAGGATTAATTCCTCTGGATCGCCACAAGATGGGAACTAGGAACGGACTTAAGTGGGAGGATATGGGGAATGCGAAGGATATTGAGATATTTGGGAGTTTATAAAAGCTTGTCAATTAAATTTCACTCTTTTCCAATGTCGTTCCTATCGCAGCGGTAAATAAATGTGCCTGGCCAGGGTGCTATAGGGTGCTTTAGGCGTTAAGGATACAACAATTCGTTTTCTAGGCCTTAGGAACACTTAACAGCTTTAAATCAATTCAATCGCATTTTCCAAGCCGCAAAAAAACCGAGATAATGGAGCAGCGGAAATGATTAGAAAATACTTTCGAAATAGCCTCTTAAAGAACATAAAATATCTCAAATGAATTTCCACACGGATTTCACAGCTTTTTAAGCCTCGGATGACTAACCCGATCTTGGTAGCAAACCACCAATGTCAACTTACAACATCACCGTACTCGCAGGGGATGGAATTGGTGGGGTTAACTAACGGCTTTCACAACATTTCTAACAATCTAAATAGGCCCAGAAGTCGTCAGCCAAGCAACCCGCGTCTTCGATAAGATATCCCAAGTGAATCCATCCATAAAATTCAACTTGATTGATAAGCTCTTTGGTGGCTGTGCCATCGACGCTACTGGTGAACCTCTCCCAAGCGATACCCTCGAAAGCTGTAGATCCTCTGACGCCGTTCTGATGGGTGAGTTGCATGAAGCGAGAAGACACCAAACTCATCCCGTAAAGGCTCCGTTGGCGGTCCGAAGTGGGGCCCAAGCTCCCCCATCCGTCCTGAACAGGGCATACTCGCCCTCCGCAAGTCACTCAACCTCTTCGCCAACATCCGTCCTGCTTCTTTCGCTTCGGACAGCTTGCTCGCTTTTACACCACTAAAGGAGGAAGTAGCTATAGGCACAGACGTGATCATCCTCAGGGAGCTGGTGGGTCTGCTTTCGTTAGCTGCTATAAACTTATCACTCGGTAGACTGGTGGTATCTACTTTGGAAAGCGTCAAGAGGCTGATGCTAATGGATATGCTTTCGATACAATGGAATATTCAAAGTCAGAAGTCGAGAGAATCGCTAGAGTCGCAGCTGAGCTCGCCCTCTCGTACAACCCTCCACTCCCTGTCCACAGCATTGACAAGGTGCGTAAGGCGTCTTAAAGTAGGCGAATAATAGTCAACACCATCTCAAAAACAATTCTTATAGGCTAATGTTCTCGCTACCTCCCGTCTCTGGCGCAAGACGGTCACTGAGTTGTATGCAAAGGAATACCCTCAACTCAGTCTCGATCACCAATATGGTTAGGAGTGCGTTGTTGATACAGCACCAGCTCACCACACTCATAGTCGACTCTGCATCCATGTTCCTCGTCAACAACCCACGCAGACTCAACGGTGTTGCACTTATGGAGAATCTCTTCGGTGATATGTGCGTGATTTGCGATGTTTCTAGCTGGAAGCACACACTCACACACCCACAGCCTCTCAGACGAAGCTTCTGTCATCCCAGGCGCACTTGGTCTCCTCCCATCCTCATCACTGAGTGCTGTTCCAAGCAAAGACAAAAGGACATTCGGGTTGCATGAGCCAATTGGCGGTAGTGTGAGTTTATCTCAACAATCTCATTACACCCCCTCTTACACACCACAGGCACCTGATATCGCTGGTCAAGGTATCGCTAACCCTGTTGGTACTATCCTTTCAGCAGCTCTCCTCCTCCGTTACTCTCTCGGATTGCACGCTGAAGCAGCCGCTGTTGAATTAGCTGTCAGGAGAGTCCTCGACGACAAACAGATTGGTGGTCATGGTCTCCGTACCGGTGACCTGGGTGGAAGCACAAAGACTGTTGAATTTGGTAATGCTGTGATTGAAGAGCTTGGCAAGGCTTTGAATAGTGCCTAAAAGCGATAGATCATACATGACATTATTTTTTATTCCACGTATGAAAAAGCCACAATCGATGCTGTCAAGCATTTTGAAACATTAGACATGTCGATAATATTACTTCGGAAAAAGGACCAGCATTGGGGTACGGTGTCGAAGTCCGGTCTCTCAGAGACCCATTCTATAGGTTATTTTAGCAAGCATTTAAATATTGTCGATACAATTCGTCTTATTCCTAAAATACTTTGAAAAGATGAAGAGTTTTAGTAATCTAGATCATCGCCTATAACTCAAAATACGCTAACCTTGCGCATAAAAGAACATTAGACAACAGTCTTGTAAAAAGTTCAGCTTTATCTTCCGCCTAAAGCGACCCATTGCATCCGAGATGCCACAAACGGCCCAAAGGGACAAGTAGCAGAACAAATAATTCGTCAGCTGTAGGATTCGAACCTACGCACTACAAGAGTACTTGATAGTATGCTTTGGAAGAACTCCACTTATGAAATTCTAATCAAGCGCCTTAACCACTCGGCCAAACTGACTATGTAAATGTCTTGATCTTTGTGAGGTCAAAGTGCACACAAAGAGCAAGGCGCTGAGATTAATAAAAGAATTAAGTCTAAGATGTATCAAAAGAAAAGGTAGTCGTTTAAATAGTTTAGAATTCTAGGTTTTATTCCCATTGTCTCGTTATCTTCATTGTCCTCGTGCATAATCATGCATTATCTTCATTGTTCGTTTTATTCTCATTGTTCTCATAGCGACCATGATGTCATGTTACCTGTTCCTGCATCTTGCCCGCTGTATTACCTACGAAGGTAGGGGCACATCCTTATATCACTCCCCCCTCCTTGTAACTACGTCCCCGTAGTTGCTAATTTCATGAAGTGCTTCCGCGTCTACCCACGTTGCGTCGCTGATTGGTTGATTTTGCCACTGAACGAGGTATTGAGTGCCATCTGGTGTGTCCGTGATCGATAATATGTTTTGTACCTGTCCACGTCTGTATAATTGATCGTCGTCCTCTCATTGATACCGATTATTGTTTATGGCCATTGTTGCTCTTGTCATCAAAGAGGTTGGTTGTTGTGGTCTGTCTGTGTTTGCCTTTTTTAAATAGCTTGCGTGAAAAACATTATGTGCTCGGGTGTGCCTTAATTCTACTCGGTACGCGGTGCTCCATTTGTCTAAAACTCTGAAGGGTCCTAACCATACGCTGTCCGTCCTAAGTCGATACATTGATGGTATACCACTATTGTGGATGTATACCATATCACCAATGTTGATGTTCTCTTCTCGTCGGGATTGGTTTGTATAGTTTGAATTGTAGTCCTTGATCCTCCTTAAATTGTCCTTTGCTCTGGTTGTCATGCTCTTGACTATTGAAGCGAATCCGTTAGCTGATGGTGTCTGTGTTGCGTGTGTGATTGTCCCTGGTCTGTTTACGTTTTGTCCATATTCAAAATAGAATGGTCTGATTCCTGTTGAATCATGTTTTGAATCGTTATAACTGAATTCTGCTAATGGCAATAGTGAGTCCCAATTTGTTTGTTGATTGTTGGTGTAAGATCTGATGTATTGTTCCAATGTCTTGTTTGTTCTTTCTACCTGTCCGTTTGTTTCTGGATGCCCGCCGCTTGTATATCTTAACTGTATTCCCAGTAGTTCGTGTAATTGTCTCCAAAAATTCCTAAATCTTACGTCTCTATCGTGAATGAAAATTTTGGGTAGTCCGTGGTGTCTAAATACGTTGGCCAAATATAAGTATGCTATGTCTGCTCCTGAGGTTGTGTCTTTTGTTGCTATAAAATGTCCCCTTTTTGATAGATGGTCCACTACTACAGGTTAGGTTAGGTGAACA